GAGCAACCTCTCGAATCTGGATATGCATGCGGATAATTATGGGTGTGGTCCAGCGATCCAACGATCCATCGATATAAAATAAAATTTAGAATTTGCCCTCAGTCTTCAGAAAAAATATTACCTCAGCTTTACCTGCTGCAGGCACTTTCTGATTTGCCCCATTTGAATGGGCTTTCGTTTCCAATTCAAATTTACGATCAATTGCCTACTGAAGGAAGTCAAGCGAGACAGAGCGAGAGCGGACCAATTATAGTTGCGAACTCTGCTGCCAAACTCTATTCAAATCAATTGTCAATTATTACTGACAAATGTGAGTTCATTTCACATTGAGTTATATTCCGTTTAAGTCATCTGCATATCTGCAAATCAACCTGGAGCAGACCGTTATGTTGGCTGCAAGGCAAGCTGGTCTAAATGAATGATTATGCGTAGGATATTTTGCTTAAGAGATCCGCAGCCTTCGCATCTGGATTTCTAACCTTGTCACGCTTTGACCAGTTTCAATGTGAATTACAGCGAACCCCCTTGGCATGGAGTACCTTGAATAGGTGGCATTTGTTGGGTCTTGTCTTCACCTGCAATCCATAGTGCCACGCAGATGCAATTTCAACTTCACTAACTCAATAGAGTATATTGGCTTTATGCATCGATCGTTTTGTTGCCTGTCTAGAGACTTGATGTTTGGAATCATTATTCCTGTCGGAATTACAATTTATTTTACACTGTAAAAGGTATTTTAAATAGCTAACTATATCCTGCACTACAATAAATGAGCCTCTGCTGTCCTCCGCAGACCAAATAACATACGCCCCTTCAGGGCATGTTAAATCGCAAATATATTTATGCCAGATCTCAAAACTATGCAGAATGATCACTGTTGATCTCCTCTGGCTGACCCATCGATATTTGATAAACATGTAACCGTTTTTGCATCGCCAGCTAATACTATGCTGTAATGTAATCCTGGTTTTAAGCGATCCTTTGTGGAACTTAAAAGTTAAACTCTTTCCCAGGCAACTTTCACATATTAGGAACTCGAATAGTTTGCAAGAATATTCGCATATAAGAATTAATATATCCAACAGTTTACTCAGCCCTAGAGTATGCAATACTCAGCAGTTGAAACATTCAATAGTATGCAACTAAATGTTGAATGAAGAACTACATTTCTGTCTTCCTAGAGCCGTTGTACCTTAATCAAATTAAATTTTGACACACTGAGCATTGAATACTCTTATAAAAAAGGCTTAAAACTTTAATTATTATGGGATATAGTTATAACTATACAGTTATAGATCGATTTTCATATATTATTTGTGCTCTTGAAGTAGAATTTCTTGTATATATCAGAATTTTACTATGTGATAAAGTGAAAAAATACAGTTTTAGTGTAACTTTATAAGATTTTTATACCCCCAAGTACAACGAGTCAGACATGCATACATAAAAATTTTTGTAAATATGCCTCACATTAACATTTCGAAATTGCAGGGTGATTAACGGTGGCACCGATATAGAGTGCAGGAAATGTATGATCTATTGTCAGTCGTTTTGTTACCTGTCGAAGTGCCAATAAGAATCCATCTCTGAGCATGAAATTGACGCATTTTTGTTTGTGGTATTCGCAGTATTGGCGAGTTCATCCTGCCCCAAGTTATCTCTTTAGCTGCCATCTAGTCCATGTACTCCTGCTGCTACTAGCTATGACTCTGCAGGTGCACATGTGGAGCAGTTGCCCGCTTTGGCCTACCTTGGATGCTATCAGCATGGACAGGCGGAGTACTAATAGTACCTCTAATACACAATGATAACCCTACGACTAGACGCTTTATATTTTGGATTGTCTTATTATTCACGTGCAAAAATAAATTCATAATAGATAAGGATTGTTGTTCCTCTACTTAATGAGGGCGTTCTGCCTTCTGCTAATAATGCTTAAGATCAACTAGAACTATTCCAGTGATTATCTATAGATTGTGCAAATCTGAGTCAAAATAATACAAATTTGTGATAGTTCCAATTTAAGTATATGTAGCTGATGCATTAGCTGATCCATCAGTACTAATATTAATTAATTAATATTATATTTACTCTATGCTTTTACTCTCTCATTCCTACACGGGTAGAGGACAACCCGCATAGGAATCTCTTCTTTTAACATTTGTATAATTGTCTTTACGCTGTGATATAAAGCTGAATTTTGATTAGCTCAACTGTCGGCACTTGTAGTAGGTACAGTGCGCTATGCCTCTGATGAACTTTGACGAGCACACTCATGGGAATTTCCTATTTAGCTAACATACAAAAATAAGAATACCTTCGATAAGTATGATTCAGAAAAGTGACACAATTCGTTTGATTCTGCTTCGACTCCATGGCAACTTAAGATTCCCCCAACCCCCAACTTATATAGTAATAGTTCTATTGGTTGAAATATTAAGTTGATTTACAGTTAATGATTTGCCGATCATCTGCCCGCCATCAGCAGCTGTGGTTCATCTGCCCCGCCCCGTCACTCCGTGTGCCCCTCTAGAGAGGCATCGGCTGCCAAAAATAATGTCGCCGTGTGCCTCCAATTCGGCATTTAGACATACATCGTTGTCCACATACATATATACATATGTATATCTGTGAATTCGGTTCCACTTAGCCACAGTCGGAATTGTTGTCTTTGCGTTTGTGGTCGGTCGCAGATCGTTTGTCGCCCATCTATAAAAAAAATCGAAATCCAAATCGAAATCCAAAAAGCAAAGTGATGCTAAAATTTAGACAAATATACAGAAATTGTGATATTTTACTTTAAGAATGTCCCATGCCGTAGTTCAATCTTAACTGAAAAATAAGTTTAACCCAGATTTGTGATATTAAAAAGCCTTGGAAGTGTTTATTTAATAGAATGTTGGCCAAAATGTTTGTTTATTTTTGATTTGATTTATTTGTGTTTTATATTTGTGATTGCATAATTTATACGGGGACAGCACCAGCATCAAGTGCTCCTCTGTTTTGTGATTAGCTGGCTCTATTTATCCATTAACACCCAAACACCCGTCGATAATCGCACGCTCAACGATGAAGAAACTACATTTGGGCGCCAAGCATAAGGCAAAGGCATATAAACCCTTTAGGAATAAAAATCGTCGGGTGAGTGTAAGCACGGACCCAGATCCGACAATATACCCATTGGCCCACCCCTTCACTGGCCCGGTTTGGTTATTTTTAAACACTTGCTCTCAACGTGGATCTTGCAACGCTCTTAAGAATCCGCTCATTTTCCACTCTTGCTCTTGCATTTGGCCATGCTGAATATCACTCTTTCTCCTCTCACTCTTTCTATTTATTTCTACTCAACATAATGGCATACATAATGCAGAAAGCATACAACATAATGCCTGGGACTGAGTGTAGACACAGATCAATCCCTAAAATGCTGCCGATTGCAGTTTTAAAGAGGCTTAAAGAACGGTGGTCTTATTAGTGCTGTGGCAAGTTTATTACTCGTTGCCGTGTCTTTGGGTCACATTTGGAATTAGCGGAAAAGGTAAACAATAATTCGCCACACACTCACCTTCAGCCAGAGTATCGCAAAAGGGGGCAAGTGACATTCGCATTTCTCTCTGGCATTGGTTTACACACAACAAAACAATGGAACAAAACACAAGAAGAAGCATAGGGAAAGAACATTTCGGCGCCTGCGCAGTTCGCAAGTGTAGAGTTTTTCTTTACAAAACACCCATCTTCTCTCTCCCACTCAATCGTTTGATTACTCTTTGACTCTCTGTGTGTGGCTATGCGCTCATCTGGAAATGTTTTCTTCATCTCTCTCTCTCTCTCCCTCTCACTCACTGAATGATGGACAACATAATGTTTACGTTGTATTGCACATTGTGTTGGCATTTTCGAATCAGGTGGAACAATGTTGATGGTAAAATGATGATGCTAAAAAATGGGCGCCATATATTTTATATGGTGAACGTAGCCACGACAACAGATTCTTAATAAATAATTTATTTTTAATTTTATAAAATTTCTACTTTCGTTGAACAACGTGTAATATTTTAATGACAAACAAATATATTTTTGTACATTTCTATATTGTAAATATATTTATTTATATTTATATTTTGAGAACCCCTTGTCGTGTATTCTATTATTTCGCTTTATTTTATTTTATTATATTATAAATTATATTACCACCATAAACATATTTGAACATTCTCACACTTTCAATTAAAGCAACTCCAATTTTATAACCCTCACTGTGCCCACTTACACACTTACACGTATGTACACACATATGTGCATACATGTATATGTGTGCTTAGGTGTGATAAGCGTGGCTTGCCAACAGGTGGACGACCCTATGCTTAATTTAGACAAATATCGATTTTCCACACATCAACATAGCTCTACTATTGGCAGCTTTTTATTTGCAACTTCTAGCGACCGAAATTAAATTGATTAGTTAGAAAGCTTAAGCAATTTTCTATACATTTACTTTGCATTTGCATGCATATGTATATGTACATATACAAGTATGTATGTATATACATTGTTATTGCGATTGTAGCAAAAGTGTTGCCATTGCACTTGGATTTCCAGTGAACTTAAATAAAAAGAGAATTTTGTTTACATTTCATATTAGCACAGTAAAAGTGTGTGCAGTTACATTTGTATTCGAATTGAAAGCACGTAGTAGTACGTAGTACTCGCAATCGCACTCGCACTCATTGAATCGTCTCCACGTATCTAGAGTGGAAGGACAGTGCAGTGGGGCACTGTTGCGGTGCACACTCCCAACAACATTTACGCACTGGAAATGAGGGAAACTCTACACAAGTGTTTTTTTTTTCTCCCCAAAAAATGAAGCATTCATGAACACATTTTTCGTTTTCCAAATACAGAAACGATTTAGTTTGCGTGCGGAATTGAGTTCGAGTGAATGTTGAATGCGAATGCGAATGCGAACGCGAAAGTGAATGTCCTGGCAAAGAGCGCGGGGAATGGTATCTGAAACGAAATATGAATCGAATGAATCCTAGTTGGCACATAACTGTAATAAAATCAAATCAAATCCACCTCTAACAGAAACAAGCGCACAAAATGCCACAATAAAAGTGATAAAGCAAAAAATAATAAATAGCAACAAAAATATAAAAGAATTTTCTCTCAGCGGGAGAGTTCCCAAAGGCATTTACAGCTTGGGGCTTTCCAGTAATTGTGTGTGTGCTTATACAAAAAAAAATTAAAACAAGCAGATTATCGGCTTGCCGCGGGTCCAACTAAAATGCCAAATACCTATTTTTAACTCACAAGTAATCATCGGTAGACGCCAATACGCCAATAAGTTAATACGGTTGCGGATACGGCGTAGAAACGCGTTGCGAAAAATAATATAATATTTTTAAGATTTTCCTACCGGGGGGAGGTGGCCAAGTAGTTAGAAGAAGAACAAGCGGCGCGAAGTCAGCGTGTGTGCCTTTCCAGTTACATTTACCATTTGCCATTTACCATTCACCGTTTACATTTACTCTATGTGCCTGTCTGCCACTGGCTTCCAGAGTTCGTTATCTCGCTCGCTCGCCCGCCTTCGGTGTCACTCTCGTTCTCTCCCTCGCCCCTTTCTCGCACTGCCATTTGCCTAATGTGGATTGCAGATTGGCGCCTGGCGTCCAAGTTCTGAGCAACCAGTGGGAGAGTGGACGCGGCGGCTATCGCTATTTTCGCTTCCTTAACGTTCCTCGGACATTGCGTGTTGTGGCGCGTCACTTACTGCTATTCGACCATCATCGTCATTGACATCGTCATCGTCGTCTTCATCGTCACTGACATCGTCATCAATTGCGTCCGTTACTGTGGCATTGGCAGCTCCAATTGCTGTTGTTGTTGGGCCATTGTGTCGGTAACATCATCAAAATATCTTCATTCGAAGAAGATTATCGGGCTGACAGGCCCATGGTGCAGCGTGCATCATCCTCAGATGCTCCCTCAATTCAGGGCGGCCAACATCGAGAATCTCGATTTGGCCTTGGATATACCTCATACCAAAGCGGATACAATAAGCTATTCACACAGGTGCAAAATATTCAAGTAATATAACTAAAAAGATCTAGCCCTACAGTCCCGATATTATTTGATATTACACGGAAAGCATATTATCTTAAAAGCATATATTTTGAACAATGATCTCACCGAATTCTCTAGATACTATTGATCCACAGCCTCTGGCAAGCAGCCAATATAATTACTTATGGAGAGAACATTGAATTGTTATTGTATCTGATAAACTTATTGATGTACATACATGTTTACTATGCACATTGACCTCAATAATAACAAAAAAACATGTGTTTTGTTTTGGTTTTGTCAGGGTTCTGCCGACTCGAACTACTCACAACCGTCATCCGATCTGTCGCTAGACGAGGAAAAGGAATCGCTTCGGCGAGAAAAGGAACGTCAGGCCTTAAGCCAGTTGGATAAAGCGAGGGTAAGTACAATCAGTAACGAATCATGGCAAATTTGTATTATCTTGGATACCCTTTTCTTAGAGTAAACCTGTAGCGTTCGCTGTGCGAACCAACGTAGCATATGATGGCACAATCGACGACGATTCGCCCGTGCAGGGCGGTGCAGTTTCGTTTGAGATCCGGGAGTTTTTGCACATCAAGGAGAAGTATGACAATAACTGGTGGATTGGCAGACTGGTTAAGGAAGGCTGTGATGTGGGCTTCATACCCAGCCCCGCTAAGCTAGACAACATTCGTATGCAGGTGCTCAACTGAATTGCTTTAAAAGTGAAGTAATTAAAAGTTAATTGAATATCGAATATTCTGTTGCAGAATCAAACTAGACCCTCAAGACTGTACGGCACAAAGGGCTCATCAAGTGGCAATTTAGGTGCGGGACAAGCAGGTGCGGAGCCATCACGAGGTAGCACACCCCCCACACCTGGTATGACACACATTTCATTCTCCTGATTTCTTTTCGGCGAGGTTTTATTTTGTATATCGTAATATCAATTTGATTTCTAATCGAAGTCTTTTCTGTTGTACGAGTGTTTCAATGTAATATTTACTTTTCGTATTTATGTCGTATAAACTATCTTCGTCGTCGTCGTCGTCGTCGTCGTTAATATTGAATATGTAACGACCATCTCGTAAACATAACGAGTGACCATTTAACATAACTTGTAAGATTCCACATATGTACTGCAAGTTATATATCTATATATATACACGTGAGCAAATGGGTCAGTACAACAACCAGGGTACTCCAAAAACCGATTGGCATCTATCCAGGAGACACAATTATCAATTTTGAGAGCTGAATCCGCCAGCAAACCAGCTAAGATCGTCCGATATGACTTACATAAACATCAAATGTAGTTTTTTTCGCGTACCGTTTTGAATTTTCATTTAGAGAAAACTAATATCTGGCAAACACTGGGCTACAAAATTGCTGTAATTTCGTACATTTTGTGTTATATATATTTATATCATGCGACATCCATTTTAAAACTGCAATAAGGAATTATATAAGTCATCAGCATTTGTCAAATGGTCCAGTCTAATAATACTGATGTAGATATCTAACAACACTTTTTTCTGCATGATAACCACTCAAAGAATTGGTCCAGAACGCATATCTCTCTCTGTCTGTATCTTTCCAACACCTACACACACTGTCTTAAACTCTAAGCTTTCTTATAGAGAACGACTAACAGCACGCTCCTAATCATTTGCTCGTACTTTCCTAATACTACAAACTATATGAAAGTCTTGCAAAATAAAATCCTATTAACTGCACTTAACTCTCTTTTACCTCACACAACTACAACCTAAAAACAACAACAACAACAACAACTATCACTAACAACCACCACAACAACAATTATAATATCAACTTTGTGTGTGATAAAAACCGTGTTCCAAAGACCCCTATAGTACAACACCACGCAAGAAACAAGGTTTGTCGAACGTCTCTCATCTGGTAATCAGAAAATTTCATTTTTGAATTGAAGCCAAAATCGTCATGCTAGAAAATATTATTCAAATAACTATAGCTTTAACCAATTGAAATAAAAAATTCGAATTCCCATCTAGAGTTCGGCAATATAACATATACGTATTTAAGATCATTATCAAATTGACTTTCTGATAAGCTTAAATTGTTTTCAGTAGCAGAAAGTTTTTATACACAGATATTGATTCTGTTTGCCTTCACTTTCACCCGTAGTTCTATCGCATTCTCTAAATAGTAGCTCTTCTCTAGATGGGCTGGTATTTTAGCCGCTCACTTCATATATCCTTAGATTTAAGATATACTTTAGACTGAATCTCACCCTCGAGTTGACATTTCAACAGCATTTTGATATCGCGTGGTACGGTTGCAAATTATTAATCAAAGCCCCCAAATTGGGTAGCACACATACGAACATACAGAAACACCAAACACACACACGCACAAAAACAGCGAAACTTGTTTGATTTTTCCAATTGAAATTAATTGTATATAAATTGTATATAAAGAAAATATTTGGTAAACAAAAAAGAACTTTAGTTGTAAATTGGCTTGGCAACTCGTAGCGCTCGATCGTCGTATGTAGAAATCATAAAATCGCTCATCCGTTGCCATTATCTCTTCTCTCTGGCTATTCGAATATGATACTAACAATCAGGTGACGAATCAGATTCCATGGGACCAGGACGTCATGGCAAAACACCATTAGCAACGCCGCCCAACAAGGAGAAGCGCAAGCCATTTTTCAAGAAACAGGAAACAGCCAGCCCGTATGATGTGGTGCCATCGATGCGTCCTGTTGTTTTAGTGGGTCCAAGCCTTAAGGGTTACGAGGTAACCGATATGATGCAAAAGGCGCTATTCGATTTCCTCAAGCATCGCTTCGAAGGACGCATCATCATAACGCGCGTTATGGCCGATATATCCCTAGCGAAGCGATCGATTATGAACAATCCTTCGAAACGTGCCATCATGGAGCGTTCCAGCAGTCGTTCGGACTGTCTGGGCAAGGTCCAAGAGGAAATCGAGCGCATCTTTGAGCTGGCCCGTTCCCTGCAGCTGGTCGTACTCGATTGTGATACAATCAATCATCCGTCACAATTAGCAAAAACTTCATTAGCGCCAACAATAGTTTACTTAAAGATTAGTAGTAGTAAGGTAAGTAAATAGTTCCAGCCGTATAAATGGGGAAAATAAATTAATAACATTTATTTATTTACAGGTTTTACAGCGTTTAATCAAATCACGTGGCAAATCGCAAGCTAAGAACTTATCCGTACAAATGGTTGCCGCTGAAAAATTAGCCCAATGTCCACCCGAAATGTTCGATGTAATTTTAGACGAGAACCAATTGGAAGATGCCTGCGAGCACATAGCTGAATACTTGGAGGTAAGTGTTGAACATATAACTTATATATCATTAATACTCACCTATACGACTTATACAGACATATTGGAAAGCCACGCATCCAGATATACGCGCTGGGTCTACTGTACCGGCCATTGCCAGGCCGATACCGTCCCAGGAGGTGTCGGCGTCGCCCTCCGCCGATCCAACGCGCATGGGTCCAACACCACCAGGTAAAGTTAGAGCTGCTGAAAGATGTGTTCATTTAATGAGCGCATTGTCATCTCCATACGTGTATCGTATCCCCTTTTCGCTCTAAAAAAGTCGTGAACTATATTCAAGAAATCAATTCCGATTATCCACTCTATATCCACTGTCTCATTCACAAATCCAATCCGTTTTGGCAATTGAGAACTCATCGAATAAGAAGTCACAAATCGATATCAGATCTGATCTGTTCAACTAGTTATGCATTTATAATTTCATTTAAATTATTTTCATTTGGTTTCGACATAATACAAAACAGTGTTTTACTTACATACAATTTAAGAATAACATAAAAAATACTCATATTCACAATTGCAAAACAAGAATATTCACAATCTTAATCACATACTCGTAAATGCTCGTACAAAATACAATTCTAAAATTTGTCTTTCTCAAATTCAAATTCCCATGACTGTACCGAAAAAAAAAAACAAACAAACCAATCGATGCTTCTTCTTGCTCTCTCTCCACATTCGCATGTCTGCGCAAATAGTCGATGGCGAAGAGTTTGACGAGCACGAGCACGAGCCACGAATGGCGAGTGCCGAACGCGAGGGTAGTCGGGATCGGGATCGGGAACGGGAACGGGAGCGCGAACGTGGCAGTAGGGAAAGAGAACGGGACAATGAACGCGACTACTGGGACAGGGAGTTCAACAGAGATCGAAGTTCGAAAGACAGAGAGAGAGATATGGAGTGGGAGCGCGAGAGAGCACGCGAATGGGAAAGAGAGCGAGAAAGGGATTGGGATAGAGAGTTCGATTGGGACCAAGGTAAATTCTATTGTTATTTTTCATTTGGTTATACTATAATCGCATACTTTTGAACAGCAAATTTATACGTAATACTTTCTCAAATAGTGTTAAACGTCATATAACTACATAAATACCAGTACCTCTTATTGGAGACTTAGTTGAACCTGTTGTTTATTATAAAACTATATTTGCTATAGAGTTTCAATGTGTCACCTATAGATATATCGTATACCTAGCTCAGCTTTTCTAACAATATATACTTAACACTTTGATATTTTCATATTTTGATATATTGATATTTGCAGCAATTTTATTTTGTTCATAACTAAATTTTTATATACAATGAATTATCTGTTATATATGTTACAAGATTATCTCGATGCCAACGTTTTTTATGATTTCAAACTTTCTAGACCGTGGGGCACCTAAATATATAGTTAGTCTGTTCTCTCGATATTTTCATTTTCTATTCTACGTGTTCTATTTGTTTTCAACTAGAGTTTAAGATACTTAACACCTGAGTTTTCATTGGTTTTTATTTCTACATGTTCTTTTATGCCAAACACTTCACAGCATTCACAGCACGAGACATACCCGGTTCCTTTACAACAATGCTATAACTTAAATCCAATTACCACGATCGACACAAAATCAAAAAGAAAGCGACATCAACAAAAAGTACAAAGAATATGACAAATAATTATCCAAAAGCAAGAGTCTGTTCCAGCTTTCGCTATCGAATGCCCTCATCCACGACGACCAACCAAGAGATATGAATACAGCTCGCACTAGAATTCGAGTTTCGATGAGGTGCACAGATCCGTAGGAGGCGTTCTATCTTTCCCATATATATACACAACCGTTATATATAGGGCGCATTCCGTAGCCCCCTTGATCACTAAAATCTATTAACCATAATACTTAAGATTGGTTTTTACTCTTTCTATATACAGTTAAATAGTTTCTGCTCGAGTTCTGCTAACAACTACTAAACCGTGACTCATTCGAATCTCTGTGCTTCTTCCAGTGCATTAACCATCATTCATAGAGTCCCTAGATGCGACTCGGTATCAACGTATATTTTGTAATTGTCTAAATGTGCATTTGACATGTTTTGTACTCGTTTCTAGTTACTCCTGGCGTCGTGCGCCTCTAGTGTCCTCTCGTCCTCGTCCTTCTACTTGATTCCTACATTGCTCGGGTCCAGTCTATCAGGCTCGGCAAATCAACTCAGTTTAATATCTTGTGTTTGTTTAAGTTCAATAATTTTATTGCCGTTCGTTATTTCGTCTTAGAAAAAAATTTAAAAAAAAGAAAAGAAAAAATATTCGGTATTTTAGACACACATAAGGTTGGCTTAGTGAGTATTTCCTAACCCGAAAAAGGCTTTTATTTATTCTGTTTAATATAACCCCATCCAAATGTTATATTATTGGTTCTTTGCCACATTTCCCCAACTCCGAATGCTTTTGTTTCACAAGATCCTATTAGTTGCATAATTTCCGTCATTAGTTTATAGAAAAATATGAGGAAACCAGTTAAAAAATCAAATTAAAAACTAGAACATTTCCAGTATTTTTTAGTATTTTTTTGCTATTTATTTCTAATCTACAGAGAGTAACTATATGACTTGTAAGCCTTTAAAACAATTTTTGTACAAAATTATATTATGAATAATAAGAAACTTATTTTTCGGCTAGCTTTGCTTTACGGAAATTCTAATCCACCACCCAAAGATACAAACAAAATTCCTAGCGAATTCCTAGTCAATATAATACTAACTGAAGGGAGATGACGATTGAATTGCAATGCGTCTGTATGTATAGTTAGAATACCACGCAAACTATGTGCACTCCCGTGTTACTAACACGTCAAATGACTTGTGAAGAATTTGACCTTTGCCAATTGATGCGTTCGAATGCTTTGCTTTTCCGTTTTGTTTTTTTTTTAGTTTGAGTTTGGTTTACTTATGCGTTGAATTTCAATTTATTTTTGCCCGATAAAAAGCTTGGCTTTGACGTACCTGTTTGTTAACCGTTTTGCAGGAGGTGCCTCTTATCATCACAGTCGTCGTCAGGTCTCTGGACGCCATCAGGAGCGGGGCAGCGGGGGAGGCGGCGTTGGCCATGCCGCTGGCTACGAGCGGGACAGAGAACGATATGAGCGACAGGAAAGGGAACGACTTCATGCGAGGGATCGTGATCTGATGCACTACGACCTGAATAGCGATGAGATGCTGGACGAACGTAACTTCGAGTATCCGGCAATGCGCAGCGGGCCGAGCGGCGCCTCCCACCATGGCCACCTGTCGCGCGGCGGTCGACTGCTGGACGATACGGACTTTGAGCGCGATGATCGATTGTTGGGCAGCTCAAGGTCACGCTATGGACCCGGACCATCCACACGCATCGACGATCCCCGGGATATGCCACGAGCAGCCACTGTGGTCGATCGCGATCGCGATGAATACAGTCCGCACAGAGGTGGTGGAAGTAGTAGGAGAATGCTGAATGCCATGTAGGAATCGTGGATATAGGGGTGGGATCAGATCGATTCGAAAGCGCCAGGTTTGATGGAAGCACGTGACAATAGTTTTGATCTTGACATGATACACAATCCGAAACCCAAACCCAAACCGCTGCTCAGACAGCACTCACAATCCCACTATCAGCCTCAAAGTCAAACTCAACTTCAGCATCAGCCTCAGTCTCGGCATCAATCTCAATCTCTAACTCAGACGCATCAAACACATCCTTCGCAACATTCATTTCTGGCCAGGCAACGCAGCGGCGGCCAGTGGCTGTCATCCCCGTCGTTCTCCCTGTCGCAGGCCTCGATCAGTCAGCCAAGGCCAAGCGAACACTTTCCGTTGCGACACCAGCCACTGTCCTATCCGCAGGCACGACCACACAGCCAAAGCCACCACCCACACTCGTACACTTCCACTCGCACACACGCACACCTACAGCCACATACATCCTCAGCCACATCCCTTTCGACGCGCTCCCAACTCTATCCCAGCGATACGTTCCAAAGCACCTCATTTAGTCATCCGCCGTGCAGCGACAGCGACGTCCATCGGAATAGAAACAGAAACAGACCAAAAAGTTCAACCTCGGAATATGATTGGAGATCGTCATCCTTTTCGCAAATCGATGCAGTCACACACGCAATACGTAATAAGATCATTGTTGAGGAGGACGAAGAGGATATACTGACCCCAGATAGGTTTTATTGAAGAGACTTCAGCGAGACACCAGGCACAAAACAAAAGATATTTTGAAAGGGATGGGGCATTGCACAATATGTTTACGTAGTAGGTTTTCCCTAAAAATTTAGAAAAGGAAGAAACATTTCACCTAAAAACAATTTTGAAAAGAAGAGTATATATATATAGTATACCAATATCCATTCACACGTAGAGCATACTTATTTCAGTGCCAAAACACATTTGTACATTTCCATCGAGAGAGGCCCATTCGAATTTCTAGCAGAAATTGTCTGGATGGAAATACTTACATAGTTTATGATGAATAGCACAATGCTAAGTACAGCCTTTTGTGTCTTAAATACTATATGTAGCTAAGTGTAATGAGATTTTATTTAACAAACCGCATATGTATATATATGTATATATATGTCTACTGTATATGTATATATATATATATATGTATATACATATATGAATTTGGTGAAAACTAAGCATAAGATTTACACCTAAACAAGATTTGTTGATGCATTTCGCCACATCAATTTTTGGGGGGAGGGAGGGAATGTATTGTGGGAGGGAATCATTATAGTTATATATTATATATATATGTATATATGTATATGTATATATATAAATATATATATATATATATATGTATATGTATATATATATTTTTATGCAAAAAGATAAACTAAGTGGCAGCTTTAATAATTTAGTGAACATACTACTATATATATTTATCTCTAAGTAAATGCAGAAAAGAGAGGCACATACACACCCACACTACGAAACAAATCGAATGAAATCTCTTTGATGGAACAAATCTGAGTTTGCTGAAATGTCTGCGAAATCTTTAAATACTTAACTATGCTATTCGTAAACTATATCGAGATCCACTTCCTATAATTCAAGCTGATCTTCTCTAAAGTAGTTCTTAACTTAGTTCTTCTTATTGTAATTTCCTCTCGCTTCTTTTTCTTAAAATTTTCCTGCTTTTAGTTAGTTGCTTGAGTACAGCAATTACTATACTACCAGTGCCTTAACAATAAGAAAACCATTAAAAAACAAAAACGTTTGACACACTAATAGATACACTATTTAATATATTGCACCTGAGCATTGATTGTTTCCTTCTATGTTTATGATTATATTAGAACTTGTATTTCCCATTGCCCTCGCTGCTTATTACGTTCTTTGCGTGCTTGGCAATTCGCTGCGATTCAATCATTAGCCATCATATTACGGAGAAACTATTGTAAGTATGTTTTTTGATCTGGCCCATTCCAAACGAGCACTCTTTATACAATTCCAACCACCTGTACGAATTGATCAAAGGTTTTCAACAATTTCAACACTGAATTCAATTCGATCGCGACTTTGCAGGGAGTTCCAAACGCCCCTGAACTTCCAGTGTTAACTTGCTTAGCGCTAAGTAGTCGTAACTTCCACACCTGTAATTAAGATCATTTGCCAAGCTACCTTTATGAAAACCTCGCAATAGATTGTGCTTAAAGAAGGGAACGGGGTTGGGAAAACCTGACGACAGGCGAATTATTGATTGATCACTGCACTCCTATAAGATTAAGTGAGAATATGGCATAAGGGCGACTTCTTGTACTTAAAACACTCTTGTCTCAAATATTTATCAACTCTAACATTCAAGATCTTTAACTCTTCAAGTTGTGATACATTTCCACTTCAGTTTGAATTGGTTTCAACTTTTCAAGTCGCCCTTAGAACATTGATGACGAAACCTGCAATGGAGCATTTTGAGCTAAAGGAACTGGCTTTAAGAATACCAAAAAAAAAAAACAAAGAAACAAAGAAAAAATATTGTAAAATCGGTGAATATAAGTTATATACAATAGATGAGGGCTAATAGAACTATAAATCTCTCTAAAAACTGACATTTTGATAAGAACTGTATTAAAAAAGAAAAAAGCAAACATAAAAGTGAAAGCAACTATTGGGTAAAAATTGTTAAGTGTTCAACCCATACAAACAAAGAACTTGTAGGCAAGTGTGCATATGTATAAAAACGATAATAATATGAATGAACGTGTTTAGATTTTAATATTGGTTTTTTAATTGATCCATATAGTACCGAAACAAATCATATACATAAGTATCCTAATGAAAGAGCCTGGTATAAAACGTAGAACTTCAGGACTATGCTCAGCTTATAAATAAAAACAAAAACGTAAAACATGAAAAATATTACATATACCCATACACAAAGTACACGCATATTCGAACATACTTAATAGACCTGCACTACAAAGAGTTTGTATCACTTGGATATAGAAAACGCATGTAAAAACATTGCAGTCGGGTGTCGCCGAGTGCCTAATACTCGTTCACGTTTCTGAAACAGTTTAGTTGCTAAAAAAAACTGTATTTTACGTTGTCTCAGGCCCCAATAGTGAAGCCAATAAAAAACTTGGTGATCGTCGCTAAATTAACTTCACTCAACAACGTTAAAGCAATCCAAGATCCAATCTTATTTTTTATCAGAAGACAAGAAATACAAAGCCAATATGCTCTTTTCACACCGTGAGCGATGATTAGAGAAAATGTTAAGAGACCAGTTCATTTCGCAATAAAAATGCTTACAAATGCTAAAAGCCATATGCATATACATATATTTATAGCAAAAGTAATAAGGAAAATAAAAATTTAAACAGTTCTTGTACAAAGTGGCAACAAATTTATTTATTAGCTATAATTAAATATATTGAAAAATTACTTTTTAATATTAGCTTGAAGTTCGAGAAGCGAACACAAACGGAGGATAAATACCTAAATAATAATTAAAGAACCCAAACACACAAAAACAAAAACCAAAAATATAATATATAGAAAACAATAAAATATACATATTCTAAGTATGGAATGTACTTACAGACATATGTAAATTATACAAGAAAAACTTTATTCATATGAATAATTCACAGAACTGGTAACTCACAATAAAGTTAAAGACATATATATATATATATATATATATATATATATATATATATATATATATATATATATATATATATATATATATTTATATATAAATATGTAAATGTATTCTGCTATAAATAACAAAATTTAAATAAACCACTTTACCAATAGTACTATAATTCAAATACTTTTGCATAATATAATATTGAAATACAAAAAAAAAAAACAAAGTGTTAAAAGGATTTATTTTGAATATTGCAATTGTTTCAATCTAATCCAAAAAAAAAAAAAACAAACAAAAGTAAATAAATTATTAACAACAATACAAATATTATGATTCGTTGACTTACTCTTTCTCTCTCTCACACACACACACACATACACAAACACAAGCAATTTTTATAGCGATAATGCTGCGATATTTCGAAACATTTTCCGAAAAACAAATACGAAATGCATATTTCATCAATCAAACTCAATTTTGCTAAAGAAAACTCCATTTCATTTAAGCCAATCTAATAAATGCAAGCATTATTTTTTTAACAATAAATATATGCAAAAAAAAAAACAATTTATATTACAAAAATATAAAAATAAAAGTAAAGTAATGCACGCCTGAGGTTCCGTATTCGAAAACATTCTGATTCAAATTATGATCGAAAACCAAAATGGGTGAAAATAAAAAATGAGAAGCAAAGCAAAAGAAAAACAGAAAATTATCAATCCAAATTTATATAGAATATTTTTTACGTATACATATATATATTGTAAAAACCGATAAATTTACCATAATCGTTTGTAAATAGTTAACGATATCTGAATTTCCTTATATGTATATGGTATGCTCTGAGTTCCATATGGATATGGAAATGGAAAGAAAATTGCAATCTACCCTAGGTTCGTATGGTTTCCGTTGTTTTGTTTGAAAGAAAAAAAAAACTATAAGAATACTAAAAGTATGATTTAAAAAGAAAAAACGAAAAGATACGATTATGTAGTTAAATGAATGCTAAATTGCAAATAAAACCAATTAAAATATAGTCTACCTTGAGTATTATTTATAAAAACTCTTTTTTGCAGCTAAAAACAATTCGAATTTAAAAAAATGTGTGCTCTAATCTAATCGAAAGTTCACTAGCCAAAATCTGACATTGATACGAGTGTTTACTTCCTTCATAAATGTTTCCTATATCAGCAAATGAACTTTCCATCGGCTGACAACATCCGTGACGTAGCTGTACTGTGGCGCTTCTCAACCCATGTAACACCCAATGGGTTAAGCGCCGTGAAGAATATTCGCACAAATACACAAATACATGTATGCCTATGCCATGTCCAGGTATGTGTGTAAGATTGTTTACTTCATTAACTACATTGAGTTTATTTGCGAATATATTTGGAGAGAATAGAGAGAGCAAACGCCGCTGCTGCAGCTGCTTATCGACACTGATCAGAGCTCACACAGACGCAGTTGTTCGACGCTGACTTCGCAGTCGCCGTCTCAATTGCTCTCCAGCCGTTCCGCCGCTTGTCGACTCTCATTCGCCGAATCAGTTGACTTATTGAGCCCAGTGCGACAAGTGCAGTGCGTGTTAGGAGCTCCGGTGTTAGTTTTTTCAAGCCCAGCAGTTCAGTGCGTGTAAGCTCTCGAAAGTGCTTCTGTATTAGTTGTTTTTCAAGACATTTATATACAATTTGCAAGACTTTTATTATCTCGTTGCGAATATGCCGCTGAATATTAAAAATGTTCTGGTTTGCGATGCAGTCGACAAGTCGTGTGTTGAGCTCCTAGAAGAGCACGGCATCAATGTAAGTCCATAAATACGATACATATACACTCTCATGTATACGTATATATGTATATACGTTTATTTGATAGCGGAGATTATATATGTATTATGTTTGTGGTTTGTGATTTTATTTGTTCAGGTTACATACAAGCTGAAGCTGCCGGTGGATGAGCTCTGCAAGGAAGTAAAGGTGATTATATAATACTTGCAGTCAGATATATAAATATATATTTATAAGCACTTCATATTTCATAACTGTATATCAAAAGCCTTAACCAACACAGACATACGTCTATGTACATTTCGATGTATGTGTGTGTTTGTGTGCGCTGAAGGTGCTCCTCTGTCGCAAACACGTGTGGTTAACCGTATTAATTATACATACATAGCTGTTGTCAAGTCTGTTGCACTGTGCAAATATTTCCATTGATAACGTTTGTTTAAGTACTTTGTTGTTTATTAAATTAATTTCCATTTACATATTTCCTATCGCCTAAAGGTTATTGTTCCATAGAATATTTATTATTCGCAAATTCAGGAATTCAAGAATAAAACCGAAAACTATGCATATATATATATATATGTATGGTATTATCTGCTTCAGCCATAACCCTTTTATGTACTATGGAAAATATTGAATTGGTTTAATGCTTAATAGACATTATTTCGGTACTTCTTATTTGTAAATTGAAATAAAGCCTCTATATATAAATATATACATATATGTATATATATAATAAATATATATTTGTATATGTTTTCGTCATCCTTCCGTTTATCAAATTAGATTATGTTTTTCTTATCGCTTCTTTTAAATCTGCCTGCACGTTTATACATATTTATGTCAACCGTGTGTTCATTGAACTTTCGTTTGGGAAAAGTACCGTTAGCTATCGGAGCTCTACCGTTCGAACAGGCGATTCATTCGCTTGTTCCAGTCTTTGGGGCTCCACTGCAAGCATGCGGGATCAACGCGTATTTTACACTTTTCCATTGCAGTTCGATGTTGCTCAATGGCATTTTGATTGATGCAGACTATGTGCTGACCCCTGCAGTAGGTAACGAGATTAAGCCGTTTCAGGGTGTAGATTACATCATCTTTTTTAATAGCAGTCTGCTCGCAAATATCATTGATTGTTGTAGACGGTCGCACGCCCTCGACTGCTGATTGATTCTGATTGATGAGCTGCTCGAGAATGGCCTGAGCCCAAAAGGATCGATAAGACAGCAAACCCAAATCGGATAGCGGTTTCTCTGGTGTTCCAGTTTTGCCCTCATACTTGGACAGTTCGTAGCTAAACTCGATGATCAGTCTTCCGTAGCCCTTGCGCTGATACGGCGGCAATGTTAATAGACACGCAAGATTGTAGTCCTCGACGCTGATCTTCTCCTTGGAAAAGTAGCCGACAATATGAAATCCACGCAGGTCAAACTCTGTCATCACGTAGAAGAGGAACGGATCTGTGTCAAAGTCGACCATCTTATGGTCCAGAAACAACTTGGCCAATAAGCATAAGTTCTGGGCGTACACCTTGTTCTGGCGACCATCGATCTCGAAGAATGATATCGCATCTTTCCGATAGATCTCGTTGCCAGGTGGATGCTTTAAAGTGCATTTGGTCAAATGACGCCCCAGGCACAAACTACTTTTGCAATACTTTAAGCAGAATTCGCATAAATAGATGCAGTCCACTGGACAGAGCTCCTCGGGATATGGTGAAAAGTACCAGGGTGTAATGCGATGTCGCCCTAACTCAATCATTTTCACATTCTTCATGCGTGCCACGCTATTATTTGGATGCTTCAGTTGACGTGCCTTTGGTATCTTACTATTCTCAGCTTGATTTGTATTCTCCTTGCCGGGAGCTGCTGGGCTTAGAATTTTCTCTCCACCTTTTACGTGCTTTCGTCCTCTGCCCCATCCTTTGGATATAGTTGTTTCTGTCTCTGGTTTCTGTTGTTGTTGTTGTTGTGTCAACTTAAGCTGGGACTTTTTGCCGATAAGCGACGATTGGCGCTTTGAAGATGCGACGCCAGCGAAAGCTCCGATTTGATGGCCTGCACGACAAGCGAATTGAACTTTGCTCAGATCCAGATCGTCATCGTTTAGCCACTCATCAAGGCGCTTATTGCAATCATCGTAGTGCACATAGAACTGCTGCCGACTTTCGCCTAACTTCTTGATCCCAACAATCTCCGCCATGTGCCATATACCTGTACTTCTCATGCGCGCGTTCAGACGACAGCCCACCAAAAGAGAGGCAGGTGTTTCACATTTAATTATAGAGCTCATCGTAAGCTTCTCTAATAGCTGCTAATAAAACAATTAGCCGTCTTTTGCCAGTACAATTGCGTTAATTAGAGCTGCTTGCGCTGGAACTAGTTCGCTCTTGACTAAAGTGAACAGTTGCCATTCAAACCGGAAATGTTTATTAGTTAACAAAGTGTTTGAGGTGCGAATGCCGAAAGTCCATGATTGCGGCAAAGCTCGTATATTCAAGAGCTAAACATAGGAAGGTGATATAATTTATCGACCAAGAATAAATAACGTGTAATATATTTGATAATCAATAAGCCAATGCGGCATTATCAATAAGCTTGTAGTGCTCAGCAGGTAATTAAGCAACGCTCTCAAAATAGGTTTAACATAACAAATATAATGTCTGATCCCATAAATAATCTTTCTATTGTTAATCAGAACTCGGTTCGTTCGTCTGTCTAGCCGTATGTCTGTAAAAGCTGGAAAACTTGAAATTTTATATCTAAGTTATCATATAAGAGGCAGAGATCAATTTTCTATTAAATAAACAATAAGTTTTCCCTGAAATCGATTTGAAATGATATCTAGCTATATTTGAGCTGGAGTCACCAGATATAGTATGACTTAGAGTCGGCTATAGCTATACACAAACAACGTGTAACCCTCCCATTCCCTTGAATACCCATGGATTATGCAACAATTGGATTATACCCCAACAAAGTTATTCCTTAATTTGTTACCTGTAGAAATTTGGAAGATGTTCGTGCATGTCTGTGCATGTTCTCATTTATATTAATTTAAATCGATACGGTTCGAAACTGCTATTCTTCACACAGTTCGGGGTATCTGCCAGTCGGATACTCCCGCTGAAACCACTCAGACTTGCTTAACAATTGATGACTTTCGATGACTGCTCCTATTAATATGCTATACAGAACGCTTCTCAAATATAAGTATGCATGCACACAGATGTATGTTCGGAATGTTACGAATGCATTTTTCATAAGCGCTAACCACCTATTTAACATAATCTCTCGAACAGAACTTCGATGCTGCCATCGTGCGTTCGGATACAAAAATAACAGCGGAAGTGCTTGCGGCTGGAGCTGGGAGCCTAAAGGTCGTGGGTCGAGCGGGTGCTGGAGTTGACAACATCGATGTGGCTGCAGCGACAACGCATAATGTCGTTGTCCTTAAGTAAGTAAATGTTGCCCGTGAAAGAAAGCAGAATCACAAAAACAAGAACAAGAAAAAGAACAACATTTGCAAAAGACTAATATGCACAAATGCCGCATCGAATGGCTTGCTTGATGGGGTGGTGTTATATTGAACGATGTGACGGGTCATATTAGGCTGCTTGCCACGCATAATTAGACGGCACAAATATTTTGTGAAGCGGGGCTCAGGATGGGTTGGAGATGGAGATGGAGAGTGCTTTGTTGCCATTGAGCCTCCTGGATTGCCAAGGATACAGCGCGAATACGCGATATTTCAGACATTTGCATAACGCCGTCTAGTCACAACAAGTGCCTCCTCGCTCCCCACCTTGCAAGTTGTAATGCTTAGTGTGCTTTACTTTCAGCACACCAGGCGGCAATTCTATTTCGGCTTGTGAGCTGACGTGCATCCTAATTGGCGCTCTGGCGCGTCCCGTCGTGCCAGCCGGCCAGAGCATGAAGGAAGGACGTTGGGACAGGAAACTCTACAGCGGCAATGAGCTCTATGGGAAAACCCTCGCCGTACTTGGCCTGGGCCGCATCGGACGCGAAGTCGCCATACGCATGAAGACCTGGGGCATGAGGGTAACACATATCTGCTCAATCAACTCGTTCAGTTTCAGCTAATATATATGCATACGCTTAAATGCTAGGTAATTGGCTATGATCCCATTACCACGGAGGCCGAAGCCAAGGCTGTTGGCATTGAAAAGCTTACTTTGGAGCAGATTTGGCCCCTCGCAGACTACATCACTGTGCACACCCCACTGATACCGGCTACTAGAAGTCAGTTGATTAACCTATCCATAATAAGAGAACAACTAACACTCTCCCTCAACAGATCTCATATCCACGGAGTCCTTGGCCAAGTGCAAGCAAGGTGTTAAAGTAATCAATGTGGCGCGTGGCGGCATCATTGATGAGCAGGCCGTGCTCGACGCACTGCAGAGTGGCAAATGCGCTGGCGCCGCCTTCGATGTCTTCCCGGAGGAACCACCCAAGTCGGAGGTCACCAAGGCACTCATCAATCATCCGAAAGTCGTGGCCACGCCCCATTTGGGAGCAAGCACTGCTGAGGCACAAGTTCGCGTTGCCGTTGAGGTAGCCGAGCAATTCATTGCGCTGAATGGCACCTCGCCGAAGTACACAAGCTACGCAGGAGTTATCAACAAGGATGCACTGGCTCATTATCAGTAATTCCTTTGAAGTTATTTGTCTAAGTTTACAACTGATTCAATTACACTCACATTCAAATAAATATCGTGTTTTCTTCCACAATTCAGCTGAATCAGGTTACGGTTCCAAGAGCCAACCTGTAATGTACTTTAAAGTCCTTTCACTCGTATGTGATGATATTAATTTGGTACGCTACTTGACGTTAAGTCAATTAAACTCGAAGAAATGCCTATGTCAATTGAGTCCACGTTAGGCACTTAACTCAATTTGCTGCGTAGAAAATAAGAGAACCTGACCCGTCCCGACTAGACTCAACCCGAGGCCCACACAGCAAATGTCTAAGAATAACTTCAAATAAGCTATAGAAAAGATGCGTAATGAAACATTTCGCATATAAACTTATCTAAAGTCCAAAAATGATTCATGTACATGATGTACAGTCTCAGGGCCCCTCAAATAGTTAATTCCCACCAACTGACCCTGAACTACAGTAAATGATATGCAAGCAAACGGACTTGTGCCCAAGCTGAAGCACGTGTCGCTGATGCCCACGCCAATGACCAAAAGCTACCAAAGGATTACAGAGCAACTGACAACGGCGGATAAATGGATTTTAAGCAAGGAAAAGGAGAACCAGAAGCAGAGGCAGAGCAGCTGTCCATGGCTGCATGCCCCATAGATTAATTCAGAAGTGAGTTCAATTTAACTCTTTAACGAATCGAAAAACAAAAATGATTTAGCATTAGGTCACTCTTAATTAAAATTTCGACTAGCAATACATGTTTTTTGATTTTTTTTTTTTTGGGGGGGGGCCCAGGTCTTCATCCAACACCCACGCAATCACGAACCCCGCCACAGCTGCCGCTGTCAGTCATACGACGTTTAATTTTGGCGCGCAGAGCGACAGCCATAGCCATAGCCGTAGCCACAGCCACAACCCCCTTGTGCTTGTTGCCGGAACCGAAAGGAAGCTGGGCCCCCACGAAGCTAACGGCATAAAAGGACCCAGCAGCCAACAGCCGAACAGCAGTCTCATTGGATACACGGTCGAACAACAACGAACAACGCGCAACACGCAACGCACAACGCAACGAGCAGAGCAACAAGTGAATAAGTGAAAAGCGGACGCTTGAAACTGACGCCGAGCAGGCGCAGGTTGAAGGAAATGCAGCTCCCGTGTTAAGTGTTCAGTGCAGTGTTCTTGACTCGTAAACCCCTTTAGAGTTTCCGCGTAAGTCTCGCGGGCAGCTTACAAAACTTTACTGTCATTAACTTTGCGCTTTTGCCACTATAATGTGTCCGGTTAACATGACACACAATCGCATTTTTCGCAATATCCGTCTCATCCTTGTGGCCATCGCAGCGCTGTCCTCCTCGCAGCGCCACTGCATTTCAGCCTCAAAAGATGCAATAAATATTGGATTCCTGGCTGAATACTCTCAGATGCGGGTGAGTCGCGTCCCCTTAGTAACTGTAACACAATATCGAAAACAAAATTAAAAATGGAAAAACTTCAGTTATTTACATAAGTTATTTATATATAACTATGAGAAGGCTGCTGGATAGAGTTCGGCAAAAAATGACAGAGTCAAGAGGAAAATAAATTTATTTGTCTTTCTTTTATTAGTAAAACGATACATATATAAGTAATTGAGAAACAGCAAAATAAATAAAATATTTAAAAATTAAAATTAGTTAAAAATAGTTATTAAGCCACATTCCATTTCGAATGTCAGAAGACAAGCTCAAATAAACAATAAATTTAAAAACAAAATACAAAATAAAATAAATATATTATTTTAATATGTTATCAAAAAATAATTATATATGAAAAACAAAAATATTATTTGAATATATTTTTATGAAACAAAAACAAATTAAAGTGATTTTTAAATAAATAAGTTCGTGCAGCTTATTTTTTCAGCTTTGTTTTATTTCTAATTTTCTTGAGGCTATTTAAGAATCGACCCAATTTTTGAGCTCTTCATGGGAAGTAAATTATTTTTAATCCAGACCTAGGTACAGCAACAAACGTTATTCGGAAGAAACAATGTGTGGTGGGTGGTGGTCATAAAGTTTCCTTCACAGCCATTTGTCAGATTGGTATCAATGGTTGTTGACAAAGCTTTGATAGTTTCGATAGGCTGTGGGTCATGGTGGATCCCTCTCTGACGGACCTTACAACCTTACGCATTACCTTTGTGCCATTGCTAATTTTTCTCAGCGATTATTGGAGTAATATTTGCTGAATTTATTTTGTGTAGAAACCCTACCGGGCTCGTCTTTGGAATTGAAAGACGAACATTAATCACACACTTTTGGACTATTTTTTGGCTTAAGTTCATATGGAACACATTTTCCTTTTTTTTTTTAGCTTATCAACAGAATTGAGATGCTTTAACACTTCTAAGATAGCAAACTGATCTTGAGAATGGCTCGCTGATAATAGCGTTCCTAGTTCAGCGCATGCTAACTTAACTAGTTTTTTAATAATAGATCAGGTTTCTTATACACCTCACATATCAATCTATCAATATAAAAAACTGGACTTGTGTTTGTGTCTGATTTGATTTAATGTATTTACTCATAGGACTTTGTTAAGCAAATTTACTTAAATATTATATAGACAAAAGCTGAATACAATAATTAAATATTGTGTATGCAAAAGTTTATTTTTTTTTCAGTAACAGTTTTGTCATCATCTTATTTATTTTTTTCAATTTAAGCCATTGTGAAATGTGCTGCACGGGACTTCAGTAAAAAGCGTCATGCAACTTTTGTCGTATCCTCAAGTAGACTTTGAGATGAATCTGAAATCACAGTGCAATTCCAACACGCATTAACGTGCCTGATTTCCTGAGAACAGGTTAACATGTCAATGGCCAATAAGTGGGCCAAGTATGTTTTCTTTACTCCCTTTCAGATTTCGTCCATCAAATTAAATGAATACAATCGAGACGCCACTTACACATGCACACAATCTGAAAGATGAGAAATTAATAATATAATAGACAAAAAGTGAAATTTGCATGACGAACTACACTTTATGGATAAATTGCCATGACAACGGTGCGTTCAAAGCCAGCCTCACCTGTAAATGCCCCAAAGGACGACAGGTAGATTGCGAGATGTTCTTAGTATGGACAGACACTTGGGTGCTCGACTCGACTGCATAATACTTGTTCACGCTCTAAACTATTGAAAATTTATTTTCTCACACTCTAGTGACTCTAGGCTTTTTAATTTATTTCCTATCCCTGCCTAAATTTAAGTAATAATTAGCATTGTAAAAATTTAAGAATAATATTATGTCAAAGACATTCAAGTATGATCAAAATATTACATTTTATTTTCTATTTCATGAATTTCATTCCTCACACATACATATCGTATTAATATCATTATTAGTATGAGGAAATCAAGTGCAACAATGTGGCTGCAGCGCCCTCTATCAATATTTTGATAGTCGCGTGTTGATTACTATTCTTTGTAGGTGGCGCCACTATATATACAAATGCAAATATCGAATCTGAGACTGGCTGGAGTTAGGGAAATTTTTTGGTACTTTTTCTAACCGAGCGTAATTCATATAGAATTCTTAAAATTGTAAAAAGCGAAAAGTGCCATGAATTGTGCTTAAAAAAATGTGGATGCCCCCAGCCATAGCAGCAAAGCTTTCATTTTAATTATTTTCTCTTTTTCTATTTGTTTCTTCATTCATTATAAGCAAGATGTAATATATACTAAAACAAAGTGTTTTCGAAATTGTTAAATTTTGGTCTTAAAATTACCTTTTCTTCATAGTCAAATATAACCAAATGCTTTTCAATAAGATGCTGACACCATAACAGTATGGGATATAGGATGTGTAACTATATATATAATGCCTAATTTGCCACGCCTCCAATGGGCTATGTTTTATAAATAATGTTTCCATTTAAAACTGTAAAATTTATAGTTTATAAACTTTATAAGCTGTGTCTTTTATCCAAGGAGGGTATACTCTCGTATATATTCTTTGTTGTCTAGAAGGAAAACGAATATACTCTTGTTACTTCATGAGCGAGTATAAAAACTTCATTATACTGACTCTAACATGCATTGCAGCGAAACTTTTATAAATATTAATGTCAAAGCACGCAAGCATTTTTCATACATATCTTTTTAATGCTGCTGAGCGAGTGACAATGGCCAAAGTCAAAGCCAAAGGCAAAGCCGTCGCGAAAGCAAGAGCTTCATACATGTGTAATTAAAAGTGTGTTAACTATTTTGTTATATATAACTTTTTCTTGATGAGAAACTAACTACCGTTAGATTTAGCCTCTTACAGGGGAACTCCAATTAGTGAGAAGTTTCTTTCCCCAAAAAGATGGCAATCAATCAAGTTGCAAATTGCAGATTGCAAACTTTAATTAATTAGGCATTTGCTTATTGATCTGATACTTCGAACTCTAGTAGTAATCGATTAAGCCTTCAAAAATCAGTTGTGAATTAAGGAAACTTTTCAAGAATCGAACATGCTGTACAGATTGAAGAATACATTTTACGCGCTGCGTGCGAATCGCGTTTTCTTGATATTCGTGCTACTCGAGACAAGTCAACTTTTGGGCATAGTACAGAGTGACTTTGAGGATATGGCATACGAAGTTTTTTTCAGTCTGATCTATACATCATTCTCTCTAAGCAGCTGTTTCTATGGCTACGGAATTGTCGACCTACGGAAGCTAGGCCCACGTGGCAAGTTGCTCCGTGGAATCTGTGGCGCCAGCATGAAACTCTGGCAACGCCTGAGCTTTCTAATGCTTCTGCCTTGGAGCTTGAAGGTGCTGCAGCAGATTGAACAGACTGCTAGCAATTGTCTGTTAAATGAACATCTATCAGACATGGAGCTGCTCTCTGGCCTAACGATCTTAGCCTCACAGCTGACACTATTCGTTGCCACACAGTTGCTAACTATACGACTACACAGGAGGCTAAAGAATGCTCTGAAATTAACGCAATACAGGGAAAACTATGAGATTCGTAACTACGCTCAGGCTATAAATAATTCCTTTGGTTTCGATATGTTCGAAATTCCTGATCTGCCAAATTGAAGCGAGTTCCACTGACCAATTTTTCACTTAATAAAATTTTGAAGTAAAGCACACATTTTTGTTCTCCTTTGCCCACAGGTGACGCTTGGTGGCCTGCCCCTTGCCGTGGAGGATGTCAATAAAAATGTTAATTTGCTGCCAGGGAAAACACTTACATTTACTCCGTTTGACTTGGGACACACAAGCAGCGCATATCGAGTTAAGCCGTTGAGGTATATTTCAATTAATTTTTAGGGGTTTCAGCCATAAACCACTTTCCTCATTGTCCCTTATTTTAGACTTATGACCGAGTTGAGGGAACGTCGGGTGAACGCTTTCATTGGGCCCGATGAGAGCTGCACGACTGAGGCACTGCTGGCCTCTGCCTGGAATACGCCAATGCTATCGTTCGTAAGTAAAACTTATGTGAATATAAATTAAATTAAAGTCGTTTTATAACAAATACTTCTTTCAGAAATGCTCCGACTCAATCGTCTCCAACAAGAGCACCTTTCCCACCTTTGCACGGACTCTCGCACCGGCTTCAAAGGTAGTTACGAGCGAAATCCTAAAAGTATACAGCCTAAAAAAGCAGATAGACAAATTTTAAAAAATTTACTATATTAATTTAATCAACAATTTAGTCAATTACACTGAGACGTAGTTTCTCGAAACAGCTTTCTTAGAAACAGAAAACTATCCAGCAGCTCTTCAATATGGTCCTTAACTGCAGATGCTATTTCCTCTTTGCTGGAAAAGCAAAGCCATTTCTACTCGTTTAATATGGGAAAAAGAAGAATATTGGATCTGTGTAATGTCTATGAAAGTACAAGAGATATCAAATTTGAAGGGATACAAGCACATATATGCCTTGTCTTATGACCTTTTGACACTCTCTGTAGATCTATAAGATAAACTGGAAGTAGAAAAACAAAAGTATATCTTGCATAGCTTTAAAGTTTTGTATATGCTCTCAACTCTGTTACACTCTACCACGGATTTTCCTATAATAATATAATTTGTAGATATTTTTGAACCCTGAACGAGTATTATGCGCTCAGTTATACTCAACTACAATCAATCCAATACTATTTTATATATTTTCACTATTTTTGAGCTCGTCTACTCTATTGGTTCTCCACTGCAATGCGCACAGTATCAGTTTGAATAGCTTCGTTTGAACTCCTTTACCCAAAATCTTATTTTTGTGTTATTGCAGACGCCACAGAATTTAGTCAAGTAGCCCCTAAGACTCAGTAGAAATTTCAGAGGTCAGAAATTGGATAAAGATCCAATTAGCGTCATGTGAGGTCGGGTGCTTTCCGAACAACTTTATATACATATATTTAAAATAAAACATAAATTTGCTAATTCTCATCTTAAGCCAACTCACTCCCACAGGTGTCTAAGAGTGTGATAAGTCTGTTGAATGCCTATGACTGGAAGAAATTCGCTATAGTGGTTAGCTCTAAGCCCATTTGGGGCTCCGATGTGGCCAGCGCTATACAGGTAAGCCAAAGTGTATATAGTTGGCGTGGCTTTCACTTGCTCACACTTCACGCACCTCAGGAACTGGCTGAATCGCGAAACTTTACCATAACGCACTTCAAGTACATCTCGGACTATATACCCATTAAGAAGACATTGTCCCAAATAGAGAACATCATTGAGGAGACATACACAACGACGCGCAGTAAGCTTCAGCAATATTTAGTAGAGTTCAATTATAGTCGAATATGCCATATCATTTAGTCTATGTGTTTATTGGCGAACATATTGCCATGGTGGACTTTGTGCGCTGCTTGCAAAATCGCGGCCTGCTCGAGAGTGGGGACTACATTGTGGTGTCGGTGGATGATGAGATCTACAATGCGAATCGTCGTGTCAATATCATGGAACGCAGTAAGCTGAATTCGTTTGGGCAGAGTCAATTGATTTCCCTGTCGGGGTCTTAATGCATGCAACGTCTTATTGCAGATTACTTAGATCCTTATATTAGAAAAGAAAAGAGCAAATCACTGGATAAAATCTCATTTCGTTCAGTTATCAAAATAAGCATGACATATCCACAAAATCCTCATATTCGGTAATTTTTTATCTAACTCCAGCTATAAGACTTTTGTATATATTTTCTTTTCCCTTCAATATATTCAAGCTATTATAATATATATAACTAATCTCTTTTTTACTAATGTCGCATATAGTTTATAGTCTCTTTTAAATCGATGTGAACCAATATATTTCTAGGGACATTTGTACCAAAATCAAGGAGTACGCACGTAAAGCTCCATTCCGTGTGCCCTATCATCAGCGAGTTTTCGAGAATATTTCGGTGTGTTTGAAAGATATTTCCAATCGAAATGCTCTAAGTATTCCTATATTACTCGTCTACAGGTGCCCATATATGGCTTACATCTGTACGACAGCGTCATGATCTATGCACGCGCCATTACGGAAATACTTCAGCGAGGCGGCGATATAAACGATGGAAACCTGGTCATGAGTCGCATTTTCAACAGATCTTATCATTCGATTCAGGGCTTCGATGTAAGACCTCCCATATCACTTGCAATACTTTTATGCATAATTTATGCATAATTTATGCATTATAAAAAAGAGATTGAAAGAGGCGTGACACTACCAATAAAGTACACACACTCAGGTTAAGGAGCCAACTCATCCTAACCATGCCCGTCTGTTCGTCCGCTCGTATAAACAAACAAAGGCTAAGACTTGAAATTTCAAACAAATAATATATTCCTTAGGCACTATAAGCTTAACATCTATTTCGACATATCATTCCATTTCCCTAATGAGTCCTTGATGAGTCCATAAACACATGAACGCCTGTCTCTCTGTCCGTCCGTCCGTCCGTCCGTCCGTCTATCTGCCCGTCTGCCCGGCCGCTGCCACCACAGCTGGAGAAGCAGACACAGATTATGAATACTTCCGATTTAGGGCATCTTCTGGTGGAGTAAGGACTCTCACTTGTTTGTCCTAGGTCTTCATCGACTCAAACGGCGACGCTGAGGGCAACTATACAGTGATTTCGCTGCAAAGCGATGCAAATGCAGGATCTGGAAACTCACTAGCTCAAATGTCGATGCAGCCCGTTGGATTCTTCGTCTACAACAAGGACTCCATGATTCCAGTACGCAACTCAGCTCCTTTATGCACTAACAATTGTGGAATATAATTTATGATATTTAAGGAATTTCGTTATATCAAAAGTGGACGACCCATACTATGGTTAAACGGGCGACCTCCGCTTGCGGAGCCAATGTGCGGCTTTCATGGCGAGCTGTGTCCACGCAAAAAGCTGGATTGGCGGTATCTAGTGACTGCAGCGCTCTTTGCTTTTGTTCTGATCGCTGCCATCGCACTGTTGCTCAAGTAATATCAAGATCTCGCAGCATTTTCTCTGGCACAGCTATATAATTTATTCATCTCGATAGGCATTATCGCTATGAACAAACGTTGGCCGGCTTGTTGTGGAAGGTGGACATGAAGGAGGTCACTGTGATCAACCTGGGCGAATACAATAATCCAAGTCATAAGAACATTGTGCGTTGAGCCCTTATTAACTATACCAAATCTCATTAGGTCTGCTTTGATCTGTGTTCTCAGGTGCAAATTTGTCGTCAGAGTATTCTGGTTGTCGGCGAGCCCAACAAGAGATCGTTTACAAATATAGGTAAGCCTGGCATAGTAATATTATATAGAGACCTTGTTCCAATATCCTTCTTTAGCCCTCTTCCGTGGCAACATCGTGGCCATGAAGAAGATTCATAAGAAGAACGTGGACATAACTCGTTCGATTCGCAAGGAACTAAAATTGATGCGAGAGGTGAGAATATTAACTATTCCATGCGAATAGGTATTACTCCAATATTAACTCAATTCAGGTGCGACATGAAAACATTATCAATTTCATCGGAGCGTCAATTGATCATGGATCAGTTATAATATTCACAACGTACTGTGCGCGGGGCAGTCTGGAGGATGTGCTTGCCAATGAGGACTTGCACTTGGATCATATGTTTATATCTTCATTGGTCTCGGATATACTTAAGGGACTCATCTACTTGCACGACTCCGAGATAGTATCCCATGGCAACTTACGATCCAGTAACTGCCTCATTGACTCCAGATGGGTTTGCCAGATTTCCGACTTCGGACTGCACGAGCTAAAGGCGGGGCAGGACGAGCCAAATAAGTAGGGAAAGGAATAAAGTTAACTTAAGCTCAATTCTTCTAAATTATCTGCTTTTCAGAACGGAACTGCATCTAAAGCGTGCCCTCTCCATGGCACCCGAACTTCTGCGTGATTCATTTCGGCCAGCTCGTGGCTCCCAGAAGGGCGATATTTATTCATTTGGCATTTTACTATACGAGATGATCGGACGAAAGGGGCCCTGGGGCGAGACAGCATACACAAAAGAAGGTATAGGATTTAGACGACTCTATGCAAGCTCCAAACGCTCATGCCCCAATTTTAATTCATTAGAGATAATAGAATTCGTTAAAGATCCAGATCTGCTGCAGCACGGAGTATTCCGGCCAGCTCTCAACTGCTTGGATATACCAAATTATATCAGGAACTGTCTGCGCCTCTGCTGGGATGAGGATCCCGAAGTACGGCCCGACATTCGCCTTGTGCGCATGCACTTGAAGGAACTGCAAGCTGGACTGTACGTAGCAGAGTGATTCTCTGTTGATATTTGCTTCAATTCACGTGGTTTTCAGAAAGCCAAATATATTTGACAACATGCTGGCCATAATGGAGAAGTATGCCTACAATCTGGAAGGCTTGGTCCAGGAGCGAACCAATTTACTCTACGAGGAGAAGAAGAAAACTGACATGCTCCTATACCAAATGCTGCCCAAGTAAGCAACCATTTCGAGCACACAGAAATACATTTTGAGTTTCACACTTCGTCTCAGAACCGTAGCGGAGTTGCTTAAGAGTGGCGACCCTGTGAAGGCCGAGTGCTTCGACTGCGTGACGATTCTATTCAGCGACATTGTCGGCTTCACTGAACTCTGCACGACGAGTACTCCATTCGAGGTTGTGGAAATGCTAAACGATTTGTATACGTGTTGCGATTCCATAATATCTAATTACGATGTTTATAAGGTAAGCCATCGATTGCCTTTGCACAGCAAAGTCTGCCTAAGGTCATACTCTCAATTGAAGGTGGAGACAATCGGAGATGCTTACATGGTTGTATCGGGGCTGCCCTTAAAGAATGGGAATCGCCATGCGGGCGAGATAGCTTCACTAGCACTGCACCTGCTAGAAACTGTGGGAAATCTGAAGATTCGACATAAGCCGACGGAGACGGTGCAATTTCGCATTGGCTTGCACTCAGGACCCTGTGCAGCGGGCGTCGTTGGACAGAAGGTGAGCTTGTTGCCCCTTTTCTAGCTCCTGCTAAAAGCACACTTCAACAGATGCCTCGGTATTGCCTGTTTGGGGACACTGTCAATACGGCCTCACGCATGGAGAGCACCGGAGCAGCCATGAAGATTCACATATCGGAGGAGACCTACCAGCTGCTGCAGGAAGTCGGCGGTTACATATGCGTCGAGCGAGGACTGACCAACATCAAAGTGAAGCACTTCTAATCCAGACAGAACATTGTAATGAAATCGTGTCACTTTCAGGGCAAAGGCGACATGCGCACCTATTGGCTCACCAAACGATTGCAGCCGGAAATGCGCGCTTTAATGGCCAGCGATTGGGCTCCGGATCTCATCAGTACTGTGGACGCATCCAATGGTTGTTGCTCGCAGGCGAGAGCTGACGACTTGCCCTTGCTGAAGTTTCAAAACCTGCCCATGAGCATGCGGACGGGCTCTTGCAACTGTGCTACCAAGTGCTTATATAGTCGCCGCTCGGATGACAATGTTACCACCTCGCACAAGGCCGCCGCCGCCGCCGCCGCTGCCGCTGCCCTGGCGAAGGGCTCGGAAACAGTGCAGATCAATTGCAATCAGTTGTGCGTCTGCCGCTTGAACGGCAGCCAAGTGCTGAGCAATCGAAGTCCGCGCTCCGCGCCTAGTATCTCATTCAGGCTGTAGACTTGAGTCGAAGTCGAGTAACGCGTTTGCTTTCTATGGTTGTAAGCTGTTCATTTATTATTGCAACTCCCTTAAATAAATGTTAACTCTAGTCCATTATCCATCAGGAGTTGAGTGTCTAGCTGTTCAGTTGGACAGCTTAAAGTTGTTCTTGAGCGCCTGCCAGCATTCGTAGTACTGGGCATCCAGTTTCTGGCACGTCTCCACGCCCCATTTGGTAACAGCCAAGCTCAGCGACGACTCGAACATGAAAGCCTGAAAAGCGGAAGTGAATGAGTTGGGGGAATTCGGGTGGGGGGAAGTTGGCATACTTGAGTTCCATCGGCAATGCGTTCAGGCTTAAGTTCAGCTTTGGAAGCGCCTTCAAAGCAATTGACGTCTGGACCATGGGGCGTCATCATTGAGTGCAGAGTAGCCCCACCAGCAGCAAAGCCCTCCTCCTTGGCTTCATAGCGGCCAAGTATGAGGCCCATGAACTCGCTCATGCAGTTTCCTTTAAGATAAATGTTATACATATATATATACATCTATGACATGGTTGCACTGACTGTGATAGTAAGGCGGACGGAATGTGTGCTCCTGCACAGACCAGCGGGGCGGGAATATGACGAAGTCCGCTATGGCTGTGCCCGGCCTTAGACTCGGGCAGGTGAGCACCGTGAAAATGCTGGGATCGCAATGATCGAAGCTAACCGAATTAATCACCATAAACTTCGACAGATCATATTTGTAGGGCACGTAATTGCCGTGCCAGGCAACCACATCGAAAACACTGTGCTTCTGCTTGGCCACAAATAGGGCGCCTTGGTACTTGGAGATGACATGAAACTCTAAAAGAGGAAAAGGAAATTCAGTGCAAGCAGATCGCGGAAACCATGAGCAGTCCTCACCTGTGTACGTCTTAGAATCGAACCAAGCAACTGGTGTCTCAAAGTCTCTGGGATTGGCCAGACCGTTGGCCCCAATGGGACCCAGATCGGGCAAACAGAAATGTCCATCGAAAACTTCCAGTATGTAGCCCCTGAGGACATCAAGATTCCTGATTAAAATATATTTAATTGAGAGCATATTCAATGAACGCTTGCCTGCAAGGGGTCTCGAGCTTCACGGCAAAGCGAATGCCCTGTGGAATGACACAGATCTCATTGGGAGCTACGGTCATGCGACCCAGCTCCGTTATTATATTCAGAGTTCCTTCCTGTGGCACTTTGCGCAGAGCAGAGATGTCGTTAATATAATCATCCGTAATGGCAACCTGTCCACTCGCCACTTACCTATGAGGAAATCGCCGTCGCTGTTGTAGAACGCCGAGGTGTCCATGGAGGCATTGCAGAGATAGATATGCACGGCCAAGCCATGTCGCGCCCTTGCATCGCCAGCACCACAGACCGTATGGAGTCCCTCGACAAACGTTACGCTCTTTTGCTTTGCTCCAGGCATGTCGAATGGTTTCCAACGCATCTACAAATGTGGCAAAATGTCAATTGCTGAGCACACAAACCAGCACTTAATGCTCGACTTGCCTGATTTGGATTGGGCGGCTGCTCATCCCAGTTGTGGCTCAGATGCTGGGCACCCGAATACGGAAGAAAGGGCGTATGAACAGCACTGGGCAGCTTCCTATATAGCCAAGTGCGCACATTTTCGGAACGTGGAGCTGTGAAGGCGGAACCAGACAACTGTTCTGCGTATAGGCCGTAGGGGCATTGCTGTGGGGAGTTCTGTCCCACTGGCAGAGAATTGGGGCAGCGCTCGTCCTCTGACGAGAAGTGGCCGCCGAAACCAGTTAGATACTAAAATACGAAATTCCATTAGCTGCTTAAGTCTCTTGATTCAAACACCAAATATATATATTTATATGAAAACCTAAGATATTCCAGTTGCTCGACCTTACCTTATATTGCGACATGTGTCTAAGCTAAGCGAGGTAGTAACAGACTAAGGTTTCTCGACCAACGATCGCTGGTATTTATATGAGCTGCGTCGATAAGTCCGCTGGCCTCTTATACCCTACAACAGCATCATACGCAGAGTGTGCCGTGGCTCAGCAGCTCTAAGATGTCGGCCTATGCCGTCTACAGCGTATTCCATTTGGCCAGAGTAGCATGCCGTTGAGCGTTGAGATATCTTGTTTTTTTTTTTTAATTTTTAGATATCTTGTTGTTTTGATTATTTGCTGGGGAAACTAGTCGACGCGATAAGCCGGTCCCCCACCAAGAGCTAAGCGGCACGTAAACACCTGCTCCTAGTTACCTATGCATCATTATCAGTGCCACGCTTAGAATGTTGTTGTTGTTGTTGTTTTTGTTATGATCAACAAGTTAATCATATCATATTTTGCATAGCAGTTCTGCGGGTTCTGAATTCATTCAAATGGATCATAACAAAAGCTCCAACCGGTATGCGACCGGTAAAGCTAGAGGTAAAGCCAAAGCTAGCTCCGACGATCGCACGAACTGCAAACAGCTGCCATATGATTTAGCCAGTAGATTCACTATTTAATATTGTAAACTAAAAACCTAGTTTATATATTTTATTGCGGCAAAAGTCAATTTCAAATTATGCAGTATTACAGTTAATAATGTATGTTTGTTTGTTTCGTTTGTCTGTCTGTTTGTGTTTGCGTATATATGTATGTATGTATGTACTATTTTAAAATACTTAAAGTACCTTTGTGCAGTAATTAAACCTAAAATAGTTTATAAATAATATGTTTTAAGACATCAAGCGCTCAAGAGACTTTTACATATTCCATACTCCCATTGCAGCCAAACAATCAACAAAGTATGGACTCACTGCATGCGCACATTTATCTACATTTCTGTTGGGTTCGCTTAAAAACAAGTTTTGTATATAAAAATTTGTTACGATGATCAGCATCAGCATTGCAGTATGTGAATGTCATTAAGTGTTCTTGTTTTAATATCAAATGATATACATATATTTATATTTAGTTGCCATAAAAATAACGCAGATGCAGAAGCAGTTGCAGTTCCTTCCCCGATTCAACTCTCGAAATACTGTACTCTTCATATACCCTGCTCTAATTCTATTCCATTGTACATTCAATCTCCCGTAGCAATTGATCCTGTCAACAATCTCAATTAGAATATGATTGTGGCTCAGCTCTGATGTTTAATATCTTATGACTTTCAGTGGGAGCTTAGGAGATTCGCGTGACATACTATATGTATTTATATATATAATTATATATATTTATAATTGAATGCTCTGCTGCATTAAGGGTAGATACTGATAAGGAAATACTGCATTAACTGGGACATGCGCTCGATAGGGTGATAGGGTATAGGTCCACAGGCAGTGCCCTAGTCGCCTTTCCTAATCGTGTGATAAGTTTAGGACATCATCGCCCACATTATTCTTCGGTATCTTCGCTGGCGGCGGGGCAGCCAGGTCGGCCACCGAGGCAAACTCCATGCGCTTTTTGGGCATTGCATTTCCCAGCAGTGCGCCGGGCGGTGCCAGTTCGCCGTAGAGCCGACTCAAGTCGGGCGACGGTCGTCGGTGTGATGAGCCGCTGCTGCCATCAGACGGCGCTGGTGATGGCGTATTTGAGGGCACGCTCGATATAGCCAAATCCACAGCACTAAAATTGTACTTGCTGCCGGAATTTGAATTGCCACCACCTGCACCACCGCCGCCGCCGCCGCTGATTGACTTGGTGGGCGTGAGACGTTCCAGTGCCGGCGAGGCGGACGACTCTCTTGTACGCGCCGATGAAGGCGTCGTTGATTTTGGCGGCTTCATCATCATTGCTGACAGCGATTCCTGCTGAATCTTAAACAGAGCCGACGGTGACATGAACATATTGTTCGCTGCTAGCGTCGACTTTGATAGCGGATCCGGTATGCCATATTTTCCATGCTGCTGTTGAAAGAACGCCGCATAATCTTGCATCTTCTCTTGCGCCAAAGCATTGTAGTAGGCGGCCGAGTTGGTCAGTGTTGATGAAGATGGAACACCTGTTGCCATTGCTGCTGACGCTGCGCTGCTGGCGCTGCTGCCTGCCTTTGTTGCGTTGCCTGCAGCAGCTGCCACAGCAGCCGCAGCGCCTGAGGGCGTTGCAAAAAGCGCATCCAGGTCAGCAGCTGCCTTATTCTGACGATACAATAACGCCTTAATCTCCGAGTCTTGTTTTTCCAATTGCAACAGCTGGTTGAGCATGTCCGACTGCATGTCCTTCTGCTTTTGCTTTAAGCTCACAGCGCTGCCGCCCCCAGATGGCGCCAAGCCCCCAGCGCCAGCAGCAAGTAATGCGGACAACTCATTGTGCGCTCCACTCATGTGCTTGCTGCCCGTTGATGCCATAGCAGCAGCAAACTGATTGTTCGGATCAAATAGCTTTGTATAGGTCTGCAACAACGCTGTGTAGTCCGCCTGAGCAGCTGATTGCTGTTGGAGCTGCTGCTGCTGCTGTTGTTGCTGCTGTTGCTGCTGCTGCTGTTTCTTCGAACTGCTGCTACTGCTGGCAACAGGAGGTGGCGGTATCGATGCAGCCGCAACTGCAGCCATTTGTTGCTGTAGGAACACGTTAAGGTCATTGCTTTGCTTGTTTTGCTGTTGCATATAGGAATCATAGCCCAGCAGCTTGGACGCTTGTATTAGATTATTGTAGTCGGCATTGAGCGCAGCTGCAGCTGCTGCTGCTGAAGCTGACGATGATGTTGCTGACGTTGATTTTGAGGACTTGCTGCTGCTTGGATTTGCAACTTGTTGATTGCCTGTTAGATAGTTCAAGTCGGATCCGAAGCCCAAAGTGCCCAGCGTAGTGGCGCCCAATGCCTCGGCCTGCTGCAGGAGCAGCGCCGCATATTCAGGCGACCGTATGAGTTCACTCATCTTTAAGGGATCATTCTTGAGCTCGTCCAGCTCTTTCATGAGCTTGGTCTTGTACGAATTCGAGGACGAACTCGAATTGGATGAAGATGAGGACGCTGATGACTTGGAGCGATCCATCTTCGATTTGCTTCCACCATTATTACTACTACTATTATTATTGCTGCTGCTGTTTCCACTGTTATTGCTGCCAGATGGCATGGGCATGTTGAAGCTGTTCGAATAGGCAGCCACTGCTGCCGCCACATTGGGATCGTTTAGGTTGCCCAGCCCTGCCGTCACATTACTGTTCTGCTTGGAGCCACCCACTTTGGCTGCCGCAGCAGCCAATTGATTCAGTGAGGAGCTGCCATAATCCTTGCGTTGCTGTTGAAACAGCGAGGCCAAGTCGGCTTGTAGAAAATTGGGCGGCAACTGACCGGCCAGCTGTGCCAAGCTGGCTGCCATTAGATCATTGGCCGTAGGCAAACAGGCAGCCGACGGTGGCACCAGCGGCGTAGTCAGATCGTATTTGTTGGGTGTTATGCTCGGGCTATTCCTTGCTATATCACTGACACTGAACTTCCCCGGACTTGGCGCAGGCGAATTGCGAGTGCGTGATGTATGCGACGAGGCATCGGATTTTGCTGGCGAGGGCGAAGCACGCACCGGCAGCTCGAACTTGGCGGGGCTGGCAGCATTCGACTGTAGCTGTATGCTTGTTGGGCTGTCTCGCGGCGAAGCGGATTGCACTGCAGCAGCAACAGGTCCACTGTTCATGTTCGTTGATGGCGTCTGTGGCGGTAATAGTTGACTCACGACTGCTGCATTCAGTGGCATGGTTGGCACCACGGGAGCTGTTGGCGCAGCTGTTGGCGTCGTATTTGTTGGGTTTGGAGTGGCCAAAGGGGACAACATACGCACTGGATTCATGTTGAGACCCGAGGGCATGCAAAGCTGCTCTTGCAGAGACATTACTTTCAATTCACTGGCTTTCTGTTCAGCCTGCAGCGATGTTTCCTCCTCCGTTTTGCGTGCCATATCTACAGCAACTAATTGAAGACTCTCGCCCGTCTGCTCCTCTTTCGGCTGTTGTTCCAATTTGATTTCATTCGCCAATTCAGTTGTGGGCTGAGTCTCCGTTTTTACTATAACTTCATTGTCTTTTTCATTGTCAATAATTTTAATGGTTTTCGGTGGGATAAAATCATCCTCCTGCTCACAATCCAGGACGGCACATAGCCAATTCCATAGCGCCTTATCACTTTGCTTCGATGGAAATTTCGGATATAGCGTGTTCTTTAACTTCTCGTTGTAGGTCACGTCATTGTTGTAGACATTGCGAAATTTAACAATTTCGCCGCGAAACTGAGTATAGTAATCAACGCAGGACTGTATTTCCGTGCGAACCTCCTCTGGTATCTCTTTATCTGGCAGCACAGAGTATTGCATTAGCATCGGCCTTCCATATTCCGTTGATTGTTTGTTCTCATTTGGTGGCACTATCCAAATACACTTGACCACCGATTCCAAAGTGGGATTCTCTTCATAGTAGGGAGCTACAAAGGCAATGAGGGCAATTATAACCGTGTTATATTATATATACAACTAACTTACAAATGATTAATGAAACACATGGCGTATACGTTAGATCGCTAACGCCTCGCATTCGTATTTGATAGTCGAGCTGTGCATCGCAATCACGTAGAGTGGGTTCAGCTTGAAATTTGGGATGTGAGTGATACCAGCCGACGAGCAGCACTTGATCTTGTATCATCATTTTCTGTATATCACGCTCTACTTCCGCGGCCCGTTGCCGATCGAAGCGCGTGCTTCGACATGGATATGTTTTCGTAATTGTCAATGCTGCAAAGAACAAACATCAGTTTTATTTGACTCTAAAAACAAACAAGTTTAATTCTTAGGGCCGGACTCACTGTGTGTGTTCATATCCCAGGTGCCGCCCAGGTAACCGCACACCTCGCGAACCGTTAAATGACAGTGAAAGTCAGCCAGAAGCAGAGCGGAGGAAGTGATAGTCAACAAAAACGGTTGCAATTTGCCAACCGAAGTAAATGGAATGGCCTCAATCATCATATTGGCATCACTGCAATAAATACGCTCAATAAGTCATAGATAAAAAACAACCTTTTTAGCAACTTACTGAATTAAATTGCGATTGGCAACCGTGTTATGTGGAAATACTGTTCGTTTGACAACAAGATCTGGTGAATCGGTCTTGCGTTCTGTATCTAATTAAAGAATAAAAAAATATTTAGAATAAAAACACTTGCAGAGCAACTAAAGACTAAACTAGCTATCATTTATCAACGTTATTATAGATAAACTTAGCTTTTGTTTTATAATATACTAAGTACATCTTTGTCTAAGAGACAAGACCCCTTAGACAACTCATCTAGAAGGCCATTAATACACAAATTATTTATTTAATGAAGATCTACTATTTATCTATTACCTGGATCACCGTCTTCGGGCGTAGACTCCTTTTGCAAAGCACACTTTCTCAAGTAAGTATTTTTATATGCATCTAGTTTCTTGCCCTTGTACTTCACGGATGCCCAACCGCATCCACTTTTCTTTTCGGGATTGATAATGCGTTTGCAGTGCATGGCCCAGGCACTGGGCGTTAAGAATATGGTTTCAGTCTCTTGTGATTTAATTTTACCGTCTGACAGCAAATCACCCACAAATTTTTGCCCTAGATAATCAATAGTCATCAATGATTTTCCTGGTTGCAACACATTTGCGGCCATCAGCGTTTGCAATGTGACTGTGCGGCCAGTCCCATTGAATCCCTCATAGTTTTCTTTCGCCTGTGCCAAAAAAAATCCATATTATTTTATTATATATCCTAATTATTGCAATTCTCATAAAAGACGCTCACCTCATCATCATTTTCGTCATCGGGCACATCGCTATCCACATCCTTTTCGCACAGACTGTCCTCCAAGATGGATATCCGGCACGGTGCAATATTTTCGGCTGGAGCTGTTTCTGCTTCCGTTGTTTCCGCTTCGGCCTCTGCCTCAGCCGCATCCGACACAGACAAATCGCGCTCCCCATCCACATCGCCGTCGCTTACATCGTCATTTGTTGTTTGTGGCGGCTGAGGCGTCGAATCACCCTCGCCTTCACCCTCGCCGTCTGTGCTGCTGCCCATTTGGTTTTCACGTGCTCCTAGTGGCTCGCCGTCGGGCAGTAAACCATTTTCCACACCGTTTTCCATACGCTTATTGTCTATCCTTTAAAAAAAAAACCTATTAAAAAAATCACGATAAGCCGCAGCAGCCGCAGAATTTATGTATGTATTCCACGACTTTGCTTCTTCTTCTTCGTGCCTCAAACGAAGATTGTTGGACTTCTGTTAACTTAACATTTGCCAAAAGCGTCATCGATAACCGCAAAATAAATAAATTTTTATATGTTAAAAATTAATGAAAAACTTTTTTTTTAAATAATGCGGAGTGTTATTTATAATAATTTAAGACAATTTTAATCCAACTAACTGCCTAAATAATTGCAAAGATGAAATTTTTCATTGATTTCAAATTAACATCTGTTAAATGGATACCAACGTTGTCTGCAACAAATTTATAACGTAACTATTAGTGATACAGCTGTTTTAAACACTTATCGATAATTAGTTTTGTTCTCAGCGAATACAATTCGCATGACCAAATTATATAAAAATTAAGCAAAAAATAACCCTGGCCACTTGATTTGTATACAATATATATAAAAATAAACGCAGTTAGTTATTTGACTGTAAGTTGTAAACACCTACGAATAAATAGTTCATTTTCGTGATGCTGCCAATAACCCGTGCTACAATAAACAACTTCTGTAGAGCATGTTTACAAGATTTGGACAAATCAAAAGTCACACAACTGCATCATAATTTGAAAGAGGATCTGCAACTCTTACGCATCGTGGAATTATTGGCAGACGGAATACAACCGATGACAACAAGAATGAATTTAGACATGCCAACCCGTCTGTGTCATAACTGTTATACAAAAATTGGCATATTTTGCAAATTCGCAGAGATGTCCATCTGTTCGAATGTTGCTCTAATTGAATTAACGGCCGAAAATCTCGTTATAACTAAAAATACTAAATTTAAAATGATATGTGCTACATGCTTTAAAATTAAATCAGATAATAATACTTGCACACCTGAACTGCAAAATCTACTACGACTCATATTTACAGGAATTAGTAAGAAGTCACCATCCAAAACTATATGCAAAAATTGCACTCGAATATGTAAAACTTTTCTTGTATTTCAAAAGACACTGCAAGAGAGTCAACAATATTTAAAATCTACTATAATGTCAAAGACAATAGATATGATAGGACTAGATGATACACCAAAAAAGAATATACACCCTAGCTTTGAAAATGAAATCGAGGGAAATAACGGCAATGTAAGACAGGGTACTTTTAAATTTGCAGTAAAATAATATTTTATAATATTTTTAGTTGACCAACAAAAAAGATCAGGATATTTCCGACATTGAAAGTGATTCTGAAATAGACAAAGTTATAATAAGCTCACCCAAGGCATTAAACCAATGTGCATATTGTCAACGCGAATTCAAACGTAAGACTCACTTAAATGACCATGTGAGATTGGTGCACGAACGCCTCCGCCCATATAAATGTGACTTTTGCGAACGCTCATTTGGATTGCCCAGGACCTTAAGAATCCATATAATGGGTCATACGAAAGAGCGACCCTTTACATGCAACATATGCCAGAAGTCGTTTCGGCAAAAGACTGAATTGAATCTTCATATGAATAATCACATGTCGAACTCACAATTTCGATGTCCAATTTGCTCGCATGATCGAGCCAGTCAAGAAGACCTCGAGGCCCATATGTCGCGACACAATAACAAGGAGGGATATCAGTGCAGTACGTGTGGACGAAAATTTAAGAAACTTTGTCATCTGAAAGAACACGATGATGCAGTACATCTAAAGCTCCGTCCCTTCATATGCACTCATAATAATTGTGGAAAGGCGTTTGGCGCACGCAAAACACTCTATACACATCAAAGGACACACACAGGAGAACGTCCGTTCAATTGCAATATTTGTAGTAAACAATTTTCAAGCAAGGCAAGTCTTTCGCGGCATTTACGTTCCCATAATGAAGTGCTTGTGAAAGAAGAACTTATTGAGTAAATATGATAGTCGCAAAATTATATTTATGTATTGTTCACCAAAATGACACCAATATTTATTTTTTTTGCATTATTTATTTTGAAATTCCCTCCACTTTGAGGTATCTGCAGAAACGTCAACACAACATGTACTATCGATGGTAATAAGAAAAACTGAATCGATAGATCTATCGTTTACTTATCGTAAAAAAAGCGCGCAGGCACACGCAAAGTCTGAATAAATTTGTTTTCTTTTGTGTAAAGTATTATAGGTGCTAATAATAATAATAATAATAATGGCACTTTGGGTAGACAAATACCGGCCCCGTGAATTATCTAAATTGGATTATCATAAGGTAAGGTACATTTAATCTGCTTTAAATTTCTACGACTGATATTTGTGATATTTTAGGACCAGGCTGAAAATCTACGCAATCTATGCAAGCAAAGTGATTTTCCACATCTCATGTTCTATGGACCCTCCGGAGCTGGCAAGAAGACCCGGATAATGTGTCTTCTGCGTGAAATGTATGGTCCCGGAGTGGAGAGGCTGCGCAATGAAACGATGAACTTCACAACGCCTTCAAACCGAAAGATTGATATAATGACAGTTGGAAGCAATTACCACCTGGAGGTGAATCCCTCAGATGCTGGCATGTACGATCGGACTGTTGTCATAGACTTGATTAAACAGGTTGCACAAACGCATCAAATAGACATCAACGGTCAGCGAGAGTTTAAAGTAATTGTCATCTCTGAAGGAGACGAACTTACCAAAGACGCCCAGCATGCGCTCCGTCGCACTATGGAAAAATACGTCGCTACATGCCGCATTATACTCTCGGTCAACTCCACATCTCGCATCATTCCGGCTATCCGTTCGCGTTGCCTGGGCATTCGAGTGCCAGCACCTAACGAAACGGAAATGACGGCCGTCCTACAAAACACATGCAAACGCGAAGGTCTCGTATTGCCGCCCGAGTTGGCCAAGCGTGTAATCGAGAAATCCGATAGGAATTTGAGAAGAGCACTTCTGATGCTAGAGGCCTCCAAAGTACAACAATACCCGTTTACGGCGAACCAGCAAATAGCCGAGCTGGACTGGCAAGTGTATCTGCGAGAGACAGCATCCCAAATTGTGAGCGAGCAAACACCAGCCAAGCTAGAAAAGATACGAGATCGTTTGTACGAGTTACTTTCGCAAGGTGTGCCACCGAATCTCATCTTCCGGGGCCTTGTTGAGCAGCTGGTGAACAATTGTGATATGTCCATTAAGGCAAAGACATTGGAGTATGCCACCCAATACGAACATCGCATGCAGAATGGTGCAAAACATATTTTCCATCTGGAGGCATTTGTGGCTCAATTTATGAACATCTACAAAAAGTTTCTCGCCGAACTCGTGATGACAGATGACTTTTAACTTAATTATAATATATATATACTTTTTCTATGAAACCCACTAAATACATGTGAAGTGCTTAACCTATAATGTGCTGCTGTCGATTTTGTCTATCAGTTAATATAGCTAACTTAATTTTATCGTCTGTGGTGCGCTTCACAGTCTCAATGTATCGAGCGACTTCCTCCTCCAGCTTGGCATGTGCCTGCAAATAAAGAGTAACATTATTACATGAAAAATACAAAAATCATTGGGATCAATTACCACTTCGTATTCAATATTTTGACTACCATTGATTTGCAAGCCATGCAGCAGTAGATCAATTGTGTTGATGGGAAACGCGAGCTGTGGACTTGTCACGTTCACTGAATGCTTAAAGTCGAAATATTCACTGCCTGCTCCCAGCATAGCGCCAATCATTTCACATGCCAAGTCGGCTGCGTCAAGCAAACGATTATGTTTCACTAGCAGATGAAGCAGCTCCCGAGAGTTAGCCAGCTTATATGAGTCATACAGCCATTGTGGCACAAATGCATTCAAATTTAGTATTCGGTTAGCGACGCATTTGCGTATTAAAGTTGATTCATTGAGCTCATTATCGACAACAAGTTTTTGTAGCAATGACCAAGCCATGTCCGCTGCACTGCTACGATGAGGCAGATCTGTAGAATAGTTTATTCATATATTATTCATGTTTATATTAGATTAATTCAATCATGTATACCTGCTAAGTCATTGTTCTGTAACCAAACCCAAGCGTCCTTAGTCTTATCTTCACTGGTGTTAACGCAAGCAGCTGCCAGGCTCTCAAATATGGGCAGCACAGAAAAAGTATGGCCCCTGGCCAGCTTCAGTGCAGCTGTATATAGGCCACAAGTGGCCAAAAGATAAGAAAGCTCTTCAGCGCCGGCCATTTCATAAGCGCCAACATCTTTACGATGTTGAGCAAGTTCTCTTAAAGCCTCTGTGTGAAGCAGCTCACGGCGAATATCGGTTAATTCAAGTACAACGACTTCTTGGACTCTTTCAATCTCCTGTGAATCTTCCACGTTATTGGACATGTCCATGGTCACCTTATCATCACCAATTGTAGGTTTGGCAATCCATCTATAACGCGCATCAACCAAATACAAACAATTTATGCAAACCAATAATGATGAGCATCGCTTTTGGAGTGCATCGGGTGCATCACTATCCACCTGTAGACGCATAGCCTGCTCATACATGACAGTAGCAGCTGTGAGAGAAAACATGCATATAATATATCTATTTATATATATCTAAGCAGATAATTTACCTTTTCGCATATTTCCTTTGTTGGCATGAAATGCGTATAGAAAATTGTAGACTTCGTTCTGGTCGATACTCAGAGATCGTGCACGAGATTCAACAATGTTTTCAAACTCCTCTTGCAGACCATTATAAGGCAATTGCATAAGCAGATCAAAGCGTTTGCATTGGAATAACATTATGATCAATTGACGTAGACAATCTTTTCGCCGCGAGGTATCCGCATTGTAGACCAAAGCATGATATGCCTCCTCGTAGTGGCCCAGTTGCAAATGATTATTAAAGACAATCGACTGGAACATTGGTAATTGATGATCATCCACATTTAGCTTATTCATAGCTACATGGGCCAATTGAATGATAAAATCATATGCTGAATGCTGTTCAAATAGTTGTATAACCTTAAGATAATAGTGTACCAAAGCCTGCTTGGCTTCCGCTTTGGTTGGCACAATTTTCTGTCGAGTAAGAACGTTTGAAAGCTTGGAATAGAGTGGAGTGTTTTTAAGCACTTGCTCAAATAAAAATGGCTCCTTAAGCACACTCTCTTGAACTCGCTCGAACAGATTTATTGCTTTTTGCGGTTCGCCACAATCTAAGAGGGAAACTGCCAGCATAAAGCTTCCTGAAAGAAATTCATAGTTGTTATCCAAATAAAAGAACAAAATGCAAAATATTTACGTGAATCCGCTTTCTCAACACACCATCCCGATAATAGGCGCTCATAATCCTGAATGATAATATGATGGCATGTACCAAAAAGCCATTCAGGAAATACATCATTCCATGCCTCTGGCCAGCTGCAATGATATTCGAATTATAATAATGAACACAATTAATATATATTTCCTACTTACAGCATCTGATTGATGCACCCAACCAGCTGTAGCAGCGTTTGACGCATTGATAACTGATGCACTAATGCATTGGGTTCCTTTAACAACATCGATAGTGCGCTAAATAGGCCTTTTGATTGCAAAAACAAGCATAGCAGCGTTGTTTGATTATTTAAATATATTTTGCTCGAATAGGGTCTCGTATATCCACTAAAGAGCTGTGCGCGAGTCAGCCGCTGAATAGAAACCTCGCTTCACATGCAAAAGACATTAACATGAAAAAAGCTTTCTCGATTTAAATCATTAGTTGTCTTACAAGTTTACTGGCGTATTAAGAGAAATCGGTGTCTCTGAGATCCAAACAAGTGTGTAATAAGAATTCAAGAAATTGATATTAGTCATAATAGTGAAATCGCACTTCGAAGCGTTCCCATATAGAATATACTGTAAAATCAAAAGGTTCCGGCAAACGGCGAAACTGAAAAATAAAATTTATCATTAACATATATATATTTTCAACCTGCAACGAAAGTTAATTTCTACCGTATCATTGCCATTTGTTTGACAGTCTCAGCGAGAATGGAAATTCCATATTCGCTGCCAAACAATGCTCCTGTCGATTGAAGAAAACGCGTTGATTTTGAATGACCGCCTAAAATTAAAGATTTCATATTTAAAATCAATCGACAAATGCATTCTACATTTCTCGTAGTGTACCTGCGGAGTCCGGATAGGCATCTTCGTCAACGATAGCAAGTAAATCAAGAAGCATATTAATTGCTGCTTCTACAATCGCGATCGATTGAAGCTTTTTCCTGATTTGCTCGATACAGTCAATTGGCAGTGAAATTCCACCGTTATCAATATTATCATCACCCTTTGTAATTTGAATTAACAATTTAGTAAGAACTTCATCATCGCGTTGGTAGATTTTCTTTTCCATCTCCATTTTAATATCTTCGCTTAAAATCTTTTCTAATTGATTGATGACTTCCATTAGTTCAATGAACCCTTCGGCTGCTACAATATCATTTTGGCAAAAAGGTGCCACAAATGATGCCACTTCTTTGTTATGTTCTCCGACAAGCATTCGATGTTCCAGCATTTCACAAGGACGTAGCAATGCAAACGATTGCCTTCTTATAACGCAAACAGCATCCATGGCACTCAAAACGGATAAGCCAGTTGGCTCAGAGAACTTGATGTGATATTGCTCACAGCAGGAGTAGAAACGGTCCCAAAGTCTTGTCGCAATCTCTAAATACTCCTCATCGCTAACAACGAAGTCTTTCAGTTCATTTTGTATCTCATCTTCGACCGTCTGACAGACCTGCTCCTTGAGCATACCCATTGTTAATTGCTTAATATCAAATTGCATGTTAACGCGTCTGAACATCTGGCAAGGAAATCAACTTGATTATTTCTGTACTATTAAATATATCTAATTTAGATCTTACATATAGTGCCTTAGCGATTACGTTACGATCAAATCGACCTGGATGAAATATATAAGAACAGTATGCTTCTCGGGGATCGACACCCTGCTCAATCGTAAGACAATATCGATCTGGTGGGGGCTCCAATGCAGCCGACACCCATTTAACTGAGCTGTCAGTGTCTAAGAAAATTGCCGAGACATTGAATTCGCCCTCAGCATTGCTCCACAGTGTCCAAATATGCGAGCAAGTAGCATCGAAGTCAGCTAAATCGATTTGAGGAGCTGGCACCTTATGACGCACAGCTAGACCCAGAGTTTTGGTATTCGTGTCGCTCATTTGATGGCAAATAATGCTTAAGCAAATAAATTCAGATTCCCTTTCATGTGACAAAAATACACAAAAATTGTGATCGTCAATTTTACGAAGCAAACTGTTTTGTGCTAAATGAAATTACCAAAATAAATCAATATAATTAGATTTTAAGATTAAATCTAGCAAAACTTACGACCCTGAGCACCTTGAGACTCGCCACAGACATAAGATGCAACACTTTGTAAACTGGTTGCCGACCACAATCGTAGTTCATTATTTCTATAGAGAACCAAGAGAAACATTCCACCATCAATGCGACTAAATGCCATTGAGATAGCTCCCTCCAAATGTTCTCCACGTCCACTGTAATTGGATTTCATCACTATTTGTATAATAAGCTGTCTGCTGTTAATACTTACGTTAGAGCGCCTTTTAGGTTGGACAGAAAACGCGGCATTAAATGTGACTCTTTGACTTCGTGTGAAACCGTGCTGCCTGTTCGACAATTCATAATATAAAGCATAAGTTTTGAATGATAGTCAACTGCAAAGAATGCCTCGTCGCTATCTCCCGACATATCGGAGGCTGCAAGATGTGGCACACTAATAGCCATGGTGCCATCTATCACGTAGAATATGCTGCGATCTTTCAAGTATGATGTAGCGTCATAAAATATTGAGTTCCTTTGCGAGTCCACTGAAGTGGCAGATGCTGACGATGATGAATTATCCTTTTGCAATGGAAACACAATCCTATGAATGCTGCTGACGGTGACCGCCAAAAGTGTAACGGCGTCTGCCTTCTCAGAAAGTGAAACATTCAGAACTGCGGAGTCCGTAAAACGCAAACGTAGATGGTTCCTCAGGAGCGATACATCTAAACTAACTTCAGATAGTTCCACAATATCTTGATATGTGCGCCTTTAATAATATCAATATGTCAAGCATATATATATGTATGTACCTATCTAACAAAGTTTACCAATATATAAAGCGATTCCTGTTTTGGCCATTGGTAACACAATTATAGCAATAGCTACCCGACTTGCCAAAAGTCTTGATATCCTGCAGAGTACTTTGTGTTCCTGTTTTATTCAGAAAAAACATACATTTATCATTAGCTTTGCAGCGTACTAACAAACTTAATTGGCAGATGGTAACACACAACGCACCTGTATTTATTTCGACTTCTATCCACTCCTCGGGGTTTATATTTCTAGGTATAACCTCGCGATAGCTCATATTAGACTTTGTGCCCATCTTGTATTAAAAAATTTAATCACAAATATTGTAAATATCTCACAAATCTGCGGTAGCCGGCAAAAAAACACGCGCGTCTTATCGTTTGTTAGCGTTATCGATTACGTCAGTGATGACAAGTTACCATGGGTATCATAATTGAGATCGATTTAAATTCGGTGCGCAGTAATTTCCTTAGCTTCGGCAAACATATTGACACTATGAAAATTTGAAATATTTACTTAGTGCTGTTTTTAAGAAAAATTCTTGTGTTGTATAAATACATTTAGCCCCATTCGATATATTGTTCACTACGGAACTAGTAACCGTTAACATTAAAGCAACGCTGTGCTCAATTATGAGTAAACACTGTTAACAACAGTGTTGGAAATATTAACATTAGACGCCAAAACATGTGCCGACTTCTTAGCTAGTAACAAAAGGGATTTAATTGTTTATGTGATGCAAATATGGCAGAAAAGGCCAAGAACACAGATGCTTCCTATCAGAATGCGGATGACATGCTGATATGCCTGCCTGGAGACCGTTTGTGTCGCCAGGAGGATAATATCATTGTAGGTCAAGGTACCTATGAGCAAGGCGGCTACATTTATGCCAGTAAATCAGGAATTATCAACATTGATGAATCAAGTGAAAAAGTAAACATATTGATATATGTTTTATGAGAAAATGAATTAACAACTAACGTGTTTTAATTTCAGTGCCAAATTGTTAGTGTACACAAGCCTGGCTTTCATCTGACAATACCGGCAACAGGAGATGTCGTCACAGCTCGCGTTCTAGTGACAACACCAAAATTCGCAAAGTGTGCGATATTTTGCGTTAGGAACGTGTTAGTGGAGAGCAGCTACCGCGGTCTGCTGCGAAAGGAGGATGTCCGCGAAACAGATAAAGACCGTGTAGATATTTATAAATCATTTAAACCCGGCGATGTCATATTGGCGCGCGTTGTCAACCAAATGGAGCAATCCTTTATGTTAAGCACAGCTGAAGCAGAACTCGGTGTGGTGGTTGCATATGCCAGCGATTTTCGAAAATATCGAATTCCTATGGTGCCCATTGGTTGGAGCGAAATGCAATGTCCGCAAACGACGATTAAGGAACCAAGAAAGGTGGCAAAAGTATTGCCCGAAAGTTCAATTATGCCTGACAAATAAAACAAATATTACCGGACTAAAACTATCGCTAATTCTAAGGGAATTCGAAATTAAAATCATACTTTGGCAACTAATTTAAATCTAAAATTTATTAATATTAAGTTGACATTCGCATATTGGAATCATTTGTCATTTTTGTGAATAATGCAATTGAAGGAATGCAATCTCGGATTTTCACTTTAAGCATTGATTTTTGCAGTCCTTTTCACTGTCAAACAAATTTTTTGTGCCTTGGCAACCTCCATATGTGAAAGATTCGCATTGTTTAGTTTCCTTCATAAAGCGCCACTTTTCAATCGAAGCTTTACAGAGGCCCGTCTGACTCGGAGCGTCATCGCATAGTTCTGATGGTTTTAACGGTTTATTTCTGCCGTTGGCTACATTGCGAGGCCTACTCACCCGCATTGTAAGAGAAGCATATATGAATAGCAAGCAACAGAACTCCGATTATGGACCATGCGAATAAATTCATTTTAATTTTAAATTTAAATGTTTCAGGAATATTAATTTAAGGTTAGTTGATAAAATTCCATTGCCTTCTGTCGAGCAATTGATAAAATCGGATATTTTCTATTTCCATAAAGTTTCGGTTGTACCATCGTAGTATGCCTAGAACACAAAATTCTTAATTCTAATAGATATTTGTCGCTGGATATTTGTCTGAGCTGTTTTTGAAATGGATCCATTGAAATGAGAAATTTCCATGAAATTCCTACCCCCTGTTAAAAGTTTTCTATATTCTAAAATGAACAATCTTGAATTTTGTATAGCTGAGATCCAGTATTTTGACTTTATTAAAAATGATTTCAGTGTATAGAAGGAGCCATACTATTCTGAGTCTACTGTCCTGTATTTCGAACCCCAAATGTTCCAAATGGATATCAAAGGAAAATATTTCATGTTGCTTTGCCTTCATTGCCTTAAATATTATTGATTCTTACTATTTGAACAGTTTAATTAATTCTCTTTTCACAACCAACAAATAAAAAAACTTAGAAAGTAATCCTCACAATACATATCATGAAATATATTTCATTTTTGAACCTGATTCGGGACTGAATCTATACAATCCCAACACACTATGTTCGTCAAAAATCACTAAAGATTTAGGTGACCGCTGGTCCAGTTTTTGCTGGGTTTAAGGTAAATTATGTTTTTATCTACTTTAAGTGAAATAATTATTTACAGAATCAATTTAACTAAAATGTAGTCAACTAAAAAAAAAAGCGTGGAAACAGCAGCTTTATTTGCAATATGCAAACGTAATTATGTTAGCTAACATCAAAGTACAAAGTAACATGCAAGTACCGACAGAACAGAACAGTGTGACGCATTTTCGTTAACAGAGGAGTAACTTTATAATGTAAACAAAATAACATAATGTAACTGAGCGGTATGTTAATATAATGTTAGTTAGTTGTGTTAACTCATTGTCGATTTCTGCTGATTTCTGTTCGCCTGTAACTTTTTCTTATTTTCTCTGTTTTGCTTTGTTGCAATGAATGACATTTATTTTCAGGCATTAATTTACCTTACTAATCTTGCCAGCTTACAGGTGTGCTGTAGGAAGCTGCTCACATAAAAGCATTCAAACGTATTTACCTTTTCTTCAACATTGAAATGTTGCTTAAAATATTTTTTATATTTAAACGATATTTATATATAGTATAATTAACTAACTTTGAATTAAGACCCCTTCGTCATTAAGAGTCCCAGTCTAACTTTTGTTATATTGCCCAACATAATCAATTAATTACTCAGTTTTATGATACTTTGATTCAACTGCCTTGATTGGGCTTGAGTTGCAGAATTTATTGGGAATGTTATAAATAGATCTCGTGCAGAACATAAAACAAATACCATTCAGAATTTGTAAATTTGGTGCCAAACTCAATAACAATAAAAATTATGCTGGCAGTCAAAATGGAATCGCGTGCTCAAGCATTATAGATGGGAATTACTAATTCAAGCCTTGTATCTTATTGCAGGTAAGTAGGTCCGCAGGGTCAATGACTAAGCTAATGCCACGCCATGCTCTGACAATATGAACATTAGTGTTACAGGTGTGTGCACAACAAAAAGTGACTTAAACTATTTCTCTCTCTCTCTCTCGCTCTCTTTCCCTTTCTCTTCTACAAATATGTTGCAATGGACAGGGAAATGGACAGACTGCCAGCCAGCCAATCATTGTTTGATCAATAATCAGCACAACTTGTTTTGGCCATTACAATGCCGGTTAATATTCAATTGAAAATAAATAAACCAATATGATATTCAAATGAATCGGTTGACAGTAGACAGAGCCTGGGCATTCCAAATAATACTGGGGGACTGACTGACTGACTGATATATTACCTGGAAACTGCTCATTCACAATACAGCTACAGTGAGGGCAACGACGACGACAACGGCAGTTCCGGAAAAATGGTTCAGATTTCCCAAAGCGAGGAGGAAATTAAAATCTCTATTGAATTAAACAGATTGGTAACAAGAAAGCCAGATGTTGTGCTCCTGCCGCAGTATATAAAGTTCAACAATCCGCCAATATTCTTTGAGCGGCATCTTGCCCAGGAAATTGATGAAACGGCCAGTTACTGTCGCATTTTCAAGCATGAGGCGCGTATTGTGCTCATTAAGAAACATCTGGGGATCTGGCCGGAACTGTTCCAGAAGCTGGACAAGGAAGCTTTGATGAAAAAGCGCCTGGAAATTGCCGATCAGATTGTGGAACGCAACAAGAAACGGGACGAGATGGCTTTGGAGCGATATGAAAATAAGCGACGCGCCGAAATTGAGAAGGAAGTTAAGCGTGAAGACGACATGAGAGTTCGCATCAAGAAATTCCAGGAGACCTCCTGCCAAGAGGCTCTTATGGTGGGTGTGCGTAAAGCAACGCATGTCAAGCCCAGCTCGCTGCATGGCAACAACTCCATTGACAACGGCAACAACAAACAGCAGCCGGCGGTGGACGTACGACAGGCGACGCCGGTGGTACGATATCAACCACCACTTGCAATGTCAGCAGTGCGTGGCAGTGGACGTATTAGTGTGAGCTTCTCCAGTCAACATAAGATGAATACGCCTAAGCGCGAATCCCAGGAGGGAATGCAGATGCCCTTCACTATACATGACAAATTAAATGGAAATCCACCGACCCGAGAGAAAACTCCAATGGAAACGCTCGACGAGTGAGAAAGCATTTACAGCAAATTAAAATTAAAGGTGTGTGTGTGGGGGGTGTGTGTTTGACTAAGGGGTTCGTGTATGCATGTCTGTATATGTATGTGTAACACTTCTAACTGACGAAAATAAATGTACATTGTAACATCAGCAACTATTGCCATTTTTAGGAATATATTCGTTATTTTAAATTGGAATAGTTTTATTTTAAATTAGATAAAATATACAACAATTATTACATATGCATATCCATTATACTTTTTAATAAGCTTTTCAAACAAAAGATAATACGCGGGAATTATACACGTTCGCGTACCTATTCATTAGAGTGTTTCAGTATAGATTATTATTTAGAAAATATTTATATACTTGCCTATGTATGTAAGATTAACGGTATATACTTTATATATTGCAATTTCATAGCGTGTGTGTAAAATGCTTTTGACTTTTCTTCGAGTTATTTCGATGATTTTATTTAATTCCTATATTTACAAACTTTTTAATTGTCATTTTTATTGTTAATTATCGTTTTAGAATTCGAGTTTCATACTGTTAATGTATCGGTTTAATATCCAAAAAAGCAAGTCAATATCATCTACTATATTTTTTCAATTTTTCAACCAACGCCCATACCGCCTAATCCTTGACATCGGTGATGGGCGCGTATGGAAAATAATTGAAGACAAGATTTAGCAATAATTATCCTTATTGGCATCTTGCATCAACGACACGAGTATTAATTCCCTCACGAGGCTTAGGCTTAGCCATGCTACGAATATGAATCCATACAAATACCTTTATATATAATATATATATAAATATGTTATTTGAAATCAAATAAGACTTCAATAGCGATTACATATATATGTATATATATATCCATAATTACTCTTGGTATGTGTATATATGCGTGTAAATATGTACAATTCGATTTAAATTTTGATTTAAGGTTTAGTATATAGTATATAGGTATGTACGCATATTGGGATACTCTTATAAAGTATGGTAAAAAAAGCTTTGGCGCTTCGTAGTAATCCAACTGAGTGTCCAATCATAACACATCCTGTATCAGTTTTCTTTGGAATTACTTTTTTTTCTTGATTTTTGCAATTTTTTCCGGCTTAACCGAAGCCATCAGGGATCAAGCAGAGGTTTCATTGGTTTCCATCCAACCCTCGCTATCATCCTCACTGTCCGAATCCTCCGACTCCGATAGCTCAATGGCCACTCGCCTGGCCAAAATCGATGCCACATCCAACATTGCAGTATTGCGTTCAATTTCCTTTAGCTCCGACTTTTCCACCTTTCGTAATATAATGCCTGAAATAAAATATTTTCGTTTATGTCAATGTCATAAGAACTGTTAGTACTATTTTGTTACCGTCTCGAATAGCTTTCATCAAATCGTTGCGTGGATCATGGAATGGCGCCTGTATCTTTTTAGCACTCACAATGTGTGAGCCACCATTTGGCTGGCAAAGCTGCAGTTCACCATTGGCCAATACCTTTGGCAGAATTTGGTGCGGATGCGGCTGCAATTGTACTGCACCAAGGCCACTCTCGTCCACCGGCGGTGGTGGTGGTGGTGGCGGTGGTGCTACATTGGGTGGCGACATTTTTGGTGAGTGCTAAAAAAGTAAAAAAATAAATGATTTAATACAAATCTTTCATGACTGATATATGTATAGATAAGTTTGTACACCCACCTGATCGGGCACTGGCGGCGGTGGGGGCAAATCGCTGAGCGAGTTCATCTGATTGTTGTTTGTGATGCCCATGCTGTTGAAAGTGTTGTTTAGTTGCGCCATAACCATATCATTTGCATTCTGTGCACTGTTGCTGGGCGCCATCTGCGGAGAGCCAGCTCGCGATGTGCTGTTTGTGCGACCCAGTAGTTTAGCTGCCATATGACCACCGGCCATGCCGTTCATTCCCGACATCGGCGACACCACATCCGGCACTGGTGGCGGCGGTGGCAGCGCATCCCGACTCGTCGACATGCTTCGTCCACGTGTGGGCGTATTGGCATTCGATGCTGTTGGTGTACCACCGCCACTGCCGTTCGACGGTGGCGCTGGTGGCGGCTGCGATGGTCGCGGCTTAGTGCGCGATGGTGTGCCCGGTCCATAAATCTGTTCCGGCGACATTGCGCCCTGTCCGCTCTGGCCATAGATCCCATGCGACTGATGGTACAGTGAACTATCGTACATCTGTTGCTGCTGCTGCTGCATATGCATATGCGACGCAGCCGAGATGCCATTGGTGCCATATGCAGCTGCATATTGATTTGCCGCTGCTTGTGGTGTGAGTGGTTCGTAACCACTGCCATCGATTTGCTCTGACTGGTAACTGCGCCGCAGCTCAATTGAATTGGGCCGCAAAGGGCGTGTGTCGTAGATACCCATGTCTGAAAAGTAACCCAAAGGTATTATTAAACACTCAGTTACAATTTAAAAAAATTAACATATATAAAAAAATAAAACAAGAAACTCCAATGGAACGGATAAAACGTGTTAAAGATACACATAAAATTGCAAAAGAGGAAAAAATTATTGCAAGCAAAAACTGTATTTTTGTGAGTCTGCGAATAAAATGAGCTTCGTATTAATTAAATTAGTTGAAATGATTAACGCACAGGGTCAATTAAAGTGCGTCGTACGGCATTAACTAAGAAGACCTATGAACAAGGCTGGGAATTGTTACCAAAACGAAACCTTCAATGGTTAAACAGTCAACACTTGTTCGAGCCCATTAACCCAACTATAGTTTATATATTTATGTATTATTCCAATTCAAATCTTAATTAAATTTCTATTAAATAATTACGCTGTCTTCTCTATGTGCAATTCCCAACCATGTTTATGAGTCTTAAAAATGTAAAAAGAAAGAAAATGATAGAATTAGAAAGATCGTCCATTCAGAACTAATATGCCCACCTGGTGCAGGCAGGAAGTAGGGATTAAGTTTATGTATGCAAATTTGAGTGTAGGATCAGAGGAAATACTAAAAAAACGTAATGCTAAAAGTGGCATTGCTAACTATGGGAACCTAGAGTGTGTTTATGTTTAGTTATCTAATAAGTATCAAATTTTGCAATTGTTTAATTGGCCAATCAGAGATCTTCGATACTACTATTATTAAGTAATTGCCATAATTAACTTAATAACAGTAGTAGAAAATAATTTTTTGCTTTTCCTATATTACTTTAGGATATGAATCCTGAATAAAATTATAAATGTTCATATGGTGCTTTCTGTTTATCGTTGTTGTTGTATATCTGCGGAACCTATAAGCAAAATGCCGAGATAGAGCAAGCTAAGTACACACGCAATGTACACAAAAGATAAGTACATAAAGGGAGACTAAAGTGGCAAAGTGATAGTAGTTAGGTACGATAGAAGTAGATGAAGGAACATTTATACATACAAACACAATCGATGTTCTTGTGTTTCGAATTTAATCTGTTGATCTGACCTGTTATAGCGATAGCCGTTTGTTTTGCTAGATTACTGTTATTCTCCAAATGTGAGAGCATATTATAGGGCTTAACAGAATCTGGAAATGAGATGATCATGCGGTGTTTCGTTTAAGCTACTTAAAATACAAATATGTATACACAGACTATATAGTTACAACAACAATGAAGCTAAAACATATAAAAAAAACCTATTCGATTTTGAATAGATTCAATTGGGTTCTTAACTATGATAATGTTTGAGCTTTTCCCCTTTATGGAGAGCTCCAATCGATAAGTCAATTAATGTATTACATTTAATAAATCGGCAATTTCAATTTTGCAATTTGTATTATTGCTGCACAATCATTTGTTTTAGAAAAAATTGTAAACTAGCAGTGGATCATCAGTGTATTACGTTTAGCCAATTATAATTCTAGCATTTGACGCATTTAGGTTATGGTTAAGAGCAATGTGTTAGGACTCGAAATTAAGGATTGTTTGCTATGTTAATTCGCTTTTTCGGTGTTTGCTGTGACTCATCATTAACATTTGCTGTCTTTGTTATGTTGTTAACACTTATCAATAATGGTTAAGTGATACGTTTAATAACATTTATGCAAGGAGTGGTCATTAACATCTGCTTGCTGTATTAAATAACATTTACAGTATATGTTAAGAGTCATCATTAACAATAATTCATATTTACAGTGTTAGTTAAGGCTTGTTATTAACATTTGCTTGCTTGTTAAATAACATTTATAGTATATGTTAACACTCATCATTAAGATTTTAGTGATACGATTAATACATTTATTCATAGACTCGTAATTAACATTTGCTTGCTATGTTAAGTAACATTTACAGTATTTGTTAATAATTATTATTAACATTCTTGCTATGTTAAATAACATTTACGGTATTTGTTAACAATCATCATTACCATTTGCTTGCTATGTTAAACAACATTTACGGTATTTGTACAAAACCGTCATTAACTTTAGACTGATATGTTAATTAACTTTTACAGTATATATTAACACTCGTCATTAACATTAGCTGCATAGGTTAATTAACATTTACAGTACACGTTAATACTCGTCATTAAATTTAGCTTAATACAAAAATTGCATTATTATTGTGCCATGGGTTGATCAAGAGTATAAAAATAGTATTGTTTGGTTCGATAATGAAGCTGGATAAATGAAGTGACCAGAAGAATAATAATGTACTCTATAGTGGCGCAGATGTTTGTAGAAATGTACAAATGAATGAATCATATTGATTTGGAAGCTCTTGGCAAGCTTTGCAAGTAGCAAGCGATTGCGGGAAATTCAAATTACATGAAAACTCTTTAGGTACATACAAATTTGGATTAACATTTTGTGAATATTAAAACCAAAACGAAAGCCAAGAAATGCGCGCAGTCGGTGACGTTTCGAACTTCGAACTGCGGGACTTTGATGTACCGTACCTACTTGATATATATCATCGATATTCGCCGGCTGTTGTTGTGCGGGCCGCCTTCGACGTGCCAGCGTTCCCAGCTGAATATCGCAGTCAGCGTTTACAGTTTGGATTTCGATTAGCTGAGCTATATTTGCATACAGTAATTGGACGTTAATCAATATGATTATGTGGGTAAAATTAGAGCAAGTACGTAAGTACGCATTGTTCTGATGACACACTTTAAGGCAACGATCATTATTAACACTCAATGTTCAGTCAAATTTCATTCACACAAAAACATTTCATCGACATGCCAACATATCGAACATTTCAACTTTGTTTTAATTGTAGGTGTATCTCAACGGGTACAATTGAAATAGCAGAAGTGCAACAAATAAATGAAATTTGTTTTAAAACAGAATTTCATATTGAAATATTTCTTGCTTGAGTTTTAGTTAGACACCTACACCTTCACCTATGCCCAATATTATTTTGTTGTTTCATATTGCTTTGGCTTTATTATTGAAAATGCGTCTACTTACTGCCATATCCGGCCTCTTCATTTGGCATAGCGTTGGGAGTGCGATAGATAACATTGTTGGGCATCAGTGTTTCGCCATGGCCTAATGCGATTTGTCGCTGCTTTTCGCGTGTATTGTGCGGTGTTCGAACACGTTTGTTGTGTCGATTGTTTTGACCACCGCCAGCGCCCTCTTGTCGTGGTCGATGCGTCTTTTTGCCCTTGTCATGCATCACGCGCTCTGTATCCTTGAGCATCTCTTGTCGCCACAGCTCAAAGAAGTAATCGGGATCCGTGTAGAATTTGAGTCCATCTTTGCCATCGTCACGGTAGACATTGAGCTTGTCTAGTGGCGGTGGCTTATCGCACTGTGCATACGTCTCCAGCATGAGGGCGGGCATTGTGGAACGTGAAAAGATCTGCTGATCAAATATCTTCGCTGATTTAAACGCTTTCTTGCGCGTTATATCGGTGAGAGGAACTTCCTCCACAGTGCTATCCAACTGAGTAACCTTTATAGCCAACCGATCAATTCGCGCCTGCAGTGAATTAGCTCGATCTCCAATATTGCCCACATCTCGCGCTAGCTCGCCAAATACGTCCTCCGCATGTTTCGATAGCGACGACAATTGACGTATTATGTTGGTCAACGTGGTATTAGTGACCGTCTCCAATTCCACAGACTGCAGTTCATCCTGTTGATAAACGGATCGCGCAACATGCACGGGCTCTATGGATCGCTTGGGCAACGGCATGTTTATCAGCAAGATTGTTAAAAGTCCTACAACTAAGCAGCTTTAGCCTGGCTAACGCCTTTTCATTGACTGCAAAATAAATATAATATATATATATTAAATAGTTTGGACGTGAGCAATGGAGTTAATGCGATTAGGTGTCTTTAAACAAGCACTTGAAACATTGGAATATAGATTAACTATTTTAGTTGTGCATATTTCTTAGTTACGGCACGTGTTCGTCTAGTATTGAGCTAATCAAGCTCTAATTAATTTCATTTACTTTAATTCTGTTTAATTACATGAAGTAGCCCCTTTGTTCTTAATCAGAACTGCAATATACGTATTGCACGCAAGCTTTTTTAGTTCGTTATGCTCCACAGAGTTAACCAAGTTAACTCTCTACACACTGAACTAAAAAAAAATCGAAGTAAACAACTAGGTGATGGAAAATTATTTTATTTTAAATCAAAACTGATTGTGACTAACAAAATCAAATTTCTATTATAGTTACAATAGAAGATAAATTAACTGGATATTTTATTTTCTACTTTTTATACTTTAATCTTCAACCTTACAATATGTAAAAGTATATATATAATATATATTTTTATATACTTTTATATATTGTTATCTGATAACCTATTTATATGTATATAAATATAAATACATATATATATATATATATATATATATATATATATATATATATATATATATATATAAATTATTGGTCATATACATTTTACTACATGATTCGTGATTCGCTTTAACACCGGGGCGAGGTGTTTTGCACAGGCCAAGACACCCTCTTATGTGTGTCTGTATGCTTGTGTGAGTGTGTGAGAACTTTTAAGCGTATTCAATTGTAAATTTGCTTGCTAAAAGAGCCAATCGTCATTTGGCGTGGACCACACCCACGAGATATGAACCGAAATTGTGATAAGCACACTACAAGCACTCCTTAACCATATAATAGAGTATTATAATCGCGGACTACTTGAGAGCGTTTTAGTTGCTTTTATCATTTGTCACTGCCACCAAAAAAAAAGTTGTTGCTTTAATGCCAACTGGAGCCAAAGTTGTAAATATGTCTCCGTGAGTATGTGTGCAAGTGTGCACATGCACATACATATGTACATATAGACATATATATATATATGCGTACATATAGACAGTTGTCAAATAAAGGCTACACACAAAACATTTGGATTAAAATTCGCACACACAAAAGCGCTCACACATACGCGCGCACGAAATTGTATATTACTTTCAAAAATTATCAATTTCCTTTGCACAGTGGCAAGTTGTTAAACTAGATAGCACTAAATTTCATTTGGTCTCCGTCATCCCCTCTCAACTCACCTCACGTCACGCACACTTTTCACTCACTGCACAGCAATATTGGTTTAAGCCTTCGCGGTAACATACACTTCTATTATCGTATTACAATTTGTGAAAGTTAATTGCCTTAAATTTTACACTAAATATGTATATTTTTGTTTTTTCAATCTTTTTGTAAATTTTTGGATTTCCACACCTTTACTGTAGTGGTGCACAATTGCATTAGCACTGGATTAATCGATGTGCTATCGAATAGATGACACAAAATTTCAAGTTGGAATTGCAGAGTTGTGTTCCGATATCTACAATCAATAATGGAACACTTGTACAAATTTAAAACTAAGCTACAAGGATTATAGAATAAATTATTGATAAACAATTTCGAATTCTTGTATAATTTTGCATATATTTATATAATCTTATTTTAATGACCCATCGTTATCGATAACATATCGCAATAATGAGGAAGCAGAACGACCCTGTTTCATTGCATTCTTAAGACGTAAGGTTTTCACATATCCTACATAATTTTTTGGCCGCATAATAGTTGAAACTTATATATCTTTTAGATTATAATACAATGGCTAGCGTTGCTTCAAAAGGATCCGGCCTCATTAATAGTAAGATTATGACTCCAATAGTAGTTATTTAATATTTAGTACGTTTCGGAAATTATGTAATGTTTCATTTTAACAGAGCTGCTTGTGCAAGCAAGACCACAGTTGGATGTTTTCTTGAAATATGCCAAAGTGGAGCTAACTCCACCAACTCCAGCCGATATTCCAGCTATTCGCCAAAGCATTGGCAATATAGTCAAAAGTGCAAAGACCGGATCTTACAAAAACCTTTCGGTCAAGCAAGCATGGCTTAACACACTTGTCACCGCCGAGGTTATCTTCTGGTTCTACATCGGCGAGTGCATTGGCAAGCGTCACCTTGTTGGCTACAATGTCTAAATTTACGATAAATTAGCGAATGAAAATTATACTGTCATCGCTGACGATTATGTATGTAAACGAATAAAATTTCAAAATTAATAGTGAAATTACTAATTCGTGATTGGATATGCTCAATTTTTGGAAGACGTTCTATTTCGTAAGACTTAGTCGTGTGTAAAATCCATCGTTTTTTTAATTTAAGGCCCATCTCATCATTTGAAATGTCCATAAATCTAAATTATAGCAGCCTATACAAATTCCTTTAATAGAAAAATAGAACATTGTTCGCAACAGAATCACAGTTAAAGAATTTTTAACTTAGGTACAAGTTCCGTTAAAAACAATTTTTGGCTGGTCAAAAAACAATTTAATTTAGTTCAATATTTGAATTCTCTTAAGGGTCTCAATTTCTGCAACATATAGTTCAATATGTACTTATTGGGATGTAGTAGCTGCCTTCGATGAATAAAGGTTATTTGAAAAAATAATTTTAAATTAAAATTTTCAAACATACAAGTTTAGTATCAATTATTGATAAATCAGAATAAAATAAACAAAACGTTAGCAGAACTTAAATACCTTAACTTAAGTACCTCTAATAGTTCATGAGAGCTAAAGTTAGTGGAAGTTAAAGATAGTAGAATTTCTTTTCTAGTGCATTCTGTGGAATGGCATGCAAATTAGTACCAACAAGCGTAGCTAGTTTCTTAGCATATTGGCAAACAGCCGGCACTCGAGTGGTGCCCGACCAGTTGTAGTACAAATGGCACATTTTGTACGTTAACCTTTGCACCTTATCGGGACTGAGACCAATATTGCTATATAGTACATTATAATTAGTGGGCGAAACTGTGCCCTGACGCACAGTTTGCGATACAAGGTAAAAATCGTAACGTTCGGGCAACGTGACCACATCATCAACGACAGTTCCCGGCGGCGGATTCCTTTCGTTGCCGAGAAAGAATCGCGTATTTGACGATTTAGTGACCACAATGTATGCGAGCATCGGGGCAGTTGAGGACACCTTTTTGTATTCAATATTAAGTTTCTCGACAACATCTTTGACTTCGTACTCGAACAATTGTTTCAAGGAACCCGAACTAACACCATCGCGATAAAACACAATCCGAGTGGGCAAAGTCTGATGCTCCAGTTGATATTGCCTTAAAGCTTTCAGTATCATTGGCCACAAATTATTGGCTAAAACATCGTAGGCACTGCACTCAGCGACTGTGCTAAAGAAAGTGGAATTCCGCTGTAAGTCCATTGAGGCCACCAATGCCCCATAGGCTTTGTTGCGATCCCGCGAGCATTTGGCAATATCAAATCCAATGGTCATTAGGCCCGACAAGGGTAGCTCTATCATCCAAGGGGTATAACCGAGCTTACAATTTATTTGTATTGCAATTTTAGTGGCAATACTTAAACCATTCTTATTACTCCTTGTAGTTACCACTTGTGTGGGTATAGCCTTATCCACACAACCTCGCTTCTTAATAGACGAATACCTAAACGGAATATATTTCGAATTTAAGCATATTAAGGTGAGTAAGAGTTAAAATTATTGAAATTAAATCTAACCTTTCAGCATTGTTGTTTGGAACAAGGCATAAAACCAGTTTTGGATCTTCGCGCGTGCAATCGTCCAGGGCTTGAATATAGCTGCTTGTGCGATCATCATAAATCATAAGTCTGAAAAATACAAAATAAAAATAGAAATACACTGCAATATAGTATCAGAGATGTAGATATATTTATAGTTACTGTCTAGGACTCCTAATTTGAAAGCCCATCCCGGCTGCAGCACGATTCAGATTAGATAGCAGGGTCCTCAAATCGGATGAGCAACGTTCAGGTGCAATTACAGCCCATCGATCCAAACCGTTTCTTGGCGTTGTCAACATCTGTTGATTACGAAAGTGTCGTGTCCAATCCGCAACGTCCCCGGCAGATAATCTAGGAAAAAAAGTTTTTAATTGACAGCAGAGAAAAGAATTGTAAATTACAAAATCCTAACCGATGATCATTATTGAACACAATCTTTTGCGGTGAAATTACACGCCCCTGGACTTCTATAAGTTGCTCTTCAAGTGTCATATTCCAATCAGTTAAGACCTTCACACTTTCCGCTGTTTTACGGAGCCTTCTGTTAAACGTTTGCAAGCGTTCAATTCGTCTTTCCGGATTCATACGTGTATGATTTGACATAGCACGCATGAGTCTGCAATTGAAATCAAGTAAATATATACGAATTGTATTTATTATAAAGAAAGACTTACTCAAAGTTTGAGCGCATACTATCCGTAAGTCCCGTAACGCGGCATAGTTCGGGAATAAGGATTACAATGTCATTGGCTTTGCTATTTTGAGCGTTGTCCTTGTTTTTAGATATAAGCAGTGGCTGATTGTGGTCCCTTATGCGAATATTATATCTCTAGAACATAGAATATAAATATATAATTTAAGTTTAAGGATTGAAATTGTGAAATTGTGTTATGTTCTATGCATACCGTGAGATAGTATTCTATGAAACTAACATCCTTGCCCTTGCAGCTAAATGTGGCACGTGGAGTTTGTGCAAAGTCGACATCATTAATGCGATAAGTTTTATTGTTATAGTCGGTGAGAACAATTAACCCAAGTATATTAAGGCGAAATTCTTCCTGATGCCGTGCTGGATTGGCCGAGGTCCGACGTAGTATATCGTAAACTGTTTCTGTGCGCATTACCTTATGTGTAATCTCGGCACAAACCAAAATATCCTTCTCGTGCTGACGAATTGATGTTTCATATCCAGGCCAAAGTTCAATCGAGAAATTACTCAAAGAAACCTTAAATTTATATCTGTTTAATGATCCCTTTACAAAGGCAATTGACAATTCAAATAACTTACTCGAGCATGGGGATCAAAGAGATTACGTCCGACCTGCTCTAAATTAAGACCCTTCATTGCGCGACGCAATATCAAATTCAAGACTTGCAGAAATCGTGGCTCAGCTGTCGATATATAACCCACGCACTTTATAGTGATTGTGTAATTGACGCCCTGCTTTGAAGTTGCCTTCAGAACAGTAACATCCTGCTCGAATTTCTTGGTCGTAAAGAGCTGATTGCCATCGAATAGGTAGCCCGTACCTAAGATTCTTGCATGCTGCGATAGCACGCCACAGCGCACACGCACTAGCTCGATCTCTGGAGCAAAATCCACATGGTAGTGTACAATGCGCCATTGCGGTTTCGTTTGCAAACGATAATAGTTTGATAGCAATCTAATTTGCATGCCTTCTTTGCCTCGTTTAGTTACTACATCAGCTGGCCTTGTATTAACAATTTCAAAGCGATCAACTCGTCTGCGATCGGACTTGTGTCCACCAGGGCCACTAGGCCGAGATGACGAAGCTTCGGCTGGATCACGCGAGCTATGAGATGTGGCAGCTGCACGTGATGTCGATGCTGCATGGGATCTAGAAAGTCCACGTGAAGAGGAAGCCTCTGATCTGTCTCTATCACGAGATCTGGTATCATCACCACGAAAAATCTTAGGACGCTGTTAAAGAAAGGAACAAAAATAAGAATTGTATATATCATGATCATACTTTACTTTAGTCAATTTTATTTAAATTGACATTTTTATAGGATGTTGAATTAAACAACCGTTAAGTGTAATAAGTAATACTTTTGATTGTTAGTCTGGCAACGCTCGATTTTATGTTCCACTGACGAACATATCGATATGTTTCGATAACACGGGACGTAAGCATCATTTAAAATTCCACGACAGCATATCTGCTTTCGAAATATAAAACATTAAATAACTAAAGAAATCATTAACTTACAAATACATATATAAATACGTCCACATTCTATATCAATTTAAAAATCTAAATTAAAAGCTTTCGAAATAAAACATAGCACACACAACACAAGTCCTTTATATATACAAGTTATATGTAAGTCCAACAAGATGATTGCTGGACGGCCCAGGGTTCTAGCAAAACTGTCTGACCATACGAGACATCCGCCGCTCGAGCTATTACAAAGTAAAGCATTTTTGAATATTTTATTTTCAATGTTCCGCTGACTCTTTTATTTATTTTTCTTCGATAATTATAATAACAAATTACAATTTGTTAATATTTTTTAACTTTTATTTTTTTTATAAAATTAGTTGAAATTTGTATTTACTCTTAGAATCGATCAACAAAAATATGAAATCTGAGCATTAGTGCAATGAGCAACTTCAAATTGTAAGTTTTATAACTTCAAGAGGCAGCTAGAGTTTCGCACACATTTACATAAATGTCCAAACTTGTGAAGAAGGGACTGTTAATGTATGCATGCTTGTCGAGAAAATATATATTTGATGTTCATCAATGTTATAATACCCTTCCCTCAAAAAATAATGAAAATGTTAGAATGTTGCATGAGCATGGAAGCCCGAATCGTGATTTGTATATACCTTTCCCTCAAAAGGGTAAATTTGGAACTCATGGTAAGCAAATTTCAATTTTCGTGCACTGCTGCCTCAGCATACATCAATTTACACACATATATACATAATTTTGAGAGCGCAGAGATACGAATACACAACAAAATATGAAGCATAGTGGAAATTCACACAAGGATCGCTAATGCTGAGATTCCATATTTTTGTTAATCAAACCTAAAAGTAAAAAACCTGAGCAAATACGAAGTTGAATCGAACCTAATCAAATTTTATAAGTTAAAAACGTTTGTACTAGATATAGAAACACAATGTGTTCACAAAGTGTTTTCTAAATATCTGGACACAGCTTTCCGTTAAATTTTAATATTCATACATTCAATTTATATTCCAAGGACGATCTACAACGCTTTACACATACAGTATAAAATATTGTTCACGTACGATGATGCACCATACAAATATGAAATGGCCGCATCAGCAAATTTTACTCAACTCGCCCAACTTTATGCTTCTTGAGTCCGAGTGTAGATAACGGCATTCAAAGCTGGAAATGACAACGCTCTCAAAAATCGTGTTGCTTGAATACACGGACGTGTGAGTTGAGAAGCATTTAAATACATGTTATGGTTGACATACGTTCCAATGCATACACTCATTTATGGGAGCTCAATACATATGTATGTATATATATATGTATATGAAATTCTATATATGTATGAATATATACTATTTTTATTCTACTTGATTATCTTGATTATCACAAGGAGCTTAGGAAATACTTACTGGCTGTTGTACTGATTGAGTACTAAAGTCGGACTCATTTAAAGGTCGGCGGCGACCCCGTTCTTGATCACCCATTGCGAACTTTATATTTGTTACTAATATTTTTATGATACTAAGAAACCAATGCCCTCCCCAAACAAGACTTGAGATCCGAATGATCCAGTGCTCTAATTTCCAAAACTAATAACACTAATCGATGCCGATTTTAAGAACCGCGTTTTCGATATATTAAGTTGTCGATTACACATATGAACAATTATAATAAGAAAAGCTCATTTTTTAAATCTAAATTTTGTAATTAAAAGGCACTGCGGAGTTATGTACTATTAATTAAAATTTTAATTTAATTATTACTATTTTAACAATAACATCTGTTTATGATTTTAAGGAAATTGGTTGCTGTTGTTAGCATGCTTTCATCATGTTATGTTTACAGATACTCAACATTTTTCTTCTTCTTCCAAATTAAGAAAAAGCGCAATAGGAAAGGAAAAGTAAAAATCAACAAACGATTTTTTTTATAGAAAATGGATGATATTAAAGTATTTCAACGTTTTCTTAAAGATGTGAAGCATATTAAAGATTTTGAACAATTTCAACATTTTGATCATAATAAAATCATTCAGAATAATAGAAGAAAAATATGTAAACTAAAAGCATCCAGACGTCCGCGTTTCAACCCAATGGAGCAAATGAATGAAATAGAATTTCGTAAAAAATACCGATACACAAAAGAAAATATGAGGCGGATTATAGAAATTGTACGCGATGACTTAGAAGTTGACTTCTACGAGCCACTGAAAAGAAATCAAGTGCCAATAGATTTACAAATTTTAGCGGCAATTCGATTTTTCGGCGGCACTGAGGTAATGTATGCATACATATGCACATGCATATATATATATTTATCTTCGTCTCTTTTCTAGCATCCACAACTAACAGCTATGGCGCATGGTGTTAGTCTGCATACAATGGATAAGATAACGCGTCGTGTGGCTGCGGTATTATCATCAAAGGCGTCGCGGTATATTCGAATGCCAGCAACACTTTCAGAGAAAGAACGAATAATGCGTTCATTTCAATCCCTTTCCAATATGCCCCAAGTAATTGGCGCTCTAGTGCAAACCACTGTGCGCCTGCAATTGGAGAGTAGGAGTAGCTATAGTGGAACTGAATTAGCAGTTACAAATGAGGAACTTGTTCATTTGCAGCTGGTTGCAGATGCCGAGCATAAGATAAGGGATCTGGATATCCGTCTCTCTGAAGAACTAGATCCAAACACAGCGCCGGAATTGTTTTCGTTATCACGGATTAAGGAACGTTTTGAGCAAAATGAATTTCGTGGACGCATACTACTTGGGAATGACTCCCTCTCCTGCTCGCACTGCCTCTTTACTCCAGTTCAAAACCCGAAAAATAAATCTGAGGATCTTTATAATCATGCCCATGCTTCAACCTTTGCGCCAGCAATCAAATGTCTAAACTTTTGGATACGCCGCTTCGGAATTCTTAGTAGTGAACTCTTGGGGACATTTGGGTCGGCTAAGCATACAATTACCGCTTTGGCTCTGCTTCATAACATGGCAATGGAGTGGAATGATCCTTCCATAGGTATTTTCATGAAAACACAATTCAAGTTTTGTTTGCCTAATACAAAAATATTCTGCTTTCTAGATTCCGACGGTTCTGTCTCTATATACAAACCGAACTTTTCATGCTCTGCCAATGGTGCAACGATAAGCGACGAGCAACGCAATCGAAGTGAATTCATTAAAACTCATTTTTCTTGCAATTGAACCATATTATTTGAAGCATGGGCCAAGTATTATTAATCCTAAATAGAAATGTGCGCATTTAAATGACATTCAAATACAATTATAAACAAAGTATATAAATTATTTAATAAAAGACATATATGCAATTTAAGATTGAACTGTATTTTATTAAATTTTGCAGAATGGTTTTCTGTTTAAAAGCTTGATAATATTTAAAAATATATAAATAAGTGTATAAAATTTGTTGCTACAATAAACTCTCTCGCTGTTAACAAAATGTTAAATTAACAGTCATGAAATATTCTTGTTCTAGCTGTGTATACATTGTTCGTGGCAAAGAACCACATCTATGGTTCAGAAGTGAACTACACGTGTTGAGGTTGCAGCAGGTTTTGAGAGTGTGTTTTGTTTTGTTTGCTCTATCTACAATTGATATTTACATCAAAATTAAAACACTACTTTTCATTGTTACAAGTGGCACCTTTAATACACACACAGTTTAAGCACCTACGTATACAAATTTAACACATTTACATTCATTTGGCTCACAGAATAAGTTATAAAAAGCGGTTAAAAGAAGTTATTGTGAATCTGTATGCAGTTCGGCGTTTAACAACTAATTAAAAAATAATCCTTTAAAAAACCATCTTTTGCTCGACGTTGAGATTTGACATCCAAGTCACAACGTTTTATTTGCGATCGGAAACTTCATAGTGATTGCCCCCAACAACAACGGCAACATAGTGTGCAAAAGAGTTACAACACCTTGTCTGAGGACATGTTTGTGACCTAAATTCAACAACCCCACACACAACCAGCTGATACCTACTTGCGCAAAAGTAGCACAAACCATAAAACGAAAAAAGATATAAATTAAAAAAACCGTGAAGGTCACCAGATTTTGAACGCGGTAAGTTTAAAAAAATAGTGTGCATAATCGAACTTCTATGTTTAGTTTATTAAGCGCCAGTAATTTCGAAGCGTGTTTACATTGAGTAAGCAATAAATAAATCTGCTTGAACTATTCACGTGCATTTACAAATAGTTGTGGCTGCACGTTTAGATGCGGGGGGAGTTCATAAACTTAATATACAGTAAATGACGAAAATACAGTAATATATGAATTCACGAGGTATAAAATACAGACAAGCAGATTGGATCTGTTGGAAATATTTTAAAGTTATTCGAAGTTGTATGTATGTATTGGAATTCTGTATTCTAATTCTGTTATATAGACTGTGTTTGATTAAATAGCCTGAATGCACTAAATCCTGTATTGAGTGCATTCAGGCTATTTATTTTTAGAATTATTTTATTGCTCTCTTTGTAGATAGAGCTATTCAACAGAGATAACCTTCAGAAAAAATATATTTAATGGTTTATGGTAATTAAATTTAATGAAATTATGTTTCTATTAATCAAAATCCGTTATCACACAAGAGATCAAAATCGAACAATTTTATTTTAAGATATATGATATATAAAAATTATGTATTCAATGAATCTGCAACGAATTTGAAAAGGTTTCATCGAGGATAGCTAAATAGATAAGACTAGAGACAGGTCGAAACTATTTGTGGAGCTATGAGATAGCCTGGCTTTTAATAAATATATATTTTTAACGATGTATTACAACTTTTGTGCTCTTCTCTCTCTCTCCCTATTTACCAGGTGCGTTCTTGGTGTGTGTGTGTGTGTGTGAATTCATGTGTATAGCTGTAGGTTGATTAAGAGATAAATCTAGTATGTTCATGTATAACGCTTCAGAAGTTTATGGAAAATCGCCCGAAATGCACCAGTCTAATCAATTCTTGAATGACAACGGAATTAATACCAGCAACAACCGCAACCACAACAACAACAATAGCAATAGCAACGTCATCAATGAACATAATTTAAGACATTGCAATAATGACAATGCATTTACCTACTTTAAGAACGGAAGTGTATTTGGTCCAGTCTGGAACTTGAAGAGCCCAAGTCGTGCATCCAATCGCAGTCCATCGAAAAATACGAAGGTGTCAAGACAAATAAATAAAACTTACTACTCAGTACCTGGAACGGAACAAGTACCCTATTCCAATGCATACCCCAATTCGTTTGCATCGCGAAAGACGACAACTACTACGACGACGGCCAACAACAATAGCCACGTCTATCAGCCGCTACGTTTGCAGCCCACAGAGTATTATAAAGCACCCGTCCAGCAAAAGGCCCGACATGGATATGGACATAGTAATAGCGCGCCCAACAATCATGATTTGGCACACTATACGCAGGCATCCCTTGAAAAGGATCAACTCAAGAGGCAGCTAACAGCTCGAAGTACATGCGAATATTTGGATGATGCTTCAACGTACTCCCACAGCCATAGAGCTCCCGGACTGGAGCAAAGCTGGGATAATACGATGTAATTCTGCAAAAACAACCCTTAAACCCAATGCTTATCCTTACTGTCACACAATTGATATAATTTTATAATTTTAGTGTTTACCTGTAGACACACACACTAGCCACCTTTTTAATTAACTTATACCGTTGGCCTAATTAGTAATATTTTAATTGTATATTCGATTTAATTTATAATTTTGTACACATGCCAAGCTTTTAAATTTTATTTTATATTTTGCATTTAAAATCATTTTAATTTTAAATAATTTTAATTTATCTTCGTTGCTAGCTCTGACGGTCCAGGATTTCAATCAGCAGATCAGCACTACGAGCATTATTTTTCATATTTTTACAATCGTGGTCCAGAGAAGTCACATAAATCAAAAACAAATACTATACGAACTTATCAACCACAAATGAGCTTAGTACAAGAGACAACGAGTAAACGCTCGTCGAGAAGGCCCGTAGCCCACAATGATAATAATCAAAATATAGAATATGATAGTTATTTACTGAAGGAAAACAGTGAACTGCCATTTGGGTATAATGATAGTGATTGGATTGATTTCCCCATCGACCGGCTGGAGAAATCTTCAATTAAATTAATTAATGCTAAAGATGTTTATGAGCCAAAGTCTCCCAACGATGAACTGTTCAATGAGAGTACACAACGTCGATGCGTTAAACTGGGCGATATTCATGAAATAACCAATAAAGGTGAATCCGTGACAGTTAAAAGCAATTTAACAAAGAAAACACTTAAAGCCAATGAACCTCTGCCATTACCGCGTCTGCCACTGACGCCCAAAAGAATTCGAGGCGGACAAGCATCCGCTAAGAAGGCATTGCCCACTGTCCATCGAGTTCTCTTATATAATAGTCAGAGTCCACGCTCGGCACGTAAGCATCATCAGTCGTCTAATTTCCGCAGCCAAAACGTAAAGCCCAACCCTCAACCCAAAGGTCAATCTGCGGTTGCCGATCAGCTCACTAGTTATATAGTAGAAGATCAAGATGAGAAGGGCCACGAGTTTCGTGATGCTGATTTTGATAATGATGACGATTTAGATAACAGTAAGTTTTCTTAGCAATTCATTTAGAAAATTTCAATTCATTTCAAATTAATTAAATTTCAGTCTCGAATTTCGATGAGAGCGAAACAGTTAGCATCAGCTCTGATACTGAAGATGGGTATAGGGCGCATGCATATAAGCTGGCACACTCGGGCGAGCGGTTTTTATCCCCATCCAAAGAATCTTCAACTTTGCTTTTTTCGCGATCTTCCGATGACGATCTAAGAAATCCAGAATCCGTCTTGGTCTCAAGTCTCTTTCCATATGTGCCGCCCTATTTATCATTTTCGTCGAACACCAAAAAAGGACCCAGTGTCCCACCAGAGTTGCATAGAATCTTAAAGTGGCGTGTCACAAGCATTATGCCAAAAGTTGTTCGACTTATATTGGCCAATAGTGGCATGCGGATGTTGAAAAGTGAGTAATTGAATGTTTGAATTGAAGGTTTTAAATGTTAATTAAATATTTTGATTTATAATAGAAACAAACGACTGGATGGGCGTGTGGGGCAAGCATTTGAAGTCGCCCTGCTTCAAAACAATTCGCTCATATCAGAAAATAAATCACTTGCCTGGTTCTTTTCGTATTGGACGTAAGGATTCCTGCTGGAAGAACTTGCAAAGACAGATGAGGAAACATAGCAACAGGGAGTTTGGCTTTATGCCACGCACCTATGTTATTCCCAATGATCTTTGCGCATTGCGCAAACGTTGGCCAAAATATGCGCAACGTAATACGAAGTGGATAATAAAGCCACCGGCGAGTGCACGTGGTGCTGGCATTCGTGTGGTACATCGTTGGGGTCAAATACCCAAGCGACGACCACTCATTGTACAGAAGTGGGTGAACTAAATATTAAATATAATGTGTAATATTTAATAATTTTTGTTACTAGATATATTGAACGTCCCCTACTTATTAATGGCAGTAAATTCGACTTGCGCCTTTATGTTCTCGTAACCTCAGTAAACCCTTTGAGAGTATTCATGTATCACAACGGCTTGGCTCGCTTTGCTTCTGGTAGATATTTTTACATTGTATATTTTTATTATTTTATGCGTTTAATACTGTCCAATTCACAGTCAAATACAGTGCCAAAGCTGATACCTTAAATGATCGCTGCATGCATTTAACCAACTATAGTATCAACAAATTTTCATCGAATTACTCAAAAAATGAAGATGTGAATGCATGTCACGGGCATAAATGGACCATCAAGTCGTTATGGACGTATTTGGCTAATCGTGGTGTTCGCACAGATGGCCTCTGGGAAGCTTTAAGAAGTCTAGTATTGCGTACCATTCTAGCTGGAGAGAATGGCATTAACAATATGATAAGAGCTAATGTTGAGTCCAAATACAGTTGTTTTGAGCTATTTGGCTTTGATGTAATATTAGATTCGGATTTAGTACCTTGGCTACTAGAGGTGAATATATCACCTAGCTTACATTCCGAATTACCACTAGATGCCCACGTTAAGGCACCACTAGTCCAAGGTGTACTCAATACTGCCCTTTATAACGTAAGCTGACAAAGTGCCTATTGTAGAACAAGTATATACAACTCATAACTCTATATTCGCAGATACCACCAAAACTAAGCCAGGAAAAGCAAAGGGAGTTAGCCGCTGAATTTTCATTCCCAGCCGGCACACAAATGTGCTACGATAAACGTATGTACATCAACTATTTGTCACGTGAAGAGAAAAACAAGCATAACACTTTTACTCGGAAGAGCATAGAGAATAGAGAGGAGGTATACCATGCAAAATTGAAACGCTCTATCTATTTTTCTAACATACAGTTTTGTATTTTGTTTATTTTAGTATATCGATGCGATACTTGATAAATTGACGCCCGATGATGTACGTTGTCTAATTATAGCAGAGGACGAATTGGCACGTTGTTCACCACTTGAACGCATCTTTCCCACAGACCAGACCTATAAGTATCTTAAATACAATGACACTCCACGCTATTACAATCGTTTATTAGATGCGTGGGAGTCGCGATATGCTAATAATCGTACAGAAGGAATTGCCCTACTGCGTGACTATTGTCAAATTAAATATCACTTGGAAGTTCCAGCTCCGCCTGCCAAAAAGGTAAGTTTCGAACTGGCTTATTAAACTTATACTCCTTTCACGTAATACACCACTTAAAACCACTCACACTTCATTTACACCCTACACATAAGAAAACCAACTGAAAGAGGCTTGCTTATAAATATATACATATATACAACATACATATACATCAACTATATCTATTATATTCAAGATGAATATAAAAATAATGTTTAAAGTACGAAAGTTAAAAACTATTTAATTACAAAAAATTATTGACATTCTTGATTCTATTGAATTTTGAGGGCTGTTGGCGAGCTATTCAATCATTTTATTGGCGCTGTCGTGCTCTCTATTGTCGTAAGTTCTATCTGTTGACCCCATCATAGATACTCTCTCTCTCTCTACAAGTTGCAAATCCACAAATGTATAACAATTTTAGGTAGAATCGAATTGTTCTATATAATATTGATATTATATTGTATGTGTAGAGGCATTTAACCGATAATATACTGACTATATATTAAACGTTTATACTCATAAGTCGTATATTGTGCTTAAGTATTATATTATTAACAACTAATTTAGGTTTGCGATTAATGGATTATCGACTTAATAGTTTGTTTCCAGATAAAAAAGATAGTCTATAACTGCTCTATTAAAAAGTAAACTTTGTTAATTGAAGAATAGAGCTTGACGAAAAAAAAGTAAATATTTTGTTTTATTTTTGTACCCTGAACCCATTTAAAATAGATGTTTATGTATTAAAAGTATGTACACTCTGTATCTAAATAATGTCATGTCTATGTCCGACTATCCGTCCGTAGGACTAATTCGATCTCATAAAATAATATTTAATTGAATTTCCCATAATAGAGAACTGTACTTGTATTTTATATGTGCGTATGAATGCAAAAGCATTTTAAAGATTACAATCAGCAGCTTTTCGCTGGGTTCGCGGTATCTACTAGTCGTGCACTCCCGACTAGATGTCTCTGACTTATTTGACTTCTGTTAATTTGATGTATAGGTGAAAAGTAACGATTAAAGAAACGTAATTCAGTTGCAGTTGCTCCAAATATTAAAAAATAAATTATGACGTAAAAGAAGTACGAGTAACTAATTGGCACTTAGTAACTAAAACTAATATTCAATAATATACTAGCTATAATGATTTGGATGTGTTTTCTATTTATTTAAGTAGAGATAGGTCCGCGTTTGTATAAAGCAACTATATATACTTAAAATTAAATATATAATATATATAGACAAGTTTGTTAGCTAGTAAGTATTTTACCTTGTTCTGAGAAGAAAAAAATAAAACTACACTGAAATGGCTTTTAAATCATAAATAAAAGTTTAGGATTTGAAGGACGCTGTTGTCAAGGTCGGAATCGGTATAAAATATTTGAAATAAATATTTGAATTCTTTTTCGATTAATTCTTTACATTCGTAGTAGTGGTTGCTAGAAAATAGTTTTCGACACATACATTATATTAACTACCTAACAACAATAACACTTTAAGTATCTTAGAGTTTCCACTTATTATATAAGAACTGGCTGCCAATCATTGAATTCACTTTTATATACTTCTTAAATAGAAAATCATATATTTATCTAACTTATATTTAAGAACTGCAAATCTGATTTTACGTAATCGGGATAATTTATATACCACAACAAAATCCGGAATAGATAGAAATTTTGAAAATGTCTGAACCTGGGCTTCATATATATGGAAAAACTCGTAGATAATTAGTAAATCATATTCAAAATGCAGATTCGTTTTGCGAATCCAGATTATCTGTAACTCTGAAAACGAATTTTAATTTTCAATCATCTTCGGATTAATTCCAAAATCGGATGTTTTAAAAAATTAAATTACTTTGAATAACTGACTTAGTCAAAATGAATCTGCTCATCGAAGAAAAGTACTGGGTATAAACTGTGAAATCGGATGGCATTTATAATAACTACTCCTAACTTTTCATAAACTTCGGAATATCGAAATTGACCTGAATTTTCATCAACTATCTTTTAGATTTGCAGCCTCCTTAAGTAATCTCCTTTTACCCTCTCTCAGTGTTATACAATCCCACTTAGATACAATTGTTTAACTGAAATTTATGCATTGAATCTTATTATTTCAAACATTTGTAGCTATAATCGACTTTCTTTTTGCTTTTCACACAATTCGTTACCAACAAAATTTGTTTTCAATCAACTTTCAATCAATGTTTTGTAATTGTAAAATTGCAGGACTACTTCATCAAATTAATGAGATGGATTTTAAAGTGAAAAAACGCTGCAATCGGCATTTGATATTGGTCTTTTAGTAATTAAATAGAAATTGTTTTTTCTTTCTCAACTCGACCTGCACGTGTATATATATGTGTATATATACAAATCTGTTATACGATAGTGTTAAGCCAGTTACAACTGTAATACCTTAAATGTATTTACTAATACATAGATTTAAAACGAGCGTGTATCAAAAACATATATATATAAACATATATATATATATATATATATAGTCACGATTTTGAATTGTTGGCAATTTAGTTAAAGTTTAATGTTTATTATATGTACGCATATTGTGCATACGACTGTTCCAAATTCAGATTGCATACAGGGTCGATATATACATCTAACTATATATATATATATACATACTTATTGATCAAAATTGTTATTTAAGAAGCATACCTGTGATTTGGTTCGTTGAGGAGATTATGCACCAGGCCCTCGTGGATAATAAGTAATTGTTACTTAGACCATTTTTATTTAGTTAAACTCTCCAATACTTGAATTCCCATTTATTCAATTCGATTCGACTACAAATAAATTTAGTTTTAGTTTTAGTTGCCATTTTTGTTTTGTTCCCATTCAAATCAATCTTCCTACCAATTACTCTGCTCGACAGAACGGAATTTCGTTTGTGCCATTTAAATAAAGTGAAATAACTCCCAGAGTCGTTCTTCAAGAAAATCTCCATATATAAAGTGGAAATATTTTGCTCTGCTCGTCATCTAATTGGCGCTACTTGTCTAAGGAATTAAAGGAAAAAATTGTCCTGAGTTGCGTTTTTCAAATTTTTTATTTGAATGCCTGGATGCCCATCTTAAAGTGAACGTAAAAATAAACCAATACTCAATAGCAATCCTAGCAAAGCACACCTAAATTTTGGGCAAGTGAATATGACTTGATCTTCCCAGCTGAAGTACGTATTTTGTTGAGAAGAAAAAATGTTATTTGAAAGCTCTGGCTATGTTATTTGCATGATCTCCGTAAGAGAAGCAGAATTTAAGCCGCTTGTACAGAGGAATTTGAGGTGTGCCCCAATTCCCACGGCAGGTCTGTAAAATCATGGATTTAGACCCAAAATGTCGAGATTCTTGAATGGCCCTTGTACATTCCCGACCTTAAATATCACCGGAAATATTTAGGCATCGTTTTCAAAGTCAGTGCGGAAAAAAGTTATAATTTCAATGGTGTTTCAAATCTTGAAAAACGGATCTCAGGCGATTTGGAATTTGGGAAATTCTTTCCATATCACTTTACTCAAGTGGCAAGTTACCTGTTTCCATTTTGATTAGTTCAAATGCTAATAATTTGAGCTCCTTCCTTACACACTTTTTATTATTTATTAAATTTAGACAACACATTTTCCTTTTCTGAAACACGCAAGAGAAATAACCACCATATGTCACAGTTGAATTTAAAAACTAAAAAATAACACAATTGTAATGTAATATTTAGATGTTTTTCTTTTTAGATAATAAATGAATATGAAAAACTTGTTACTCTCACCTAGTAGATGTGAAAATGAAGTACAACCAATATTTTATTGTATTATCTTATCTGTAGATATTCTAGTTATCAAAAATTAACAATAATTTAATATTTGTTTAATTTTGATGTGAATATTCTGTACATTATATATATTTTATATTTATATGCATATACAACCATAATAAATTATAATATATGAGCCAAAACAAGATAACTTTAGTTCGAGATTGGAACTCCTCTCCTATATGAATTTTATTTTGAAAGCTATACAAAAAGCATGTTTTTGAGGGACTAAAATGTGTGAAAATATCAGCTGCGCATTGTTCTATGATAGATGTAGTTAAGTATTACAAAATAAAAACAAGACAAACTCTAGTTCAAGTTAGTTCCTTGTAAGCTAAGATTTCGTGTTTGAAACCAAGGAAAAAATAATGAAATTTTTAATGTTGTATTAAATAGGGATTTGAAAATATATTTATTATATAAAAAACAGTTAAGTATAGAGTATTTAGTTATATTGATTTTATAGTTAATGTTTCGATTTACTTTTTGTTGTAAATTCAGATATATATATATATATATCTCATTGACTTGGCTGTTAGAATTAGAGTTTTAAAAACAGAACGTTAAAAAAACAGTAAAAATAAAAATAAAAAACATTGTGCAAATTGTAATGTTATATATTCTACAATAATCTCAGTGAAATTTTTTTTAGATACATAAGTATATTGTACGATATCATCCATGTACTTAGCATATTTGCCAGCTTATCTACTAAGCACATATATACTGCGTTTATAACCTCGAAATAAGCGATATAAGCGATAGTTCACAGAAATCTCAAAAATCTATTTAGTTTAAATCTAAAACTGGACGTAAGGGTTTCATTTGAAATTGGATTATCGATTCAGCACATTGCTTCAATTAACAATTAACAACTCTTGTACAACAAATTAATAACATTGCTGTCAGGCACCACCGACTGCTCAATACTCGTTCACGGTTCAAGAAACTACATTTACATAAGAAATGGATGTTTTCCTCATAAAAAATATATGTCTCTAATAGGAGCTAAAGATGATATACAAAATAGCCGTAGCACTGCGAATCTTATGGGTTTTCCGTAATTGGATCAATGAATGTTGAATTTCTAGACGCCTATTACACGAAGTCTTCTGGAATTGTCACAACCGTTATATGGTTTTGGAACTGTTTAAACTTATCAGTTTTTGTTGAAAGCTTTTGGATCATTCCCAATTGCCCAAGTCCATATGTATAGATGTAGTGGATGCAAGCGGTAAACCATTTCCTAAATCTTGGAAGTTTATTTGTAAAACTGTAGAAGAAATTTAATCCAATATAGTCCTTTCACTTCGTGAACGAGCATAGAAATACTCATTTCTTATGATACATTGTAATGTGAACGAAACGCTTTTATTGATTATAAATTGTTATAAGGAACTTCGTATAAACGGACTATATGTGTAAGGTAAAATTTGACAAATTTCCATTTATATTTTTCATAAAAGATTTTTGGTGTTTTTGTTGTTTTATTCGCTCTCTCTGTCTCTCCCATTCATTGTTCTCATCATCCAATTTTTATCTACGTATACTAATCGAAACTCTAAAACATAGGACTTGAACGTTAGCACCGTGGAGACCATCATTAAAAACGCGATGGTCGAGCGCGAAGGAACACCGGATGCGTAAGGTAGCTGGACTCCTACTATTCTATAGTTGCAATCACACAAAATTTTCAAACATCTCTAGAGGAACAACTAATCAGCATTAATAAGCAAACTGTTAAGGTAAGACGAGGGACATTTCCCACAAATACTTTTATGTATCTTTTCCGCCCCCAAACGAAATTCCCAAATAAACAAAATTTTCCATTTCTGACTTCCAGATTCACTTATTGTTCATCTTGCTATACAAAAAGACTGAACACTTTATGGGTCATTATACATTTATTGAGACCTGTAGAAGTAATTTGTCATCATACATCGATGCCGGTCTATCAATCAAAAAACATTAGGTCTAATTTTAAAGCTGAAAGCGTATTCAATGTGTTCGAAAACCAAGTCAAATTTTATGTACCAGCCCTAGGATCAAAATTTCAATGTACGCCCAATTAAAATTTATAATATATCGCTGCAAATAAATGAAGTTGAAATTCCGTTTAATTTCATTTGATTAATTTTGGCTAGCTGCCAGTTACATTAAAATAATGTTGTAAATGTAAGCAACGAACAAGGCTACGTGCACACATCTAAATATATATGTACATTAATATGCATATGTAGGCAAAGGAACATAAACACATATTTACATATGCACATACATACATTCAAGCTTGTATTCTGTTTATCTACTATTTCAATACATTTACTGTTGCATGGGAACAAGATAAGCAGAAGAACAGAAAACAACGCGCAAATTGCCGAATCAATTTGTGCTTTAATGGAGACGGATCTTAAAGGAGAGGCATACTCAATGGTCTGCAGTTTTAGTAATTACTTTTAGTTGATCTAAAGATTTCGTGAATGATCTAGCTGCGAACGTTATTCGGCTACAATTAAATTTGTTTAGTACCGATTAAAATCGGCTCCAGATTTCAATATATATATTCTTATAAAGTATACATGGGAATTCTGGGTATAAAGGCAGAAAGAGGCGTGGCAAACCTCATAAGGTATATATTCTTGATCAGGACGTCGAGCCAAGTCGATATAGCCATGTTCGTCTGTCCACCTGCCCGTCCGTGTGAACGCGGAGAAATTGTAAGCCCCAAAAACTTGAGACTTGTGTTTGCTGTGTGAATTACTATTTTTTCTCGATAACTCATCCAGTTTCTATATCGATAAGTATCGATAATTTGACTTTTAAAAATAGCTTGAATACCATAAAATATGGAAACATCCACTTTACTGTTTATGCTCATGTGATGACTACGCAGATTTTGTATATTTTATTTCGGACTTCTTTCTAATACAAGAGGCTTCTGCTTTGATAAAAACAAGCGTGGATGCCATAATTATTTCCAGAATATTGCATTCAAAGTATTTCAACAAATAAATTCTCATAGTATACCGCGTTTAGCAGCCCAAGAGCAGCCGCTACGTAAGCTATGCAGTAAGCGGAATGCGTGCCTATACGTGCGTTTGCTGCTTTTTTTTGTATGTGTAGAAGAATCGTAGGGTATCTACTACTCGGGCAGTCTCGACTGGAGCACTTGCTCTATTCCTAATTATCAATAAGTTTTCGATTATGTTATAATTAAACTATGTTGCACACCATCGATGTTTTGTCGCCAGCATTTACGATTCTGTTCAGCAAAGTAATGTAGTTCCCAATACATCTAAAAAGCGGATAATTGCAGATAATCATAGAAGAAATATTACTCGCTGTAAATAACATTCGAACTTGTCAAGTTAACAGACGAATGAAAAGACGTCGTAGAAAGACCAGCCGAAGTTCGACTCTTCTTCGATTCGAAATTTTCGAGCGAGATTTTGACGGTCCGCTTCATTTGTGTGCAAACTTCTGAAGCATAAGGATGAATAATTTACCGGATAACTCAGGACATTCACGTGGACGTGGGCGTGGTATTAAGCTTAAGGAGGAATTGAATCGAGGACAGGGATCCAAGTTGGTATGTGAAAAAAAAAAATTGTAAATCAAAGTTCGCACGCTGCAAAACATAATAAATTCAATAATTAAAAGTCAAGGTTAAAAATATGTACTGAAGCAAATTCTTGTGTACAATTTCACTACTATGTTAAGTACACATTACATTATTATGTAGTTCAGTATGTAAATACGCACAAGTTTAGTGAAGTTGCTTATGCATGGTTATTCGCTTGAATGGTAATCCAAGGCTATTTCAACTAGACTTGTGTTCGTGAACTAGTATTAATGTGCAGGCATATGCCATTTTTGCTCATCTTCTATAGCAATGAATGTATGTGTAAGTGTATGTGTGATCGTAATGAACACAGAAGGAAGAATGAAAGAAAATGTGCGACGTCAGAAAAAATAAACATCCAAGGTCCATAGAGAGATGAATGATTGGAAAACGAAGCAAACAATGGTCGACGGCACAACATAACGGAAAGTTGTTGCTCTGCTCAGTAAATACGTTTGTATGCGTGCGTTGTTCGCACTGTCTACGTTTACAGTTTTATATTTCTAATATCTAATGTGCATCAATTATTCTGTGAACTTTATTGTACATTTTATTTGACTTTTTAGGGTCAACCAATACAACAGCCATTGCGCAGTACGTCAGGATCGAGTGGTCAATATGATCCAATGAAAAAAACAAGTCACTATTCAATGGAAGGTGCCGAGGGTAAAGTTTTAAATTGTAAATATATCGTAAATATAATTAAGTAGAGTTATTTCCAATAAAACAGGCGATGCTCGTGGCTCGGTTCGCGGACGTCGCATACTTTCCGACGTAGTTCGCTCTCGACCATCTGGACTGATAACCAAAGCTGGATTTACAGGCCGAAAAATAACTGTACAATCGAATTACTATAAGGTGCAAAAGCCTCCCAACTGGACCATCTATCAGTACCGCGTAGACTTTGATCCGGATGTGGATAATACCAGACTACGTCGTGGCCTGTTGAGTGAGCATCGCCAACTTCTTGGCGGCTACATATTTGATGGAACGGTTTTATTTTGCACCACCAAGTTTAAGGAAATAGCAAACTCACCAAATGTTTTGGAGCTTCTGACTAAAAGTCGTGCCGGCGAAAATATACAGATAAAGATAAAAAGTGTGGGAACTGTAGAAGCAGCAGACAATCAACAATTTCAAGTCCTTAATCTGATCCTGCGACGTGCTTTGGAGGGGCTACAGCTACAACTGGTATCGCGTAACTTTTTTGATCCTCAAGCAAAGGTAAAACTTAGTTAAATACATAAGTGAGAGAGGGGAGAATAATTGACATATAACAGTTGTCCTTTAATAGAGCTCTTATTATTCAAAACATAGAGGAAAAGAGAGTTATACTGATTGGCTGAGGGTGCTATATCTACTTGCCTGTTACTGTACTTATCTGCTCATATATCTATAGATTAATTGAAAGTTTCAGATTTAAGATTCAAATGATCAGTCGAATCAAGGGATCCGTTTGTTAGAAACGCTTTTACCCCGTAATGTTTTATATTATAATTTAAACTCGATCACTTTTATTATTATATATTAAAGGTTATCTTGGATAGATTTCGCGTCGAGCTATGGCCCGGCTATACGACATCGATTCGACAGCACGAATCAGACATTCTCTTATGTACAGAGATTGCCCACAAGGTGATGAGAACCGATAGTTTATATCACGTTCTCTCAAAGGTCATTCGCGAAAGCGACGACTATCAAGCGGCCTTCAAGCGTGAAGTAATTGGTTAGTAACATTCAGCGGAATCTTATGTGAAAATATTAGATTTAGAGCCAAATATTTGCTACAGGTGTGATTGTATTAACCGATTACAATAATAAAACATACCGTGTGGATGATGTGGACTTTGCCGCCTCGCCCATGTCCACATTCAATACCAAGGATGGGGATATTAGCTATGTAGAATACTATAAGAAGGTGAGCATAACTATATATTTAACTATATTTCAAATAATAAACTGATTTCGATTTCCACTTAAAAATGAATAATCAAGCGCTATAACATCACAATTCGCGATCATAAGCAACCGCTGCTGGTGTCTCGTCCCACGGAGAAGAATATTCGTGGGGGTGTTAGTCAATTAATTATGTTGATCCCGGAGTTGGCACGCGCAACGGGACTGACCGAAGATATGCGCTCAAACTTTCAGTAAAACAATATTGATATATATTTTGTAGTTTCATTAATTACATCAGATCGTATATTTTATAGATTAATGAAAGCCATGGGGGAGCATACTAGGCTCACACCCAATCGTCGCATTGATCGCCTACGTGTCTTTAATCAACGCTTGCAGGAGTCCAAGCTGAGCGTCGAAGTGATGAATTCCTGGCACATTAAATTAGATAAGTCTCTGGTTGAGATACCCGGACGCGTTTTGCCTCCAGAAAAAATTGTGTTTGGCAACCAGAAGCGTTTTTTGTGTGATGCACGCGCTGATTGGACATTCGAGTTTCGCAATAGTTCTATGTTCAGTCACGTGGACGTCAGGCGATGGTATGTTATAACACCACGTCGTAATATTCGGGAAACTCAGGAATTTGTGAAACTGTGCGTACGTGCAGCATCCGGAATGAGAATGCACATTTCCGAACCAAGATAGTACGTAACACACTTAAACTAAATTATGAAAAAAAAATATATATAAAACCTTATACTTATTGCACAGCGATGAAATGCCAGATGATCGTAATGGCAACTATTCACAATCGATTGATAATGCCGTCGCTCAAGATCCACAAATTATTATGCTGGTTATGAAGTCAAACAACGAGGAGAAGTATACATTTTACCATGTAGTAGTTAATACTAGCTAATCATTTACATTTGTATATAAACAGGTATAGCTGTATCAAGAAACGCACTTGTGTGGATCGTCCGGTACCATCGCAAGTGGTTACACTTCGCACGATTGCTCCACGCCCTGAAAAGTCAAGTGGTCTAATGTCGATTGCAACGAAAGTTGTTATTCAAATGAATGCCAAGCTTATGGGTGCTCCTTGGATGATCGAACTGCCGCTGCGTGGCTTAATGACGGTTGGCTTCGATGTGTGTCACTCATCAAAAAATAAAAACCAATCCTATGGCGCCCTGGTGGCTACAATGGATATGAAGTCATCTACGCGCTATTACTCTTCGGTTACAGAGCATATGAAGGGCCAAGAACTGTCTGATCAGATGTCCTTGAAAATGACTTGTGCACTAAAAGCATATCGCGAGCATCATGGCTCATTACCTGAGCGCATCTTATTCTTCCGTGATGGCGTTGGCGACGGTCAGCTTTATCAAGTGGTCAACACTGAGGTAAAATTTCTCAAGGATCAACTAGATAAAATCTACAAATCGGCGGGCAAAGTGGAAGGTTGTCGTATGGCGTTCATAGTAGTCGCAAAACGGATCAACACCCGCTACTTTGTCAATATGCGCAATCCGGACCCCGGCACAATTGTGGACGATATTATTACATTACCCGAACGCTATGATTTCTTTCTGGTTTCACAGGCTGTGCGTCAGGGCACAGTCTCTCCAACTAGCTATAATGTCATCCACGACAACATGGGCTTGACTGCGGACAAACTGCAGATGCTGTCATATAAGATGACCCACATGTACTACAATTGGTCTGGCACTTGTCGTGTACCCTCCGTCTGCCAATATGCTCATAAGCTGGCTTTTCTCGTTGCTGAAAGTATTCACCGATCTCCCTCGTCTGGACTGGAGAATCAACTATACTTCTTATAATATACTTATGCTATAAATACATATACGTATCTGAAGCGCCTTGGTGAAGTCATGTGAAACTACACAGTTGAAAGTGATTTTTTTAGTTTTTAAAACACATTAATCTCACACATGGATTATTCATGTTATATTGTATGTATTATGAAAGTGGTAAATTCTAATAATAAACAGACGAAAGGGAGTATGACTGGATAATTACTTCACTCAACTGGACTTGACTAAATGAATTTCTAATTTACTTGTATCTGTTTGGAAATAAAGAATTGAATTTGAAAATTATCGTAGTATACTTTTGCGCGGCGCACAAACAGCCCAACATATAAATTTGAAACAAACTATTTAAATTACAAATTGTAGGTTGTAAAGTTTACATCAGCGCTTTCTTTTATTATTTAAGACTTCCAATTGAAGCACAATGCGAATTTTATTAAGACTCCGCCTTCACAACGGTCGTCTTCTCTGACACGTACAGACCGTCCAAGAACTTACGGATATCCTTGTTTTTAACAGTGGTGGACTGTTGGATGAGTGCCGCGGAGCCAGACACAGACTCGATGTCATTGCCCTCGACGATAAGCTCATCCTTTTGGGCTGTAGAGTTGACAACCGTCACGCCAGGAGCCATCTCGACGCGACGAATGTACTTCTCACCCAAAAAGTTACGGATCTCAATAACTGTGTTATTCTCGGACGTAACGCAGTTAATGGGGAAATGAGCGTACACAGCACGCATTTTGTACTGGAAACCGAATGTCACACCTAAAAATATAAGCATCACGTTAGAAATTTATATCCAACTTTTCCCATTAATCATTGCCTTACCCTTGATCATGTTCTCAATGTGACTGCACACTGTACGCACGGCAGCGAGCTCCTTCTTTGTGCCGAACCATTTCTCGACTTTGAGGGTACGTTTGTCCGACATGTACATGTCCAGAGCCAAATGTTTGAAGCTTCGCTTCAGAGTACCTCTGGTGCCGGTGATCGTGACCACACGCGCCTTCACGGAGGCTTTGATATCCTTGGGGATCTTGACACACTGATTCGAGTTGATCGTTCGCATTTTGACGACACTGCAAAATAGTAAACAAATATTTGAATGAGAAATATTTTCATGCAAATAAATGCATATATTTATAGCAATCTCACTGTACACGGATTTGTGTGGCAAGGTTGCAAATATTTAATAAAACATGCACTACGTCGTTGCTCTACGGGTAAACAAAACATTTAATTCAGGTGCGTTTCCCTATGAATTTGAAACTTCGTATATGGTGCATTTATTATGGCATATGTGGTCAAATATATATATTTTTTACAAACTAATTAATTTGTCACTCGTTTAACACACTTAGCGGTTGATTAAATACATCCATTTTGTTGATGTTTTAAAATTCATTTTGTATACAATTTATTAAGAAACTTACACACTGCAGACCGACCGGAAAGAGGCTGGAAAAAGAAAGGAAATATTTGACGTTTAGTTTAGGGTTGCCATACCGCCAAAATAGCCAGGGAAATTATTTGGGAATTTGTTTAAAGCTGCCAACCTATTGATTTATAATGTTAATCAGAACAGCTGATATGTTATTAGACCATATCAATTTTTTAAGTGCTGTTTTTTTATTTTTGCATTCATCGAAATTTGTTTTATAAGAATTTGGTGGAGAATATAGATTTTAGCATCAAACAGCATATAAAAAAGGAACTTAGGCTGCGTTAATAATAATGGAATAAAATATACCAGAGTGCTGTTAATAACATTTTGTAAAATGTTATTTTAACAGAGGAACGAGACAAAAAATAATGGCGGGAGCTGTATGGCGTGGGCCGATCTCTCTCTTTTCCAACCGGCGGTAGTTTGCAATTTTTATGCTGCCGAATGGTTATGCGAAGGGAACTTACAATTAAGAATATTTAAATACTTTAGTTGGTGTACATAAAAGGGTTTACAAATATGAACAACACAGCATCGCCACCAGATGTTCTCCAGACAGCGGGCAATATTCTCGAGTGTCACGACTTTCGAGACAGACATAAGCCGGAACTTTTAGAGGTAAGAAACCAAAGGCAACGAAACAAAAAGGCGGTGTTTAATGTCGCAAAATAATATATTATTTAATAGTTGACAGGCATTAGTCAGCATGGAAGAGCAACAATGAGCGGTCTCAACGATTATGACTATCAAACACTGGGACAACTGACCTCCGGAGACACACATAACCTACAACAGCTGCGAACGCTCACGAAATGTGGAATACCTAATGAGGTCCTGGAGCACTTTAAGCGTAAATAGTTTCTATAGTGCAATTAATAGTACTGTTAAAGTTTACTAATTATGCTCTATTAGATATCAAATGCCACTGCATAATGGGTTTATTTCCGGATATTGGACGCGCCTGGCTGACAATCGATTCGGATATATATATATGGACATATGAGCAGACACGGGACGTAGCCTATTACGACGGACTTAGCCACTTAATACTGAGCGTTGGTATGATAAAGCCAAAGGCTGGCGTTTTAATCAACGACGTCAAGTATCTGCTGTTGTTGGCGACCCCAATTGAGGTGATTGTATTAGGTGTGACATTTGAAGAACAAAAGGATGCTAGAGGATGCACAGTAAATAGCAGTCGAATGCAGCTATTGAATAAACCGCTATTCGTTCTTAGCACCGATAATGTTACTATTAATGTTATCGAGGGAACAAAGGATGGACGCATCTTTATGGGTGGTCGCGATGGCTGTCTTTACGAAATTGATTATCATTCAGAGTCGAGTTGGTTTGGCAAGCGTTGCAAGAAGATAAACCATTCGCAAGGACTCGTCTCCTATATAGTACCAAGTTTTCTAAAAGTTTTCTCGGTAAGCAGTGAGATAAGCATATAGGAATTTAATACTAATAATCTTCCTTACAGGAGGTGGATCCTATTGAGAAAATTGTTATTGACAATCGTCGTAATTTGCTCTATGCATTAACTGAAAAGAGTTCCATTGAAGCCTGGCACATTGGTAAAAACTTTACGAGTGTGCGAAGGTTGGGTAGGATTACACAAAATGATATAGCCAGCCAGGCGGTCAACTTAATCAAGTATGTGTGCAGACTTTAGAATTGTAAAATATAACTAATTATTTTTGTTTAATCTGCAGAACTGTTGATCCATCTATTTTCAAGAGCGTAAAAGCCATTTGCCCGCTCAGCCCAGAGAATTCAAATTTCTTGCATCTCGTTGCTGTCACGCAATGTGGAGTGCGTCTTTATTTCTCAACAAACCGACTAAATGTACAACAGCAAAATTTAAACTACTTGCCGGATAGCTATGGCATGTCCAATAATGCCAATAACCCGTTGCCGATGACACAGTCAGGAGATACGGAAACACCAAGAGGAATTTATTTGATGCATGTTCGGCTTCCACCTGGTTACACGCCGAATGCAACAACCAATAAACCGAAGCAAGTTCATGCTGCATATCACAGCGAGGGCACAATGTTAATGATCACAACACAGCAGCAGGAGCAGGACTTACTGTGGTCCATTAGCTCTGCGCCATTTACCAATTTTTCATACCTCGTTGAATCAACAGCGTTGGAGAGTCTGGATGGCATCGTTTGGAGTATCTCGGAAGTCAAGGATCTGATTTTGGATAACACGAATTCCTTACTATATAATGCGCGTACAGCACGTAAAATCGTTTTGCTTACCAATCAAGGTACACATGTTGTGGAGTTGATGAAGTCGGCTCATATACTTCAGCAGTTGCTAATAGCTTGCAAGGGTCCCCACAATGAGGCAGTGAAAATGTTCTTTCAAACTCAGAATGATCGGGAAGCTTGCTTTACTGCGTTATTACTGGCTACTTCGGATCTTCTACGTGGCAGCGATATTGCCTTGTGGGCCACTCAGGCATTTATGTTATACGGTGGAGAGCCGTGCTATCAACATTATCTAAATTCAGCCAATATTCATAATAGTACCATCAACACAAACCCTGGCCTTCCTCCGATGTTCATGTCCACACCTATGCCAAATGCAACCAATATTGGCTCAATGGCTAATCAATACAATCAACCAATTAGTCCAAGTAAGTGATTATTGTAAATATAATCAAATGAGTTTTGAATTTTATAATTCGCAGTGCTCAGTAGATGAGTTGTCTAAGTGCAGTCATTTAGATAACTTAAAATGGGTTGTACGGACGCGAATTTACTATAACAAAAAATCTTCTCAACCCTCATTACCAGTTTCAGCTGCACAAGCCTCACAACAACAACAACAATTCACACAAAAGCAACAACTCTCAGTGCCAAGCAATGAGAATTCTCCAATTCTTTATTCGGCAAAACATGATGGACTCTTTTTGTATGTGTCACGAATGTTACGCCACATTTGGCAATCGCATTGTGTTGATGAGAATCTGCGCTCGATACTGACTTTTACTGATTGCTCTATGGTCTTATCCGAATTACGTGCATTGCGCTCCTTTTTGGATAAACACTCAGTTCATGATCTTTCTGGTAAGCTAAGGGGTCAATTTTGATCCGAACTAAGTTCTTTCTATAATAGTATATTATTATTATTTACAGTAACAAGACGAATGCCATACGACAGTCATTTGGGTAGATCGAGCGCTGTTATGATGAACAGCACTCAAATGCCGCTAAACGAACATCGCAATCTTACAGAGCAGGCCCAAATTGAGGAGAAACGATCGCTGTCCGCTCTAAATCAGTTTATCAGTAAGTTCAATAATTTGTTGATAAAATAGATTTAATATTTGTGCCAATTGCTTATAGAACACGCCTGTGAGGTAATGTCGCTTTGGAGCATCCTAATTGATCATCAATTTCAATTGCTTTGCCAACAATTGTCGCCGGAGCATCAGAAAATGTTAAGATGTTGCACATTCCGGGATCTGCTAATAACTCGTTCTGAGGTGTGCGCTTTTCTGATCATTGCTCTAATCAACCTGTACCTCAAAGATAAAGCTGATGTTACAGAAGTGTCAGATAGCTTGCGACAACTATGCCCGAATCTCTATAGACACGAAGATGAGGTGACATATAAGGCCACCGAAATATTGATGAGCGCTAGAAGTTGTAAGTCAGCAGCGGAAAAGCAACAAAAACTGTCCATAACATTGCGAATGTGCTTGGATGCTGCGCCAACTCTACCACTGCATAGTATTTGCCAACAATTTATTTCGGTTGACTTCTATGAGGGAGTTGTTGAGTTAGCTGCCACATGTGCATCGAAAATGGATCCAGAGGAAATCGGCATTCATTATTATAATAACAATGAGCCCGCCGAGGATCATGAGGGCTACTCATGCTTTGTGACACGGTAAACATGGATGAGTTCTATTTGATAAACTTAAATCAAAATTCAATATATTAAACTTATCTTGCAGTATGAACTATTACAAAGAAGTACAGAATATGCTTGACTATGCCTACAACACAGTTCGCAACAGTAAATGCGATCAGGATCAGACTCGACTATTCCAACAAAATTACGAAGAAAATCAGGATCATAATGATATGGAAAATAAATCAAAACAAATCATTAAGAAGATTACAAGCCAAGCACTTCGAATGAAAGATCCACTAATGCACGTTGCAATATATGAATGGCTGCTAACCCACGAAATGAACAGCGAATTATTGGATTTGATTGAGCCCTCATTGGGCGAATTCTTACGGCGTAGTGTTAGTCGTAATCCAGAGAATGTTAAATTGATTGACTTACTGTGGAAGTATTACGAGAAGAATGGACATCATCATCAAGCAGCGCAGATTCTCGATAACTTGGCCATGACGAGGAGTGAGAACATATCTTTGGATGTTCGCATCGACTACTTAGTACGCGCTGTCATGTGTATGCGCAATGAAAGCGTTGGCTCATCCGTGACCAACGGCATATTTTTGAAAGAGTTGGAGGATAAGGTCAGCGAGCTCTTTTTCATATATACCATATATACATGTGCATAATAATATTTATATTCTTTATCTGCATATCTAGTTGGAAATTGCGCGCGTTCAAAAATCTGTGCTTAGTGCGATGGCATCGCTTTTAAATACAAATGAAGCTGCTAGACAGGCTATGAAGGATTTAAATATCGCTCTTTACGATATCACACAATTGTATCAGAACTTTGCTGAACCGTTCAATCTATGGGAGTGCCAGCTGTCCATTCTTAATTGCTCAAATCACAATGATCCCTTGCTGATTGAATCCGTATGGGGCAATATAATTAATAGCGCTGTCGATGGTCCTGGTACAGCACAGGAACGCAGCGTACAGCTCTTTACCAAAATTGAGCTTTTGGTTCGTGAGTTTGGTGAATCCGGGCCATGTTTTCCATTTGCTTTTCTCATCAGGGAGCTGGAGATAAAAGCCTGTCAACTCAATTTGCCTGAGGGAACAGTACCAGAAAAGCTATTTTCCATGAAGCTGGATATTGAACTACTCCTAGAATACTACTCCAGGTGAGAGGGTGACGCAATTTATATGCACCGTTTTATTTATTTTATTTATCTTTTCTAGAATGATTTCCATGAACGAGCGCATTTGGGCGAACGAAGGCAACGAGTGGCACTTGATTCAGTCGGCTATACGAGTCGTTACACTGCTGGCTGATAATGTCCAAGCTATTTGGTACCGATCCAAGTAAGAATAAATATTAAAATAATTTAATTAAATAATTAATGTAATGTTTGCTCAACGCAGGCGACGAATATTGGGCAAGGCACAGGACATAGTCGCGGCTTGTTTGAATATTTGCTATCAGAAGCCGGACACCAATCGTTTGCAGCATTCTCTTAAGGAGCTTCAATGCCGTTTGCAACGGCTATTAGGTTAATGTCTCTGACAGTAGTTATTTTCAAATGGTATATATTTTTTAGAGCAAAACAATAATGGTATAGATGTTAAGTTTGACTGAGGTATACAACTTTGTACGCGTTATTTATTTAATGTCTAACACACAAATTGAGCAACGAAACTATGTTGTGTCCATCATCTTAAGGTGGGCTTCCGTAAGTATGCATTTGGTCATATGGCATGAACAGGGCACTGGGTGTTCTTCCACATTCGGATCGAGCAGCTCTACTTCCAAATTATATTTTCTCGCGTCATTTCCGCTGCGTTTCATTAGGATTTGAAAAGCTACCGGAGATTTCTCTTCTAAATTTTCGCAATTTTCTTCCGGGAGCACTACGACGCATTGCTTCCAATGGGTTTCGGGGGCAAGAGGCGATGTGCTAAGCGTCACTGTTTCTTCACCAGGAAATCGCACTTCGAACCATATGCAGAAACCCTGATGCTTACCCGGAACTTGTGTGGCGACAACTTCCTTGAAGCGTATCTCGTCGAGCTCCTGGGCACTTACATCAAGCAAATTCATCCAATGAAAAACAATTCCTTCGTGAAGTAAATCTTTTGGCTTTAGTTGTGTAATTTCTGGTCTTGTTGATTTTTGTAAACGCAATTTGGTTGCGAATCGATCCATGTTGACTCCGTCAACATTGTGCCAATATTCATATAGGGATGGGACAGAGCACGGAGCAACAAATATCGTGCACTCACCGGGGAACAGAAGTCCATTTGGCTTTAGGAAATTATCCCTGGCAAAGAGCACAGAGTCCAACATGCCTTCGTGCAATAGGTAAAATCCCATCCATTCTGAAACAATAATATCCACTTTTTCAGCTGAAGCGGGCAGCATGAATTCCTCGATCTGAGAGTGTATTACTTTGACAATGCTGGTAAGACCATTTTCTTCAATAAGATCTAATGCTACTTTCGTTGCAAGATTGGAGGCTTCCACAGCATAAACCAATCGAGCACCAGCTTGTGCACAGAATGCAGAAAGTATTCCCGTACCAGCGCCTACATCCATCACAACTTTATCCTTAAACAATTCTTTATTTTTCATAATGGCATTATAGTAAGCTTCTTGTCGTGGTCGATCTCTTAACATGAGCTCATGCACCTACAGGGGTTTAATTAAATTATATTAAATGTTCTAAATTATGTATATCAGTTATGCGATTACCTCTAAGTTTTCATATTCCGTAAAATATGTATTCATAATTCATATAAGTGTTTGCTTAATAAAACCGAATAAATTCACTGCAAATGGATCTTTATAGGTTAAATAGAAAAAGACAACAGAACTGTTATTTAACATATCTTACTATTTAACATATTGAGATAGGCTCAGCTGTTATTAGTAGTCAATAATTTAAACTGTAACTGCAAAAATAATACTTGCCGCTGTTAATAACATAAGATGTTAAGGCGTCATATGTTTATAAACCAATGAACTAAATGAACGAACTGGTTAAGGAAATCTTATTTTTGCTCTTTAGTCGGCCACGTAAATTCTATAGTAAACAATCGTTTGGCCGTAATAATTAGGACTTTTATTTCTTATGTCTACGTTCAAAAATAACTATTCCAAATAGAAATGAGTAAATTAGATTTAAGCGAAATGATTCGCAGCTTGGATATAAGTACATCGGAAAAAGTAGATGAAAGTTTGCAACGTATTGCAGAAAAAGAAGTATGTAAATTTTTGATATTTGATTTTAACAACTATGAAAAGAACAATTTTTTTTTAGGTAGATGTAAATGCCAAACTTGAGGCCGCTTTGTCGAAGCAATGTCAGATCGAGGCAAAATTAAGCGGCATCGGTAGAGCCATGGCCACTCTGCTTGCAGTTGAGAATGATTCCAACAAGCTGAACATGCAAATCGTAAACACAGCTAAGCTTGCTGAATCAGTCAGTGCAAAAGTGCGTCGGTTGGATCTGGCCAGATGTCGTGCCTCCGAGTGCCAGCAAAGAGTACACGATTTGATTGACCTGCAGCTGTGTAGCCAGGGCGTGTTAAAGGCTATTAATGAAGAGGATTATGAAAAGGGTGCGGGACATATCGCTCGCTTTCTGGCAATGGATCAACAGCTGTTGCAACGTACAGCGGACGATGTCCAAGGCTCGATTACGTCTGTGAGCGATGCTGTGCACACACTAGAAGATGCCACTGTAAAAATAAGAGACTTGATTTCCAAGCGTTTTGATGAGGCGGTCCAACAAGACGATTTGGCATCCGTTGAGAGATTCTTTAAGATATTTCCATTGGTTGGTTGCCACAAGATTGGTATACAAAAATTCTGCGGATATATTTGCCAAAAACTGTCGGCCAAGGCCCAAAAAGAGCTACGTAATACACAAGATATTGCAAAAGCCGAGCGTCGCCTACATTTGGCCTATGCCGATCGCTTGACTGCTATTTTAGAAAACTTCGCACGTGTCGTTGAAGTTAATCAGCCGATTATAGAAGCATTTTATAGTCAAGAGTAAGTAGACGAAAATATTGAATTTTAAGCTGTGTTAATTTATTTTTATTATCACATGTAGATCTACATCGTTGGTCGATATGGTAACCATCTTGCAAAGGGAATGTGATCTGGAAGTTAAGAATTTGCTGTTGGAATTCAACAAAAATCGTCAAATTCAATATCGCATTAAACAGGTTAACGACAGTGCTCAACGTCCAAACAGCTCCAGTATGGCAAACAGCAGCATACAGTCTTTGGGACACTATAGAAAACCTTCGGGAGGCTCTATAGATAAATTGAATCCAAAGGATATAGATGCTATCATAGCCGAAATTACAGTGATGCACTCGCGAATAGAGTTATACTTTCGATTTATGCGTCGCCGTTTGCAGGTAATATTTGCTTAACAAAGTTAACCAATATATAAGAGTACTAAAACAATGTAACGACAGGCAAATGCGGAAACTTGTTTGCAAGATAAGGAAGCACAAAACTTGATACTAAAGGAATATGAACGGGTTGTGAAGCAGTGTGACTTAAGTCGCCACATGCAAGAAATTCTTAGCACATACTTACTTTTTGAAAGGTATTCGAATATCTACCACAGCCTCTCAGTTCACTTTATATTAATGCTTAAAATGTTAGGTATTTTATGGAAGAAAGCGTAATTAAAGCCATTGGACTGGACACTTATGATGTTGGTCAGCAATGTTCGTCGATCGTTGATGATGTCTTCTTTATATTACGTAAATCGATACGTCGTGCATTGACAACGCAATCGATTAACGGCACCTGTGCTGTAATTAACAATGTTGCATCCTGTCTTGATGGTGATTTTGTATCTGCCTTAAAAGCCCCTTTAAAAAATGGTTATCCTTCAGGATATATTGATTTGGCACAAGCTTACAATGCAATACAAACAAGCTTGCAGCAGGGCAAACTGCATTCGAGTGACGCCGATCGCGTTCGAACAAATTTCATAGTACAGTTAAATAATGCTGATATGTCAACGGAATATATTGAAACGCTATGGCAAACAATGGAGCAGGAAATATCAGGCACATTCCCTAATATATCCCCACTGGAAAGGCAGTTATTGGACAGCTGTCTGACTGAGCTTAAAACCATTCGCGATGCATTGAAGGCGACCGTTGACTTTGGCATACAGCAACTTAGGTCGAGTGCAATAAGGCCTCGTTTAAATCCCTGGGTGGATGAATTCCTTAATTATAGTCATCATCTAACAGAGGTAACTATAGTAATACCTTTGCTTCATACTACGCATACCAATAATTTGAGGAACTTTCCATATAGGAGGAACTGTCCACTTACGAGGCAGGAGAAACATTTGTTCAGTATTTCATTGTGCAATTAGATGGACTATTAAATTCATTTAAAAATGCATTAAGTCCACGCAATTACGATGCGCTCGTCAGTATTCTGGCTACTGAAGTGACCAACCGCTTGGAACGCGCAATTAAAAAGAGCACATTTAATCGGGTAATATTTAAATTTTATTTTCATATGATATAATTAATCGGTTTCATTTATAGCTCGGTGGACTTGTTCTCGATCAGGAAGTGCGAGCCCTTGGCACATACCTAACGGGTGCAACTTCCTGGTCAGTGCGCGATAAAATGACACGTCTGTCACAAATTGCAACGCTTTTAAATTTGGATAAGGTTTCCGAATTGACCGAATATTGGAATCCAGAAAATAATAGTGAAATGCCATCCTGGCGACTGACTCCTAACGAAGCACGTACCATTCTGACATTAAGGTAAATTTAGAAATCGTAATACTTCCACATTACAGATTATTTATTCTTGTTTACTTTATAGAAGCGATTTTCGTATGGAGGACATAAAACGCTTGCAACTTTAAGTTAAAAGCGTTTCATGTTTCAGTTATGATGCTGCGATTTCATTTCTTTTTAAACTAAACCAACGATTGAAATCCAATCTTAATAAGAGCTGCGAAAGCGCACCAAAACTGGATGCACTCTTAATGCTAACCAATAATTTTATTAATCCAGATATAGCAACGTTAAATCTATAATATAAAAAAAATATATATATATATAAATATGTATACGAATGCATAATAACCACTTACCTTTCCTCGAGTCTATCTACATCATTTAGGTTCTCTTCATTCACTGTACAAAATTTCTCACAAATGCTAAATATTTCGAGGATTGTTCCGTAAACTGGATATTGAGAATGACGTGTTGGCTGTGAAATATTTATCTTTTTATCCGTTTCATCTGTCAGTAGAAAACATTGTGAAAGTACGTTGGCAAGAAATACTGAATGAGCTCTTTGAATTTCTTCAAAATCAGCTTTGCTGGCAATCACATTCATGAGTATACTGAACTGGCCTAAAATTGTACAGTAATATTTAAATTCAAAAAAGAAGATTTATATGGATTTGTGTTAGACTTACATTCAAGTACATCAACCTGTATATAATATTGTAAATTGTCCAAAAAAAACATTAAATGATTGCGAAAACTTATTATCTTTAGATTGACTGTATTCTGCGTTTTGGCAGTCCATTTATGGCGAGCCCAAACAAGTTGTAGATCGTACTGCAGCTTTCGAACAGTCAGTAGAAAACGAAAAACAGTATTGTAACGTTCCACGGTCATTGGAGAAAATAAAAGGTTCAATGGCCATTTATATATGTATTTGAGGTGAAGGTTTTGAAATAGTGCGAATTCGCAACTCTCCTCTAAATCGATGGTTGTTTTTTGAACACTAAGCGAGAAGTTCTCCAAGTCATCAACAGTTGCCATAACGTTTGCTGCAATCTATAAAAAATAATTCATTTTTAATTGATTACATAATTGCAATAAATTGTAAGAATTTTGTACCTCGAAGGCTTTGGTATAGTTTTTGTTATTGAGTTCTGCGAGATTTTCTGAACTTTCATATAGTTGCCGAAAGAATTCCAAATAAAATTCACCTCGTCCCAGCAGGTAAAAGTCTTTGATCAGACATAACTGACGATCCAAATCATCTTCAATAGCTGCTATTTCTGACAAACGTTGGCTGACGTATTTTTTGATTTGGTTAATAACACTTTCCAGTTGAAATACATCGATCTTATCATCTTGATTTAAGTCATCTATCATTTTACAAAACGTTCCCTCCTTGCCATCCCAAAGCTCACTGATATCATCACAGAATGATCCATGCATTTTCATCATCCAGTTATCACTCTTATGTTTACTTCGATCCAATTTGAAAACGAGCACCGTTTGTCCGACGAATAAAATCTTTTCAGCTAAAACGGATGACACAAAGCTTGGCAATTGACTAAATTTGATCTCATATTGCCATATCTCTTCCTCACTTAATAAACTCTGCAAATCAAATAGCCAAAATATTATAGATTTCATTTAAATGGTAATATTCTAACCGTCTGACTATTATTGCTTGTGCCAGATTTATCACAGGGACTTTTCGTAACGTTTGTTCTATAGTGTATAAAGAACTCGGAGTATTCATCATCAATAACGCCAAACAAGAGCCAATGGGTCAGGTGCGAATAGAAAGCCAATTTCACGGGTTTTGAGACTCTAAAAATTAGATTTTATATATATTTAATTATAGTGTATGTTGTCAAAATTTACATGTTGATTATTCTTTCCAGACGAAAATCTCCGTGATCATAAGCTACATGCAGATTTTGTAGCAGCTGGCAGCCATTAAGTTTCTGAAATAAATAAACACTTAGTGTATTCTAGTTCCAATAAGATATTGTATTAATTAATTACCTGTATTCTAGCATCGTTAATTAATTTACGCAAAAAAAGTATAATAGGTAGTTGTAACTCCAAAGCATTGTAAATATATGATAATGAATTTGTTGTATTTTGTTCGGTTAGAGATTCTAAGTGTGCCATTTCTTTATAATAATCATCGAGAGCACTTTCGATGCCTTTGGCAAAGTTTTTGAGATAATAACCTGATGAATATTCTGAAAAAAAGGGACATGAAATCAAATGTAAAAAAAAAATCCCTTACGTTTACCCTGCGCATCGGTAAAGTCCGAAATATCATGTTGACTGGCACCTCCAAAGAACTTAGCAAAACGTACAACTTCACTTATGTTGCTTAATATGCTTAAAATTTCCACAAAAACTTTCCTCTCACAAGGATGCATGAATTCTTCAACAACATTTGTTGCCTACAAATTAAATAGTATAAGGACACATATAAATATGTTAGCTTGCTGTACTCACGAGAAAATTTTTAATGCTTATACCCTTGCGGCTCAAGCTCAAGCACGATAGTAAAATATCATGGATCATATTAAATAACTTGCATTTAAGCGTACAATAGTTTTTATTTGTTTATATTAAAACTCCCGGTGTTAGTCGGTAGTCGCTATTTTGTTTTTTGTGTGAATGCCAAATTATCATAAGAATGTATGCGGGCTATCGATACTAAATATCGAGAGCTTAAATCGAGAGGGATATCGATTAAATAAAATCAGAATCAGCTGTTACTATTTAAATTTGTCGACCTGAGTATTTGATACGAAAAGTATTAATTTGATAAATTTATGTATTTATATTTTATATGCCATGAATAGCCTTTATCCTTGTCTGTAGTATTTATGTTTTAAATATTCATATACGTTTATGTTCATATATGTGTATTATAGATATATAACATGATGTATGTTGTTCTCATAGGTGGATGTTAATTTAAACTCCATAAGTTATAATAAGCCATAAGCTAGTTTTGTTTGAGCATAAGTCATGTGATTAAGCTTTGGAGTATGGAAATCGTATGCATAAATGCAAGCACCTCGTCTTATCTTTATATGTATACATGTGCACATAAATTATCCTTTCTGCTGTTATAGTTGTCAAATTTTATTGTCTTTCAGTGCGACACCCTGGCCATAGAGGCGCAATAAATAATGTTCAAGTGTCGTCCAGCAGCTAGATAAGCTGGCCAAAAATGTTAACAAATATGTCTTTTATGGAGTGCTTTTATTTTCACCTTTATTGTTCACGTTGAAGCTCAGGCTATGCAAAAGGACAAGCCCAAACACCTCACGAACGTTTTCTTTGCGCCAAGTCTGTTGCCTGTTTGCAAAATCGCTGACATAGGAAAATTGTGGTAAAAGGAGAACAAGACACTGACTCTATGGAATATGTATAAATATTCTTGTTGGTTTTATATGAACTTAATTAAATTCTTCCGCTCGTTGCAGATATGAAGAGTAGATATAATATATATATTCAAATTAAATTTATTAAATAAATTGACGAATTTACAGCTAAAAGCAAATTTCGACATCATAGAGGAAGGACTCAACCAAACTCGATATGTACATATATAGATTCATCCACAAAGAAACTTATTTAATTTCGACCAGAGTCAAACTATTTGTTCTTTTTATTTTATTTTAATTACACTTTTGTTAAATAATTCAGGAACTTGGGCGAACCTGTAAGTGCATTAGACTGCTCGCTCTGCTGCTCCCCGTACCTATCCGAACCCCTTTGGCTTATTTGCAATTAGGATGGGAGTTTTGCTGCAGACCAGCTGAATTTCGAATTTATTGCATTTTATTTAGTAACATGCATTTTTAATTTTACTGCCACGTTAATTAAGTTTAATTTTGTTACTGCGGCACCCATGGACGAGACCCCATTGCAAGTTCTTATACCAATAAAGTTTTCACTGCTCTCAGAGTTTTCTAAAATGCAAAATGCAAAATGCAAAATGAAAAATGAAAAAGCGCAACTTTAGAATTGGCCCCACGTTAAATGCGAGTGTAGAAAGTTATATTTCGTATGTGCATTATTTCTCGAGTTGATTAAGTTCTCAAGCGAGTTAACCCTTTGCATTTTATGAAAAAACTTTCGAAAGAGAGTAAAACACTTTATAGTCTATCTGTTTGGCTTTAAGTATTTTATACAACTAAATAAAAAAAAATATTCAATAATATTTACCTGATAAAGTATATACGACATCGAGTCATCTTTGACTATTTTCATCTAAAATAGTAATAAATAGTAAGGAAAAAACGCTAAATTGCACAAAAAGGACATCTTTATCCAACAACGAATATGTTTACCATAATTAAAATAAAATTATAACAAACAAAAAAAAATTCAATTGTAACACCCAAGAAGTAAGAACAATATTTAAGCATTTTTCTAAGAAACATTTGTAAAATTTATTGATAATAATAATTGTATGTATAAGTATTGCACTTATAAGTATAATGTACTTTATATAAAATTATCTATTTCAATTTCTTTATATATTTATTTCATATTTTGTTCGTTCATTATCGTCTTCCATAGGCATATGTATACTGAAGTACGGCACGAGTTTGATTTGTATTTGTTATTATTCTTTTTGTTCTTAACTTTATGTGTTCTTAGGCTCTTAGAAGGTGATGGGAGCCTGCTATTTATGGATCCACTCCACTCCACTCCACTCTTGCTTAGTGTTTGTCCTCAGTAATGCATATACTTATGTCTCAATATAACTAAGCGAGTGTTAAGAAAACTTGAAATAGTATTGCATGTCTTTTCGGCTCTTATGTGTATACATAGTTTGATTAGTTTGAATTTGTTGTTGATATATAATTTTGGTTGATATATAATACATCTAATTTTCTATTACCAATAAAATTGACTATGAGGAAAACATCTAAAGCAATTAAGGGATTATTGTGCCATTGCAACTCTATATGCATCTATGTATATGTATATTTGTGTGTATACCAATTTGAAAGGCACATTTTTCTTAAATATGTTATTAAGTAAATCTGTGAACAGTTTACGATATATATATATATATATATATATATATACATATATATATTTGGTCAGTTTGGTTTATCAAAGATTGGTCATTGTTTATTGCACTGTTTTGTTTTGGTTCATCGTTTCGTTTGATTTGATCTGCGATACTTGATAACTAAGGCATATTATAAATAGAGCTACGAATACAATCGATTTAAAGTATTATTTTAATTTACAGCTTTGTCAGAGTTTAAGTCGCCATCATCCCATTCGGTCAGCGCCCAGCTCGGCAGCTCAGTTTCGTACTCCCATCCAGGACCCTAGGTCGAGATAATATTGAAGTTCCGAGATCGGACCACTAAACTCTATCTATACATACCTTGTACTTCCAGGCATGCAAGTACATGACCAGATCCTTAGGCTTGGGGTCTCTATAGTGCACCTTACACTCATAGCAATGCTTATCAATGACTACTTTATCGGACGCCAAGGCCAGATCCGCGGATGCTCCATTCGGGATTGGCAGCTCGGCTGTTACATCAGCTTTGGCCGCGAACACTGGACTGCTATTTGTAGAGTGCAGCTGTTTGATGGCTTCTGTGCTTTGTTGGTTCTCCAAGCATGGGGGCGTTGTCTCCCTTGAGTTTGCACCCACGTCATCATCGCTGTGGTGCACGGCTAGAGATTGAATATTCGAATTAAAATATTCGATTGAATATTCGTTGTTAGCTTACCAAACGTTTGATCACTGCTCAGGCTTTCCAGATCAGTTTCATCTTTAGTATTCTTAAACAATGATATGTCCGAGTCACAGTCTATGCCCAACCAATTTTCAGCGTTATGAATATTAATGAGATCCCGTATAAGTTCATCGTCCGTCTTGCCGCCAATGTCGCCAGCGCGTCCTTTGAGAGGCCCAAACACCTCGTGGTTATACAGGGGATCATTAAGTATAGGAAAGCCTTTAAGAATAGAAGAATTTACTATCTACAGATCAAGCGATTGCAATTTCGCAGCTCTACCTAAATATTGCAGGTGAACACGTATTTGATGCATTCGCCCCGTGAGTGGCTTGCAGAGCACCACACTGGTTTTTCCATTCTGTGAGAGCTTCTGGAAAGTTGTGGTGCAATCTTTGCCCTTCTGAGATACCTTACATACGCCTATCTTATAGCTGACCACCTCAATGGGCTCTTTGCATTCCACGACACCACTAAAAAGTCAGTTAACATTTAATAATCTGGCTGTGATTAACTTGACATAAGTGTTTACGCACTCTGGGAAAACGCCTTCAACTCGACAGATGTATTCCTTCTCCACTTGTCTATTGCGAATCTGCTGCTCCATTTGGCGCGCCTTCTTCGGACTACGTCCGAACAACAAGAGACCGGATGTAAGCCGATCAAGGCGATGAATTGTGCGTAGATTCTTCAGATTGAATTCCTTGGCAAGTATAAAGACTACAGTATTATGCCTGTATCGACCACATGGATGCACCTGTTGGAAACAGTCGGCAGTTAGTAATGTATAAACTAGCTACTACTGTCTTAGGTTGTTGTATTAGTAGCAAAACTGATGGCGGATCTAGCTTAATTTATTGTTATCAGTTATGTCTCTAGATCCATAGAAGAAATGCATAATAATTGTAATATGGCAGTCGTTTAAGCCACTTACTGGTATAGAGGCTGGCTTATTAACAACCACAATGTCCTCATCCATATGCACTATTGTGATTGGTTGGCAAGTGACGGGTACTTCGTGTCTGCAAAGATATATTCATGAGTGCGCACATTTAGTTAGATATATGTAACCATTCAGTGCTTTCTTTCAATGCAAATACCATTCACGTCTTCTTAAATTAGGCATTGCTTAAGTCCTATAGAGGAGGAACAAATACGGCTAGATCTACCATACAGGGAAGAGTTAACTAGTTGGTATTCTATAGCAAGATGTATATAAGTCACAAATTATTTATAGGTTTTTCTATTATTATTAATTAATTGTTAATTGTTACGAAGATCTAATCCCAGGGGAGCCTGGCTAGAACTGCTTTCAAATATATTGTCTGATTTTTGGTAAGTAAATTAAAGAGCATAAGTGCCAGACTATGCTTAATATGAATATTTAAATAAATATTTGAAGAGTGCTGGTCCCGCTCATTCTCTCACTAGTGGCTCTCCTTCACCAGTATTTTCCAGATTATTTAAATTTGGGTCATTTTGGAAGGCAGGCAGAGGCCTTTGTTTCCCAACTACTTATCTGATTGGCATTTAATTATTGGTTACAAATTTGCTTTTAATATTTTTAATATTGTTATTAATTATTTTTAATTTGCCTGGTCTGCGGGGCATATCTTTCATCTGTTTACCAGGATATTTAAACTTCGTCACAGATGCTTCTCTTTATTTCACTTGACTAAATAAACATAGCCACAAATTTGTTGTCTGCAAACGTTAAGAAATCGGTAAACAGACTTGGCTAGATCAGCTTTAGTATTTGTGTAACATTTTTGCTACCATTTTATGTGCACTACATAGTTGGGTAAATGGTTGACTAAATATATACAAGTTTGAAATGCTGCAGTCGATAGAGTCAGTTATTTATACGATGATCAACATCAAATATGCTGTGTTGTTGTTGTTGTTGTTGTTTTTAGAAGCAAGTCGAGTAAAGTAAAGAAAACTTCATAAGATTATCATGACAATGAAGTTATTTGATTATTGGCATTTCATGTGCCCATATTTAGACAACACTTTACAGAGGCGAGGAACATGTAGTGGATATGCGTATCATTGAATTTACCTGTGCACGATGTTAGCCAATAGATCATTGTGTTTCAGCCGATAGTCAATGGGCACCTTCTCGAAATTAACGGTCAGTGTGCCGGTCTGTATGCAGCGCTCATATTCCTCAGCTGGATGTGCACGAAACTCCTTGGAAAATATATCGAGTATCTTTTCGCCCACCCAACGGCCCTTCGTAAAGGTAGTGAAAGTGAAGTAATACGGATACACTTTTCGCAGACCTAAGAGGGCACGTGATTCATTCAAGTCTTGATTTGATTTCAACATTTGTTTTTGGTTCACCTACCATTTTCTATATAGTAGGAGGTCTCCTGATATCTTTCATCAGTAAATCCAGGTCGTTTAGCCTTCAAAGCCTTTGTCTCCAGCTTTGCCTTTAATTATATATATAATATATATATTATATTATATATACATTATATATATATATATATATATATATATATGTGTGTGTGTTTTATCGCTTGCTTACCTTTTTCAAATCTTTAATTTGTTCCGTGTCCTCTGTTTTTCGCTTCTCAGGTATTTTTACCTTTTGTTTTTCCAGTTCGCTAACGTTTGTCAGCTAAAAGTAGAAGAAAAAGCTTCTTGGATTAACTTGTAATAGTAAATTTGTTAAGTAACTATAAATAGTTTACGTGGGTTCCCTGGGACTCAAATGATGTATAGGAGAATTCGGGAACAGCCTTAAATTACATATGCTTTTAGTTTAAAAATAAGTATTACTTCTAATTCAGGCGAGATCAAGTGCTTGGCCAGATTTTGTTTGAAGATGTATGTGACGTAGGTATTGCAACTCAGCAGCTCGAGGCGGCTACCCATCACAACCCATCAAGAATTGTATTTATATATACATTTACATTTTGTTGTCTGGCATTTTTGTTTTTTTCTTGCCATAATTTGATCGCGGCATATGACTGAAATGTGGATTCTCAAGTGGTCTGCCGAGCACTAATTCCACTCCGCTGCGACATGAATTATTTACTACGAAATACACATACAGGCACAAAGCTATTCTAGAGCAGTCTACAATGCAATTTTGAGTTGCATATGCATAGAGAGTGCAAGTATACTATATGCAATTTGGAATAGATACTAGCATTGCAGTTAGTTCTTGTCTCTCTCTCTCTCGTTGACTTCGATGAGTGACTGGCTGGCTGGCTAGCTGGCTAGCTGGCAGTCTTTTGTCATTGCTTTCATTGGCAGTGCGCCCAACAAATGATAGAATCTAGCTGCATGCCCAAAAATTAGCCAAGTAGGACTGATTCAGTCGGGCCTAAGTGACTGCATAATGCTTGTTCACAAGTCTATTTATTCAAAAACCATTAAGCTGTGGAACATAGCAAAACTCTGGAGGAAGTTAATTACAATTTATTTTTCGCAGCTTGTCAAGTCAAGTCTCGGACATTCGTCTAATCCAATATACCCTTTTTCACCAGGTGAACGAGTATAAAAAATCAAAATAAAGCTGTGCGGGAGGGCGTCGGACAGCGGCAGCAGTAGGGAGGCTAGACTCTGACACCGATGGCCTGTCGGTCAATTTCCCTTAAGCAGCATATTTACTCGAGTTGAAGATGCCGTCTCCACATGTGTACAGCGTAACAAATGCACAATATCCATCCCAGCAGCCCCATAGACAAAAGACACACTCGAAAATCTCTTGGATGTTTGGCAGCTTGGTTTAAATTTAGACATGATTTCATTTAATATTAAAAAAACCACCTTTAGTTAGGCTACAATTTGAAACTATTCTAATTAATAGAACACGCTATTATTATGTTTCCTAATAATCAATAATCATTTATGTTTATATACAATATAATGAGCAGAATATGAATGAAATGTTTGAACTCTGCCCACACACACACAGACAGACACACACACGCACACAGGCAGACATCTGAGGAGGCTGTGCATATTGTAGCTCTCTACTCATCCATGAGATGATGTTCATATAGAAAGACTTTATAAATTAATTGAATCATTCAACGGCAGAGACCTGTTGCCAGAGATCTTGGCAAGCGACCATTCATATATGTTTATATATATGTATATATAGGTGTCTGAACATGATTGTTTGCATGTACATTGAATGCTCCTTGCTTTGGTAGACGATTCTTATATTGTTCCAAGCGAGCGGACGACGCCACGCAGCCAGAAGTCGCAGCTAATATTTATGAATACACCCACAGTGAAACAAAGATAGAGCGACATATATGCATATATGCACATATATTTATACATAACACTATATATATACTATAGCATATATATAAATATATATACATATGTACAGGCGACACAATCTTTCTACACTTGATTGCGCAAGGCGCTAAGAACGGGCGTGTGGCTAGAGCAAAATGCGTGTGCGGCAACTGGAAGTAAAAAAAGAGACAGAAAACTAATAGTGGAAACACGTGACCACGTTCTGATTTTAATTATCAAATTTTCAAGAGCATTGCGTGGTCCACACTATTGTGGATACACACACATCTTCAACTAAATATCAGCTGCTGCCGCAGAACTTGTCCCAGAACCAGACGACGTGGAATCCTGCTATTAATTAGAGCACTGATTATGTCCACATAGACTTCTTACTCGTCTGGCCATCGAATGTGCAACTGCTTAGCCAACCATATCTGATTGACAACTACCAGTTGCTATAAAAAGCAAAGCTGCGATAATACTGTAAATTCTAGTTATGCACTGCAAAAAAACCTGACTAACAATCGAGCTGTATTGCAGGAAAACTCATTTAGCCATTTCTGTTATAGTTTCCTTTGGCGTTGTCTTTCATTTGCAACTATGGAAAAGCTTAAGAATTGTATTAATTTGTATTTGTTGCAAATAAAACATCAATTAAAAAAAAAAAAAATTGTATTTGTACTAATCGTTCAGAATTTTATATTAATTATTTAGCAGAAGAGCAATGAATAATACGATTTTTCATTTTAATATATATGTATTTTGTAGTTATAGTGAGAACTTAATTATTTTTAGGGGCATGGCAAAGCTTAGCAAATAATCGTCTGCTCGTTGGGAGTGTCCGACTTAAAGATGCCTTGACGAGCTGCTGTTGTACAGATTGTAACTTATATCCGTACTTTTCTATCCAGAATTAGACATTTTAATACATCTCAAAAATTATGTTTTCCTCGGCTTACTTTCCAGTTTTGTATCAATAAAATTCTAATTAAAACCCTAATTAGTTGTCAATGTTATAAAATAAATAAAGTTTTCACTTTTTAATAAAGTAATGAAAAAACAAACTAAATTTAATCTGACCCTGATATCATACCACCTACTTATGAAATATTTCCAGCTCTTATGTGTTTCACATAAGTAGAGGGTTACATCAGCACGCATGTTGCTATTCATCAGGAATATATATACATCATATGGTTACATATATTATAAAGAAGCCGTTATGACGTCGTTAATGATGTCGGGTTTGTTGAAAATGGGTCAGTAAGTAACAGCGCCAAAAACAATTTGATATTTTAAATAATTCTTTCGATTGATAGTTAACAATTTATGTTTTATTTATTTTCCTTAGCTTGAGCATAAATAGGAAGCAATGTTTACAAAACATCTAATGTTTACCTATTGCATATAAAAATTACTCATAAATTGCTGGAGCTACATTCATCATTCCATATCACTTGTTATTGAGATGTTCAGATTGATATAAATCTATTAAAACTTGAACGGATTTTTATAGCTTCAACCCATTGAAAATGTTTAAAACAAATCAAAAACATGTTTCTTTCCAATTCTGAGTAAAACCTTGGATTTCTTAACAGTCTAGATGCTAAAAGAAATGGAAAAGTGTAACTTAAGCTTTGACAGAGTTATGCCAATAAAAAATGTTAAAGTTAAGCCAATAAAAATCTGAATATGAGTGATTTTTTACATTTAGTTTTACTGAAAATCTCTTTGCCTCAAAATCCAAATATTAAATTTCACTTTCTGTATTAATTTTGATAATTAATTAAAAACAAAATAAAAAATGCTAAATATAAATAATCAACTTTCTTAGGTGTTACCAAATTTATAGTCCAAATCATTTCAAAAGACCTACTATTTAAATGTGAAATCAGCCAAATTATAAAAGGAAACGTTCTAATCGTAAAAACCGTTTTAAATTTTCAGATGTCTGAAGTGTGGCACTGGAGTAAATATTGATATGTATATAGGAAGTAGCTTTGAAGTGGGTCTCTGACTAACACCTAGTCGACCAGTCTCGGCTAGAGATCTCTTACTTGTTCTTCAACCCTATACTCCTTATACTCTGCATGACTGTAAAGTTTAGATTAAACAATAATGCACAGACTTAGACTAAGTAACTAGCTAGTGAGCTCTAAATGCACCGTATGTGGGAATCTTTGAAGGTCGCTCAGTGTGTAACTGTATCCCAACTGTTTGTGTTTCTTTTCTCTTCAATTTCAATGGCTAACATAGTCGGCATTGAAAACGTGGTACCCGCTTGCAAGGAGAGTATGAAAGAAGCTTGTTGTTCGGCTGCTTATAGCTGGCTCTCTGTGGCTCAACTCGTTTTCAAGGGCCAGTCGTAAGCAAATATATCTCTCTGCTAAGTTGAACATGCGTATTATGAATTTTTTGTAAAGAAGACAAACACAACGATTGGAGAGAAGAGAGAAGAGAGCAGAGAGTAGAGAGGAAGGCGGGCTGTCTACTTTATGGGCTATTTGGGAAACCTTGACCAACTCGTAGAAACCTATGCATTTCAAAAGACTGTGGAAATCGTTGTGGAACATGAAAAACACCAACAGCACCGATGCGGAAAATCTGAAAGGTCTTTATGGCAATAGGCAAGCAAAGCAATCGCACAAGGAGATTGCGGATTGTCGGTTTTTAAAAATAGTATTAGTATATTTATTTATTTATTAAACACAAAACGCATAATTACTTTTGGTTTTTATGATATCATCTTACTAATTTGTTGCCCCACACACCGTTGCCTAGTAGACACAGGTATTTAGCAATTATAGAAAACAACGAACGTCGAACAAGTAGAAGCGCCTCACACACAGATACTACATACATGTACGTACATATATACATACATATATACTATAGAAATCGTAATAAGCAATTTCTGATTACAATCGCGCTGACGTTACATAGTTGTTAAAGTGAATGTCCAAACATTATAGCTCGACGGATTGTTGACTGTCTGTCTGCCTGTCTGAGAGGTTTTCATGATGCAGTTTTGTCATAATAATTAACCAAAGTCAATTTGAGATCACTTAAGATCTGTGTATATACATATATATGCCCAACACTCAATCTGCTGGATAATACACTGTTCGACACGTATCTATCTGCGAGGCATTTGCTTGTTTTCGTTTATACATCCGCTAGACATTTGTTTTCCTTTCCGACGTTGGCTGTTGAAAGTTAAACGTACTTTTCTTTTTTTTTCAATTAATTTCAATTAATTTCTATTTTCATGTGCCCTGTCTACCTAAATAGTTTACTAAGTACCAACAACTAAATCAATCTGAACAATGAACTAAGCAATACAAATTGTATATAATATAATGAAGTTGAGAATAGGCTTAGGCTCATCATGTTTTAGTATATAAACAGAATAATTAGAAAACACAAAGTGATACACCTTTTCCCTATGAAATATATGTAAATATCTATATATGATAAATATATGTAGAGATAGGAACAAATATAGGTTGATATACTACTTTAAAATCAATAAGCAAAAGGAAATAATTTAATATATTTATAAACATGTACAAGATTTATTTATTGCTTTTGCATATATTTTTAATATTTTATTGTATTTTAAGAGGACTCATGGCAATAGAAATATAAATAAATTTTGTAAAATAAATATTATAATTACTCAATTCGTCACAGTAAAGGAAAGAAACCAGATTGCCCATATAATTTTTTCTTGAATTCTTCTTAAAAATAAAGAGAAAAAACAACAATTTAATCGATTCATAATAGTCTGAAATATAAAAATCTCTGTAAAGAAAACAGCTTCCAGTTTTGTTTATATATTAATTTTTTACTGCAACTACGTGCACAGACAAGTATCTATAGTAGTCTGTCTGAATAAATTAAATGAAGATAGAAATTGAATAGATAAATCCATATAAATAAATATAGATTTGTATGTATGCCTATATGTATATATCCAGGTTGAAATAAAAAAAAGACCATGTACTCATCTATTGAACAATGCTTAGATAGCTACACAAACTAACGATAAATCATTTATGAAAGGTGGCTAAAGATGAGCTCACAGTAAATCTACATATTTATGTAATGCATGCATTGTACATGCTTATCTATGTATATGTATATATGCATACACACATATATATATATACGTATGTAATGGCTTACTTATGGTTCAAGAGCACGGCTCATTTCAACGTAAACAGCAGCTGCTCAGCCGGCTCTCAGGCACTGACATCAATTGTCTCTCGATGACCTTCGCGTAAGTGCTTGATTGCAGGTGGCTTTCCGTCCGTCCGTCCGTCCGTCGGTCTGTCTCTCTATCTCTCTCATTGGCAATCAGAAATCATGACACGCCGTTTAGGAGACCAGTTTGATCAAAATGTTCAGTTGAGTTTTTAAGTAGCATTTGATCACGCTGTACAAAATACAACCTTAACTTTAACAATCCATAAGCTTATATGAATAGGGAAATTCACTTCAAAACTTCGGGAACATTTGTATATCTGACTAGGAAGGAAATAAATTACATATCTTGTTGTCCATCCCACCCCATTTATCAATATATTTACATTATTTTCTTTCAGGTTTTTAGTCCATCCAGAACAATTGATCTACGCAAATATATTGTCATCGAATCTATCTTATCCCATCTGATTCTACTTTAGGATATATAAACTTTAAGATAGATCTATATTCTCATTGAAATATATCATTTAATCATCATTTGGTAATGCAAGTCAACAGAGTATTGCGCTGTCGATCATAACCGATTTTAGGGCTCTCACTTTTTCTTTTACTCACCTTTCTGTTAATAGTTAGAGAAGCTGGATTTGGTAGTGCTTTGATGGATGTGAGCCCGGCGGTGGCGGCAGCTCCATGATTTCGCAGGGCCATCACGTTGCCCAGGTTTAGATTAATGGAAGAGAGATGCTGCAGATCCTGAGGCATGCAATTCAATGGCTGCACCAAAGCACACGCGGGCGGCGGTGCTGGACGTGGCACCGATACGGGCACTTGTACGGGCATTTGCACCGGCACTTGGACCGGCGGCGATTGCGGCATACCCGCTGAGCCAGCTACAGAGGCAGCAGCCAACAGAGCCTGCTGCGCGGACAAGGGAACGCCACCAAACGCGGCAACAGCATTCGCATGATTAGCTCCTGCAGCAGCCGCCGCTGCTGCTGCGGCCGAATAGTAGGCGCTCAGCGAAAGTGGCGAAAACATCGAGGACTGCAGCAGATGCGTCTGCGAGTGACTGTGCGACGGATGAGCCTGTCCTGCATAGCTGCTCGTCTGGCCAGTATTCAGCAGCGGCTGATTGAAATTATAGCCAGGCGCCAAGGGAAAATGGGTGCCAGCGCTTGGATGCAGCGCTGGTTGCTGATAGTTTGTAGGCGGTGCTGCTGCAGTGTTAGGTGAATGCTGTTGCGGCTGTTGCTGAAGCAGATGCTGCTGCTGTTGCTGCTGCTGTTGCTGTTGTTGTTGTTGCTGCTGCTGCTGCTGATGCATTTGCGGCTGTGCAGCGTATAGTGCACCTGGCGGCACCTTATCCGCAAAGGGCGTCTGCATGGCCAACAGCTTGTGATGATGCTGCTGAGCAGCCAAGCTCCAAGGCAAGTACCAGGCACAAGAAGAAGGTGAATTCTGCATACTCCGGCTTTTCTTTGTTTTTATTTTAATTATTTAAATATTATTTTATTTTCTTTGATTTTTGTTTATCACGCACAAGCTTTGTTTTGATTGCTATTGCTTATAGTTTTTGCTTTTCATAGTCAATTACATAATTTCAACAGAAATCGCTTTTTCTGACTGTTTAGCTTCTCTCGCTGTTTTATCAAAATTGAGTTTATTTTCAAAATACATGCAAATTGTTTACGTTCTGCTGCTTACAGGTGCATGCAAGTAGTTGCTATAAAGCCGCGTTTCCTATGTGTATTTCGCTATATATATACTTGTTTACCTATCTATATATCTATCCATCTATACACAGAAGACTAATTCAGCTCTGGCCGCCACTTTGGACGCGTTTATTTGAAATTTGGAAGCTGAATTTACTTTGCGTTTGTTTGGTTTATCTGTTCACAAGTTGCTGCGATTTCGTGCCATGCACAATGGGATAAATATTATTAATACCGATAAAAAAGTGAAAAAACGTAAATATTTATTTATTTCAAATAAAATTAAATTAAATCTGCCTTATTCCCTTATAAGGAACTGTGTTCAGTAACCGTCCAGACAGTTCTGCGAGTCAAGTATCTAGAATTTGTCGGAACTAGTTTTGTTATAATAAAATTTGTAATGTGTAAAAGAACTAGATTCAAATTTCATGAAACAGCCGAAAGTCAGATAAATCACAGCCTGGAACTAGGCTCACAAACCAAATCTTTCGATCAAGACTTTCGCTTTGAATTATGAACCGAATCAAAGAAACTTTTCTTATGTGCCGCACACATATCTACATACGTACATACAAACAAACACAAGTGTGAGCGGAATCAGAAGACAGTGTTGATTTGTGAATTTGTTGTTATTGTTAGCGACGCACTGTCAAAATGTATCCCAAAGACATTCACAGAGAGACACATACACACACACTCCCATCTACAAGCTCAACCAAGAATATGACTGGGTCCCATATCCGTGCACACACACCCACATACATACATACATAGAAGCTACCTGTCTTGACGGCAAGGCAAAAGTTGTGCACTTGTTTATCGTGCAATAAATGAAAATGGAATGGAACAATGGCTAGAAAAGCCACTAAATATAGCGTAATGGATTTTAAATGCACATTCGACATCTGACGGCTGGCTGATAGCTGATGGTTTTTTTTGGCTGATGGACGACTGGGTTGCCGCCTTTCTGCCTGCCTGCCTGCCAAATAGTGTAAATAGAAATTTTATGCTTGCGCGCACCCACTTCCACGTGCACAGTATATAGTACAAAGAGACGTTTAGGAAACATGAATATCATTGAAGTTGGGTGTATCAATAGAATCGAATTAGCGTATACAAGGTGCTACACGCCAAGTAAGTGAAAATTAACTATAACAGAAATATTTAACAGATTTTTACGACTTTGAATATATAATAGTAATAATAATATTATTATTTTCTTCATATATGTAAAAGTACACAGAAATGTGTCACTTACAATTTTTTTAATTTTATTATTTTGTTAATTTGTTTGTATATCATTTTTAACTACAAAAGTTTTCAAATTAAATAAAACAATTTTAATTTATATTTCTAATAGCTTATTAATTTAGGTCAAGTCGAGCTTTGATAAAATAATATTTTTTTGGCAAATATTTTTTTTACTATTATTATTTTTTATATAAATATTATTATTATTTTCTTTGATATTTATTTACTCAGAGCTATTTAACTTCAATTTACAAATGAGCAAATAAACATATTTCTTTCGTCTATAAGTTTTTTACAGTATAGTCAAACTTGAATTCACAATTTAAATTATATCGTTCATGACACATAAAATGCGGTGGTGCTTATCGTACAATCGTTAGTTAATACGGTGTGTAGCGCTCCCTAGCGTCCCCATGGTACGCACTCCTTTAGAACCACCCCTGCCACCCATTCTTTCGGTCCGGGCGAGCAGCTGCTACTATCTGTTCTTGAAGTGTGCGACGGCTATGAATTTATTTACTAATGTATTTTATATTTTTTTCGGGGGCTTTGTGCTAAAATAAGTCTGATGTATTACTAGGTTTGCCACACACACACATACTCACTGGCGCATACAAAGAAATGGCCGCAAATTATTTAAAATTTGTTTCATTTTTCGGCTCTACAGTATGTACTATGTACGAGCATGTTTATGTGTGCTAATTTTTGTTATTTTCTTGTGTTTTTTTTTTGGTGATCTTAGTATTTTAGTGTTGTTTGATCATACAGTGACAAGATGATGTCTGTTTTACGAGTATTTTGAATAGATACTCACGGACTAATTTCTTATATAATAAACAAAGGATTACCCAATAAAAATGTCAAAAAGATCGCATAACCTGTCCGTATAAAACAGATTCAAATTCAAAATCCAATGAAATTCGAATATTTCGCGCGCATTCAGAATTCCTCAAAATAAACCGTACGAACTGTACGGACTCTACGAACTGTCTTCGAAATTCAAAAAATACATATATATATTTCCATTGTCTTTTGACAGTATTTACTTTATATATATAACAATATATATATATATTTTTTGTCCTGAATAACGAAACACGCCAAACGAAGATTAGGTAACTGCATGTGCGGCTCTTCTCTTGACGTTTGATGATGATTAAAGGCCGTGCAGTGCGTAGGGCCTTCTACTGAAATTACTTATGATATATACTACATATGTATGTATATATATATATATATATATATATATATATGTATATATATGCATACATATATATATATTTCAAACGTCACCTCTCTAACTAAGAAGACATGCCAACCAACAAAAATATATTGTATAGAAAATATACAATTTTTCAGAAACAAAAACTATTTGCGTACGTAAAAATGGACGATGTTAAAGACTACGGCAATGGCGCATATTTTTGGTACAGAGCCATGCACGGGCACATACACACACACACACTGGCAAAGGAAAATATTCTAAAAACGTTGTCCTCAAATAGCTTTACTCATACACACTCCTTCTATTTAGTCGCTTGTCAAATGTCTAAACATGCTTATTATAATTATAATGAGAACTATGTGGCTCGTTGCAGTGGCATAGAAGATCAAATATCAGATTGAATGTGTAATTCCTATAGAACAGTAAGGCAGATAATACAAAAGCGTTACTAATACTAGCTACTAGTAACTACTAATTAACATGCTAAGAGCTTGATTTACAAACAAAAATGACATCTGCAAGGATCCTCAAAAATATTTTAAAAATCTGCAGATCATTCACTTAGTAATTTTTGTAAGCTTTGCAGCACGTTTACAATGATCTACACTAATTATATGGATAGCTTTTATAGGTACACCGTAAATGCCTTCATTACATTATTATCATAAGGTTTTTGAAATCACGTCACTTTATATTGAGTTGCATTACTGTGATTATCTGATAACGAATGTGACCTGGCGCCGGAGTTTTAGTTATTACCACGCAAAAAAACTAAAACTGAACGGGTTTTATATATATTGATATATACATATACATGGATATATATTCAAGTTGCGCGACACGCCCGCACACTGAGCCCCCGTTTAATAGGTACCCAGATTGTAAGCCATCAATGTCGTTGTCGAGGTGTACGAGCGTCGGCGTTTTTCAATAATTTCGTCGCACACACGTTTTAATATCTTAAAAGCGGATGGCAAACACGCGACAACCTCTGCACTGGCTGAAAGCAAGCGGCCGACTGATTGGAGCAGCCCCAATCGTGGACTGTAAAAAGAGCACCCGCCCGCCTTTTTGGGTCTGTGGGCTGCACTGCTTTCAAATTTAAATTGCGCGCGCTCTGTTAAACTTAACATTATGTTATCTTCACCTGCTTGTAACTCACAGCGAGTAAGAGAGAGAGAGAGAGAAGAGGCTGTTAAGTTTTGGCTCTCTTTGAAGCACAATGTTAAAAGCTAATTAATTAAGTTTTTATTTACGCAACAATAAAACATATATTGATAAACAGATATTCAACGTTTGCTCTTTAGATTCCATTAATTAATACTATTTTTTTTAAGAGTAAAAGAGATTTTGAAGAAAAATTCATCACCTGCAATATTTCTGAGTGAAGGGAGAATATTCCTTATTTATTTGCTGATAATATTATGTGTATTATCTTTTATCTTTGTATCTTTTATGTTTTATGTTTCATCTTTCATCCTTTATCTTTTGCCTCTTATCTATTATCTTTTATCTATTATCTATTATCTATTATCTATTATCTATTATCTATTATCTATTATCTATTATCTATTATCTATTATCTATTATCTATTATCTATTATCTATTATCTATTATCTATTATCTATTATCTATTATCTATTATCTATTATCTATTATCTATTATCTATTATCTATTATCTATTATCTATTATCTATTATCTATTATCTATTATCTATTATCTATTATCTATTATCTATTATCTATTATCTATTATCTATTATCTATTATCTATTATCTATTATCTATTATCTATTATCTATTATCTATTATCTATTATCTATTATCTATTATCTATTATCTATTATCTATTATCTATTATCTATTATCTATTATCTATTATCTATTATCTATTATCTATTATCTATTATCTATTATCTATTATCTATTATCTATTATCTATTATCTATTATCTATTATCTATTATCTATTATCTATTATCTATTATCTATTATCTATTATCTATTATCTATTATCTATTATCTATTATCTATTATCTATTATCTATTATCTATTATCTATTATCTATTATCTATTATATATTATCTATTATCTATTATCTATTATCGATTATCTATTATCTATTATCTATTATCTAAATGAAACATAAAATATGTTTTTATTTGTGTTATCAGTTGAAGAAAGTTATTGTAGACCAAAGTTTATATTTCGTTTAATCCAATCTGAAACAATTATAATATTTTCAAGAAATTAAATGTGAAGGCTTTTTAGATTTTTTTTGATTCGAATTTCTCGTTTGAAATTGTTGTCTTTTTTGTTTGTTATATGCATTATAATAAATTCCCAGCCTAATCTCATAAATTAGAATTTTCTTGACACATTCTAACAAAAATATATATATATATAAATATATAAACATACACGTGCTGTTAGTAAATACTTATTTACTCATAATACATACATTTATATATATGTATAATATATACATATAATGTACATGGTTGAGAGACACATATATATCCATGTTAAGATTTTGATGAAACTTTCATATTGTTACGTGAAACAAAAGATTTTTTTTGGCTTAGGCCCAACAAAAATTAAATTCCTCTTGATTTAGTTGCACAGGGCAAAGTCATTTACGTGCGGGATTTTCTACGAGATGTTTAAACATTCTTACTACATAAACAAATGAATATGTACTATGTATATGATAGATATATTATACAAATATACATTGCGGTAGACAGATATTTCTATGAATTAGGATTTTTCTATGCTCATTTAGTGTCGCTCTACCGTAACGGAAGATTTTTGTAAAAATGGAATACAAAAAATATTAAATATAGTAGAACAAAGACTACCAAAAGTCTTATGAAATTATAAAATGTTATATAATACATTTAGTAAAACTTATAGGAGTCTATTTATACTCGGAAGCCATCGGCTATGAAACGAAAGGGTGCTGACCTTTTAAAGTACTCACATCTAATGTCAACTGGCCGCGTCGATCTAAAATGTCCGTCAACTTCTATAAGCGCATCAATCTTCGAAACGTCTAATGCAAGAGATTTGCGTTTAAAAACATCGTATACTGTCCGCTGTTCGAATTAATTTTATTTAATATTTCATGCTACTCATTAATGTCATTAACAATGGAGCCTTTAAAAATCCATTAAGATAACTATTAAATATAATGTTATATACTGTTAAATATAATAATGAGCGTAAATTGTTTGTCCCTTTATATTTAAAGAAATATTTTTATCGATTTGTATGTTTTTATAATTTAAAAAAATCAATTTTCTATCAAATTTTACTGAAAAAGTTTTATTTTTAATAATCAATTATCGTATAATATGAAATATTTTATTTTTATTGTTATAGTATATTAAATATTTAAAAATTTAATACATTTTAAAGTTTTTCCAAAGTATTAAAAAAATTAAAACATTTATGATAAATAAAACTTTGACAAAAGTATAATAGAATATTGCTTTAATTCAATTATAATGATTTTTTAATTTAATGAAATCGATGTTTGTCGAGCAAATAGCTGTGCATGTTCAGTTCTTAAATGTTTGTCTTTTATTTAATTTATGTTTATACAGCGCAGCTCAGCTCTGCATACAAGTTGCAAGTTGGGGTAATGTTGCCCTACATTCATGCATGGTAATTATATTGCAATTATTTTTATTGTTGTTTCGGAACTGGTCAGAGGGTCAGAGTGGGTTGACCTTCGTTAAGGTTGACATTGAAATCTTTGTTAAAATTCCTTTTGATTAAACAGGTTAAAGGCGCACAAAAAGCTCGTTTCTTGTTTGCCTCAATTAATTGTTGTGGTTAAGCAAGTTTTCCAGTTTTGAACTATAAGAAAACGATTTACGCCTTAGGTTTTTGCGTTTCACGTTTTGCGTTTATAACTCTGGAATATTAATTTTCGCGATGCCCTGATGTAATCAAACCTAGAGACGGGGATATGTCCACCTAGATTGTGGCCGAAAATATAAAATATCGTGTATATATGGAGTAAAATAGCCCAACTAGGAGCGCGACTATTGCATGTCCGACTGCGTGACTAGTTTAACACACCTGCACTCTCCAAAAAACAGTGCCCTCTCTCTTCCTATCTCTCTGTCTCTGTTTCTCTTTCTCTTTGCCCTAGTGTTAAAAGAACGTTCTCCTTGAAAAGCACTCGGTCACGAAACAAGCTACATACAACATCCTTCTGTAAACCCACAACTCAGGTTAAGGCGACCAAAAAAAAGGCTTGCCCCTTATTTAGGGCAACATTTAATGGCCACTGGCCATAAGGCTCTTGGTCTTGGCTAACCAGCAGGGTGGGGGTATGCGTGTGTATATATGTGTGGGTGTGCGTGTATATGAGAGTAAAAGTTGGCATTTGCTGCTGCCGACGAAGAAAGTGATTAAATCAGCACGATATTTTGTAGGTGTGCGCACTCACCGATTACATTTTTTATTCTAAGTGTGTGTGTGTGTGTGTGTGTGTGTTAGATTTATGTATGTATGTACTGGAAATTGACTTTTCGCCTGGACAAAAAGCTAGAAATGACGACATCACGCTTCCTCATCAAACGAAAAAAAACTATATACATAAACTGAAAAACCTACCCAGCTATTCTACTGCGTGTTTACAAACAATATTGTGTGCGAAGTCTTATATACAAATGTATATATAAATATACATATAAAAATATGTATGTTTAAATAAAATGATATATGTTTACATATGGTTATATGCCTACAACAAGGCGTGTTTCGCAAAATTTGCATACATACTTTTAGCGGCTAATTAATTAAATTAATACTAATTATAAAAAATGTTTAATTTTTTATAACTTAGTTGACAGAGATTTAAATAGTGAATAACTTATTTTATAAATATATGCATTTTATTTAGTTATATTCATGCTGCTCATTATTAGGATAAAATGAATTAGATATTTGATATACCCCACATAAATAGTTTGTTTACAAAGTGTTCAAACTGAACTGAATGAACAAATGAACCGAATTTCGCTGGTTCGATTTGTGAAATTGCGCGTACAGCAATATAATCGAACTAGTTAGCTCGCGCTCGCTTGTTGTGTATTTTATAAAGGCTAAATTTTATTTTACGGATTTAATGAAGTATTTGCGTTACGTTGATAACACATTTCGCCTGGCAAGTCTTAAACGCATAGGCAGTCTAACATAGTGATTTATAAATACTCTTACTTTGCTTTAGTTCATTCATTCGATATGCTAGCGCACACGTGTTGATGGTTTTGTTTTTGTTTTCAGTGCTTTAATTGGTTCATTGTGAGACGCTTGTTGAACGCACAAATAAAAGTTAAGAAATCAAATAGCATATTTTTGTGTTGGCGAACAATGACATTGCCCAAGACTCTACGCCATGTGCAAACCCAGCATGGCGATGACTCTGTTGATGTGGAAAACATCTTTCTATTTAGCGCTAACTTGTACGCCGTATCAAACACCGCCGGCGGTGGCTCTACAAATGATGCTGAATTAGACGCTAAATTAAGCGCTGAATCAGTTGCCACTGTTGCTGACAATTCAGAGAAGCCGAAATCTGTAGATGGTGTATGGACCTACGAGGCTAGTGAAGATTGCGGCAGCCAAGTAAGTTAATTAGTTAATTTTTTTAGTTAACTTGCTTTATTATATTTATAGCCATTAGAAATTAAAGTTAAGCATTTACACATGGAAGTCTAGCACAGTAGGTCCTTCTATATATGTAGGTGGTCCAAACAGATCACAAGTCAGCAATAAATGTTTCAAAATCCTTTAAATTAATTGAAATTAAATTTTAGCTATTTAAGCATATATGTTAGAGATATCCAAATCACACATTCCCCTCAAAATTGCATAAGACGGTATTCAAGGAACCCGTATATTGATTATAAAAGTTTCTATATTAAAGATTCTATATTTACATTTACAAAGAACCAGGAAAGCTATATTTGCTTTATAATCTGGCAAGATTCATTTAAGATCATATTTCTGCCTGAGAAGTTAGTTTTAAGCATTTAAGAACCCACGAACCTTGCTATACCATAATTTACTTCACTTTGCTTGAAGTGCAACTAGTGTTCGTTAAAACATGTTAACATGTAAATGTAAACAACTTCAGAGACAATCAAAGTAACATCAGATCCATCTCGAGGGTCATTGTCAATGTGGAGAGGAGGGAAATACTAATTGCAAGAGCTCTCTTTTGTAATGGTTGCTATTATAGTATTTCAATGCATCTCTATATTTATATGATGCGCTTTGTATCTCAAACACTAGAGCCTATTCATCTATACCCACATTGTTTATTCACATTCAGTATTCCTGCTGGCATATTTATGTTCAGTCGTGGTGGGGATTTAAATTTGTAAAATGGTCACAAAATCCGTCAATCCGATTTGAATTACTTATAGCCGTAGAGGCTTTTGAATTTGTTGGCATGTGCCAACAGACCGCTTTGTATCAATAATAATCACGTGTAGCTTCTCACTGCCAGGACAGCATTATCGTTTCCGAGGACCACTTATTATGTAGCTTATGCTAACCTCTACTAAATAATCCCCGTACACTTAGCTTTGTGTTAACCGCAACAAACATTTTAGTTAGCTTACCTTCGTTTGTCCGTGCTCCGACTGGCTTGCTAGTTGGTTGTCTAAGCTGTCTCTCGCTTTACCTTCATATTTTAACCGCGGATTTGGTATAATTATTTCTCATTTTGCTTTTCCTTTTTGCTATTTTGTTGAAGGGTGCTTTCGACGCTTCGTGTCGTTTTTCCTACTTGTTTGCTCTGACGAGCAGCGCCTCCTTGTCAAGTTGGCCAACCTGACGCTTCCGCAATTATCAGTGTTGCCTCCTGTTTATACCCCGTGCACCTGTGAATCAAGGTTATGCTTGCTTAGAGCAACAGACTTGCCACTTTATGAAGCTTCCTTTGAGGATTAAGAGTTAATGTATGCTAGCTCACTTTGAAGCTCACTAAAGGCTATTCTCCAGTTGTGCACTCTAGTCTAGGTATTGTAAATTACTTTCTGAATCAAACTGAATTGAATTGTATTTTTAAGTAGCTTAAAGCTAACTAAAGGGTATCTTTTAGGCGTGCACTTGCGTACGTCTATTATGGCTTGTTTTTAAGTAGGTATCGCTATGCTCCTTAAAAGTAAATTGCTCTAAATGTTTTTGTCTTCCATTATGCGCGCCTATTGTGTCACTTGCATTTAAAGTTTCCACAATACCTATGCATGCATGCCTGTATGTATGTATGTATGTATGTAATCTACGTGATGTATGTAGGCTTGTGTCTGATGTATGCACGTCTACGTGCGCTTGTCTCTGTGTTAGTGCTATTGAAATAAGGAATGTGTCTCGACATTAAAATAGAGAATGTCAAATGTGTGCAAGTATTGGTGTTCTCCACAGCGAAGAGTTTTATTATTCTAGCTTCTTCTTTGTTTTGAATGCAGTTTTTACTTGCTTCCCCTCTGGAGCCGTTTGCGTCCACGGAAAGTCCCCCCTGGGTACGGCAAACGTGATTGTGTTCGCCTTCCTTTAAGATACGAATGCAGACCACGGTTTTATGATGACAATTTGGGTTTGTTACAACCCTCTATTACTTTTCCTGCAGTTAAAAGAGTTTTATTCCCATTTCTTGTTTCTCTCTCACATACTTTGCGTCTTAGTGTGTCATGCAAGCGCCTTGATCCTGGTTTTCTTCTTTTGATACGCTTTTAAATAGAGAATCGTTATTTACGTATAAACTTATTATTCATTTCCGTTTAAGCTCGCTACAGTTGCTGAGGCCTCACTTGTACAGCTGCCTGAAAAGCGAAAGCCTACCGATGACCCAAACGCCACCGAATCAAAGAAGCCTAAATTGGAAACAAAGGATCTGAAACTGACGCGTCCCGGCTTTAGTGAAGAGAGATATGATGAGACTTCCTATTACGTAGAAAATGGTAAGCTTTAAAACTTACACCTGTTTATGGATTAGCCCAATCATTGTCTCAATTTGAAGGCTTGCGAAAGGTTTACCCCTACTCGTTTACATTCACAACTTTCACAAAGGGCCGCTGGGTGGGCGAGGGAATTTTGGATGTATTCTCGCGTGAATTCCGGGCCCACCCTTCTGAGGAATACAAACGCAGCATCGAGGCTGGCAACCTAACAGTCAACTATGAGAAGGTGCCCGTTGACTACAGGCTAAAGCACAATGATCTGCTAGCTAACACAGTGCACAGGTATATATATAAATATATATAGATTTATAATATCATAAACTCTAAACTCATCTATCTTATCCACAGACATGAAGTTCCGGTTACTTCGCAGCCCATTTCCATAGTTCATATGGACCAAGACATTTTAGTAGTAAATAAGCCAGCTTCTATACCAGTAAGTAAATATTTTTGAAAATATGTTTTTATAAATATTTACATGTTACATATGTGTATTTAGGTACATCCGTGTGGGCGCTATAGACATAATACGGTGATATTTATACTTGCCAAAGAGTACAGTCTGAAGAATCTGCGCACCATACATCGGCTAGATCGCTTAACTTCCGGTTTGCTTCTATTTGGACGCAATTCGGAAAAAGCTCGACAAATGGAGCAACAGATACGAAACCGACAAGTGCAAAAGGAATATGTTTGCTGCGTGGAAGGTCACTTTCCAGAGTAAGTAGTCTAATAAGCTGTATGATTTTTTTTAACATTAATTCATTTCACATTAATTATTAATTATTATTAATTATTAATTTCTTTTATTGTAATGTAGAATGTAATATTAAGTGAAAGTTCGTGTTGTGTAATATATCTAAATATATTTGGAATTTTTCTCTAACCTCACATTTTCGGTATCTCTACTTGCTTTTAAGGAAAGTGTCAAGTATTTTGAAGTAAACTAAACATAAAGTTAAATAATCTCAGAAATAATCAGAAAATAATCAACTTAATAAATTAAGTACATAAAAAACAAATAATTTTTTTTTAAATATATGTATACTATTTTTAATTTTAGTGGTGTTATCGAATGCAATGAACCCATTGAAGTAGTTAGCTACAAAATTGGAGTATGCAAAGTCTCACAGAAGGGCAAAGATTGCAAAACAACATTCAAGAGAATCGGCCAGGCTGGAGACTACAGCATTGTGCAGTGTAAACCGCTGACTGGACGAATGCATCAAATCAGAGTGCATTTACAATATTTAGGTAAGTTGATATTCTTACATTAATTTTCCAAATTAATTACACAATAATTATTTATTCAGGTTACCCGATTGTCAACGATCCATTGTATAATCATGAAGTATTTGGTCCTTTAAAGGGGCGCGGCGGAGACACTGGAGGAAAATCCGATGAGCAACTAATAAGTGATTTAATCTCCATACACAATGCCGAAAATTGGTTGGGTGTTGATAAAGAAATCGCAACGACGAAAAATTCAGATGTGACTGCCGACAGTATAAAGGAAGCTAAGCAAACTGACTGCCAACCTTTAATTAAACCAGCACCTGAACCTAAGGTATTACTACATAATTTTGCCATTATTATCTGAGACTTATATAATGTAATATTTGCATTTTAGGTTACAATTTCTACACAAACTAGTCATGAACCTGCCGACTCGAATTTCGATGCTAGTAAGCTATCTATAGACCCCCACTGCAGCGAATGTAAAATGAACTATCGCGATCCAAACCCAGAGGACCTCGTTATGTATTTGCATGCGTGGAAGTATAAAGTAAGTTTTAATATACTACAGCTTAAACCAATTAAAATTTATTCGAATTTACGCAATTTCAGGGAATCGGCTGGGAGTATGAAACAGAATTACCAAGTTGGGCCTCGGCTGACCAGGATAATATCACGCTTAGTTTAAGAAATAAGCGTTAAATTGTACAGTTAACTGTAACGAATAGTTCGTAGCAGGACATTCTGAATTATACATATTTAATTGTTGCATTCTTATATGATCTTTATTTATTCATTTATAATGTTTTGATCTTTAGATCATTTTATATATTTCTATTTTGCCAAATACACAACAAAAGTGCGTATCTCCATTGGGCTAAGTTCGATAAGATACTTTTCACGTTCAGATGATTGCATAGATATTTTCAAGTTTTCTGCGCTGACCTCTTGCTGAGGTTTTCTATGTAATGTGAAATGTCTTGAGTTGGCACTGCGCTTTATTCGATTGCTTTCAGCGCCTAGCTGACCGGCTTCGAGAGTTTCCTTTGAATACTTAACTTCTAGCATTGGTTTCGAGGCTGATAGCAAGTGAACAACCTTTGACGATTTTGTAAATGTGCCATAATTGTTGTACGCCTCATCCTCGGGATCGGGCACAAACTCCATGCGTCGATGTTCATCCAACCATGCATTTCCATCCAGAGTTGTCTCTCGAATATTTTCAACATTAAATGCACTCAGTACGTCTTTAATATTAAATTGCACGTATTGCGAATAGCGCACATCATCTTTTTTCTCCAGTATGTGCTCAAAACGGACGAGTAATTCGTTCTCGTGCCAAGGTTCTAAGCTAAGTAAATTCACAAATTTCGGTAGGACCACTGATATGCCATGGTACTGTGAATTTTAAAATATAAAAATGATAATATTAAAATTAATGGTAATGAAGAAAGCTCAGGCTAAAGGACTCACTGTGTTTGTAAATGAGGTCAGCCATTGATCTGAACTATAAGACACATTGCTGAAAAATTTCCACGAGGGTAACAATGTCTCCAACTGCACCAGACGTTCGATTGCCTTTAGGGAGACATCGGGACGTTGTAAGGATTGACCCACAAACAAATGATGTTTGCCTCGTGCAATCAATCCCTCGCCGTATTCGGTTTCGTTGAGGGCCTCGCCTACTCCAAATGCATCATCGTGCAATAAGCGTCGATGTACCATCAGTTCCAAAACACCATCCTCCAAAGAACTACCACCCTGAGCTCTGTCAGTCAAAATAGCCATGCGAGCAGTTGTATCCTCCAAAGCGATTTTCGTTGTCACTGGATAGTAGTTGCCGGCAACAGATTCGTGTATTTTTACATTCCACGTTTCACGATGATTGCGCTTACGTTTCAACATTTCGCGACCTAACGATAAGCAATGTGAATAGTAGAAGTAAATATAAGTTCTACGTCTTACCATTCGAATCAGTAAAGAATATGCCATCCGACTTAATGTCGGACTTAAAGCGCGATATTACTTCCTTGCCGATGTTGTCCTTTATCGGAATGGGACCCACTAACCATTCGAACTCAGCATGATTGCTCTGTTTATAGACGCGAACCACTTGGCTTATCCAATCGTTGAATTTCTGATGCACCTCCTGTACTAGTTGACCCTTGTAGACCTCTATAGTGACTTCATCTGTGGCGAAGCGTATTTGATTGTTGTCAGGCCGGAATATATAGGCACCCGAGGAACGATTCAAGAACTCGGCATTGTTTCCAGTTGCAGCTTCATAGTATAAAAACTCTTGCGAAATCATGCGCGTCATTCCATCGGCTGTGACTTCAGCGAGGAATCCGTTGGTATCGAATGTTAGTTGAATATTCTATACAGAAATTAGTTATTATCATTAGAGCATAACACAAGTTTAGAATATTAATTACATTGTTTCCAATAACAGTATAACTAGATGTTTTCTTTGGCGATGGTGAGGGTTTGCCAATGGCAGGAATGGTCTCGGATTTTTCAATATAATAGGTCTTATATCCCACGGGTGGCAGGCTGGACGCCAAGAAAACAAGCTCATACTGGGCGCTCGAGTTTCTATGCTTCATGTTGGACACAGCTTTGGGCACAGGCACCGCTTGAACTGGCAGGACTTTACCTAAAAATATATAATTATTCAATAAAGAATGTTTGCTTGTAAAGTTTACAATTGCATCTTACCTGTCGGATCGATTACAACATAATTGTAATCCTTAACAGGCACTCTCACATACTCATTGACCGAATGAGCCAGCGGATTGTACAGCGTCAGTGCAAATCTTTTGTTTAACTCGGATGTGGCACAACTGCTTATGTTGAGTAAAGTACAAGTTTTGAATTCAAATTTAGATGGCTCTTGACTGTTTCGATCTGATGCAATAGACAACTGATTCAACACCGATCTAATATTTGTGGAGCAGGCACGCAGAGCGACACTCATGCGCTTCGCATAGTCTAAAGCAACCTTTTGTTTCTCCGTTCCAGTGACTGCATCATGGTGCTGCATTATGCCCATGGTCTCGCGTAAGAAATTCAAATGCGGATCAAACTCTGCTGAACGCTTTGGAGCCAAGGCGCTAAGCTGCTTGCAAACCTGCAAGAAATGATTGCCATCACGCTCGAAACGCTTCAGAGTCGGTCGCGAGGTGAAGTAGCCTGTCCAGTAGGCATGTGGATCGGATGCATAGGGAAAGAAATCATCGCTCTTCGTCGGCCATGAGATGCCAGCATCATGCAGAGATTTTAGATAGCATGAAGGCGTGGAGTACAGCAAGTTTATATTCGATCCATTTGCTTGACGCTCATTGGCATATCTGCAATTGATTAAAGAAAATATATTATTTATAATATATATATATATATATATATATATATATATATATATATATATTATAATTATAATCAAAATTTATTCTTGTCTACAACTTTAATTGTTCAATTGATTTTCTAGGTTAAGGAAAGCCCCTCACTACTCACTTAATAAGTTTATCCAGATTTTTATACCACATATCAGCATTCTGGTAGTGGAAATCCTCGCCCATTGTTATAAGCAAGTTGGGCGTGCGATAACCTTTGGCCATCTTAGTGACAAACTCAAAGAACGCATCGATCTAGACACAAAAAGCATTTACTCCAATTATATATTGTTTTAAAGAACATCCAATGGACAAACAAAATGAGGGGCTTTCGTTAACAGAACAGTATGCCAGAAATATAGAACACATATATAATTTTACCGTATTAATTTGTCGAGATTCTTGTAATAAACTTGAGCTGCTTGATAGGTAAAATCGCCGCCCATTGTTATGATGATGTTGTTGGTGCGATAATATTTGCTTTGAGTTTTGACATAGTCCAAAAACGTATTAACCTGATGTTGTAGTATTGGGTGAGAGGACAACACACAAGGACAAGTTTCGTATGAAACGATACAAGCAGACAATAAGTACAGAGATCGAAGTTAAGAGCCTCAAACTTACGCGTTCCTTCACATTGTTATCTGGACTGTGCTTGCCATCTATGATGGGCTGATCCGCGCAAAGAATGTCGAAGCAGAAGCCATCCGGAGCTTGATAATTATTGTACAAGGCTCCAGTGAAGAGATCCGCTTTGTCGTCTGCAAATTACATGGATCATTTATTTTCTTTTTAATAGAATAATTATTTCTGTTAGCTAACCCAAGTTTTCGGAGCCATGCCAAATCATTTCGGCCTTTTGTGTCATCAAACGCTCGTCCTTATCCTGGTAGTCCAGTCGGCCGAAGAACATGCCATCAAAACCCATTTGTGCAAAGATCGAAGCCATTTCACGGGAATGTCCAAAGGGATCAATTTGCCAGCCAATGCGTGGTCGTCCACATTCACCAAACGTGTCATTTAATAGTCTGCAAACCAGATTTGATTGATTAGACAAATAACACCAACTATACAGATAAGCCTATACACACCTTAATCCCCAAGCGAACTGATCGATTACACTTTGATAGTGAGTGGTTGCCTCATCATTCATGCTCCATGCTCCACCTATGAACTCCAGCCTTCCCTCGTTCACTAGCATTTTCACTTTGTCTTGCTGCTCTTTCGTCTGCTCCTTCCACCACTTAAAGAAAAAAGCCGACTCAACATATATAAAGCGTTTCTCTGGATCTCTCAGCAGGGATTCCACCACGGAATCAATAATGTACTGCACTCCGGCCTTTTGAATCCGTGTTTCACTTCCATAATAGTACTGATCCACAGTTTTCAGCCATCCAACGTCATCGTGGGTGTGTGCAATAAGATGCACATTTAGCATATTTGGTTTCGTTGGATGGCAGCTCTGAAAAAATCAGTAAGCAGTTCCATTAGTATATATTTGCTATACTTTCTACTATATGACACTAAATCATATATGAGTAATATAACATACACATATAAATGTATGTCTGTATGGGCTTCATCACAATAGAAAAACAACATACAAATATGTGTGTGCCAAAAGAGTCACTGATAAGGAGAAATTATATATATAAATATATTTTATTATAATTAAAAAGAATCAAAATACAATATATATTAATATATATACGTATATGTATTAATATATAATTATGAACATTTCTATAATATATAATAGAAGAATAGAAAACAGAGCAGTTTCAAAATGTGTATGAATGCAAGTATATTTAGGTAACAATGACTGGAGTTTCAACACTAATGATAAGGAAAAGCAGTGTTGATCAGTGAAGAATACACAATAGCAAATGCATTTGCACACGTACATACAAATGCATGCATATATCCTACACACATACATCAACACATATCAAATAATGTATGCAAACTAATAAATGAATAAATATGCTGAATAACAAGTTGCAAAAATTTACCGTATAGCCGCACTGTGGTCGCGCATCCGATTCTGGCTCTCTTCTAATATTCCTGAGCTCGACATGATGCACAACAAAGCTGCTTAGATAAATTAGTGCAAGCCAACCGCCGAATTTGTGCAACATTGCAATTAAATTAGCTACCGCTAACTAATTTGTTTCCAATGCGATGTTCTTGCTTTTATAGTACAGCGCAATACGCCAATGTGTGTGTATGTGTAAGCCGATAAGGAAAATATAATTATAATGTACTTAAATGAAGTGGTGCTTCAGTATTTCCGCCCAGTACGCACTTGTCAGCAACTGACCGCGACGACAACACAAAGCACACTAAGCTGCTCAGAGGTTGAGAGAACGTTCACATACGTAAGGAACACTGAGCCGCTTGGTATGCCAGGCTTACGCTCAGCGCGAGAGAAAGTACTCACATACCTAATTATTAGCAGAGAGCAACACTTGTAATACATCTGAACAAAGGAGAGCACTTCTTATATTGCCCTTGCGCAGGTAGCTTATTACAGAACAGCGAGAAGCATGTGACGTCACAGAACGTTCTTAACTCAAAGCATTGAGCGAGCTATTGCTCTGTTTGCTAGCTGACAGTTGATTCTGTTTAGCTATTTGAGGCGCAATGGGAGCGCAATTTTATGACGTAACCAGATTTATACTTATTTAAAACTGGTAACTTTAATTGAGTTCATTCCTTTCGTATTGTACTCTCATTTGCAGATGTAAGTTTATATGTAGGTATGTGTATTTCATCTGTGTTGTGTTGCAGTTATGTATTCTATTTTATTTTCTTGTCAGTTAAATTTGTACATATTACACACACTTGCAAACAAGTCTCATGTGTGCATATGTAAACTTATGCCGGGCTTAACGTCGACAATTTCTCTTTTGAACACGATAAATTTCACGAATTGAAGACGGAATAATTTTTAATCATTTTCTCGACTTGGACTTGGACATAGAGTTAGAACACAAGCAATCTTAAGTGGATTATTAAGTAGTTCGTATGTGCACTAAATTATATGATCGGAGGCTATTTAAATAATACTATACATTAGCTGATAGCAACGGCGACACCACTTGATATTTACAATGCCTAAGTTATATACATACATATGTATGTATGTATGTATGCATACGTATATTTATGTACACTTTGTTTAAAATAACTTTGTTCATATACTTTTTGATGGTTATTATTTTTATTATACATTTCAGATTAGCTTCAACGCGAAGGATTCTTAAAATATCAAATAACAGTAAACAAAATTCAAAGCTTATATCCAAGTAATTGCCAAAGTAAGCGCAGTGTAAAAAAGTATAGAAATTCAACTAAGCCCAGGACACTAAATCCAAGATAAAGACCAGCAGTTCCACCTATTGAAACTGCAAGAAAGTATTTTGAAATCGCTTATAGAAGGCAGTTAATTTAAGCAAGTATGGCACACATACCTAACAGATCTGTAAAGGAAAATATGACTTGTCTTTTGAATTGATTCCGTGGCCAAGTGCTCATAGAGACGGAACTGCCCATACTTCCAAGCAATTGTCTAGAGCCTCGCATGGCCTGAAATGATTTCATAAATAACAAGTCTTAGAAAATATGATCACAAGTATACTATTTTGGGATAGTAATAAAATCATAATAAAAAATTAAAACAAGTCAAAATACTAAGTAAAAACTACTAAATAATTGAAAAAGTATTTGCCAGAGCTAAAGTATCTACTATTTGAAATAGACGCTATTCAAAACTCGAAATATTCACACAAAACTAAATACAATTATGAATTATTATACAGGTTATAATTGATTAATAATACGTACAAGCGCACTTTTAAGCTTGATCACAGCGTCTATACAGTTTTGTTCGCAGTAGCAGCTGGTTGGTTTCTCATGGTCTCCATTCTCTTCGTAAAATTTTAGAAAGTAGCCTATACCAAATGTCAACTTAATTTAAAAGTTTTAAATGATATATAAACACACTTTACTGACCGGCATGCTTCGGAAAACAGGATCTTAATGTTTGGTAGGTGCAAACTGGCTTCGGATTTGCAACTAACAAATGTTTAAAGATAAAGGAAATTGTAAATTTATGAACAGTATAGATCTAAAAAATGCAATTCACTTACTGCGATTGGGGTAAAAGTGGGGAATACATTTGCATATCTTATAGGCCAAGTTAATGCGGCACTCTTGTTGACAAATATTCTTGGTATAAAAAGGATAATGCGTAAGATTGGACTCGTGATAGAAACGGCATTTTCTTTGGCTTATGGACGTTTCGCTAGGAATTAAAGATTAATATAATTTATATCGAAACTCTGAAATAAATTTACTAACGTCTCAAAATTCGCTTCAGCAATTATTTCCTCAACTTCCGGCTCATAGGCAGCTCCTTCGGGTGAGTAGCCGAAATTATTATCCACCTTCATGACTTCAAAAGCTGAATGTATATAGCTCTGAAAACGAACGTAAAAAAAATATATATATTTAGTTTAATTAATAAGTTTTTCTTGAAGACTCACGTCTATTGCTTCGGTATCGAAACCCATTAGGGTAAAGCCTACATCCTTGTCGAAAAAAGTCGCCTTCTTGACACGAACAAACCGATGCAAATTTAGATACTTATTAAATTCCGGAAACTCGCCGAAGATTAGGTAACGCGAGCTATACTCCTCGCCCAGATACGAGCTGCACAGGTAACAGAGACCAAACTCTGTAAGTATCTGTCTGGTCTTAAGGTGTACCTGACCATCGATACAACGGATGCGAAGTTTCTCTATGGGCTCGTAGGTGCCATCAAATGTCAGATTGTAGATCAATTCCATATAATGTTTGGGCTTAATGCCCAGATGATCGAGTGTGCGATCAATGCTATCGTATTCCGGTATATTCTGAAAGTTCGTGTAAGTGGAATTGGCTAAATTCTCTAGGAAGTCCCAGAATTCCGTTTTGTCAGTCCCTTTCAACTTATTGGTTCTAAAAAATGATTAAAAAAAGATTTATTAGTTCTTTAAAAACAAATCAAGAAATGCTTACCGACAATAATTGTCAAAAAGCGATTCATTTAAGCGCTGCATCGGACATCTAGAATATGTTTATAATAATATAACTGAATCTTAAGTTAGTATTGTTAAATATAGATCAATTACATGGTGACACCCGGCATCGAGGTATTCCAGTAATAGGAGTTCCGTTCGAGACCAATGTGTGTGCTCTTTGTATGAAATCGATCCACAGAGGATATGCACGAGATAATGCAGAAATATACTGATACAATCAACAGTATAAGCCAAAACAATCTAAAAGATTTCACACAATTTGTAAATGTGGAATTATGTTTAACACAGTATCTACCTCTCCAACAGGATTAACACGCTCTTCACCAAATATCGGAATCCATGGATACAACAAGTATCAAAGTAAAGTCGTATAAAACTTAACATCATGATGGCATATATATTGACTCTTTACAAAACTTTAAAGCGGAATATCTTAAGCGAAGTGTGTTCCATGCACGCCAACTCGACATTGAATTTGTTTTCATAAATTGTTTTGTTTCCGCCAGTATCCAAAGCTATATAAACAGGGTATATGCCTTCTTAATATAGTTCAGGTTTTCATATTCAGATATGATAAACTCTAATTGTCTGACAAATTCCGGATCTTATTATCGACAAGACATGATATGAAAAAATATTTTTTATAAAAAAAAGTTATGTATTTACTACTCTTGCATTCGCTGTAAAAAATGAAAATCGATAAATAATATATATGTATATTAGATATAAATCCATTATAGTGTCTTATTTGTTGTCCCAGAGGTATTTATTAGTCGGCACAGTATAATTTTTTGATTCGATTGCGTGACAATGGACTGCTTTAATAGAAACATCAGAAATCCATTTCGTATCTAATTGAGTTCTTGAACACGAGGATAAAATGTATAACATGATATATGTAATAAAAAAGAGGATAAACAGCTTTTTAATTTGGAAATTGATAACGAGTCCTGCTGGTTGTTGGACCTTTTAGGGAATGGGAAGATTTGGAATTGCTGATTTGATTATCAGATGGTATGCTGCATCTGGACTTGCATCTTCCTTTCTCTGCTTCATATTCCCCTTTGTCTTCACAAATATCAATATCAGTTTGATCTATGCGCTCCTCTATTATACTTACAACCTTCTGGGCAAGCAGGCAGAAGCCTATAGATAACACTAAAACACAGCCGAATATCAATAATACTATCGGCATCTTCCACCAGATCTCGTCTTTATGGGAGCTCTCCCTGGTCAAATTCTCGATACTCCTTTTTATCGACTTGTAACACTCTTCAGTACTTATAAGATTAGCTGTTGAATGCTCGATTGGATTCTGAATGCGTTTACGAACACTGTTTCTCTGGAAATGCGAGCGACAGTCGGCGCAAACCCTATTAAACCAGACAGCACAACGCTTACTTTTTTGGTTATATTTGCAATAGTTTTGCATGTTTAGATCAAATTTAGAAATTAGTAGAAGTAAAAGTCGGTGAATATGTATATAGTTAATATATATAGTTTTCTGTATATAGTTAACAATGTTCGTCTTGTTTGTCCGTCCCTCTGTCGGGTTTTTTATACTTTGTATTCATTGATAATGGAAATTATAATACCTTAAATTTCAATTTTTTAAAAATGGCAGCATATATAAACTTTAACCGAACGACAGACTGAATCGATATGGCCATGACTTGTATTTTAAAATATATTTTCCATATTCCATTTTTTTTAAAGTTTTAATACCACAAGAGATGCAAACATCCGATTTACTTCCTGTAATGAAAAGACAAATGTAGTTTATTTGGGCTTTTGCATACTTAAGGCCCTTTCCCAAAATTCGCAAAAAAAACATTTCAAATACTAGAATATAAACACATTAATCTTATAACCATGCTTTTAAAAAATTAATAAATTTGATTAAGAAAGTCCATTTAAAATAAAACTTATTCAACTGTAAAGTTCCAATAGTGAAATCCAATCTCTGCAGCCTAAGCGCAGTCGCTGCGTCAACTGCGCAGTAAGCAGAGCGCGTGCTTATGCCTGAGTGTGTGTGTGTGATATACATATGTATAAAAGAAGCGTATAACGTTTAGAACATCAGCTACTCGCATGGTTCAGGGTATCTCCTAGTCGTGCAGTTTATTGTTTGTCTTGAGTTCTCAATACATTTCAATTATTTCAGGTTTGTGGCAGCTTAAAGACCCCTACGCCCTTCAAAATCTTCACATTTTATAAGACTAGGATAATACTCCAAAATTCAGTCACAATCTTTTCACTTTGTGAGCACGAATAAAAATTGTTTAAGGAAACCCAAAAGCCTGTAGGGTATATGCGATGATTTAAGCGAGGAAATAATAGATAAATAGAATAACTAAAATTAATTTATTTAAATGAATATATATATATATATATTTGCGTAAGATCGGATCGGGTGTTCATCCAATCCTCGTAGAATATTCATAGTACTGCAAGCACTTTTGGGAGTTAGAGGAGTTTCGTATAATATCTTTAAGTGTGGCACTTGATTTAGCTTCAGGTCCACATTTATCATATGTGAGTTGTTTAGTAAAATGTTATTGTATTTGTTTATGCTTCGTTTACGTATTTATGCACTTAAGTGGTATGTGTTAATAGATGTAAATGCACTCGTATGTCAAATTGGAATTCATACTGAGAATTTGCGGCTAGTTTTGATAGGTATGCAAATATGTATGTACTAATGATCAGTTATGAATATATATATGTAAGAAATTGCTTTAAGATCACGGTTTTCGTTATTTTCTTTTCATTTTCCATTCATTCGCAACAATTAAAGCTACATTTTCGACATGTTCGATTTAATATGGCCGAGTGCAGGAGATACAGCAATTGTTCCGATAATATTCATAGCTGCATAGCTTGGCCTGCACGGCCCACTTGCAATTGGGAAAGTTATCCACGCAGGGCGGTGCCTCGTCATTCTGGACCAGTTCGTTATTCAGATCTATACAAATACAAATCAGTTCAAATATATCTCAAATAGAATAACTCATTATCAAATACCTTCACATTTCTGGGTATTGCAGTTGCGATAGATGGGCTCCCTTAATGCGTATCGGCACTTTGAGGATTCCCGTAGAGCATTCTGCTTGTCGTCGTACTCCAGGCACTTGACAGTGCGTCGCTGGGTGCCGCCGTCGCAGCTTTTGGTGCACTGTTAAGAACAAATGCTTAATAATATTGGAATTCAATTGGAAAGTCCTTTCCACATACCTCAGACCAATCAGAGTAATGCCAGCGCGGCGCACAGTATTCAATCTCTTCGTGCGAGCAGTTCTCGAGCGGCTGCGGTCTTAGTTCCGTCTTGCACTCCTCGTCGTCCGTGATAAGCTGGTTCTTAATGCACAGCACGGTTCGACTACGGGTTAGATTGAAGCAATCGCCACTGCATGGCGACCAGGGTCCGGTAAACCAATCTCCCATTTCGCAGGCTGTTTGCTCGCAGGGCCTGCGGTTCTCTGGTATGTCGCGGGGTTCGCAACGCTCGCTTTTAGTTTTAGGGCGATCGCAAAAGATGGTGCGATACTGGATGCCCGGGCCACACGACGATGAACAGTACTGATTCCATTCGGACATTATCCAAACCGCATCGCTGGCAACTTTTGGTGCACGATGGCGCACGAGATGTGTTCCATTGGCCGCATCGGGATGGAGGTGCATGCGATAGCGGGCAGAGTTGCGGCGTCGCGCCTTGGGGCACTCACATTGCTTTTCGCTGGGCGGCTGCTCCTCCATGCAGGCGGCCTTATCCACGTGAATGACAATGCCCGACGCCAGCTCCTGGACGCAGCTCAGCTCCCGTCGCCGCACAGACTCCCCATGCTGGCAACGACATTCGCCCCACTCGTCGTGCCGCCAATAGGCCGGACACGGCTGTGTGTTGCAGTGCAGCAGATTCTCGTTCAGCACCGGCTTTTCCGAATGACTGCAACGACGCTGCGAATAGTAACGCACTGGATTCTCACGGGCGCAGCGCACGATAGGCGACTGGGTGCCGCCACCGCAGGACTTGGTGCAGGCACTGAAGCCAACCACCTTCCAGTTGAATTTACGCCTGCGTCCCGAGCGGATGCTGCTGCCAGAGCTGCCATCATCGCTGCCAGCACCAGCTTTTAGGAAGCCATCGCTACTCTCCAGAGACAATTCATTTTCCTCCGAGTCCGAGACAATGGGCAGAAGGTACTCGTACTTAATGCCAGGATTCAGTATATTGCTGTAAACCTGATTGCGAAAAAAAAGTGGAAGTAAGTCAACCATGAGACAATATATCTTGGACCTCTTGAAGTGCATACTAGGAGCTCCACAGGATCTTTGATGGGGCCCGTGCATGTGATCCACTCAGTGACGCCCTCGCCCTGCTGCACTCCATCGATGCGATGATAGTCAAAAGTTGCGCCCGCTGCCTCATATGATCCGCTCTCCGAGATCTCGTTCTCGCCATTGAAAATGTTCTTCTGTTCGCTTGTGCGCAACACTGAGAGAAAAATAGGCAATAATAAATATATATTTATAGAAGTATTTGAGGATTATAAGAAATATGACAATTTCAGTATTTTTATTATTATTATTATTATATGGAGAGAATATAATAATAGATTGCACCCAGTTGATATCAGATATATTGTAATATATATTGTATATTCGAGCAGCTAAAATTCGTGTTACTTTTATTTTTGCTAACTTTAAATGATATGATAAATGGAAAAGACTTAAATCAATATTCTTGACTTCGTTGCTCTTTAAATGAAAGCTCACAGAAATGAGGTCGAATAATAGTTAGATAAAATAATTTATAATTTTCTAAAAATCAATATTTTAATTATTATTGTTTTATTCGAACAGGACTATGTACACACACACACACACACACACACACACACACACACACACACACCCATATATCTATTCACAGAAATACTTTAGCACAAGCGCCGCTCTCTGCGCTTTTCACTTACTCCACCTTGTCGCTATGGGAAATAAGTAATAGACTTTGTTTTTCAATTTTGAAGGAAACTTGAAGAAGTTATTCAATTACTCAAATATTCAATTATGTATTAATAAATCATACACAATTACTAAGGACGTCAGTAGATCGTCGCTCTGAGTCAGCTGAATTGCATACACTTAATTGAGCAGATAAATAAATAAATAAATAGATGCCAAAAAACATTAAGTTCAAGCTACACACATGTAGTGCCAATATACTCTTTTACACATTATAAGCATTGCATGTTTTATAATTTATAATAGACCAAAAAATGTTTATAGCTAGAATTATATAACATTATAAATATTTTACTTTTTTATGAATGCTGTTTGGATTACACAGGACGTATGCCCTCTGATTCGCAGTATACCAATCAATATGTAAGTATAGTGTTTAGCTTACCAAGTAAATTCGCACTGTTCTTGAGTTCAGTTATGGATATATTGGAAGCACCCGATGGTATTGTGGCCACATGCACGTAAGCGTCCTCTGGCAACGGATCGCGCGTAAAGATTCCAGTTACGGGACGGCAGAGTAGGCCTCCGCAGCTGACTGAACCGCTATTAGCGTACAGGCCCTTTATGGAGCCATTGCCAAGAACGGCCTGTAATTACACAAATCAGAATATATATGTATGTTATGTCTGCTGTATATATATAGAGCGATATATAGATGGTATAATTGATTTCAATTGAAACAAATCAAAGCATTTTGCTTTGTTTACAAAGATGGCAAATGGGACAAAGGAGGAGGTGGGGGAAAGTGGAATTCTCGACAGATGTCCAAATTGACTCACCAGCCAGGTTAACGCCAAGTGCCACAGCCAAGGCATACCGCACACTAAATAATATATATGCTGTATATATATTTTATAGGCAAGCTGATGCTATATTTTCTTTGTTTATGCGGGCAATTTTATTGTTTTATTTATACTGGATGTCAGTGCACTACATAAACAATAACAATTTACTATATGTGCGTAAAATAAATTAAATTATAAATTGCGAATAGGCTGACTTTGAAGTGCTCCACATGAGTATATACAACATATGTTAGCGTGCACAGTTAAAACTAAAATTTATAGAGATGATCGCTAATGACAGGTATGGAATATAGCAGACAGGCCTGGATTCATAATGATCAGTATATACAGTATATCAGTATCAGTATATACTCTATGTTAGCAAAACATGTATACCCGCTCATCAAGAATATCCAGCATTTATTAAATGAAACACAATATGATCCAATTCATGCGACAGCATACATCATCTTATATATTGATCTGTATATAGAATATGCTGTTATATAAATGTTATAAGCTAACTGCCTAACCGCATATACCCGCTGAGCAAGGACATCAAACACATATCATTTGAACTACAATATGACATAATGAATGAGATAACAGACTCTGAGAGCTGCACTCAAATTTAAGCTGGTATGTAACAAGCTCACTATCCCAGCGAATATACTCCACAGCAGAAGCATCAAGAGTCAATGCAATTAATTACTGATATAGTAAACTCTATTTAAGTATTACAAATTGGCAGACTAACCGCATATACCCGCTCAGCAAAAGCAAATGAAACATATCAATTAAAATGCAATATGAGATACAATCGAGGATAGAGTGAGCCGTCAGCGATAGATATTTAAACCAATTGCCTGAGACAACGTATATACCTTCTCAGCAAGAGCATCGAAAAGCAATTCAATTAAAATACAATATTGAGTAGAAAATAAATATATGCAAATAGCTCGGTTGTGGGCGAAGGTGCAAATGGAATTTATATTCACTTCCGCTCCAAGTGCGAATTGCCAATATCGAATTCTTAAGTGTCTGCATGTATGTACACATACATATATGTATGCACATGTATATATATGTTTATATCTGAATATATATGCCAACATTTATATTGAAGTTGTGATAAACTCGTAAATGTCTGATGGCTATTTGCTGATCGCTCTGAGTGCCATGCGGGCGACTATCATCGAGTGTGTAGTACAACACCATTTCGAAGCAAAAGATAATTCTGTTTTAATGGCCAACAGGCAGCAGCAACAGCAACAGCAGCAGCAACAGCAGCCGCATTTGACGCACTTTTGCAAGTTTACGATGGCCACATTTCACTTGGCCACAGACTCACTTGGTTGTTTACGACCTGACCAGCGCAAGATTAAAGTGCTTTTTAAATACCCTACATTAAATAGAAGAAGGGTATATAAATGCTAGTGATTTATTAAAATAATAATTCGATAAGTCATACATTAGATATAGATATTAAGAGGCAGCTACACTTTACCAAACAGCTAAGTAAATACTTTATATTTAAGTTATATACAGTACCAATATAACTTGCAAAATATCCTTTTTCTCTTGCTCTTTATCACTTTTAGCTGCAACTCAATAGACTAAAACAAAAGGTGCGGTTTCGAATCGATTTTCCTAATAAAAAGTTTAATTACACTTTAACTATATTAAATACTTAAAAACCTAACAAAAAATAATAAAATAAAAATATTGATAATTTAGCCTACAAATTTAATTGGTATAATGAGCTTATAATTGACATGGGAACTCTTAAAAGCAATAATTCTATAAAAGTGATCAATAGATAAGATTTCATTCGGGGCATTCACCCAAAAAGCGCAAAGCGCCAACCTAATTAGTAGTAATACAAATTCTACAAAATTTAATTTGGTTTTTAAAAATATATACCTTGTCATAAAATGTTTATAATATATGTAATATATTAAATATATATATATATATATATATATATATATATATATATATTGCATATATTATAAACATTTTATGAGAAGAAGTTCTCATAAAAAGAGGGTGTTATACAGCACATCACATCTACAGTTTAAAATTCTTAAGCACGTTTCAATTTCTATTCATCAACAGCTTATTTTTCACGCACATCTAAATTAATATATATACCACAAAACTTAAGTATATATATTAGCAAAATTTGTATATTTAGTGGCTATCAAATTTACATTTTTATGGCAACTTTCGATATTAGATATACATAAGTGTTTTAAAATAGCTTTAGCTAAGATCACATCACTAGGAGAGGACATTACAATAGCCATAAGACTAAATCTAAAATCCACTATATAGACAAGAGAAAGCCTGAAATATATATATAAATATATATATAAATGTATTATTCAATCTGGCCACAATTGAGCAAAACTAATTCTGACGTAGATTTGAATTTCAATTAAAAATTAAAAACAAAAATAGGCTGAATTTTCGAGAAAGCGGCAAATGGATCTAATTAAAGAATTCAAAAACAATTTAAGTATATTAGTACATTGCGTAAATGCATATTGTACATATAGTTATGGGAATATAATGTCTTCAAGTGTAAGTCTCAAGTGTTTTGCACAAATTGCCAAAAGAAAAAAAAGGTTAAAAGTTTTTTAAAATTTCTGTACGTTTGAGCGGTAAAAAATGTAGTAACTTAATTATTCCTCGACAGTTATCCAAGAAGCTTTCTTATGAATTTCAGTAAAATAATTACTAAAATATAACAATAAAACACTAGCATGATAATTATTTAAAAAAATTTGTTTAAAAATTGATGTCAAATTTAAAATCAATTTTCATAATATCAAGTTTTGAATGTTTAAAAACTTTAAGTAAAATATTACCACTTCAAAAAGAACGTCATTAAGCATTTATGAATTCTTTAAACAAAAATATATATATTTAATTTCAAAAATGTTGAAAAAAATATGTAGCAAAGGTCAACTCAAATATTAAAATAATTATATGTTTATTAAAGCTAAGGAGAAAAAAATGAAAATAGGAATAAACTATTATTGTTAAAATATTAATATTTAAAAATTGTAAAAAATATTAATTTCTAAAAAAAGTTATATCTAAAAATGCTTGATTAACATCTTTGAAAAAAAAAAACTTGTGCTTAAATATTTGACTAAATTATATCATTATTATTATTATTTTTTGATTGTTTAAGAAACATTTAAAGCCGACCAATTTAAATTACATTATTTTATTAGAATAACAATATTATTATTTACAGAGTTTTTTAGACTTTAATTTTTGTATTATCTGATTTCCGATTGATTTTTATATATTTTTTGTTAATTTAGTTTTTTAATTTTTAACGGGTTTTTGATTTTCCTTGATTGTTCTTAAACGATAAAACGATGCGCGATTCTTAAAGATACGAATACGCATGTGCTGCGTGCTTCGATTCGCGGCGCTAACTAAATATTCGGCAAGGCGATTCATTTATTTCTAAAGAGTTTTTCATAACTCGAAGTGTGTGTGCACCACAGACACAGTCAACAAACGCTTTTTATGATCGCTCACCCAGCGAGAGAAGTATATTGGTTTTGTGCCATGCCCGCCGAGCCATTCGTCCGTCTTTCTGTCTGTTTGTAGTTTTACAAATTTAGTAAGTGGGTTACTTAAGAAGATTAATATTCTCCTTATATATATATTAGCTATATTCTGTAAATCGGAAAAGCCTCTAGAGATAAACACCTCTGCAGGTGTTAGGCATATGAAATAATATTTATACTAATAGTGAACGAGTAAGGCGAAGTTGCTTACACCCGACTGCTATTTTTTATGGACTGCTCTTGGTATATGACTGATACACACATACAGACACTGAAAATAAGCTCTCGTTTTTTGCTTTGTACTATCCAGCAAGAAGCTGAGCTATTCGTGTGTAATATATATTGAAGAAGAGCAGGTATTTATTGTAATTGAGAATGTTACGAATATCTAATCAAAGTCGTGTACTCATTTGCATTCACATGGCCTTAATAAATTGGAATAACAGCTAAGCGATTAATGGAACGAGCATAAATTGTGACTAGTTGTTAATTAATGGAACTACTGTGCGAGCTGATAGCGTGTTTTATCTACAATCAGTTATAATTGTTATTGTTAGTTTTATTATACGAGCGAGTGGTATTAACATTCACCTTGCAAATGCCGTCGACACATATTGCCCGGCCCACTAGAGTGGACCGATTGGAGCGATAATACTCAGCGGGCCTCTGGCAGGGGGTGCCATCAATAACCGTATCATTGAGTGTGGCAAAGTATTTCATGCCCAAAGGCTTGCAGTTCAGCTCGCACTCGGCATCGTCTGATAAAGAAAGCGAAAGTCAATTACAGACAGATTCCTCAAATATTTATATACATATATATGTATATAATCCGTACCTTTAATGTATGGCTCCCAGTTGTATTGACGACCCTGAAAGTCAACTTTATTGTATGCAGCACATTGATATGCACGAATATCCATTGATTCCATTGGACAGGGAAGGTCATTGCATATCTGATAGCGTTTCGAGAGGCCCACACAAGTATCACTCATATATACTCTACTGGTCGTAGAATTTCTGCAAAATATAAAGTTACGAATAAGATAGATATTTTGGGAAGTCCCTAAAACAGACTATTAACATATTATTATTATCTCACTCTAGATTAAATCAGCATACTTTATTTACGCAATAAAACGCTTTAAAAGTGGATAGTGAGGGTATAAAGATTTTGTAAAAAATTATGTAACAAGCCTGTTACATAGGTTAGCGGAACCTACTCTAAAAATATATATATTCTCAATCAGGAGGAGCAGCGGACTCTTCAGTCTGTCTGTCCGTGAGTCCATGCGTATGGAGGCCAAGATCTCCGAAAGTATTAGAATCACATTACAAATTGAGGTCCTTCTTCTACTTTAAGCGTCTTTAATCGATGAAAACGATTAAATCTTATATAAAATTTAAGATATATTATATATATTTTGAAGTTTAAGACGTAGGTCAAACAAAGATTATTTAATTAAATGATGAATATTCATGACCTTATAACCTTATAGCGATGTATACATAAGCTCAAAATTGTGTTTATACTCGGCATTAAATTGACGGTATTATCAAGTGTCGCAGCTCTTACAATAAAACTCTTAGTTCTTTATAATACAGAAGCTAATTATATGTTAAAGCATTAAATCAGATCTTTTCTATCCAGAACATAAAGATGTCAGCTATAATTAAAATTTTAAGATTTCTTTTCAACTCTCTGCAAGCCGAGCATATAAAAGTAGATTAAATAATAAAATTCATATAAAAATAGATAAAAGTATTAAAATAATATATTATCATTATCTCAAATTCTAGATTTTTGAATACCCTTGACTGAATTATAAGCATTAAGAATTATTTATAAACCAGTTATCAAAAATTTGTTTGGGTTCTTTCCAAGTCTTTGCTAAGTCCAAGTAGTTTCCCTCTTCATTTAAATAAACTATTAAAAAGCTTAAATTTTTACCGTTTTTTTATTAAAATTTATTTAATTTAAGTAAGTGAGTAGCCAAATGAAAATTAAACTTCAGCTCAAATCATTTCAATGCTTTTTAAAGATGAAAGGAAAATGAATTCTTAGTTCAGTTCAGCGAATTTCGCTTTGAGGTATTCGATCAGTTCGGCGTTAGGAGGATTTCTGATTTCATAGAGCACCTTGTGCTTATCATCGATGGAAACGGAATCGGCAATAGCTGCTTGAGCTTGAGCCTTCAGGTCTTTAATCTCGGTGGCGTACTTAACATCAGACTCGCCCAAAACTTTCTCGAAGAACTCAACGCCACTCTTCAGATCGCTGTTGAGCTGTGGCAACGCATCGCTCTTAAGGAAGTTCACGAATTCGGGACTGAAGCCCTTCTCCAGGTTCAAGAAACCATTCTTCTTGGCTTCAAAGTCGGCTTGCTTCTGCAGGCTCTCTAGTTCGGCAACGACCTTCTCAAGATCAGCCTTGAACTCACCCTTGGCCAGGAGCGACTTGTAGAAGCTGATGGCACCCAAAATATCCTCATTGATTTGATCTTCTTGCAATTTGGATTGCACGAATTTGCCGAATTCTGGAGAAAACTGCGAGGGCACTTCGTTCACCAGAGTCTGTTTGGCGTTGAAGTCCTCGGTCTTCAAGGCGGTTTCATAGATGCCGATCAGTTTCTTGAGTTCCTCCTTGTGGGAGCCATCATCGTTGGCGAGGTATTTCTCATACTGCTGCAGCTGTCCGCGAATATGAATATTCAAGCCCTCAGCAGGATTCTCCGACAACACGCACTACAAATATGCGGCAGCTTTATAACTCTGTTGACAGCCATAGATTAGTTCTGTTAGACATACCTGCACAGCAAGTGCCAGAGACAGAAGGCAAATGGTCAACAATCTGGACATTCTGATATAAAAGTGTTAAGTGCACAACAGCTCCAATGCGTTGATTGCCGGAAACTCAGGCTTTTCAAAACTCAGATCTCGTATTTATAGCAAAAATCTGTTCTCAGCATTGGGCTTTTTATTATTTTTTTAGTCGGTCATCAAAACAAGCGTACAAAGTCTGGCATTGTTCAGATCGAGCCTTGTTTTTGTAGTTGTTATTGCTTTTCTCGACTTGTTGGGATTTCTCTTTAGCTGAAAACAAGTCCAAAATGTCGAGAGAGACAAATAGCCGAGCCGTATGCTCAATATTATACGACTAACAGATACCCTGTATATATATATATATATATATATGTATATATATTATAATAGAAAAGCAAGCTAGTTGAAATACCCGCTAAAAACTGGCATAGATTCTAAATATGATATTCAACAGTATGTATTTGGGCTTTGTTTAAATATTCAGTTATTCCCCTCGATTAAGGGAAGAGCGTAGACATGTTTTAAATAACGGCAAATATATACAATTTCTATATAACTAAATGGTATACAGGTTTCCGTGATACGGTTCTCTTGTTTCTTGTTGTTTTTTTTTTAAATTTCTTGAATTTACGAGCCACGTCGAACGGAATTAACGTTTGTTCACAAAGTGGATTAGTTAAGTCAATAATTAACTATTTTAGACTTGGATAAATAAAACTGAAGGAAAAAAACTCAAAATTGATTATTTATGTACATGAGATGGAAAAATACAGGCGAAGCTAAAACGGAAAGTGCCTCTGAACAGCCAAAAGATACCCTGTACAGCTGGCAAAGTGCTTCCAAGCGTATACGGAATATTAAATAAAGAAAACGCTAAGCAATAAAAAAGAAAAAAATATAAAATTGATTTCAGATATTTGCAATATATGCAAAAATATTCGACGGTAGAGTAATATCTACAGCGTCTATGCACCGCTTCAACTTTGCTTTCATATCATATGCGGCATATATATCTCTCTTAAATGTTGACAAAACAATTAGCATGAATTACTTTTCAGCCAAAATGACGCTAGACGCATACAAAACTGAGCCAAAAAAAACCCCAGAGCTTGAGGAAAAAACCTGTTTTGGTTCAAAGGGATGACTAAGAATCAACAGACAAATATTATCCGAAGTCACACTTCACAACCTGGAAGTAGCTTCAACTGCTTTCCTTTACATGCAAAAGTCTATGCATACATATGAATATATATATATATAAATATATATATATAATGTATAAGTATAAATAAATATATACATATATATATATATATATATATATATATATACATATATATATATAAAGTGCAATATTGTAATAAGTTACATAATAACTTCATTGTCTTTGGAGAACGTTCCGAATCGCACGCAGATCTGGATAGCACAATCTCTGCCACGTGACAGGCCTCCGAAATGTCTTTTAATTATCCGATTTACCTATGTTCAGCTATTAGAGGTCATTTTGTTCAAGCATTAATAAAGACGCCGTTAAATTTGAATTGCTAATTAAAAGAACGAATCTTTTCGTGCTGCACCGAAGACAATATACACTCAAGAGAATTAAAACGAGTTACCCAAATGGCTCTATTAAATATATACACTTAGAGAAACTGGCACAAATTCAAATCTTTTGCTGTACAAGAAAAATAACACAAAAACTAAAGCTTAAAACTTTTCGCTGAAAATCGAAACTTTTATGCAATCTTACCAAATCTAAAAAGTTTTATTTTTTTATTAATTTTTTTACGGAATAAATTGTTTAAGTTATCTATTCGAAATATTCGACCAATATTTTCAAAAGCAACTTCTTTATTAAAAATACACTCAGCGAGTAGATGAGGCTCAACATTGTTAAAATCTACTTTTGAACGTTACTACAACATTCATCATTATATAAACTAACGAAAATTAAACTTCTAATAACTTCTCATGAAAGTTCGCTTGAATTTGAAGCTTCAACAAAAACTGTGAAAATATTATTTTTCACTTGAATTCAAATTAAATTAATCAATAAACTTTTTAAGCAGAAACGCTACAGTGACTCCATGAATAATCATACACTGAGCGAAAAATTATAACCTAAAGACTATGTTTTTCTCTTATAAATCTAAATCTTAAGTAAGGAAATAGCTTAGATATAGTAGCTGGATTTGAATGTATTTAGTTTATTATTATTATTTTTCCTTTAGATTTAAAATAATATCTAGGAATGTCAGAAGAAACTTAAAATATGTCAGACAGGCTAAAGTTCACTCAGAATTAAAATTCAAATCAATTTTTATTTGAATTATATATTTAGTTTATTTATTTATTTAATTTATATCTCTGAAACACTTACCGATCAATGCACTTGCGAGTCTGATGCATTACGCCGCCTCCACAACTGCGGGAACATTCACTCCAGGGATTCCAATTAGCCCATCGAGGAAAGGGCCTAAGCTTGGGCTTGGGCTTTCTAGAAGTCGTAGTCGTAGTCGTAGTCGTTGTGGCAGTTGAGGGAACATCATCCAACTTCCGTAATGTCAATGCAGTGGTCAATACATCGGGCTCTTCAGCTATTAAAGATTTCGTTGCCAAAGTTGGCGCCGCAGTTGTCCACATTTGCGATACTTCAGTTGAGTTGGCATTTTTTAATACTTCTTGCTCGTCGAGGCTACGTAGATGAGGCGTTTGGGTTAAGACGGTGGGCAACACGTTAATGTTGGCATCGCCAATCATATTGCTATTGATAGAGCTTGTTTCGTTTTCCGTGTATACCTCATTGATGCTTGAGTTCTGCTTTGTTGAAGGTTCTTTGTTTATCAGCCATAGCTTAGCTGGCTCAAAAGATGCTTTCCATTTGGTATATTTGACTTTTTCCGTTCTGAGTTTATGTCGGTTTAGCCATTCTTGGTGTTTCTGCAATATATGTGATTGGGTATTATTAAAGGAATTGATTATTTATGGGTATAAACATACAAACAAACGTCCTCTACTCTGACATCCCCGACTAGGAGTTGCTATGAACAATGACTACAGCTAGCTTTTCAATTATTTATGATATGTGTTTCTTATGCAGCTTCTTCTGTCTACAGTACTTCACTGAGTACATAAAGTCATGAAGATCTAAATGATCTTAATGACATCTTTAATCAATGTTTATGTTATCGCAATTGCGTGTGTAAAAAAGCTGAAGTCTTTAAAATTGTATATGTATTAAATTTTTTCAAAATATGAAGAAGATGAAGACAAATATCCTAATACAAAGTTGCGTATAAGAAATAAAATCAAATATAAAAATAAAATTATAAATACATTTTAGCCTCAATATTTACAGGTTGGCATAGTTCATCATAGACTTCATACATAAGCAGACAGGCAATTAGATAGATAGATAGATCAGCTCTAGACTACACTTACACGGATAGTTAATACCCCTCCCATATATATATGTTAAGGGTAAAAAAGTATCACTACTCGGAAGAACTTACCTTAATTCGTTCTAATGTTGATGTGTCCGCAACAATCAATTGCGCTAAAGCTGCAACAACTAGGCAAATGCTAAAAAGTAGAATAATTAAAGTTAATGAACACGTCGATTCGTGTATTGAGTTCTAAGTGTGACTTACGACAATATATATATATAATTTGCCATTGTATTGCAATTAATGTACTCTCGGACTACATAGGAATGCAACTAATCTGAAAGAGGGAAGCAGAAATAGGTTTTGTTAATCATTTAATAAAATTACATATTATTATTATTTTTATCACTATAATTAAGGTGTTAATTGAAAAGTGAAGTGTTATGAACTAGTCACACTTTAATATTGATTTTTAAAGGGGTCCCCGACCTTAACCAATGCCTTTCCTTGTCTATTTTTTTTTGCAATTATCTAAAAGTAGCTTTGGGAATTCGACCAGCTACGTTTTATAGATATTATATGTGTATAGCTAACAATATATTCCCTGGCGATGGCGTCCCCTGTGAATTGCTTGCGTTAAAATAAAATCAATTAAGTCAATTAATTTCAAATGGAAAAAACAATTAAATACGACTGCAGTGAGAAAGCTATAAACATATTTACTTAACTCATCAGATGGGCCTGACAATTAAGTTCAAAATCCACAAATGGGAATGCTCTAGCAGGGTATCATATATTAATGCTCTAGTAAAATATTGAGTTTTTCGATTTGTCTATATTACTAACTGCAGATTCTACTGTTAATCCTTATTGCCTAGTCCTTGATATATTCCTAAAAGTGGACGGCACAAATATTAAGACTTCTAAATACTTTCATTTTTATACAGACAGGCGTAATTTTGGAGCATATATTTTTGGTACCGTAAACAGACGTTTACTAAGTTCATGGCAAATCGGCAAATATATTTGCTAAAACTTAAGCAATCCTATTTGAGGTGCATAAATACTTCGTAAACTCAAAAAACTTTACGCTTTCAGGAGCACAGCTGGAAGTCTAAAAAGTCACAAGCTAATTACTGTTAACTTCCTCTATTGATGTACTTAAGGACGTGGCAAATCCGAATTTATGGATCGGTCGCGCACGACCTCAGCTTTACTCATTATGATTCCATTTGCTCTCGAAGTGAATAGAGTATATTGGTTTTACGCAATATGTATCTTTCATTGTCTCTTACCATAAGCTTACAAAACTTGTTCATGATTTATTCTACAGATTAGTTCTGCGTTAAAAACATCAGATTTTTCATTCAGTTCCAGACTTCTGGAGCGGGTTGAAGATATTAAATGTCTTTTAAAGAAGTAAACTAATAAATCATCAAATTTCTAAGTTAACTAAATTAATGATTTATTTAGCTCTGTCACAGAAGACACATAGCTGTCAAAGCGTACAGACACATTGGAATGTTGAAATGAAATATAAAGATAAATATATCTATTTCAATTTGCACATACACTTAGAGAAAATCAAAAATGAATTAAATTGTTTTATGTATAGTTTTCTGTAGATCGACTAGCTTAACAAATTCTTTAATTTGCATATACATCATTCTTAAGTAAATATAAAGTAAAATAAAACTTGACTCTTCCAGCAATTTTATAACAATTAGAAGATTAATTAGCCCAAATAAATTTGTTCTTACTCAAATAAAATTAGCAACAAATATATATGTTGCTGCATCTAAATACAGATCGACTTCGTTCTGTTGCCACAACTAACACTTTTATTATTTTTCATATATCCTTGAATAGAAAAAGTTTTGTAAAAATAAATATATAAATTGAAATGCAAATATTTCTTTGTTTTTAGAGCAATATATTAAAAATGTGATTTGATTCACATTTATTGGAAGCCATTTCCTTTCATTCAATATCTTATATCTTATCCTAACGCGTTTCTCTGAGTGTATGCGTTCTGTTAGCCGTGCGTACATAGATTCGTTGCGAATGTTTGAATGGGTTTCAACACATTTCTATGTACACATCATCCAAAGCTTATTTCTGTTGCGGATGCTTTTACGCATAGCTGAGCTTAAAAAACGAAAAAACAAAAACCAAATGTACGAAGAAAGAACGCATTGAAACATGTGATCATTAATCTGGTCGTAATTTGCGCTCGCTGCGACAGAGTTCGACACGCCCATCCCTCATTTATAATGAGCCGCTGTTCAGATCGGCTCGACTTAGCTCAGATCGGTTCCGAAATGAAACATTACATCGGCGAATGGCAAATTGCCTGAGTGAGTACGTATGTGTACATGCATTCATATGTACATATATATATATACACTGTTACCCATGGGCGGGTGCGACCAAATTAACTGCGTAGATTCGCTTTCAGCGATAGCGTCAAAAATTTTCGGGATGAAAAGAGAATATTATCAGCCAGCTCATCGGAAGTCGTTAGATCGAATAGACTAGCATATGTGTACATACGTTTGTATGTACACATATTGATGGGGCACATAGGAAGTCCATTATATATTTGAACATATTGGTGTATACCCTCGCAAAGAACTTTTAATATCCGAATATAATATAACTTGAGATCTTGATTACTGCATGCATATAATCGAAACACATAGGCCAACATTTGTGTTATATTTATAATATATCAGACATGGGAGAAAAGGTCATATAATCTTTCAATTTAAGTCTAACCAAAAATGTGTCTACCCAAGTCTTCAAATCTTAACTTACATATGCATATATTGGCATAAAGAAATTCCTGGATACCTAAGAAAAAAGTCATTGGTTAGTTTGCCAACTTACTTTAAGTCATATAAATAGTTTGAATTCATAAAAGTTTGTAAAATTATTAAAAAATTAAACGGATATTTTAAAATTTATATATTTCAAAATTTGCTTAAAATTTCCTTAGTAAATTCGTTATAACCGAATTTCAGTTTAGACCCGGCAAGTGTGGCAATTTTAAAGAAAATCTGAACTAAAACATATTTTAATACAAAGAACACAATAATATAATATAATATAGCAGAGTATCTGAACTTCATTAAATGTTAAACAAATAAAAATATAAATAAGTATATTATTTAGAGCCCACTTGCGAGCTGATTAAATCATAATAAAAACATTTAATTTTGTTAAACATTTCAAACAAAAATGTTTTTAAAGCTGCTAATTAAATAAACCATCTTGCCTCTGGATTTGTGCTTATATATATATATATATATATATATATATATATATAACGTGGTTTGTACTAGTTCCATACACTCATTAAACGTTACGTATATATACTTAATCTGAAGCCTATGAGCTATATTATCCACATTGTGCAAATTCAGCAAATCGCCCGTGACCATGCTACAAAAAGAGTGAAACAAATGCGAACTGAAGCAGTTGCTGGCATCGTTTAAATAATTTGGACATTTTTGAGCAATACAATAAAGACATACACATACACGTATATATGAATATCTACATATACAGACGGGTGTGTTCGCCTAGTAAGCTCCCATAGAACTTCATTCCCAGCTGCTTGACAGACAATGCTAGACAAATGGATACGATTCAAATAGTCATACACTATTGACCTTCATGGTGAATAGTTTTCAAAGTGAATGTTTCGAATACTTGGGCACTGCCCAACACTAACCCACATTATCCATATTAGATATTGCCTAATTTTTTTGCATGCGACACTTTTTTTTGGTAAGTAAAGATCTACTCATCTTGCATTGCTTGATTGATATGTAGAGCATAACCAATAACCTTTGCGGTCTATAGATTACTCAGAAACAAAAAAAAGGTGCCCTATATGGCTTTAACTAAATGCCAATAACCCCATATACGTTTCAATGTTATAGCTAGAAGGTATTAAGGTAAATTTTTAATATGTGATAATTTTGGAAATAGGTCACAAATCTTCAAATTAATTGTGTTAATTAATATAGAATTGTGTTTCGAAATTCATACTTCTCAAATATTATCAATTACTTATTTTAAATATTTTGACTAAATTTGTTTGTATATTATTAAATATACATATTAAATTATACATTAAATTATATATTAAAATATTAAAATTATTTTAATAGGAAATAAGAAATTAATTGAAATTAATTATTAATCACAGGATAATAAAAAATTTAATAATGCGGATATATAAAAAATACATATAATATTATAAAGCCGTAAAAAATAAATTCGAATAATTTTGTGTACTTTATCTTTTATCCTGATTAAAATGTATAACAAATATTTTAGTAAATAAATAACTTTGTATTCAAAAATTAATTTAAGTTAAATTTCTCTTAAGCTTCTAAAGTTTTGCATAAGTAATAAAATATTTATAATTTACCTTAATAATTTATAAATTAATGTTACGAGAAAATATTATTGGTTTCCTTTATTATCCTTAATAAATATATATATTAAAAAAATCTTATATATTGTTATATACAAAATTATATGTATTAAAAAATGTTTATGAGAATTATATTATTTTATTTACTAAAAATTGACTATATTCTCTAGATGATTTTAGATTGTACATATTAAAAAAATAAATATTAATAATAATATTACTTTGAAGTATCTTAAACTCCAAATAAAATTCATTAACTATTTCAACTAAGATTGACTTCTTTATTTCCTTTTATTTTCTTAGTATGTTTTATAAAATTAAATAATTCGTTTCGCGCATTTTATTTATTTAAAATGAACTAAATACAATTGATTTGAAAAATTAGAATCAGTCAATGCAATCAACGCCTAACCAACTGATAGCTCCGGAATGTAGTCAAGGCTATATATTGAAGCCAATTGGCTGCTAACAAGATGCAGAGAGTGCATCAGCATTAAGTAACTTTAATGAGCTCGCGCACTTCTCGAATATGTGTCAATCGAGCTATTTCCATAGCCATACATATTTCTGTACACATATAGACAGATATTTGTTAAAAAAATTTATATGAAGCTTATGTTTACAAGCTCTACTTGAAGAAGCTGCGAACAAGCCCTTTACAAAATGAGAGTTGTGAGAAGTGCCGAACTAATTGCATATTTATGCCTTCAAGAATTTCTACATGCTTCAATAAAAACGACAAATATATATGCGTATATACATATATACATAAATACAGATCGGATATGAAGTGTATTCAAACGGAAATCGAGTCAAGTGTCTGCAATATTTGCATTCGAGCTGAATAACAAATGCGTTTGCATTTGAAGTTTTTGGCCATTCAAGAAGTGTTTATGTTTATTTATGTTTGTTAAGTTTTTCCACATCTCATTTTATCATGTGCCTATAGATGGAATACGATTCGAGAAAAAAACAAAAACAGTTGCTGAGTGTACGTCAACAAGTGCGTTTTTTAAGAGAAAATTATGAATGAATGAAATTTTTAGTTATTTTGAAACAATTTAATTTATTGTTGTAAATAGGAAAGACGAAAATATTGCTCAAAAATCCATCTGAAATCAATTTTGGTAAAAAATGTATGTAAGTATTGGGTTATTTTGAAACATCTTAATTAATTTATCGTTTTCCCAAGGTTACACAATTTATAAAATATTCAGAGTTTGCAAAATAAATAAAATTAAATTAAATTATATTTTGTGAGCATATAAATATATATTGTAAGGAAATATAAATTATAAAAAAGAATACTGATTTAGTAAGCTGAGGCTCTAAAGTCTCCCCTTTTAGTGTTTCATATTATTATGATATTGTAAAATATTTAGTATAAAACAGTCATATATCGCATTGCTCATATTTCTCATATTTAACACTTCTAGCAAAAATGTTCAAGTATTTTTGAAGAGTTGCTTTACACATACAAAAGACTCGTAGTCAATATTTCAGCTACCTATCTACAATACCTAATGGCATAATTTTCGATTTTTATTATTTTACATTTATGTTCATAGATGTGGTCTATTGTCTTGTAAGATTGATTGATGCACTTGAGAATAAAGCCGGGAGGAGGAGGAGACTGAAATGTCATTGGGCCATAAGTGCATTTTGTAATTGTGACGTTGCGTTGAAAAGCTTATAGCCATCAAATATATTTCAATTTATTTGGTTTTTTCTTTTTTTCCTTCTCTTTTACTTTCAATGCGAGTTGGCCCCTTCCTTCATCCAGTTGTGATAGCTTTAAAAGGGGGCACGACGCGTGGCATTGTTTAAGATGTTGGTCACACGCTATCAACTCGGCCTTATGATGGGTTTATTACAGAAGTTGCAGTTGCAGACTGGAAAGTAGTTATCCATCGTATGCTCAACATTGAATACGCTAGCGCCTTGACATAGAGCTATCACACTGATATGATATGAAGCTGAGATAGATGTAGATATGATTATATGGCAGGAGTCATATAACAATCATAGATATAGATAAAGTTAAGATTCGCAATTGAAGCAGTGTAATTTAGAGATATTGAAACTATATAGCTTAGATATAAGATATATGATATAATGATAAGATTAGCTTTAGCAGTTAAATGCTATCACCTGTATTATGCCATTCATTCTACCAATATTGGTTATATGATATAGTGATCCAGAACAAAATACAGACTGGGAAATAAAACTATATTCCCTTCAGTTTGTCATCCTGAATAAGTAAACTGTTCCACTATAGAAGTCTGCAAAAATAGTCATTTAAAAAAACCTTTAACTTTCACTTAAATGCATTTTATATACGAAATTGATAGATTGAAAATATACTTTTATGCTTTGAGTATGGCTTGAATCTTGAATCTCTATGCAGATGACAGATCTATAGAAAAATATAGTATGCGACAAAATGTTTGAAACATCATGTATAAGACAATAAAATGTATTACCAAGGTTCGTTTCCTAGTTTCTGCCTAATCTTAAAAAAATTGCTTACCATTAGAAATAATTTAAAATTGTCGATATATAATTGCTTTATTTTTCAAATAATTTAGGTGCTTAAATATGACTATATGGTGTGTAAAGTCACTTTTTGTAAATTTCATAACTCACAAATGTTTCTGCATTGGCCAATAATCACTTGTATGGCACGCACATATATAAATCATAATATATTATTGCAATGTTTTCACCAACGGGGAATTTCGGGCGTGATAACGCTTGAGAAAACCCGCCTCCCAATTGTATATGCATATATTAACTAAAACTAACAAGTTCGAACAATTTCCCGATAGATTTTCGTTTCAATTAAAGCCGCCGTCAACATCGCGTGGTACGCAAATCCAAACTAAAATCGCTGGGAAATCGTTTTGGGAATTGAAGCGCGATGAAGACAGCCTCAGCGTGGCCTCAGTCGCAGCCGCAGTCGCGGCCAACGCAGACGCCAGCTACTGCCTGCGACACAGAACTGTAAAAGCGGGGGCGTGAGGTGGGGGTGGGTGGGGTGAACGAGTTGAATTGCTGACGGAGGCGCGCGCGCCCAAAAAGTCTGGATGATGCGTGCCTTACAACACTTCGAACGCGACACACTCAATGAGAGTGAGAACGGACAAGGGGGAGGGGGCAGAGTATGAGCGATACTGAAAGTGTGAGTGTAAATGTGAGTGCGAATGCGAGTGTGCGTGTGAGTGTGATTGAGAGTGTGTAAGTGCGTGTTGGAACATAAGGAATCTAGAGGCTGTTGTTACGCACTTTAAATCAGAGCACAACTCGCATGTAGCTACTACTAAAAAATACTCAAAATATGCCATATACATGCACATACACATACATATATGCACATACATACATATGTACATATGGTAATCAAATACACATTGTTTTTATCACAAGCGGAAATGTTGGCTCAGCATAATTGCTCGCAGCTCGGCTACAAAACAGGTGCATTCACACTCACATTCACATTCAGATTCCATACAGCTTACACTGGCATTACAGGCATATATATATATGTATATTATATAAATGTAAGAAGTCAAGATCAAATATTTGTTATGCTAATCGCTCTTGTTGGGTCTGTCACAATAGTTAAGGGTATCAACATAAGCCACAAAGACCTTGCCTTAAATACTAGTCTAAACAATACCAGAAAACAAATCATAAGCCTACACATTATTATTTTTAGCTTAAAGTTATGTCATAAATATTAATTGAGCAAAATTTTTACGCATATATATTTCGCAAGAATGTTGGGGTTACAGTTCAAATTGCCAAATTTTATGATTCACTCATAAATTGGTGAAAATTAAAAAAAAATAACCTTAAAGAAAACAAAAATAGTTATACAAACACTATCGAGCAATGGGATGTTATAGGACCTTAAAGACTTACCAATAAAAAAACATCAATGTATTGATATAGATATATATATATATATATATAACTTAACACCGATTACAACTCCTTTACTCATTGCGAAATTCAGAAGCCATTATAATAGCATTAAAAACAATTTATGTGTATATTTTTATCAGAGCATTTAACGATTTCAATCTAAAAGAATTTCACAAAACACTAAAATATAAAACACATATAAAATTTAACGTGATGTGGATAAGAGACAATTTGTTTTCCGAAGTAAATAAATTTGAGAATATATCATGGCATAAACAATCCAAAATGTTTAATTAAGAACAAGCATAAATTTGATATGATATGGAAGCAAGTCATTAAAAATTAATATAATATATATTTTCTCATTGTGGGAAATGAAATTAAAAGTTGCCTCAAAAAATTACCATTTAGATCAATTAAAATTTGTCTTCAGAACAATTGAATTGTGAGCTGCATTCCATTATTTATAAAATCGTTAAATTCCGAGCGAGTTCATAAATTTTTCTTAACGGCTTATTTTTGTTTCTTGGGCGCAACCAAAAAATTAAAAGAACCAACAAAGAAATCTTGTGGAACGTAACTTGATATTTTAACAGAAGCTCGCCTAAGATCGCAACATAAATTGAATATTTTCATTAGATTTCAGCATTAATTTATAGTTTTTTTTAATTGATTTGATATATTCTTTATTGCGAGCAATTGAAAATTAACAGAAAAGAAAAAGAAAAATGAAGTCTGCTGCAGAGCTGCTGAACTGCTGAGCTTCTGCATTGTGGGTCATTAATTGGACTACGAAGTCATAGATTTTAAATGGATAATCGTCTTTATTGACCCGCTTCTTTGACTTCTGCGTAATACATTAAAGACAATTCACGCTAGGCATAGTTAGCTCACAAAACATTGCCTAAGCCTGAGCACACAGATTGAAATGACTATTCTTTTTGGTTTTTACTTTGGCAATGGCAGGACTCCCATTGATTCTCTCTGACAGGACACAGTGTGTCTGGCACTAGCTCAACATTGCCCTTTATTTGCTCCTGCATGCACTCAAATTGTCGACTGCGCAGTCCATTGGAACTCCCATGCGGACATTCGCATTTACTGAAGTTGCTCGGACGCCAAAAGGCCGGACAGAGGCCACGATTGCAGTTGTAGATGTCGTCATTGAAAGTCGGCTTTTCTATGTAGGCGCAGCGACGTGGCGAATAATATCGGATTAAGGATTCCCGCATTAACACACAGCGGAATATGGGTGTTTGGGTGCCCGGACCACAGCTGCGATTACATTCACCGAAACCCAACAATTTCCAACTAAATCGGCGACGTTTTCGTTCCTTAATGCGCTGCGCATAGCTGGCATCGGTATCATTAATGAGCTTACCCGACTCATCCCAGATAGCCTGCAGTTCCTCTCCTTCGTTGACAGTGGAAGAGGCTATGGGTATGGTATAATTACACTGAATATCATTCACCTCACTCTGAATGTCAACCACGAAGTGCTGTCAAAGATAATTACATACTTAGTTTGAGATTCAATAAACATTCTTAATAAAGATTTACCATCAGAATCACAGCCTTGGCGAGCGGACCTCTTGATGTAAGCAAAGCATTTAGCTTATTATATTCGTAAGCATTATCATTAAAGTTGAATATCTTTAACTGATTTCTTGGTATGAGCAAGACTTCCTCGGCAGTTTTCAAAGCTGCAAAATACAATTTAACAAAAATTTAAATTTTTCCATCTTTCTACATTATATTTAATTGTGTATCTATAAACTTGCCCAATGAATTATTGCTTTGTATATTTTGCCTAATCGATAGATTCATTGCTCCAACTGGTAGTTTCGTAATGTAATTATATCCCTTTGTTGGATTCGTTTTGTTGAACAGTACAGAGACATGTTTGCACATTACCGAACCACATTTCACTTGGCTATCACGCGTCGTAACAGGACGTATTAACCCGCTGCTGTGCACCGCCTGAAAAATACAATCAAATATTGACTAAATCAAATTAATGCACTTCAGGATCATAGTATACCATGCTATAAGCAACAAAAGGACATGCTAGAGGGTATCGCTTAGTCTGATACACTCTTACATATAAATTAATGTTAATTGAAATTGATTTTGATTGATATCAATAAACTTTCTCATGTCAAGTCCTTTATTACGATTCCCCCCCTTTTGCAGATCTTGTTTAAGCATTTCTTGTTCACTGCGAATGTGAGAACATGAAGAGTTTATGTGGCTGCAAATATCGGTGGATGTGTTTGATCTTCTTTTAAATAAAGTCGAGTAGCATATCTCTGGCAGCAGAGACTGAAGCCACATTTCACACTCATTGCCGGCATTGCTCTAATCTAATGCACCTCCTAAGAGCCACTTGAATGTTTTGACACAGTTTTTCCTCTTTTTTTAGTTATATTTCGAGTGTGGGCAGAGAGCCATTAAAACAATGGAAAGGCTTTGTATCTGGGCTAATTACATGTGTATGTAAGTATTTGAAATTATCAGGCGATAATGGGGTCATGTCAACAGAAGGCCCATCGCAACATTATCTATACATTTTTGTTTCTTTTACCAAGCCACGCTGCTCTTGCTACTGCTGCTGCGATGCGTATAGAAAAAAACTAATTAAATTATAAATTGGAAAGACCCGAAAGCCATATGAATATGGAAATCATTGGCAAACGATATTAATTAAGATTTATTACATTTGGCAGCTATTCAAGAACCTCACAGCTGCACTCACACTATGTGTGCGTGTGTGTGCGTGGCCACCCATAAAGCGGTTTAACCGACTCTATTACAAAGAAAGAGTACCTACATACCTACCTATATACATAGATATTCATATGTGTGCAATAGTATGTGCCAAGCGCTTGAGCAATTTGCATGCTTTTGGAGAAAATTGGCTTTAGACAATTTAACTTGGCCATAAAGAGAAATCAAAGGCATTCAACATTGAATTGTGGCTGCCCTTGCCGAATGCCCATCATTAAAACCCCAAAATGGATGACTACAGAAATATTTAAATGATCTATAAAACATTGGCATTCCGACTGAGACATAAGGTATATAGTTTACTTGAGTAAGTCGCGGAGTCATAAAACCATGCCTCTTATATGTACATATCTAATGGATATTTTCAAGTTTCGCTTTTACAGATGACATCACTTGGTGGCCCGTAAGCTTTCTGAGATAACGAGTTGAAATTAAATTTTATCGAGTTGCCAATTCAACAGACGCCAGAACTCAATTAAAATCTCGCCCACAGACCGGAAGAGGCAAAGTTATTATTTGCAGATGTTATAGAAAATAAGAGCCAAAAAAGGAAGAAAAACGATCGAGCATTGAATACCATTTAAATGCCCTATCTGATATATCTTCTAGATGGAAGTTTATCCAAGATGCTATATCGAAGAAATATCTTGGCAAAACTAGCTCACTCACCCGACAAATACCCTCCACACACACAGCCTGCCGTCTGTAGAAGTGAGTATAGTATACGGCCGGACGGTTGCACGGCGTGCCATCGGTGACCGATTGGTTCATACTAATGAATAAATCAGAGTTAGCCGCGCGGCAGAACAACATGCACTCGTCGTGTTCTTTCTCATATCCGACCCAATTATAGAAAGTCTCACGATATGGCATGTTATTAAATTTTTCGCATTGTTCATCGCGCAATCGCTGTTTTCCCGGTTTGCAGCGTTCCTCCTTGCATTGGCGATAACGCTTCAGCACTCCACTACATCCACTTTGACCATAGCCGGGGTAGAAACGCCTCTCCACTGTGCTCTCCATGGTCGAGTTTTTGAAGCTAAGAATAAATTGCATATAATAGATATACATATTACAAACACAATCTCCTAGGCACTTACCGCTCTAAGCACTTCCGTTGCTTAATTTGCACACAAGTAGTGGAACACTTACTCCACTTCTCCCAACGGTCCCAGGAGTAAAAAGTGCCCACTCTGTCAAATGCGCTCTGGTTGCGTTGCCGTGTTTGCTTGCTAACTTCATTCTCATCCACGTAATCAGTATAGTCATCATCAATATCGTCACTGAGCTCAGATTTGATCAACACATTCGTTGTATTATTGTCCGCTTGGGTGGCATTGTATAGATGAATTTTCGAACATAATAGCAATAAAATGCCTACAACGCTATTTAAGAAATTACAAATTTATTCCGATTCATTACTTTATTAAATGACAATATTTCCGAAGTATAATTTTTATTTGACTTATAAGTATATGGTCTGACATAATAACTTTTAATCATAAAATTTGTTTAAGGCAAGGTTAATTGCTGTAACTTGAAGTTTTCATCAAATTTTATTAGACATATAAATACTGTAAGCAATGCATGCATGCCTATAAATTTTACGAATGAGCTTTATATGAATTGTATTAGTGATACAATTATTTTTAATCGTGCGTGCACGAATAATACACATATAAATTTTATGAATGAGCTAATTCACATGTAATATAAATTGAACCCTGCTTATCTCTCGAATATTCAACATAATTCATAAACAAGTACACTGACCTTATCAACTGCATTCTTGTCGCTTATTCCAAATTTATGTACTATATGAACGTTCAAGTCTGATGAAGCGCATCGAATGCGTGTGCCATTACAAAAGCCTTAGACACAACTGAGAACATCTCGAAATATTTTTAATATTCTGGCCAAAAAGCACAAATATATACGAGGGCGGTAAACAAAATGTATGACATAGCAGAATATAAAAATTAAATTTTAATTTTGTATTAATTTATTAAAAAAAAAAACGGTTTTTTTTCTATCGCTCTCTTTCTTGCCAAATTTATAGACTACTCTCGAATATAAACAGCTCATCTTAGCTAGAGAAATTAGCCGCGCTGTATTACTCGCAACAATAAGATGTGAACACACACAGGCACACACACTCTCTCTCTCTCTCTATTACATATAACATATTAACATTCAAGCTCAACTATTTAACGCGTGGTCTAATCTATACACAAAAACATTTATATGTGAATAGATAAAGGATGAAATATAAAAGAATATGATCAGCTTTCATCGGATTCTGTGCGCTTTAGCAGGGGCTCCTTGATATTGTACTGCTTAACATATTTCTGTAAATATTATCAATAAAATATATTCATATATTTAAAGTTTACTTTAATTTTAACAGTGTTTCAGTACCTCGCAGAGTTCAACATCTAAGCGACAAATGGCTTGAAAGGATTCACTTGCAGCATTTTCTTTCGGATTGCTATTTAGTTTTACTTGAGGTAATCCATCTGCTCCGTTTTCCATCAATAACAGATTTTCTTTTATCAAAAACGATACAATCAGTGAATTTTGAACAGTGTCCATAAAGTTTTGTGGATTACAGATCAGTTTAAAATATGGTATTGGTTGATTATTGCCCGCTCGGTAAATAGTTTTAATCTGTTTCATCACATAATTCACAGCCGCCGAACCTTCGCCCCTGCGCTCGAGCTTGTCACTTTGTTTCGGGCGCTTTTCTACTGCCTAAAATATGGAATAATTAATAGAGTATTAAATATTGCATTATCAACTTACATTTGTAACGACTTTACGTGTTGCTCGTTGTTTGGCAACATGCTGTTTAGGCTCTACATTAATAAAAGGCAACATCGAGGCATTTGTAAAGCTAGGCATTCCATGCCGGCAAGCAAGGCGGCACAGCGCATTCCAATCCTCTGCATTATCTTTGAAAACAACATTGTTCTTTATAATGTAGGTACACACTTTAGGAAGTTCTCATCGCTAACTCGCTGTGGAGCCCTGCATTCAACATTTTGTATTTGTGCAGGGCTCTAAATTAACTTACTATTGCCGTACAATACATTCGATCAGTAAAATTCGTATTATATTGTATCGCCTTTCCAACTACTTCGTGATTGCGTCTTAAGAGTTCAGAATCCAGCAAAATCTCTGTTGAATTTGTTTTGCGCTCCTCATAGCCTTTGACAACATCGTTCGCTTTACCTAAAATGTCAAAAATGGCCGACATAGACTCGCCAAAAGAACGAGATTCGATCTTTTGCTCTAGGAAGAAAAAAGAGCGCCATTAGTTCGTATATTAGCAAAGTTTTCCCAAAACCTACCAATCTGTATATTTTTTTCAATTAGGTCTTGCAGCTGGATGATGCGCCCGTTTTCCTCAGCTTCTTCATCCTGTTGAGTCGATTGTATATCATCCGTGCAATTCATTGCGTTTATTTAAATATTTTATTTTAAGAATTTAAGAGCCAATTATTACTAATCTAGTAAACGGGTATCGATATTTTAAAAACGATAAATGCCCGATTTGTCAATCGAGTTCCAGGTCATATCGATAATTATGAATTTGTTCTAATTTCTTAATTAAAATTAATGCTTGCAAATTATAAATACAGCGTATATATTTTGCAATACGTTGACTTAAGCAAGCGCTCTCTGCAGACAAATAAATAAACTAACATACATATATATATATTACTATCAAATGAGTCGCATATTTAATTTGTTTAAATATTACATTATATTACTTCCTAAGCTTATTGCCCTGAGCAGGTGGTCGGTTGCCTTGCCCTGCATTTCCACCACGCATGCCTCCATTGCCAAGTCCTCCACCGCTAGGCCCACTGCGAACACCAAAGTTATTTCGATTTCCGCTTCGAGGTGCACGTTGGTTTTGATTTTGCGAGGAGTTGCCGCCACGATTTTTATTCATTTCAGCACGATTCCTCGATTTGGCTTGTGCATCTTCCTTAACCATGTCGATCACTTCGTCTGGAATACGTAGATACTTAATTGTGCTTCCACGTATGTAGCATTCGGGCATGCGCCAAAACCTGTCGCCATCCTAAACAGTATTAAAAATTTCATAAATAAATATGCCTTATTTAAAACAAAATAGATAAAAGAAGTTGTATATAAGTTTAATCCCTCCACGCGGTTCCGTACCTTTGAAGTACAAATTACATCACGTAAGTTAATATTCATCCAGGAATCGCAACTAACTAAATGTCCATTGTAGGTTTCTCCATTTTTTAGCTCTACCAGCTGTCAAAATAAATTGTTAAACGAATATAAACAAATGCAATTGGATCCAGCAGAACTAATCACCGGCATACGACTTACCATAGGATGACTTTGAGCCGTTTTTAAGAGTGATAATGGAAGCTAGAATTTAAAGTTTTCATATTATAATATATTATTATTATTAACCATTAGGAGTAAATATTGTTTACCATTTTTATTTTAGTTTTTATAGAAAGAAATAGGTAACTCAGAGAGGAAACTCTTCTGCAGTCGATATCAATCGTACATGTTAAAACGAATCAAAACAATGGTATTGGTTCTATCGAACTTGTTCACGAAAATTCAATGCAACTCTGGTCAAAGCAACATAAATATTTTTATTAACTTTTATAATATAGCAATTGCTATAAAAAGATCGGCTATAACATATAATATATAAACATGGCATCGAAAAGAAAACAAAATTTTGCTGTGTCTGATAGTGAAATATTTAAAAAGAAACACACTCTAGACTCAGATGAAGAAGACTCCGACGACTACGAACGGTGAGCTAAAACATGCTAATAATAAAGGAAAAATATAAAATTAATTATTATATACTTTTTAATTCAGAGACAATCTTAATGACAGTGATATAGAAGGTGGTGAAGAAGGTGTGGGTAAGGTAGAAGATGATGTCAAGATAACACCATTTAATATGCGTGAAGAACTGGAAGAGGGGCATTTTGATAAGGAAGGCCACTATCACTGGAACAAAGAAGCAGAAATTAAGGATAACTGGTTAGATAACATAGACTGGGTTAAGGTATTTAACTATTTATATAAATCACTATCAGTTAGAATAATTTCAATATTTATACAATAGGTAGAGAAAGATAAAAACTACTTTGATCCAAACAATGATGAAAACTCGGCGGATAGCAGTTTACCTGCTAAACCATTCAACCAGTCAATGGCCCTTACTAAAATGCTGGAGTATATGAAACCAGGTGAAAGTGTCCAAATGGCTTTGCAACGATTGGGTCGTAAGCGACCTAAGCTATCAACTCTCGAGAAGCTGCGGCAAAAGAAAGCCGGCATTGAGAACAATGAAACGCAACAAATTGCAAAACTAACGGAATTGGCAAACGAAATACTGTCAAATACTGGAAACATGGATATATATCAAGAAACATATGAAAAGATAAAACATAAACTAGAAGATTTGCCAAGCACAAGCAAGCCAATGGGCGATTCTTTCGATATGTATGCCGATGATTTCGAAGAAAAAGAGTCTAAGCTCTTAAAGGACTCACAAAAAGAAGCAAACGAGCCAAGTACAAATGAACTAAAATGGGAGTTTAAGTGGAAACAGACAGATGATGAAATACAGGGCCCATACAGTACAGAAAAAATGTTTAATTGGTCTCAAGGAGACTATTTTAAGACTGGAGTGTATGTACGCAAAGTTGGAGAGAATTCAAATTTTTATTCGAGCAATAGAATAGATTTTGATTTGTATTTGTAAGCCAATGTTTATACTTATCGCTAAGTAATGTTTTTGGTTTTCACTACGTTAGGAAATAAAGGAGCATTTTAAGTTTCGCAAGAGTTAATCGATGATCTATGGTGGACTTCGAGCTTAAATAAATATAATTGAAATAATGGAATCTTTGTTCTCCTGTACTTTGTTCGTGGGAAAATTGCTTCCAATAAAGAGCAAACCGTTTTCTACATTATTTTTTTTGCTAATATAATTTTATAAAAACCAACCGATATATTGTGGTGGTTCTCAATAACTAGATGTTTAAAAATATAGTTAAGTATTAATATGCATAAAAAGCTACATATTAATACAAAATAAGTAAATATGTGCTTCTGGTTTTTTTTCACGATAAGTTTAAAAAACTACTTTTAGAATAGCCGGACAATATATTGTGGTGGCTTATCGATAGCTATTTATTTGATAGTTCCGTTTTCAACATCTCTGTAACTAATAGCAACACATTGTTGTTTACAAAATTATTGACATAAGAAAATTAGAATACTTTTGTAGTTGTGTTCGTAATCCTCACAAATTCCGGCTTCGCAAAATTTATCGGCCAGCACCCACTGGTCACATAAAAAATTGCAAAAGCTCGAGTAACCATTTACGACGGTCAATAAATTGCGCGAAATGTTCAAAAATACGTTTCAATCAGGATTCTTGTCAATACTTTACAGCATTGGTTCCAAGCCGCTCCAGCTTTGGGATAAGAAAGTTCGAAATGGTCATATAAAACGAATAACCGATAATGATATTCAGAGTCTAGTACTTGAAATAGTTGGTACTAATGTTAGCACTACGTTTATCACATGCCCGGCCGATCCAAAGAAGACGCTGGGAATTAAGTTGCCATTTCTGGTGATGATAATCAAGAACATGAAGAAGTACTTTACATTCGAAGTTCAGGTAATACATACAGTTTCAGTAAAGAACGCTAGTTTCAATTATATATCTAAACAGGTTCTAGATGATAAAAATGTGCGACGCCGCTTTCGCGCCAGCAATTATCAATCGACCACACGGGTGAAGCCATTTATATGTACAATGCCCATGCGTTTGGATGAGGGTTGGAATCAAATACAATTTAATTTGTCTGATTTTACACGTCGCGCCTATGGTACTAACTATGTCGAAACACTAAGAGTACAGATCCATGCTAACTGTCGAATACGACGTGTATATTTTTCGGATCGATTGTATTCTGAAGATGAGCTGCCTCCTGAATTTAAATTATTTTTGCCTATACAAAAACCAGTTCAAAAGTCAAACGCGATATGCAGTTAACCAACATAATTGTCCATTTAATTGCAAAATACATGCATATATATATATTTATATATATATATATATATGTAAACATATAAAATATAAATATATATATATATATATATATATATATATAAATAACTAAAACCAGTTTATAAAAATCACTTGGCAACAAATTTTCTTGCAAGTCGGCATAATCGTTTATTTAAACACTTATATTTGTCAATTATGCATACTACATATTAATACAAACATTTGCAATAAAAATTAATTTCTGTGTAACTTCTTTCAGCCAAATTTTGTTAGCACTTCAGCGCCAGTCTCTGTGATCAGAATCGTATGCTCGAACTGTGCGCTCCGTGAATTGTCCAAGGTAATAGCCGTCCACCCGTCCTCCAAGATCCCAATTTCGCCACCGCCAAGAGACAGAATTGGTTCAATGGTGAAAGTCATGCCTGCTTGCATTTTACCCGCAACCTCATTATCTAAAATTTAATTGAAAAAGAAATTATTTATTTGGGCATAAACGTTACCATAACAATGCACAAATTGACTGTCTAGAATAATCTATTGCAGCACAACAAATTTGTGTCCTAGTCGTTTTTCTCACTCGCTCTCTCCGAGCAGCAGAACTGACAGCCTTAAGCCCGATTAGATAGATAGAGACAGGCGCCCCTACCTAACTTTTTTGATGCTTCTCTCAAATTTACATATGTATGTATGAGTGTATATACGTATGTATACAGTGAGGCAAAAATTGTTGCAATTCGTTCCTTTCGAATGCAGAACATTGACAGGGTTAGAAGAAACTTACACGATTTGGAAATGTTGTATGGTCAGTGGGGATATAAATAATAATCTTACCGTAGTGATAAATTTCGGGCGGCCCATGAAAGTAACTGCCAATGCCATGGCCAATAAATTCAGCTACCGATTCCAGCTGATGTTCCTCACAATATCTCTGTATGCACTTCCCAATTTCATAGAAGGGCACACCTGGAGCACATAGTTCGATGCACTTGTTTAGGCACTCGCGTGTGCAGTTCACCAAGAACTGACCACGTTCATCAACATCACCAACCAGAAAAGTCTCCGAACAATCGCCATGGCAACCATTTTGGTAAACAGTGACATCGATGTTAATAATGTCGCCGTCAAACAAGGGTCGATCGTCCGGTATACCATGGCAGGCAACATTGTTAATTGAAGTGCACAAGGACTTGGGGAATCCGGCATATCGCAGGGGGGATGGATAGGCGTTTAAAGAGAGTATTCGATGGTGAGCAAAGTTATCTATTTCATCCGTAGTTATGCCAACTTTAGCCATTTTACCACATTCCTGAAGTATCTGCGCGGCCAATTTGCCGCTTGATCTCATATGCTGAATCTGTTTGTCATTTTTTATTTCTGGACTTCCATTTGTGTTTCCCGGTGGCAGTGCTTTATAGTAATACGGAGGCTTTTGAATGTGATCGGGAACGCTGCGCTCATTAGAAACTGTTCCAGCAGCCGTTATCTTTTCCCATTTGCCGTTGTCTCTGTAATACAGAGATGCGTTTATAGTATTAGCATATTTGCCATTTTTAGCCGGTTAAATAATTTAATGGATTATATAAGAATAGTTTAGGATGGTCAGTTAGAACCTCGGGGATTCTATCAAAAATTTGCATGTGTGTATCTAAAACAAAGTTTTTAGGAAATTAATAATAAAAAAATATTTATTAATTGAGTAAGTTTTTGAGTGAAGTACTTTAATTTGAACTCAATAATTTGGTTTACAATGTCTCAGCTGTATATGTTTAACTGTAAGTAAACAAAAGGAGAAAATATACTCTTACAGTCATTATATCTTAAATATACCGTACCGCTTGCTTAATTGGAAGAAATTTCGGAGCATGTTTTGTCCACAAACATTCCAGCTATTTTTCGATACTTGGAACATCATTTTGATTATTTGTTTTTATTATTGTTTAAACTATAAGTAAACTAAAATACAATTCGAGCAGCTGGATACGGATTCATATCGATGATTTATCGACATAGTTATTTTGTATCGATAGTATTAGAAAAATTTGTAAACAAAAAAGCAGATATTTGTTAATAGAATAAATTGATATATAATGAGTTGTAACTATGCTGAAGGTCTTTCAGCTTACGAAAATAAAGGAATCCTTGGTGTACCGGAAGTAAGTAGTAACATAAAAATATATGATACATATAAAAGTGGTTGATTATATTTTCTTAGAATTTCGACAGCGAAGAAGTTGTGAATCAAAAATGCAAACAGTTGGCTAACTTAATTAAAGACTCAAAACATGTTGTATTTCATACAGGTGCTGGTCTCAGCACTTCAGCTGGTATCCCCGATTTTAGGTAATAAATAAAGAATTTCAACGTATAAAACTAAAGTAATTGTAAAATTTATAGGGGGCCTAAAGGTGTATGGACACTGGAAGAAAAAGGAGAAAAGCCTACTTTCAACACATCTTTTGATGAGGCCAAACCGACAAAATCTCACATGGCTTTGAAGGCTTTAGTTGAACATGGATATGTACAATATATTGTTTCACAAAATATCGATGGGTTGCATTTGAAGTCTGGACTAGATCGCAAGTACTTGGCGGAGCTGCACGGAAATATTTTCATAGAGCAATGCCAAAAATGTCGACGACAGTTTATAAGGAAGACCGCTGTCGAAACAGTGGGTCAAAAGCTATTGGGACGCTCATGCAGATCCGTTGATGTAAGCCAAAATCGCAGCTGTCGAGGAGGAGTGTTGCAGGATAACGTATTGGATTGGGAACACGATTTACCCGAACGTGATCTCGATATGGCATTCATGAACTCCACGTACGAGTATTTTCCATTACTTATTCTACAATTTGCCAATATAAACTATATATACTTTAATTAGTTTAGCAGATGTTAACATAACCCTTGGCACTACTCTGCAAATTATACCTAGTGGAAATTTACCTCTCAAAAATCTAAAGCATGGTGGAAAGCTTGTCATATGCAACCTGCAGCCCACAAAGCATGTGAGTAAACTAATGAAGTTTTTAATATTGTAATATCAAATTGAGTTTTTATTGCAGGACAAGAAAGCACACATTAATATTTCAAGTTATATTGATACTATATTAGAAAAAGTTTGCAAACGATTAGGTATCGAGATTCCAGAGTACTCCGAAGATCGCGATCCTACAAAGCTTACCAACATTTCGGAATGGACACTGCCGCAAGAATATGTCAAACAGTTGGATAAAAAATTCAAGGAGCATCAGAAAACTTTAGCAAACAATAGCAATAAGCAACTTATCACTAAGAAACTTATCAAAAAGCGCAAACGAAGCGAATCAACAGAATTTAAATAATTGTAGATCCTATTATATATAGAGTTTAAGTCAAATCGTAACATAATTAACAATATTATCTAAAAATTAAATTAAATTCTTATCTAGAAATGTTTCAAAATTGGACGATTCTGCAATGATTGCAACTCGCTCAGCATCGTAGCCACATTAAATCGTAAACGTTGAAATGTTGACAAAGGCAGCTCCAAGGTACGATGTTCGCCATTATTTAATTTAAAATGCAATACTATTGTGGGCTTATCCAGTTGGGCCATTCTATAATAAAGGAAATCATTTACTTAGATATGTAAATACATATTTATATATAAAAATCAGACTATTTGGGCGTTCTTTTTGCAATACAATTAAGTATTTTAGCACTTTCACATAACGGCAAAAGAGTTTTATATAAATATAGAATGCATACGCTTGCATTGATCGCCAACTTAACTTACGTTGAGCCCAAAGAAATATTTATACGCCATTGCACGTCTAACATTTTTGCTCTTTCCATTTTGGTTTCAGCAAAATTTCTACTAAGCGTTGTACGGTGGTTAATCAGCACCTTGGTCAAATCCTCCGCGCAAGCATCTGTAAAACTAGACATGTAAAATTAGACGTTGACTTAATCAATTACTTTGAATACATAAATTAATTTAATTACATATAGGCATGTAGTATGTATAAATCTAAGCTTACCACAAATCGTCTATTAAGCACTGCCGCAGTTCTTGATCCTTTACCACACCTTTTGGATAGCGTAAATAGATTTGCATTATTAACAGCACCATTGTAAACAATTCGCAAAAATTCTTGGGCACTTCGTGGCCTGCATTTTTAATTTTGTTTATTGCAAGTTCCAAAACGTCAGCTGACGATTTTTTTGTTTCGATATAGTGTACTGAGATTTGAATTAAGACACGTAGAGTTGATTTACTTAATTGCGGAATATATATGGTGTATGGTTTGACGCTTTTTAAAACGTGATAGCGAAAGTTTAAGGACATTTTGTAATTGAAAATTTTCCTGGATAAACAAGAACCCAATTGGCCGCTCCAATTGCACTAGATCAATATAGCGATGCGCGACATGAACGTTCATGAACAAAATCATCGCATGCATTAGTGATGAGCGATAATTGCAAATATGAATTCACGACTAGATGTTTTCTTTAAAAATTTCAAAACAGGGTTTTTGTTTAAATTTTATATATTTAATAATTCAAATATTTCAATATCTGGATTTACATCACTATTTGATATTTGGATGAGGGAAAATATTAAAATCTTTACAACTACTATATCTCGCTAAGCGGATGTTTTTAGAAAATTATTAAAGATCTTCATTAAAATCGTTGCGCAGTAAATTAAAACCAAAATGATTTTAATATTGAACCTGTTAATTAAATGGATACTAATTGATAAGATTGCGATTTGATATTTATAATTTTTTGAGATAACATAACGCCAATCAAATTATTAACAAAATTTCGACGAAGCAATATAAACATGTTAGCATAGTACCGAAATTGACCAGAAACGCTGATAGGACTGGTGGATTTATTACTTTTAAATTAAATTATAATTAGTAAACATTTTGATTTTGGTTGTAGGAATATAGACGAGCTACAAGATAAGATACAATAAGTGCTTACATACATGCATATGTACACAGTCGTACATACATTAATAAGCAAAATTACGGTTGTTTAATGATTTTTGATTGCAGATGGAAATCATAATGATTAGATTTTGTACATTTTTTGTATACTTTAATTTGCATTGAGTTGGTATATGCATAAATGAATTGCTGTCACACATTTGAATTTCTTATGTTCTCTTGTTTTAAACTAATGCAATACAAACAAAATGCTCCCGTTCGATATACAATATCATTTCTATTTGTTATATTATTTTTTTGTTTTTGCTTTTGTTTTGTTATGCGATAAAGAACTACTAATAACGCGGCCCGCTTCCTCAAATTGCTGTTTCTTTCCTCTCCATCTCATCTTGAGGTGACGGCACCGACACACACGCACGCATGGAATTATTAGCTGATGCTGCTGCTTATGCTGGCAGCTGTAGCTTCTTGCCTTTGAGCACTTTGGTAATATACAGATAGAAGAAATCGCAGTAAAGAATAGTTTGAACGATGCCCGCAAAGATCGCAATCAGATCATAATGCGACTCTACCATATAGCGATAGACCCAATTAAGCAGATATAGAGCACGGTAGGAGCCGAGGGCAAACAAATAATGGCTTGTAATCGATTCAGCTTCTCCGGTCTTGCTCACCAGAAACAGTTGTGGTAATATAGCAACCGATTCCAAATAGATCGAGAACGTCCAGAGCACCTCCATCAAGGTAAAATCATGATTAATTACCAATGAGAGCAGAGCGCACGGTATTAGTAAAAATTCAATGCGGAACGAATCGTGATTGTGGTCATAGGTGGCTTTAAATTTCACATACATCAAATAAACCGTGGCGCCCGACGTTGCCAGGAAAAGCACCTTCATAACAGAGTTGTAGAGGCTGACGTATGTGGTGAAGAGGTCCAGATAACGTGTCAGATAGACGACAGCGAAGAGTATTTGAGATTTTCCCGAAATGCCGGCGCATGATCTGGTTTTCCATATTTTCAGTAAAAGAATTATAATAGCAAATACATGCGATAAGTCTCCAGCGAACCGAAAAATATTCATTCTGACTGATTCGTAAGTTCTTTTTTCTTTTTCTTTCGTTTTAGTGTGAAATGTTCTTTCTTGAAGTTGTTTTATTTTTTGCGACGTCCCCCTAAATTGAACCAAATGATATGCAATTATGTTTCAATGTTATAGCAAATATGATAAGGTACTTTACCAAACTGAATTATTTGTTTAATTTTCACTTGTTTTGCCAACGAGTTAAAAACTTTTTGGTGTTGTGCCGCCTATATGTACGTAGAATGTCGGCACAAAAGAGAGAAACAAAGAGAGCCAAAGTGACGTGGCCACATACATATATGAGCGCCAGAGACGTTTGAGCACAACTTATGTGTTCTCAATAGAATACAAATACAGGGCTGCACCAAAAAATCAAGTAAGGCCGATTCGATTAAATGTGTCCATTTTCGCCTAAAAACGATAACAATCGATGCGTCGATGAGCTGCTTGTTTGCGATTTGGACGCATTAGTTTGTTTAACAATTTATTTTCACATTACCAAGCAGATAACTATAAACAGTAAAAGTTAATATTTTGTTAATAAACATATAGAGTAACGGCCCTAAAATGGTAAGTTCGTGAAGAAAATCAAATAATATGGTCAGAAGTACGCATATTAGATATACGTTTGTGCCGACTTTGCCGGCCATGCTTGTTTTTTTTTTTTTAATTTATGTTTTTTTTTTTCTTAGACTATTGGGAAGAATAACAAAATGATTCAGCACCTGAACTATCGGGTGCGGATTGTACTGCAGGACTCAAGAACGTTTATTGGAACGTTTAAAGCATTCGATAAACATATGAATCTTATATTGGGCGATTGCGAAGAGTTCCGCAAAATCCGCTCTAAGAACTCTAAAGTACCGGAGCGTGAGGAGAAACGTGTGCTGGGATTTGTACTGCTGCGTGGCGAGAATATAGTTTCCCTTACAGTCGAAGGACCGCCGCCACCCGAGGAAGGTCTGCCCCGTGTGCCCATTCCAGGCGCTGCTCCGGGTCCAGGTATTGGTCGTGTCGCTGGCCGTGGTGTACCAATGAACATTTCGTCCGTACCGGCTGGCCTTCAAGGACCCGTCAGGGGCGTAGGCGGTCCCGCCCAACAGCATATGGCTCCGATGGGTCGCGGCGTACCCCGAGCTCCGATGATGGGTGCTCCACCACCGGGCATGATTCCTGGTGGTATTCCGGCTATGCCGGGCAGTCTTGGACGGGGTGCACCACCACCCATGAGAGGACCACCACCAATGATGCGTGGCGCACCACCACCGGGACGAGGTGGATATTAATAAACAACTGCGCTTATCTTTATAGTATATAAAATAAAATAAAAGAAAATTTCAGTCAATACTTGCCCTTAGAGCCTTATGTGGGTCAACGAGATTTAACTGCCTTCATTGTTATACGATTTCAGTGTTACTTCTATGTGGACAAATCGAGGTATCTAAAACAATTGGTCTATCTGTATCTTACTAAACTGTCATCTTTTATTTTTAAATAGGAAAATTTTTGTTTTCCTTGCTTAAAATGTTTAATATTTGAATATTACAGACATTGATTTGATTTCTTTTATTGATATTCATGGATTTTTAGTTTTACATCAATTTCAAATTTGATGAAAAAAGAGCTTACATGTTGTAAATATATAGTTAATATGTATATACGTGAAACATTGCTTATATGTAAAAGTGTTGTCCATCATCTTCAATACTTACATATGTATTTGGTAATTATGTTATCTTTTTATTTAGTTTCATACAATACAATATTATAATTTTCTTTAGAAAGTCATGCTACCCTTGTAGTCTATATAATATAGCATATAAACATTATGCCCAAATGGTAGACAGGTCCCACACCTTAATTAACCGATCTTGGCCAACTGTGAGTAAACGCTTGCGATCCTCATCCAGATCCATGTGCACAATGGAATGCTTGGCGTCGTGAAAGGCTGCCAAAGAGGGTCGCTCCACTGTCTGCAGCTGCTTAAAGCAGGGATCACAGCAGCGCACATCGAACTCAAAGCCCATTATTGGTATATTAATACGGTTCGTTGAACAATTATCGCAAACAGCTTTTCCGCAATGACGACAATGATGCTGACGTATGCCTAAAACGACATCAGAATTTAATATTAATTCGTAAATTAATCATACCATGCAAAAATTGTGTCACTTGCCCAATTGCTTTTGATCCATCATCGAACGGAAGTTCCAAAAGAATGGCCTCGAACATAGCTGGCAATTGTTGGACTCCACCCAGCCGGGCACCTCCTTGCGCATCGCATTCATTTCCCAAAACACTACCACCGAATCCTCGCCACACGTTATCAATTGCTGAGTGTGATTTGCGTACGCTAAAGCTGAGACTTTGTTACTAAACGGAAGCAAATATACATTAATTTAGTTAATACTTCCTTATATGTTTGTAGAGATTTATAGGAGGCTTAAGGATTTGGTTGCAGATGTTATGGAAAGGTAATACATAAATAAAATGTTTGTGAAGAAGAGAATTAAATGAGCGTAAATAAAGATAAAGTACATTAATTTAATAATTACTGCAATGAGGACTTTTACAGAAGAAATTAATAAAAAAGACCAAATTTATGGAGGGCAAAAAAATATATGTAGATATAATCCAGCAATCGAATTGAGATGTAATGTAGAGGGATACTATTATTGGTTAATAATATGGTTGTGGATGTATAAAAAATATATTTATTACATATATATTTGATATTTATATTACCTATGACCCTGGAGCTCGTAGATTGTGCCGCGTTTGCCGCCAACATCCCAAACAATAACAGATTGATCGCAGGCGCCACTGAATAAAAGCTGCGGTCCTTCAACCCATCGTAAGCAACGAATACCAGCTACAAAAGATGTGATTAATGAGAAGCTTCTAAGCATTTTAAATATAACATGTACAGATTATTCAAAAAACCTAAGGCCTAACTTAATGGCAATAGAATAAATAATGAATAGCAAAGTTAAAGACCCAAATCTTTTGTTCGGCTTATAGTTTTTTACACTATACTCTATTTACCAGTATGTCCTTTGAATGTAGTGATAAGCTGCACCCCCTGCGCTTCGCAGCGCAACATTGTGATTTGACCCGCATGATCTCCAATGAAAGCGTACTTTGCCAGTGCATCGAACCTAGATTAATTAACGTTTGATAAAAAAATCTCACACATTAAGCAGAGATTACAGATTTACTCACTGAAGCGCTGTGCATGGCGTTTCGAAAGTGTATCCGCCCACTCGTTTCGCTGTTTCTGTGCAATGGTATGCGAACTGTTTATCTTTGCCAGCAGAGAGTATCCAATTGTGAGTCTTCGAGAATACAACGGCTACAACGCGACCCTGATGCGATAAATAGTCGCGCATGAATGATAAGCGATTGCAGTCCTCGGATAGTGTGTATTGGGTGACGGTGCCGTTGTCCTGGCCAATGTACAATTGCCGTTGCTCCTGTACATATTCGATAGCAGTGCAGCCCGATGGCATATATTGGCAAATACTGGGCCAATATTGTCCAGAATCACGTTTAAGCCACACACGAACCGTTCTATATAAATATATATTTTAGGGAAATTGTATTTCTTTGCGATAAGAAAATGTAATGTAGTGGAAATTTAGTTTGTTTATTTACGCACTTGTCGTCAGATACGCTAATTACACCGTTTTCGCCCGGTATTAAAATAGCTGCATTTACATCGTCACCGCTGCCCTCTAACTTGCTAAGCAACTCCGGCTTTTTGGTCGACAAAAAGCGATCATTGTTGCTGCGTTGCGCTGGTTTTATCTCGGCTGCCATTCTTCTACTGAGAGAGAGCGAGAGTTAGGATCTATAACAAATACTGCTAGTGCGTGTGGGTGTATGTCCGTGTGAATTGGATAAATTAACACCGATAAGCTTTCAGTGTTATACGCTATTTATTTTAATTTGCTTAAACGAATAACTGAATGAATCACAAATAAACTGATTTTATCCAAAAATTAAGATCAGTGTGACCCCAAATGAAATGGTTATTCTTCAATTAATTAAAGAGGGTACACTTTTCCAATAAGAAGTCCAAAACTATCGATTATATGTTAATTTAAAAATACATGTTTATATGTGCGCATAACTCAGGAGAGCAAAAAGCATATATATGATATTACAAATAAATACAAAGCTTTCATTAAAACACGCATTTTTCATTTTCTTTAAAATTATCGATAATGTGGCTACTCGATTACTTATTCGATGAATTGTCATACTACGGCATTCAAATTATTTGTACCGTGAGTCGGTATCCTCTACTCCTTTCTCCACTTTAGCCACCTTATAAATATTCCACGTTGGAAATTAAGCTAAGCTGGATTAAAAATCAAAACTGATGAGTCAACTAACACGATGGTTCCTCGGAGTTACTATATCTTATGAATAAATAAAAAGAATAGGGCACTTTACCTATCCAAAGGCCTCACCCAATTTTCTGTTCACAATTGGTAAATCGATAAATCGGGACAAACGCTTGCTTTAACGAAAAAAAAAACATTCTACTCAAAAATGCCAATTGGAAGTATTATCAAAAAGGCATCCAACTTTATATTAGGTGAAGAGAGGTGTGATGAAAAAATCGATATCGCTTACGAAGACAACGAAATACTTTTTTGCAAAAACAATGTATGCATTCATCCACCGACCGTGGCACGCCAGGAATCGGATATACTGCACTACCCTGGCTACCTGACGTGCACTACAAAAACCTTTATAGATCAGTACAACAGCGCTAAGAGGCCAACATTGCTGCTCACCTGGATACCGAACACCTCGCTTTGCAAGTGCAATTCGACAACCAATGAGGGGGAGCCTTTAAGCAATCTACACCATGATATGCTACCTACCAATGGACACTTCTCGCCCACAGCTCAAGTGGCAGTGCCCGCGCCAAAGATCGTCGACGAACAGGCCGAACAGGAGATGGGCGAAGAGAATGTGGCTGAAATGCAGGAGTTAAAGAACGAACTGCAACCTCTGCTAGGTGGACAAACGGCATCTATAGGAGATCTGGCTGCTTTGCTCAAAAAGAATCCAATTACATCCGTAAACATAACCATTTCGAATCCACAAATCGAGAACAGCAATATCTCTCAATCATACAATTGCATCATTTCGTCCTCCTCGCAGGAGAACGAGGGCAGTCATCCGTCGGCAATTGCTCGCGCGAATCAACCGGCTCAACAGCTCAACTCCGATGGCTCAGTGTCGGATGATAATAATCCCAATTGGATGACGCCAGAGTTGCTGGCTTTTAAGCATAATCTGGTGTTCCCGGAGAGTGCTAATGCCACGCCTACTGTCCGTCGAAAGGCAGTAATTAGGGGCAGGAGATTCTCCGTGGATCTGAGTCAGATGCGTTCCTTACGTTTGTTTTTTAACGATGATAAATGCACTTCTGGACAGCTGGTGATAGCATCCAGGGAATCTCAATATAAGATTCTACATTTCCACTACGGCGGCTTAGATCATCTAGCTCAGGTGTTGCATCAGTGGCACTGTTTTCTACACAATATTACCTTAGCTCCAGGACAAGAGAAGATGAATTTGCCTTACCGACACTTCATGGTCTGTCGCCCGGAAGTTAAGCAATCGGAGATGCATCCGGATGAAGGCAATGTTAAGAGAATCACCACAAATTTCTTCTATGGCACATTACTAAATGAAAAAGGACAAATTGATGATGATTTGCTGCTGCGCAAGTGCGTTTTCTTTGGAGGCCTCGAGAAGAGTCTGCGCAAAACAGTTTGGCCCTTCATCCTAAAATGCTACTCGTTCTCATCCACATTTGAGGATCGAGCCGTCTTGATGGACATCAAAAGACAGGAATACGATGAAATAACCCGGAAGCGTTTATATTCCATGTCGCCAGAACAGCAAGTCCAATTCTGGAGAACCGTGCAGTGTGTTGTTGAAAAGGACGTTGTGCGCACAGATCGTACAAATCCGTTTTTCTGCGGCGAAGACAATCCAAATACAGAGATGATGAAAAACATTTTGCTAAACTTTGCCATCTACAATACGAGCATATCCTACTCACAGGTAAGTTCTACGTTACTCCAAGCATAACAATATACACCAATTATGTTTTTTGCAGGGCATGAGTGATCTCCTGGCTCCTGTTCTGTGCGAAGTGCAAAATGAATCAGAAACTTTTTGGTGCTTTGTTGGCTTAATGCAGCGAGCGTTCTTTGTTTGCACGCCCACAGACAATGATGTCGATCACAATTTAAGTTACTTACGTGAATTGATCAGGCTCATGTTGCCGCGTTTCTATGAGCATTTGGAACGACACAACGAAGCTATGGAGCTTTTATTCTGCCATCGTTGGCTACTGCTCTGTTTCAAACGAGAATTCACGGAAGCTGTGGTTATACGCATGTGGGAAGCTTGCTGGTCAAATTATCTCACTGACTACTTCCACTTATTTCTCTGCCTGGCCATCATAGCTGTCTATGCCGATGATGTGATTGCTCAGAACTTGCGTGCAGATGAGATGCTGCTGCATTTTAGCTCGTTGGCCATGTACATGGATGGTCAATTGATTTTACGTAAGGCACGTGGGCTGCTCTACCAGTACAGACAGCTACCAAAAATTCCATGTACGTTAAGTGGATTGTGCAAGCGTTGCGGCCCGGGCATGTGGGATTCGGAGCATCGTCCTGCACTAGAATGTGTCGGTCATACGGATAACGAGAAGTGCTCATTGGGCATTGATTAAATAATTGATGTGGCTTCTACTGTTGTATATCGAGTTACTCTTACTTATTTACACTTATATTACAATTATGTGTTATGATGAAAAGCTTTCAAGCAAGTGCTTCTAAATATACTAAATTATATATATATGCCTATGCTGAATAAATGTTTCACTTTGTCAAAGATAAATTGTAATTGTAAATTTAACAATTGAGTAATGGGTCTTATCATTTATTATACACTGCGCTCCTTTAATGAATTCTCAGATAATAATTACAATTTCTTGAAGCTTCAGAGCTATACATTTCAACAAATGGAATTTCTGCTTTTAAACACACTAAATGAATTCTCTATGCTGAATAAATATTTCACTTTGTCGCATATAAATTTAAATTGTAAATATAATTGTTAAAATGATTTTTAGCATTTATTATACAATCTTAATTAGAAGCGATGCAAGTTTCAGTGGTGCACATTTCAACAAAGTGAAGTTCATTTGCATTTCTGTCCTTTAATATGAATAAAATCGTACTTGTTTCGTGTTGGTGTTGTGATTAAAGTATGGTCATTACTGAATTTAAAACTAAACTTGTCCTACAACACGTATTTCGTAATTATATCCATGTTTTTAACGTATATATGATAATTGAGCCTCGATATATATAAACACATATATATATATACCGATTTTGCTGCCAGGTATTTTACATTTGCGGTAGCTGATCAATCGGTGTTGTAAACTTGAAATCCTCTGGAAATAGTTTTGCAGCATGCGGGTACATTAGCTTATATGATTGTCGTATAGTTACATCGGCCACACCAGCAATATCGCCAATTTCTTTTTGGCTACGCTTATGCTCCGATGCTTGCGATGCCATATAAATAGCGGCAGCAGCTACAGAAATTGGCGATCTTCCAGGTACAATGTCCATCTCCACAGCTTTCTTCGCAATGTGCGTGGCAGCTCGCTGCACCATATTAGGGAGATCTATAAATCAATACAATAAAAATGATTCCATCTATAAGAAAGGTACAACGCTAATAACGTACCCAAGTTGGCACAGAAACGGCACATAAAGTCGGCAGTCGTTATCAAATCTACACTAGTTTCAAGTGCTTTTAATGTTAGTTTAAAGCATCTTCCAATTTCCTTCTTGCTTATCTTACTAACTGCACAGATTTCCTTGAATGTGCGTGGTACACCTTCTTGGCGGCAGGCTATGTACAAACAAGCTGATGCCTTTGCATCATTTGAACGTCCTTTTAGATTCTTGCCATCATGTACCTGTTTATCAACAAATCAATAATAAGCCTTGCAAGAATATATTCATTTATATGTTACATATACGTGCCTGCTTGAATAAGTTATTTGCGCGATCGACTATTGTTTTGGGCAAATTGATGCGATCGGCCATTGATGAAATTTCTTTGAATGCGGATATAAGCGAGCGATCTGAGCTGCTCATTGTGCGTCTGTTCTGGTATTTGGGTGCTCCGAAGGCATCGAAAGATGCCGAACCTGTTCCCGGGCCAATAATCGTGGATAAATCTCCGCCACTGAGTAAAGGATTCTCTGGACCTCCCACACGGCTGGGATCGACGCCACTTTTTTCATTGCTAAATGTGCGCCATTCGGAACCTACATCGATAACTCGATCACCAACCACCAGGCCACATTCCGAGCATATCATGTCGCCAGCTCGATAGTCCTCAATTAATGGAGACTCCGGATGGGCATAGCAGCACACCTTGTTGTTTTCCAGTCTAAAAGAATATTTCGACGGGTCATTTTGCAAGCATTACAAATAACATCCCAAATATTTCATTTACCTTGAAGTTGACGCCATTTAATTCTTATATCTGTTTGCGTACAACTATGTTTTAAAGTAACTACTTTTTTTGTTTGCAAACGCAAATTAATTTCGACAGAATAAAAATATCGCTTCTTCTTCCTCGTTTCTCTGTTAATTTAACATGTATCTAACAGGGTGCAATATTATCCACTGAGCTGACTTAATAATTTTTAGAATTTATCTTTCCTTTTTATGCAAGATTATATACAAAAAGAACAAATTACAAAAACCGTATATGAAGTTCAGCTGTGATAAAAAATTAACATCTAATAACTGCTAACTGAGCCATAAGTCTGTTAACATAGCCATCAAAAAGTTAGGTCTGTACAAACAGCTGATCCAAAGATTTATCGACAATCAGCGTAAAACTGTGAAACACGAATATCCCTTAGAAGAGCAAAATAATTAAATTTGAATTAAACTGATAAAAACTGTAAATGCTTAGATTACAGCTTTCTAACTGAACACAAATTGTATTTTCAAAGACAAGGCCAGGAAATCTTTGAAACAAAACAGAAAGAGCACTGTACAACTTTATTTTGAATTATTAAACATTCATATTACAGCGTAATAAGGAAGCTCCGCCAAAACGACCCAATTAATATCGACAATTTTTACACGCGCAATAATGCGATGGTTACCTATCGATAAGTAACAGTATTAAACAGATTGGTAAAAATACCCACACACACCTATTCATAATTTCATATATATTTTATGTCAAAGGAAAAACAAAAAGTAGGCTTATTATTATATGGTGCATCGGTAGACGGTTTAAATGATACGTAAATTCTGTTGTGGTTCTATTGCTCCAGATACTCGTGTCAGCTGCTTTTGACAATTCCTATGCCTTCATAAAAAATTTTCTCTGGCAAATACGATACGATTAAGAAAGCAAAACTATTCTCAGCATGACGAGCAAACATATTTATTCAACCACAAATTTATCTGACCTGCAACTGAAGGAGCAGGGCAATTGTTTATTTGCCTCACGCAAATATGACGATGCGATTATATGTTATTCCAAGGCCATTGTAAGTCATTTCAAAACTTTACAAATCAAATGATTCACGTACATATGTATATATTTATGTATATCTAATATTTGACATAGATTAAAAACCCTACAAATGCAACATATTTTACGAATCGTGCCCTTTGCAATCTAAAGCTAAAGCGTTGGGAACTTTGCTGTCAAGATTGTCGACGAGCTTTGGATATAGACGGCAATTTACTAAAAGGCCATTTTTTCCTCGGACAGGGCCTGATGGAGATTGACAATTATGACGAAGCTATAAAACATCTACAGCGTGGTAAACATTTAAAAGTACCCATGAAATTCGTCTAATATCCATATTTTTAGCCTATGATTTGTCAAAGGAACAAAAACAGAACTTTGGAGATGATATAACATTGCAATTGCGTTTGGCACGTAAGAAACGTTGGAATATTATGGAAGAAAAACGAATACACCAGGAAATTGAACTGCAAAGTTATCTGAATCGGTAGGTGTACAGCAAACAAATTGTTAAACCTAAAGTTTACTTATTTACTTATTTTTAGACTAATCAAAGATGACATGGAAAACCGTTTAGCCAGCTTGAAGTTAAATGAAAACTTAAATGAGGAACATTTAAAGGACAAACAACAGGAAATTGAACAAGAATGTGTAAGATATCATCTATGCTAAGCTTTCTGTTGATATATGAAAATAGAAAATATTTAAATGAATATTGGGTCTACAACTTATAAATAATGTGATTTAACTTGTACTTTATTAATATACATTTCTTCAACAGGATGATCATATTAAAGAGCTTAATAATATATTTGCAAAAGTAGATGAACGTCGACGGGTAAGAAGTAATGAAACAGCCATAAACCTAATTAAAATTTGATTATTATATTTACAGAAACGCGATGTACCGGATTTTCTGTGTGGGAAAATTAGCTTTGAAATATTAACTGATCCAGTGATTACTCCATCAGGCATCACATATGAGCGTAAAGATATTGAGGAGCATTTGCAACGTGTTGGTCATTTTGATCCTGTAACACGAGTTAAACTCACGCAGGATCAGTTAATACCAAACTTCTCAATGAAGGAGGTAGTTGATTCATTTATTGCTGAGAATGAATGGTCTTTAGATTATTAAGTTGTTGTATTTTGTAAACAACACACACAAAAAGAATATGAAATATATTAAATGTATATTGTAATTAAATATGTAGCTGTTAAAAGCAGTTAAATACAAATTGTCAAGATATAACAGTCTATATTCATTGGATAATTTGAGTTGAGAATATATTGTATATTAAGTTATTTTTATTTTGATAACATATAAAATATGTAAGATTACCGTAAGTGAATAAATTCAACCGAACGTAGAAGTTTTTTTAATTTGGTGGTGGTGGTTTTTATAATTTGGTGCAAAAATTGCATGAATGGAATATAAAATGGAAGCATTGATGGGAATCGATATATCGATATAATTTTCGATGACTTGGTTGTCTAGAAAACGGCGCGAATACGTGAACATTTCGCTTGATTATTAATTAAAATTGACTATAAGTATGTCGGAAAACAATGGTACGGTTGTGCGTATGCCATGGGTGGAAAAATATCGGCCCAACTGTTTAGATGACTTAATATCACACGAGGAAATAATATCTACAAGTAAGAACGCGTTTTGACACAGACAGATTCAAGTGGGCAGCTAATATTTGTATTTTATTTAGTCAATCGCTTCATTAATCAGAAGCAACTGCCGCACTTGCTGTTCTATGGCCCACCAGGCACAGGTAAAACGAGCACAATTTTGGCCTGTGCCCGTCAGCTATATTCACCGTCACATTTTAAGTCCATGGTACTGGAACTGAATGCGTCTGATGATCGTGGCATTGGAATCGTTCGTGGTCAGATTCTCAACTTTGCCTCAACCCGCACCATTTTCTGTGGCACTTTTAAACTGATCATACTGGACGAGGCGGATGCTATGACGAATGATGCACAGAACGCCTTGCGTCGAATTATTGAAAAGTACACCGAAAATGTGCGCTTCTGCATTATTTGCAATTATCTAAGCAAAATTATACCTGCTCTTCAATCGCGTTGCACACGTTTTCGCTTTGCCCCACTTTCACCAGAACAGATGATGCCGCGGCTCAATAAAGTTGTGGATGAGGAGAAGTATGTGTTCAATGTGGACTAAAGTATTTCCATTGTCTAAGCAGCTTGATTTTTTAGTGTCAACATTACCGATGATGGCAAAAAGGCATTGTTGACCCTCGCTAAAGGTGATATGCGAAAGGTTTTAAATGTGCTGCAGAGCACTTCGATGGCCTTTGACGTAGTCAACGAGGATAATGTTTATACATGTGTGGGATATCCGCTAAGAAGTGAAATTGAACATGTTCTGCAAACATTGCTTTCAGCAGCAACATTCGACGCGGCATTCGATAGTAAGTACGCAATTTATAAAAAAACTTCGTTTGCTAAACTTTTACAATCTTACAATCCTTATAACAGCAATTGAAGAAGCAAAGAGTAAGCGCGGACTTGCTTTAGAAGATATTGTTACAGAACTGCATTTGTTTATTATGAGACGTAAGGATGCTATACAATTGTTTCTATACTTATAACTAACGTCCTACTATATCCTACAGTGGAATTGCCCATGTCGGTGATGAATAAATTAATAATTAAGATGGCACAAGTTGAGGAAAGATTATCCAAAGGCTGTTCGGAAACTGCCCAAACTGCAGCGCTGGTATCTGCGTTCTTTATAAGTCGTGACATGGTGTCGCTAGAAAGTTAGAGTTTCTAATTGAATCGTTTATAAGAGAATAATTAAAATTAAGCAACCATTAATTAAATACGAATGCATTTTTGAAAATAAAGCAAATCTTTGAATATTTGTGTTAATATTATAAATCGATGCTTTCGATACCAACGATATCAGCTGTCCGATGCCATCACTAATAAGTACCAATCGATTGCAGAATTATTGTATATTTTGGTGTTTCATTTTAGGTGAATTTACAAAAGCAATTGTAAGAAATGAATGCTGTCGACGCGGATGCTCATTTGTTGGCCTTAAAGGGTAAATATACATTGTGTATGTTTTAAAATAGTATACAAGAACTATGCGTTTTATAGTTATGCGACTGACCCGTCCTACACTTGTTGGGCTGGGACCAATAGTTACTTGCGAACCAAAGGATTTGCCCCAGAGTTTTAATCGACTAGTGGAGTTCGATGGCATTGCTCGAACGTCTGCTGAAGCACTCGGAGCAGGGCAAACAATGCTTTTGCCTCAATCATTTGGAAATATTTACCTGGGCGAAACATTTTCGAGCTACATTTGTGTACATAATTGTACGACTCATCCCGTTGAAGGTGTCTCTGTTAAAGTAGATTTGCAGTCTAACTCATCGCAAATTAATTTGCTAATGCATGAAAATAAGAAATCTTCAGTAGTATTAACAGCGGACGAAACACTTGATGATGTTATTCGATATGAAGTAAAGGAAATTGGAACTCACATGTGAGTGATGTAATTTACATAATTTTCAGAATAACTATTAAAACTTTACTTTTAGATTAGTCTGTGAAGTAAATTATACTAGTCCCGCGGGCTTTGCTCAATCGCTGAGAAAATTCTTTAAGTTCCAAGTGCTCAAACCACTTGATGTTAAAACAAAGTTCTATAATGCAGAAATGGACGAAATATATCTTGAAGCTCAAATACAAAATGTGACTACCGGCCCATTTTGTTTGGAAAAAGTTGAATTGGATAGCTCGGAACAATATACAGTCACTTCTCTGAATACTTTACCGAACGGAGAGTCGGTTTTTACCTCCAAAAATATGCTTCAGCCAAATAACAGCTGTCAGTTTCTATATTGCATAAAGGTAGGATAGAAGACAACTTTTCCGAAATCTGAAAAAAAAAGCTTTTCTTATATTCCAGCCAAAAGCTGATATTGCAAAGGACATTAAAACTCTACGTGAAGCAAACAATGTAGGTAAACTGGATATCGTCTGGAGATCGAATTTTGGCGAAAAAGGCAGATTGCAAACAAGTCAATTGCAACGATTGGTATTTATTTGAAAATTATGCTCCTTTCAATGGCATTTAAATAATTAAATTTTTCTTTTAGCCTTTTGAATACAAAGATCTGCGCTTGGAAGTTATTGATGCTGAAAATATTGTCAAAATAGGAACCATATTCACATTCCAGTGCCGCGTAACCAATACAGCGGAGCACCCCATGAAACTACATGTTAAACTGGATACAAAAGTTTTTCCCGGTTGCCCGTATACGGGCTCAGCTGACTTTGAATTAGATATATTGCAGCCAGGCCAGATAGCTGAATTTCCACTTACAATTTGTCCATCTAAATTGGGTCTGATTAAAGTATCCCCATTACTTATAGTCGATACACTGAAAAACGAGCAATTTATAATGACAAAAGTTGTGGAGGTGTTTGTGGTAGATGCCGATTACCATCAGGATGGTACCTTTTTGCTTAATAAGCTTATTCGTTATGAAAATCCTATTGATTCGCTAATACAAAAGCAAATTCAGTTACAGGTAGTTTAGTTTAGTACGATGTATTAAATATAAAGTTTCACAATTTATAAATATTTCATGTTACCGTTGGTATAAATTAAGGATATAAGTTAAGCAACTAATTTCTGACCTATGACTAAGACAATAATATATTTATAAACTAGATTTCGTATCAGTCAACATTTATTTCAGCCTTTTGTTACGAAGAGTATCGTCTAGGCGACTATTTCTAATCAAGGCAAGCACTCATATATATTTAACAATTCATTGACTCCTTGCGCACTATTGTGTTAATTTTTCAATTTGCATTTAGAAGTGATTGCAGTAATTTAAAATGTCAATCAACCAGGGCCTCTCACTATGCTATATAAGAAAGTCGATTTACTTAAACATCACAGAAAGATATTTGAGATGCATTCAAGCGACTCAGTAGTTGTGCTTACCTTGGTAAGCATATTTTTTGGAAAAGTTTCCTCTATGGAAAGTTCACTTTTAATAGACTACACAACGCGCCTTATTAAGACAGAGCAAAGCATAATGTTTGCCTGTTCTGAGCAAGGTATGTGAGCCATTTTTATGCTTTCTTCACATTTAGCGCATACCTAGTTTTATTTTAGATATGTATTTGAACGTTGTACAACTCATGGCAGCCAATCAATTTGTTCAACCGGTCCACATAAATAGTTCATATGATCTGCGATCAGTTTTAACGAGAAACAACTATGCGCGAACTTCTGTTATTGTGGACACAACCTGTGAAGGGGCTTCGAAGCTGCTAAAAGAGGCTTCTGCGAATAGATATTTCAATAAAACATATCAGTGGCTACTGTGGGGCGTGGATATGAATATCAATGATTTGCTGCCGATCGAGTTGGATTATGTTGGTCCAAATGCACAACTTACCTACGTCAATAAAACAAAAGACGATTATTGTCTTTGGGATGTACATTCTAAAGGTCGTCAACTGAAATCACCACTGGAGTTGCATTTGATAGCAAGAGTATCAACTGAGCCACATAAATTGGTTATATTTAAGGACATATACGAGCTGCAGGGCATCAAATATCGCAATCAATTCAATGGCTTAACTCTACGTGGCGCAAGTGTTGTGAGTAAAATTTTATTTTAGATAAGGTGCAAATTATAGTTTTGATATTGTAGATCGATCAGGAGGACATTTTCACGAATCAACAAATCGAAGCAATATTATCGAGGCCTACAAAGGATTCAGGTGTGGCAGCGTTTATCAAATATCACTATGAGCTGTTGAGCTTGCTCAGAGATCTCTTTAACTTCACCGTCAACTTTCGCAATTCGAGAGGTTGGGCAGGCAGATTGGGCAACACAACTTTCCGACTAGGTTTGTTGGGCATTATAATGCGCAATGAAGCAGATATTGCAGCATCTGGTGCATTTAATCGTATAAATCGCTTTGCCGAGTTCGACACAATACACCAGAGTTGGAAGTTTGAGACAGCTTTTCTGTTTCGATTTACGCCCGATTTGGATACGCATGGCAAAAGTGGAAACTTTCTAGCGCCCTTTAGCAGGCAGGTCTGGCTCTTCATCTTAGCTACTTTGTTTGGAATTAACAGCATTTGGTTACTGCTTGATTATCTTGGTAAAAGATGGCTTTCTCAAGCAAAACAATGCATAGAAGAGCGAATTTTGAATATTAAGAAGACCAACAACATAAATTTGACGGCTGAAAAATCAACTACAAAGTGTCAAGGCAACTGGACAGAACGTATTCTACACACTTTTGGTGCTGTCTGCCAACAGGGAATGGAACCAATTCCCAGTGACATGTCGTCGCGCTCCATTGTCGTTACAGTTTTCCTATTCTCGGTAGTTATGTATAACTATTATACGTCATCTGTCGTTGGTGGATTGCTTAGCTCTTCGGATTTAGGACCAGCTACCGTAGCTGAAATAACATCTAGCCCACTTAAAGTATCTTTTGAAGATATAGGATATTATAAAGTATTATTTAAAGTAAGTAGTGTGTTTAAATAGTTTATTTGTGATCTAAAATCTTAAATGTTTATTTTTTAATAGGAAAGTGCCAATCCGATTGTGACACGTTTGATAAGTAAAAAACTATCTGCATCTAGGGGTCCCAATGAAATGGGTGTTTATGGTCACATAGAGGATGCTGTTCCATATCTCAAGAGCGGCGGATTCGCATTTCACTGCGAAGTCGTTGACGCATATCCTATAATAGCCGAATTGTTCGACGCTAATGAAATTTGTGATCTACGCGAAGTTTCTGGCCTTATGGAAGTGGAAATTTTGAATTGGATTGTCAATAAGAATAGTCAATATACCGAACTCTTTAGAACAGCGTGAGTACGTTATATACAAGTAATACTACTTTTATTTATAAAGATATTGTATGAAATTTCAGTATGTGTAAAGCGCGTGAAGTTGGTTTAGTTGAAAGGCTTCTACGACAACGGCAAATGAAGAAACCGGAATGTCAGTCCCTATACACTGTCTATCCAGTGACTATATCTGGTGTTTCGTCAGCATTTCTTACACTGCTAAGTAATATATATAGCCTACTTTTGTTGTTGTTAATAATTAACGTATGGGCACATTTTAAGGTGGTGTCTTACTCGCTTTCTTTGCTTTATGTCTGGAAATAGCATCGGTCAAATGGAAATTCCGAAGGTAGGATTACAAATGTTATTTTGTTAAATGTTGAGCTTGATTATTGCAAGAGGAAAATTAATACATAATTATTAATTCAGTTTTATTTTTCAATCATTTGGAAAATTGCTTTTGAGTTGAAGAATTTTGTATGTCTTCAACCTAAAATCAGGTTGAATTTTTGTGCCACTTTTGAAAAAGTATAGGTTGATAGTATATTAGTAATATTTGTTAATGTTGTTTTAGTAATTTTAATACTTAAATCAATTGGCTTTATTTTGCGAGCAGGAATATAAAAAGTCAGATAGATATTTTTAATATATTGGTTTTATTTCGTGATTAGGCAATCGACATATGTATATTATGTATCAATACAATTCTATTATGCACTAATGGAACATAATTTTGTTAAAAGGTTTCAAAAATAAAATAACTGATTTGCCAAATGTAAAGAATTTATTATTAGTAATTGATGAAGTTCTTTAAAAATTTATCTAAATGGTCATTTGCCTCGGATGAGTTGCGCTTGGCGCTGAGACAGTGTTTCGATATATAAATACATATGCATATACACACAATAAATTTAACTATTCTATTTAAGTTTAGTCTCAAAATAATTCCGTAAATTCAGTATTTAAAATCACAATTTTTCATTCCGAAAGTATTTTGCACTTGTCAGTGTTTTTTTTTAACGAGTTTTCCTTTATCTTTTCTATCTGTCAGCAAATATTAATTGTTCTCACGTCTTCCTGATTTTTATTTTAAAATGAGCTTTAACGGATTTAACAGAACTCGAGATCATGTTTTTTTGCCAATGAAATAAACTGTTGTTTGTGTAATGCGGATTATTTCGTCGATTACTTTCTGGATATATATATATATATATATATACATATATATATGATGCTTTAATGGTGCCAAGACTAAGAAAGGGAGTCCTTCAAATATACTAAGTGTGTTATCCCCTTTATTATTAACTTCTACCGTCGATCACTGTTCAATTTTCAATTGATGCCGCACCCAAATTACTGCCACCTAATTGATTGTGTGCTATCATTAATATGTCTTTTTTCTCCTTGGGAAAGCGTAGCTCGCGGCCTGCCATACGTGCCGTCTCGAGCTCACGTTCGGCCAAGACTAATTCTCTTCGCAGCACTCCAGGATTCTCCTGCTCACGTGCTATCCAGTCAAGCGCCATCTGGGCACGCATTTCATCATCCAAACTACGATTGGAGTAATGTGCAACCACCTCCTGTCTAGAGCACTGTCGCTCCCGCATTGCCTTCAATGAACCATTCCAATGTAGTAGTTGAAACACGGTCATCAGCTCTTGAAATTCCAGCATCGTACGCCCCTTATTTGCCTCGAGCATGAATCTAAATGCATTAAGTATTGAAACAATATATACATGTATAAATGTAATATGTTTTACATACCTAAATGCACCGATGCCCGATTCTGGGAGTTCATTATTTTGCGGTGTTCCCTTGAAGGATGCGCGTGCATCCTGAACTGCTTTTTCTATAAATTCATCGCTTATGCGACGAGACGGATGCTCGTTAAATACCGAATTCATGAGCGCTATTTTAGCTGAACTTCGTCTAGCTTCCGCTTTAGTTGGACAATTCTGAAAGGTTTAAAGGTTAGTAGTGTGTACTCTATTAAGACTGTTGAAAAATATCTACCTGAAAGCTACCAAAACAACTGCCACCAGGTAATGTTACGAAGCACACATAAGGCTGGCTGTTCGATGGAATCGATTCATAGATCACAAGAGCTCCATTTTTAAGCTCGACTCCCCGTGTCTGTTTCATTTGCCAAAACTCTTGCAAAGCTTCCACAACATTAACTATGAGTAAATAACAATATATATAAAATATAAGATTAAATCATATTCATCAAAATAGTTGGATTTACCCCTATAATCTCGATCTTCGTATAATCCGGATACCATTGGCAAAGCCCAGAAAGGTTCTTCCGGATAGACCATTATACGCTTGCCACTTGTTGATTATTGTACAAGAATGGAGCTATAGATTTTATATTAATTGAAACTTAAATCATCACACTTGGATTCCAAATCCTAAATATGAAGAGCTATTCTTAAATCTTTAACTGAAAGTAAATTGCAAAAGTATTAAAATTAATAGTCTTATAACCAATTAATATTTGATACAGTTTGGAAAGTTCTAGATTTTCCTTTTGCTTTATGTACTGTGTACATGTATTCAACACAATGCGCATTTGTAAAAGTACATTAAGTCGATGATATTTCATCATCGACATTTCCAGTTTGCTTCTTAAGTCATCTGTTTTATGCTCTTTTAGAAATCGCCTCACAGACTCACAGACACAGACACAGCGCACTCAAACATAAACACACACATGCACATGCATATGCTTGCAGACGTACATACATGAATGTATGTAGGTCTGCGAGTTGTATGTGCATATTTTACAAGTGGTACAAGGAGTATACACACTTGAAACCCATAATTAATATATGTATATACGCATACATACATATGTAAGCCGTTAAATGATTGTGGACAAACGACACGCATACACACATATACATACGTACATACATGCATACTTACAAATGGTCGAGCCAAATTTTGTCAACTGTAAATATATTTTTTACGGTGGTACCCTACAAATACTTGGCACTATAATTTATTATTTTCTTTCTATGATGTTTCAGTTGTGACAATAAGTATTTTTTATCTAAAGATTATAAAATGGCGTTCACACTTCTACGTCAGCTTACAATTGCTAAAAACTAGCTACACTCGTATGCATATACTTATATGCATTTATATAAATATGCTCTGACAAGTATTCAACTTGTTGAGTACAATAAAACAAACCTGTAATTTTCATTGCCGACTACGCGTATGCGCACTGTTCAATTATATCGGTTCGCAATTTTTCACTATGTGATCGTACATAAGCTTTGACGCAAGTGTTGGATAAGGCAAAAATTTAATGATTTGCTTGTCAGATTTTATCATCATACTACAACAAAAAAGGGGCTCCTTATGTGGTTGGCAACATAATTGTGTGACCGTCGTAAATAAGTTGTCGTCTTCGCTAAAATTGATCGCGTTAAATGTTACCGATAGCTATCGATAAGCTTGAATAGCTTAATAGGACCACGAAGAGTAGATTTTTGTCAAAATAATAAATACCTATTTTGTTTTCCGCTTTACGAAAACAGTTTAGGTATTCAAAATAGACCCATGTTTACATGTATTTTTAATCATTTTATTTATTGATAACTTTTTACCAGAAATTGGGTCGAAAAAATAAGCTCAAATGATGATTCGAATTCGATTTTGTTTGTTTTCCAGTTATGTACCATCAAATTAAAAAAAATTCTTTCGAATAGATTTTTTTTGTCTATACAATATCCATAACCATACAACGACAGAATCGTCTAAGTACTTCCTAAGAATATATTTATTTTCTGTACAGATGGGATCGATTTTCCAGACACTCACGAGTCCGAAATGGAATATCTTCACAGGATTAGACTTAATATATATCCGATATAGCGACAGCTATAGCGAATATTATTTGTATACTTTTTATAATGTAACTTAAATTGTTAACTATATAAATAAATTAAATTCAATAAAATGATTAAAAATTTTAATTTGCAGACATTTATTTAAATTATTTCGAGATTTTTGTTCAACCGAAATATGCAAATACAAATGAGTGGCAGAATAAATACAATAGTATTTATAACATAATTACGTTTAAATAACATAAGATGTTTCATTGCATACCAAAAGTGTGCGACCGTTATTAACAGAAGTCTGTTAAACAGCAGTTGGCCACTAGTGCTGTAAAGCTCATGTGAAATTTTTAATGGCTTTCTCTCGGTCAAATGAGAGTCGGTCTTGGAAAGATATAGATATAGTCTTTTAAATATATTGATTTTGCTATGGAGATTGGAATCAAAAACTTTTGCCATTTATTTGCCAGATATATTCCAATTGTAACATTTTTAAAAAACTTTAGATGACTATAACTCATATATTTTTACATATATGAAATCTTGTCGATAAAAAATTACACTTTCTTGCCTAGTTTTTCAATAACAAACTCTTTTAGGGGCTGATAATACTGATAGCGCAAACTAAGCATTTCCGGAGAGTTGCGTACGCGTTCAAACATTTCCAGCTCTGATTCCATAATGAAGACTGCCGTGCCAGCCATTGCGATTACAACGAAGATGACGGATGGTATAAAGGCATGTAATAAATGGAATTTACGTAAGCTTTTGCCACCATTATTTGAATTGGAGTGTGTGCGCGAAAATTTGCCTGAATGTTTCCCACTGGCAATACCGGCGGAAGAGCTTGAATTTAAGGCGGGATTGGGCAGCGCATAGTACTGCTTGGATGAATAATATAGATGCTGCTTGGAGTCATTTTGATTGCCACGCGGCTTGCCAGCCACATCATATCCACTTGCTGTGAGTCCGCTCTCCGTCGACGAATGTTCCATGGAGTCTCGGAACGCATAGCCGGATAAATCGGTACCCATGTGATTGAGTCTATCTATGTTGGAAGAGCGCAAACGAGCCTCTTCGCACACGGGCTCCAGAATAGGCATTTGCAGACTGCCGTTGACGCCAGCCTCCTGACCATAGATGAGAATGCTCGGCGCCATGGAACAGCCCAATGGCTCGGACATTGTGGAACGAGGCAAACTGCTGTAGCCTACAATATTAAAGCCAATAATTATATATTATTGATATAAAGTTACTCCACATGCTGTACGCCTTACGTATTTGTGCTAAGTCGCCTTGTGGACTGGAGGGCGTGGCTGGAACACTGCTTGCCTTGCGTTTGCTCGAATTTGAATTGGTCATTTTTTGCTCGCGTAATGCGTTTATGCTTTCAGTCAATATCTCACGTTCAGTTCGACCCGTATAACGGAACTTGGTACCCCAGGAGAAAAAGCCACCGCCAGAGACAACAGCCGCATGCTGGCTATTTGGTAAGCTATGAAAAGAAAAAAACGATGGCTCTATTACGATAAAATTATTATACCTGAGATTGATCTCATTGACATTGGAAATGAACAAAAATGTAGTTATGAAAGCTCCCTCATATTCGTCTTCAAGGATATAATAAACGTGAGTTTTACTTACGTGAAAAACAACATTTGCTCGATGGCGCATCTCCAGAGATAGCGGCAAGCGGGTCCAGATGGGCACTTAAAGCCTATTGTGTGTTTTTTCTACAAATATCGTTTTAAGTATATCTAGCTGAAATGATTATCTGGATTTACTCACGGGCTCCCGGCTGGCATCCGTAAAGCTTAAATGTGCAATAAACATTTTCCCCTCGAAGTTAATTTTATGTACTTCATTCCAACGAAAGTGCTGCGATCGCTTGCCTGCTACATAGGTGCTGATGCCCGCATGATTGATGCCCACGTAGAGCAACGAGCCGCGATGATCCTTTACAGGATGTGGATCAATTCCATATGTCTCCAGGCCACGCGCGATGCCCATAAATTCATCCATGGCCACGGAGGGATCCTGGCCAGGTTTTCGCTTTTTGTGCAGTTCAATAATCTTTTTTTCCAGATTCTCCGTTTGGCGCAGAGCCAAGTCCAGCGAAGACACATAGTCCCCGATGTGTATTAGGTCGTCATAGTCACCGAGTTCCTCTGGAAATTATAATAATGTGATTCATCAGCTTGTTTAAACGTTATTTAGGGCACGGTCTTACCTTGCACGATCAAAGCACCCAAGGCAGCTGCTTCACCCAATGAACAGTATAATCGACCATGACGAAGATCTCTCTTCAGCTGCTGGAAGAGCATGATGCGGCCATTGCCAGTGAGACGAAATGGATCCGCTGGATAAAATTTTACACGTAATGAAAATAACACAGGATCTATATCTGAAAAATTGATTTTTGGTTGAGTGCATTTTATTACTTAAATTGAAATTAATTATTTACCTTTGCATTGTTTTAATATGGATTTAGCCAGGTCGAGCCAGTGCTAAAAGTAAATATATATATTATATTAAAATATATATTTCGATATTTCTTAATTCGATCATATTTACCCTTTGTTTTCCCGTATCTACATAGCGTAAACCAAAATAGTCCTTTTCCTTAATATCTAATTGTCTACATATATGGTCGACTAGATAAATGCCTTTATGGAATGGCTGTTAAAGGGAAAAAGAACAGAGAGAGAAAGCGAAATTAAATCTATTTATTAAATTCATAAAAAAACTGTTAAGCTGGATTTTAGGGTTTGTTATAGCTATAATAAGGCAGTTACGCCCTTATTCTTATATCTACCGACCCGCATACATGTACACATAGACGCACCCACACACGGACACATTGCCACACACACACGCACCCAACCAAACAGCGTTGCGGTAAGCCTTGACTTTCTCCCTTAAGGCCAACAAAATATATTTCCCAGTTAAAGCTCACCTGAAATTCACATTCTAAGACATCCGAATCATCAAGTAAGCGAACAGTGCACTTGTACACAATATTACATTCGTTTTTACTTTTAAACATTTTTATTTTGCACTTTATTATCGACTTTAGCCAATGCTTAAAAAAACACTAAAAAACTGTTATATATAAAAATATATTTTATATTAGATTTATAGGCGTGTTTTTGTTCATTGTCTTTAAATTTTTGTACCAAAAATTAATTAGTTTTTAACGTTTTTTTAAACTTTGTTTGCCGACAATGTCAGTGTCCTTTATCGCCCTTCGCTTTTTCCTCTTAAGGGTGTTTTTCTTTACTTGAGAAAACAAACAAGATAAAAGCACCAAAAATGGACAAAAGCATGAAATTTGTATCATAGCTTGAAGTTTATTTGCATTATGTGTATTTAAATTTTTTCTTAATTATATAATGAATCACTTTTATAAAATCATGTTTTTATGTATATCTTTCCATTTAAACAGAAGCAACGGTAAATAGTTCTGAAATCGATATACGTTCGATTGAACAAAATTGTAGTTCAAAAGAACACAGTTAGCTGGTTCGTTGCTGTCCTCTAGTTCTATTAAATACTTCCCACGCGCTTTACAGCTGTTTTGTCGAGCGAGTGTAAGTTTATCAATAATTATTTAAATGTTATTAAATTTAGCATTTTTCATTGCAGACTATGTTTCAACCTGAAGAGCATGGCCTAGAGGCCGACTTTCGTTTGACCATGTTTTCCACTTTGCGAGGGTGAGGCTGCAAGGTCCCCGAAGAGAAGCTTAAGCAATATCTTACGGGAACAGAAATAGTTAGTAATGCACCTAAGAATAATGATGACTATATTGGTGAGTGTTTTTTTTTTATTTTATATAATTATATAAAATGGTTTCGGCAAATTTTCAAAAAATCAACTACAATGATAAGCTCCGACTATCTGTTGCTTCTCGTAAAATCCGACGCCGATTAACCTGAACTTGACCTTTGCTATTTATATATATGTACATAAATGTATACATCTGAATCATACTAATAAAGAAGTACTTCCAAAAAAGGATCTGGAATGGATTGCGCGGTTATACCCTTATCACGTCACAAGGAATATTCTCTAGTACAGACCGTTGACTTCTTTTATCCTCTAGTTGATGATCCCGAAGTAATGGGTCGCATAGCTTTTGCTAATGTTTTGAGTGATGTTTATGCTGTTGGCGTAACGGAAATTGATAAAGTCGAAATGCTTATTAGTGCGCCTTCAAATCTGACAGAGAAGCAGCGAGATATTGTGGTTCCCCTAATTGTAAAAGGCTTCCAGAGAGCATCGAGCAGTAGCGGCTTTTATGGCAATGTGACCATAAAAAATGTTATCATTAATCCTTGGTGTATTATTGGAGGTATTGCGACAGCCATTTGTCGAAAGCAAGACATTATATTGTAAGTACATGTTACATGTTTGGAAATATTAATATTTTCTATGGATCACCTTTGATTTTTTTCAGACCATCAAACGGCAAAGTTGGCGATGTCTTGGTGCTAACAAAGCCGCTTGGCACACAGCTAGCAACGGCTGCGCACATTTGGCAGAAGGAGCAAAATGAAAAGCATGAAAAGTTGCTCACTGCATTTACGGACGACGATATAATGGAAACATTTCAAATAGCAATAAAATCAATGACATACCTTAATCGCAATGGTAAGCTGCTACAAATATGTGTAGTAGGAATGTAGATTGCAAATGAATGAAACTAATATAACATTTATATTTTAGCTGCTTTGCTGATGAAGAAATATGAAGCACATGCTGCAACAGATGTCACGGGCTTCGGTTTGCTAGGTCATGCCAAAAATTTGGTTGAGTTTCAAAAGCAACCGCTTTTGTTTAGAATTCACAAATTGCCTATTATTAGAAACGTTTTGAAATTTGGCGAATTAGTTGGACAATGCACCAAACTAAAGGCAGGTAAAGCCGTTGAGACGTCTGGCGGATTACTAATTTGCTTGGCCCCAGAAGCAGCTGAAGAATTTTGCAGGGAGTTTGAACACCTGACAAATGGATCACAAAAGGCTTTTGTTATTGGTGAAGTTAAGGAAGCAGATAAGCCGGTTGCAGAATTAGATGAGAATGTTGAACTTATTGAGGTCTCATTTTAAAAAATATTTGGTTTTGATGAATCAAATTGAGTATTCGACTTATGATTATTATTTCGTAAAGGCCTTGGCTGGGAAATATTATGAATTATTTTATATGTAAATATAAGATTTTTGATATTCAATCAGATTCTTCATAACTAATTTTTTAAGAAATGCCTTAAGCTTGTTACATGAATAAAATTTTGCGGAACCGCGCAATAGTCTTTTAATTTTTTTTAAACTATACTTTAACAGAGATGGGCAATCGTTGGGTACATAGTTATGTTAAGGGGATTCAATAACTCAGTTATCGAATAAAATTAACCGATACGGCATACGATGTACTATCGCATACGAAACTAAGGCATATCGATAACATCATTTTACTTATGCATTTTCCAGTTCCAACACGCAAATTTTTGTGCCGGAAAAAAAAATTGAGTAGACCTTTTATTTTGTCTAAGACAAAACACATAATTTGTGAGGCGGTCACAATATTGGTAATCGGCTACCGTATACATAATTTCATATATATATATATATATATATATATAAATATATATATATATTTATATACATACCGTTGAAGCAAATATAGATCATGGCGTCGCATCAATATCATCAAATCGCAAATTTACTGGAAAAAGTATGTAAAGAATATACATTAAACAGTAGGTATGGTACCTTTATATACATGTATATATTTTGCGATATAGATGACATCCACGGACAAGGACTTTCGATTCATGGCAACAAATGATTTAATGACGGAACTGCAAAAGGACAGTATTATACTGGACGATGAGTCGGAGAAAAAGGTGGTTCGTATGGTGCTTAAATTATTGGAGGATAAAAACGGTGAAGTGCAGAATTTGGCTGTGAAATGTCTCGGCCCTTTGGTCAATAAAGTAAAAGAGAATCAAGTGGAGACAATTGTCGACTCGCTATGTGGCAACATGATGTCCAATGTGGAGCAGCTGCGTGATATCTCAAGCATCGGCCTAAAAACTGTCATTGCCGAACTACCACAATCTTCCAATTCGCTGGCCCCCAATGTATGCCAGCGTATAACTGGGAAACTAAGTATTGCAATTGAAAAGGTAAAAACATCGTAAACAAATTTTATATATTATATTCTATGGTAGAGCAATTGATTTGCAGGAGGATGTTTCAGTTAAATTGGAATCGCTGGACATATTGTCGGATTTGCTTTCACGCTTTGGAGAGTTTTTGGTGCCCTTTCATAGCACCATATTGAAGGCTCTAATGCCACAGCTGGCTTCGCCTCGACAAGCTGTACGCAAACGCACAATTGTTGCGCTCTCTGTGCTTTTGATACAAGCAAATAGCAATGCTTACAACGGAGTTGTTGATCATTTACTGGAGGGTCTGGAGAACCCACAAAACCCTGGAGCTGTGCGCACTTATATACAATGCTTGGCGTCTATTTGGTATATTATTGATCGTTGAGAAAAAAGATATATTTGTATTATTTTTTTTTTGTTTCTCACTAGTCGTCAGGCTGGTCATCGGTTGTGCAATCATATTGACCGTTCGATGCTCTTATTAAAGCAATATAGTCAACGAGATGATGATGAGCTACGCGAGTTTTGTCTGCAAGCCTGTGAGGCATTTGTGCTGCGTTGTCCAGACGCCATAAATCCACATATTCCTATGGTATTTCACATAAGAGTTCTAGTCAACTTGTAATAGCTAAGATAACCATTTAATTTTATATAAATGCAGATACTCGAATTGTGTCTGAAGTACGTTACATACGATCCCAACTACAATTATGAGGCCGATGACGGTGACACAGGCATTGCCATGGACACCGAAGAGGATGAATATGTAGACAGCGAGGAGTACAGCGATGATGATGATATGAGCTGGAAAGTTCGACGTGCTGCTGCTAAATGTCTTGAAGTTTTGATTGCTACACGCCAGGAATTACTTGAGGAATTCTATCGTACGCTGAGTCCAGCATTAATAGCACGGTTTAAGGAACGTGAGGAGAATGTTAAATCTGATATATTTCATGCATATGTCGCACTGTTGCGTAACACACGTCCTGCAGATGATATTGCACATGATCCTGACTCCATGGATCAGATTTCTGGACCGACTCTACTGCTAATCGAACAGCTGCCGCAGATAATTAAAGCCATACAACCGTTGATGCGAGAGAAATCGATGAAAACACGTCAGGATTGTTTCCTTTTGTTGCGCGAACTTTTGAACAGTCTACCAGGTGCACTTGGTCCCCATTTAGAAAGCATTGTACCAGGCATTAGCTATTCGCTGAACGACAAGAGTTCAACGAGCAACATGAAAATCGAGTCTCTGGGCTTCCTTTGCTCTTTACTGCAGGGTCATCAACCACATGTATTTCATCCGCACATTTCGTTGTTGGTGCCTCTGGTGGTAACATCGGTGTTCGATCCGTTTTACAAAATTGCCACCGAGGCGCTTTTGGTGCTGCAGCAGTTGGTCAAAGTGGTTCGTCCATTGGGCGTCAATGCAGTCAAGTCTGATTTCGATGTTACGCCCTTTGTGGGGCAGGTATACGCATGCACCTTGCAGAAGCTGAAGGTCACTGATGTCGATCAGGAGGTAAAGGAACGCGCTATCGCTTGCATGGGTCAAATCATTGCCAATATGGGTGATCTGCTAAAGAGCGAATTAGATGTGTGTCTGCCCATATTTATGGAACGTTTAAAAAACGAAGTCACACGATTAAGCAGCGTTAAAGCTTTAACAATGATTGCAGCTTCTCCATTGCGCATCGACCTCTCACCTATTCTTCACGACGTGCTCCCCACTCTGGGCACCTTCCTACGCAAAAACCATCGTGCTTTGAAGCTGCACTCTTTGGATCTTATCAATAAGATTGTCATCAACTACTCGTCAAACTTTGAGCCAAGTGTTTTGCAGTCCGCCATTGTCGAAATACCAGGACTTATCTCCGATTCCGATCTGCATGTGGCTCAATACTCACTCACTCTACTAAGTACAACGGCTCGTCGTCAGCCACAAGCTTTGGTTGGAATACATGAGAAGTTTTTGCCATCGGTGTTAATTTTAGTCCGTTCGCCTTTGTTGCAGGTGAGTCAGTTGCATTTTATAAGACTATGGGTCGATTCAAATCATAACCCAATAATTGTATTTATTGTATTGTATTTCAGGGCACAGCTTTGCAATGTACTTTGGACCTATTCCAAGCTCTGGTACAGGCACAACTCTCTGGTTTAGACTACCATTCGCTCGTGTCTAAGCTAATGGAGCCCGTTCTAAAGGGCAGCGATCCGGCATCCAGGAATCCTAATGAACAGCTGCAGCTGCACAAACAGGCATATCATTCATCGGCCAAGTGCATTGCTGCTCTGACACAGCAGTGTCCGCAGGTGGCGACTCCATTGGCAACCCAGCTGATGTCTGAGCTGCAGAAGCGTAGCAACAAGGACACACAGATCATATTCTGCTTGCTGACAATTGGGGAAATCGGCAGACATTTTGATTTGAGCTCCATTCAAGTGCTGCCACAGACAATCATTGAATGCTTTGGTGCCACATCCGAGGATGTGAAAGCGGCAGCCTCGCATGCTCTGGGCGCCGTCTCTGTGGGTAGCTTGCAAACATATTTGCCATTAATTTTGAAAGAGATCGAGGCACAGCCCAAGCGACAATATTTATTGCTCCACTCATTGAAAGAGGTAATTTCCTCGCTCTCTGTTACGCCTAACGGTCTAGCTCAGCTGCTGCCATCAGTGCCTTCGATTTGGGCTCAATTGTTCAAGCATTGTGAGTGCTCAGAAGAAGGGTCCCGAAACGTGGTGGCGGAATGCTTGGGAAAACTTGTGCTCGTCAATCCGGAGGAGCTGCTACCTCAATTGCAGCAAGCTCTCCGATCAGATAGCGCAACAATGCGCACCGTTGTAGTTTCCTCCGTTAAATTCACCATATCCGACCAGCCGCAGCCAATTGACTTGCTGCTGAAGCAAAATATCGGTGAATTTCTATTCGCACTTCGCGATCCGGATCCGCAAGTACGTCGCGTCGCTCTAGTCGCTTTCAATTCGGCTGTTCACAATAAGCCGAGCTTAGTTCGAGATTTACTGCCCACACTTTTACCTTGGCTGTATTCCGAGACGAAGGTTAAAAGTGAGCTTATACGTGAAGTCGAAATGGGTCCATTTAAGCACACTGTAGATGATGGATTGGATATACGAAAAGCGGCATTCGAATGCATGTATACACTCCTTGAGCAGGGATTGGATCGTGTGGACGTTATGCAGTTCATGGATCACGTTCAGGCTGGCCTATGTGATCATTATGATATTAAAATGCTGACGTACCTCATGACAGCGCGCCTGGCTGTTTTGTGTCCCGATAAGGTTTTGCTACGTATGTGATACCTGAATTTTTTGAATCAAGAAAATCTTTGCTAAATATAATTTCCTTAAATAGGACTTGATCAATTCGTTCAACAGTTACGCGACACTTGCACCCACAAAGTAAAGGCCAATTCGGTGAAGCAAGAGTACGAGAAACAAGACGAACTAAAGCGCTCTGCTCTACGAGCGGTATCTGCGCTGTCACAAATACCCAAAGCAAGTGAGTATATAAAAAATTATTTCTTTAGACAAATTGTAAATTCATAATTAAAATCTGCTTGCAGATAAAAATCAGCAGTTACTAGACTTTTTAAAGTCAATTAAGGAAACTCCGGAACTGTGTAAAATCTACGATTATGTGCAGAAGGATTCCATTACTGGCAATTCAGACATTGCCATGGACCAGACTTAAATATTGTGTTTTTATAGCGCGCTGTTCTATGAATATTATAATTTTATTGATAAATAATGTAATAAGCATTTGTGAACACAAAACTTGTATCGACTATATCTGATACAGCCATTAGTTTTTTTTAACTAAGCAATAAAATCGATTTGTAATACTGCTCCAAATGATTTGAAATATATACTATATTATGATAAAGAATATATATCCCAATATATATATATATATATATATTCAATATATATATATATATATATATATTCAATATATATATATATATATATATATTCAATATATATATATATATATATATATTCAATATATATATATTCGCTTGTTTGTCAAAGGCAGTATAAAAAGAATTAGCATTTAAATAAAGTTTTTCATGAACTGGATTGAAATTTGTATTTAAAAGTTTTTTGTTAATATATTACAACTTTTAATTAAAATCGTATATGAGAAATATCAAATGAAAGTCAAGGTTAGTTCGATTGTCTTTAGACTCTTCTGACCCTCGATTATTTATCTATATATACATTGCTATTACTATATTTAAACAAATTTATCTGACTAAAACATTTTTCAAAGTCTGAGTATGTTGAAATGAATTATTATTTATTTTAAATTTTAATGAAAACGGATTTCCTGAATATTTTAAGAATTTTTTATGTGTGACCTATCCAACGAATTACAATTTTAAACTCTTCTTTGGAAATTAAAAAGTCAATAAGTTAGCCTGACTGCTTGGATCTTTTCTTCTCTGTAGCTGCGTCAGAGATTAGTTTGCCAGTTGCCGGTCCACCATCAGATGTTGGTCCACTTTCTGACACAGTTTCTGGTGGATGCTCAAGCACATGATCAATTATGCCTAGGGTCTTGGCCTCTTCCGGGGTCATGAAATGGTCACGCTCCATACGCGAACACATCTCATCATAACAATTTTTAGCATGCTTTACATAGATATTTGTTAGTTGACGCTTTATCTTAATAATCTCCTCCGCATGTATAAGTATGTCGGTGGCTTGACCCTGTGAAGGAAATACGGTTCAATTAGTAGATGGATTCAATTAGCAGTCGACTTTACCTGAGCCCCTCCGGACGGCTGATGTATCATGATGCGCGCATTCGGCAAAGAGTAACGCATGCCGGGTGCGCCAGCTGCCAGTAGTAATGAACCCATTGAACATGCCTGTCCCACACACCACGTCGCTATTGGTGGCTTCACATATTGCATCGTATCATAGATTGCTAGGCCAGCCGTAACCACGCCACCAGGTGAATTTATATACAAATGTATGGGCTTGTTGACATTCTCCGACTGAAGAAATAGCAGCTGAGCAACGACCGTCGAGCTGATATCATCTGTAATGTTGCCCATTAGACAAATGATGCGCTCCTTTAATAGACGAGAGAATATATCATATGCACGTTCCCCTCTGCCAGTTTGTTCGACCACCATGGGTATCAAATTTATGCCCCTCACATGCTGCGCCGATGTGTTACATTTTCCCTATAGTAATGTTTGGATATATCATCAATTATTTACATACCAGTTGTAGTAGATTTAACTTACGTGCAATCCACGAAATAATCTGCTGCCGGCGTTCCTCAACATAATTCCCCTCGTTGGTGTTATTTGTTTTTTTTTTTTTTTTATCAAACTGAATCGCAAAATATTCCGCAAAACAGCTGTTTTCTTGAGGCTGAGATGTGTCGCTCCCTAGGCAGTAAAAATCATAGCTTAAACAATAATTTCTAACACAGTCTGCTGAGTTAAAAGATATTTCGTAAGCAAGAAAGGAAAAAACAAAAAAAAAAACGATACAAAATTACATACACGTATGTGATGGGACTTATAAAACACAAATAAGTTTACTTACTTCAATTCTAATCGATAGTATATATCGATATCACGATAATAACAGATGATCCGCTGATTTCAAGATATGCATATTGACAGATATTTGAATAAAATAAATAATAAATAATTCACATTTGCATAGTTATAATGAGTTCATATTGTACTAACCATCCTATTTTTTATGCAGCTTTGGTTTTTGCAGCAAAGCATAAGGAGAGATAAGGGTATCTATCTGTTTATATGTTGAAAGCTGGTGTACGGCTTTTGTAGCTAAACTATAGCGACAAGAAAATCTGTAAACATTATGCTAATATTCATTCATGCACTGCATAATGTGAATTAAATAGCAGATATTTGAAGAACAAAATAATAATAAAATAGAATTCTGTACACATTTTAATAATATTTTTGACTTATTACTTTCATGCAGCGAATATAGTGTTTGCAAAAATAGGACAATATTTTCGCCACCACTGTAGGCGCTGAAGCGCGCCATATAAACTTTTTTTGTTACTTGTTCGTTTGTTTGGGCTGACATACGTTTGTGTGTGGCTGTACACATATGCCTACGTAAATGTTGCAATTGTATTGAACTAGAATTCACGCAGCCAAGATCAAGGTAATTGCATCTTCGCAACTGCTACTCTAGTTTCATTCTGCAATTTACTTTTAAACCGATTGGATGTGCTTTGAAGCCCTCATCGAATATTTCTTGATCAGTTTTCGTTTTTCGTTTAGTAAAAATGTTTGTAAGAATCCATCGGGTAGGAATTATTATATTAATTGTAAGTACAAATGTGCGTTGTATCAGAATACTTAAATGCTCAAATGGCTGACAAAAATTGCTTACAAAATTATACAAATGATAAAAACCCTTTTGATACTGGTTTTAAAGATTCTGTTTTAGGCATAACTGCCTTAAAGATCTCAATAAAAACTTTTTATAGAGTATTATTTAGTCACTTGTAGTTTTATCAATAATGCGATTACTTTTCTGGTCACAGGTTCATGCAAGCTTCTGTATTGCACAGGACTATGAAGGTAAGTCGATTAATTCACAAAATATATTAATTAGATTCATTTGATTGAATAGTCGCTGATGTTCAATGCACATTTTCGAACCCGGGCTCCGAGATTGAAGATCTGATAACGGCAACGCTGAAAAGACCAGCTGGATTCAAGGGTGTGCCCATCTTTGCGGATGATCGAAGTGGACTAAAGGACTTAAATCCGCACTGTCTGATCTCAAAGGACATTAGCGATGTGGACGAACGTACCTATCAATTAAGAATAAACGATTTTACACACTGTGGCGTGCTCAAAAGAAATGTATGTAGAACATATTAAAAACAATATTTTATATTATTGTCATTCATGTGATGAAGTTTGGACAGAACTAGAAATTTGAATCTATATATATTCATCAATTTATAGTATCTAGATTTTTTGGATACGCCAATTGAAGTCGTGTCAAATTGGAAAGAAATTTTATTTTCTTTAACAGGCAGAAAATCAAAAATTGATAGCAGGGCATCTTTTGAACCCCTCTATTAAGTTACGCCCAATGCAGAGTAGCTATATTTTGCTCAGTTTTAACAGTCAAGTTACTGTAGTTCTGATCCTAAGTTAAACATTCACGTCAACAGATCAGATTGTCCTCAGATCAAATTGTCCTCATTCGAAGAGGTTGCATTGTCAAATCGCAAGCATATCATTGTTTATCTACTTCATAAATTTCCAGTTTCAAGCCCAAGCTCTTGCTTATTTCAATTTTATTTTTTAGGGCTTTGTTCATGTCCGCATTTGGTTTCCACAATTTCCTGGCGTTGTGATGCAATCGGATCAGGAGCTAATTATCATGTGCAAGCCTCCAGAGCCAACTATAATAGAGAATAAGGCAGCTGGATTCGCGGGCTCCTTGTGTGTAGAGCTTTATAACAGCGTTTGATTACGGCATTAATATAAAATATATATGCTTATAGCCCACATGGTGCTCGAGTCTCGGGCATAGTTGAAGAGATGCCAAATCGATTGGAATATGAGGTCGCACTGTACAAGGAGGCACCGCCCATAGCACGTGTCAGCGGCACCAACAATCCAGTTAGCTCCTCGAATGATCCGGCCTCTCTGCTGGCCGACAATGATCAGACAGTGGACCAAGCTGTGCCACTGGGCACCAAGTTACAACTGCGAGCACGCATCAGCCAGTCGGTGTGGAAGTATGTCAAGCTGATGGAGGTGACTGTCTCACCAGATCCAGGTAAGCGACAGCTAGCTGAAAGGAAGCATGATTCGTGTATATTCTCATTATCCATCAGAGAATCCACTTGCACCTGGCTCTGTTTCCCTGGTGCACAATGGTTGCCGCAATCGGGAGCTGGCCACAATTATTCCCCATCAGCCGGCCAAATATCGTGATCGACCCAACGAGGTGTTTCTCGACTTCGAGGCTTTCTTGCTCAGCTCCATGAAGGAGAAGGCCACACTTTGGATACACTCACAGATCAAGGCCTGCATAGACACGACCGATTGCACGCCTGACTTCTGTGTCGATCTCTATGAGCCGTCGGGTCATGGCCGAAAGCGACGACAAATTGAATCAACAACATCTACAGTGAACTCTACGATAATGCAACGGGCTGGGAGTCGTAATGCTTCCACTGTTGCCTCAGAGTTCAAACGCTTTAAAGAGAACATCGAGTACACCGTTATAATGCCCGGACAGGTGAATAAAAAGGTGGGCCTCCTAATCGATCTGACGTCGCAGTGTGGCGGCGCCCTGCTCATTAGCTCGTTTTTTGTATTCATGATTACGCTTTGCTGCTCGATTGTAAGTGCAATTAGAATTGGCCCAGGCTATTATATAACTTGCTAATAATAATAATAATTCCTCTACCTTCAGAGCTGTTTGATAGCATTGCGCGTGCAAAGCGAAAAAAAGCTAAGACGTCGCCAGCTTACCTCCGGGTTCAACACAGGTTATGCAGGTCGAGCGACGGTTCAATAAACGAAACGGGAAATACATTATCAAAAGAAATATAAATATAGAAAAGAAAGAGCTCTGCATTTAGCATTAGTCTTCGAGCTATGGATATCATATGCATTTATCAAGTGTACCTTTACTTTATATAACATAGAAAAAAGCAAATAAATAAATGAATATTTAGATATTTTCGTCTTTTAATTTATATATATATATATATATATATATATAGCCCAAAGAAGAACATGGGAAAGATTTTATAACTTTTTATATCATGTCTATATTATAGTATTTACGAAAGCGGAACAATTAATGCATTTTCAATCGAGTTTCAATTTTATATAATTTTATCTGTATAATTATAGCAGATAAGACTTGAACTGATATAATTTGATATGCATTTGAAAACAGGCAGAATGTATTTTTGTCTATATATTCACTTTACTATATCCATTTTAAGATAAACAAACTACAAAAATATATTTGTGTTTTCAATAAAATTTTATTAATTTGTTTTTATGCTTAAGAGTATGATATCCTGTAAAGGTTTCCAGAATGAATCAAGGTAAGCTTAGAAATTTATTTTTCTGCTCCTGTTATTTTGCAAACGAACTTATTTTTCTTTTAATTGATATTTTAGCGGTGCATTATCTGCCTGTATTAATTTTAGATTAAGGGACCGTTAAAATTGTTTTATTTATATAATTGATTTATAACTGAAATTCTATGACACGTGAGATTCTAAACACGATATATAAGAAACTGTATGGGGCAACTTTATTATGTCAGTGCTTGGCGTAAATATAAAACATTTATTTCAAAAGCATTAGAATTAATGTAGAGCTAAAATTAACAAGCCAATTTTTTTCAAAATAGAATAGAAAATAGCCTTTGAAGCTGTTAAATTTTGTTGATAAAATTAGCAAATGTAAATTTTAAGTATGGAATGAAGCTGCGCCCATAATTGACCTTATGAAGGAAGTGCGATTCATTTCGGGCAGCTTCATGCTTTTTCTTAGGCAAACTATTATTCTTGAACAGAGAAACTATTTTGTTTAACAACATACATGCTTTATGCTTTTATTATGATCTGGCTTTTTGTGCTTGTAGATGCCAATTTATAGGAATTTGTTGAACTTGACTTGGTGGAAAACAATTATTTATTTATTTAATGCCTTATTAAGCGTTATCTACCGCGGAGATATCCGAACACAGAGGTCAGGCCGTGCCTTGTTTGCCATTGGTAAATGGCCAACAATAAAACTGTCAAGTTGTCAGAGACGGGCCAACTAAGCTGCAAATGTCAAAGGCAAAGCCATGGCCAAAAAGCTACTTTAATTGATTCTCGTAAAGTCCTGTTCGCAGCAACAGCAGCAGGAGCCTCCTCATTGTATTCAGCACTTCCAGTAAACACACTTTGACATTATTTAATCTATGTGTATACATATATACGCAAATACAATGGCATAAACCATATAACATATATATAATAAATGCTCGCGTGTTCATGTATCTTGCCTACGATACATAAATCATGCATAATTTATATGCGAAATCTTGGTAGCTTGTTGCCGGGTTGAATTATGTTTGCGTATCTTAAATAAATAATAATAATCAATTATCAATATTATGTTTAACTGTACGAAAATTACTTTTTATATATTCCCCAGCAGAGACTCTTTCTATAGTAGGCGTGGCTATGAAGCTGTAGGAGATTTATTTACATATATATTATATTTAATCATATATATATTAATATATTCACATATATTTATGTACATATCTGAGTCTTGAAATTTGAAATATAAACATGCCTTTCCTCAATAAAATTGTGTTTCTTTTGAGCTTTTTCGCTTACTCTTTCTCTATCTATATTTATCTTAGCCTCTGTATGATACACTGCGGAATCAAACGAATAGCTAACTGCCGCGAAGAAAGGCATGTTTCAGTTAATTATGGTTTGGTGTGGGTTAACAGGGCGTATGATTAATGCAGTCCACGCCGAAGTCGTCTCAGTGAAAATCAATTAATTAGGCACGGGAAAAAAGAACAAAACACACGTGTTCTCATGAATGAATTAAGCAACAACGTGAATGAATGAACGAATGAATGAGTGTAATGACTCTTTCATTAGGTATTCGAGCGTGAATAAAGCATTAACTACCCAGACAGTCAGGTGGGAACGCGGACACGCAGGAAGGTGGGTAGTCAGGTAGGACGAAGTGAGTCAACTGCATAAATTTTCATTTAGACAAATGTGACAAACGGAAATTGCAATCGACGCTGCGCAACGTTCTCAGCAGAATTTCAGCTTCCTGTGCAGCAGCGGCTGCAGCAAAGGAATTCGCCAAGGACTCGTTCGTGCAGTTGCTGCTGCTCATTTTATTGGCATTTCAGTGGATTCGCTTTAATAAATGATGAGCACGTTGAAGCATATTGAAATGTAATTCATAACGTAGCAAACGGATGACGATGAATTATGTGCGATACACATCTGAATATATATGCATGTATGGCCCATGTTTAATGTCGGGGCGGGACCTTATTGCATTCTGATTAAATTATAGATCAACGTGATATGAACATAATTAAGTTGGCTAGACTGAAACGAAGACTCTCGCCAAGTCAATCAGACTCTTTAATGGCGAATTTGATAATACTTTGGATTAATTGAAAATAGGAATAGTGAGTATAATGAGTATATTAATAGGTGTGGCCGGAACCATAAATTATATTTACATATTTTTGATCATAATCTTCAACTATCATCGTATATTAAAGTCAACTCTGTTTCCTCTGATTTCTTATACTTTTGATTCGGGACTCCAATTGCAAATAGGTTACACTACATAGTAGACATTTCGACTATAGAAAATGGAAAATGTCAACTTTGATCAATTGTGACGCAGAAATATTCAAGGAGACACAGTTCAAATCAAGAAAGAGAAACTCTGCTGGTTTGCTGGTTTGAGCTCTTATTAAGTCTGCTTGATTGAGCACTTTGAATATGGAGTCGATAAGTTCATATCAGGCCCGCCGTTCATATTTGGACGGTGAGGAACGCGAATTAACACAACAGCAAAATCGTCGCCGTCAGATTCGGCGTAAAGTATTCCTAACTTTGAAGATAATCATATTTTTAATAATTTGGATTTTCTTTGTAGTAATTATGTTTATTCAGCCAGAACATATTTCTAATGACCAAACTTTAGCCTTGGAGCAGCATACATTGAAAGTGTTGAATCTCCACTGGCAGTCGAAAAGCAATAAGGTAAAGGTCACGCTGACCGGGAACCTCGACATGGAGAGCACCAACTTTCCACGCCTGGCAACCGCATCACACAAACATATATCAGTCAGTGTGCGAATCTACAATCATTTATTGAACAAGACGGAATACGAGTCGGATATTTGGACTGTTTACTTGTTGAAATCTGACCTGACACGTACACACTTAGGAACTGTGAGGCATTTGTTTAATATGAAGCAGTTAGAAGTAGATACTGCGGCTTTATACCACGGCGACCAGAAGTCCCTTCAGATAACATTGCTTAATCCAGGCCGTGATATATTGGCATTCAAAATGAAAGTTAATACCGATCCCGTGGAGATGAATACTGGCGTCATAGCAGCAGGTGTGTTGCTTAGTGCTCTTTATATAATCATCATTGCGGGTTTGACGGATCCCACATTTGCCGCTGTTGTGCTGGCATCGACCGCGATCGGAATGCTGTGTGTGTTGGATGATCGACCATCGGTGCAAACAATTGTATCGTGGATCGATATGCATACATTGATGCTCATCTTTTGTATGATGGTAATGGTGACCATTATAACCGAAACGGGCATCTTTGGCTATGTCGCGGTGCTGGCCTATCGCTTGTCGAAGGGTCGACACTGGCTGCTAGTTGGCCTCCTCTGCATGATCAGCGTCTTGCTATCCGCATTCTTGGAATTGGTTACCATATTAATGATCATGGTGCCCGTTGTGATTCGATTGTGTGAGTGTATGAGCTTGCGCACCACGACCGTGTTGATCTGTGTGGCAATATTTTCGAATATCGGCGGCACATTGACTCCCATTGGTGATCCACCAAATGTGATAATTGCAACGAATACGCATGTCATGGGCCATGGCGTCGACTTCAGCCAGTTTGTCATTCATATGTTTCCGGGCGTGGCTCTGAGCATTACTGCTGCTTGGCTTTATTTATATATGGTGTTGCGCAAGACTTTACAAACGGGCGGTGCAGAGCAAACTAGTAAGTCCTTGAAATACCTACGCCAGCCATCTAAGCAATTGAGCGACGGACGAATTCAGCAACAGTTTCTAATGCACATTGCAGAGTTGAAGGCGGATTTGAAAAAGAAAAGGGAACCATCAATGTTTCGAATTACGGCTGCAACCAATTATATGGAAACTCTCGACCTAATGGAGGCCAAATACACGCTGGAGGACAAACCGTTGCTGATTAAAAGCTCCATTGCTTTCATATTTGCCCTAGCTCTGTTTGCGCTGCATTCGTTGCCCGTCTTTTCGGGGGCCACGCTTGCTTGGACGGCTTTAATGGCTGTGATGCTGTTGTTGATACTCTACGATACCCAGGATCTGAGTGCTGTGCTAATACGGGTCGATTGGTCTATGCTGTTGTTCTTTAGCGCACTTTTTGTGCTCATCGAAGCATGCACGGAGCTGGGCTTGACCGATTGGTTGGCTGAGGGATTGATTCTTATTATCTTGAGTGTGGATCCTAAATATCAGGTTGTTACATCCATAGTGCTTATCCTGTGGATGGCGGCTCTATTCTCGTTTTTTATCGAAAGCATTCCAATTGTCACAATGCTGATAAAGCTCACCATTAAAGTGGCCCTAAGCGATCGAATGAATATACCTTTGCTACCAATGATATGGGCTCTGTCATATGGGGTGTGCTTCGCGGGCAATGGCACCTTGTTTTCCACCACCGCAAATATAGCTGCCGCTGGCATTGCCAAGCAACACGGCTATAAGATCACCGGCTATGAGTTCTTCAAATATGGTTTCCCTGTCACTATTTTAACCATTACAATAGCTACAATTTATCTGCTCATTGCACACGGAATTTTCACATGGCACTAGCCAGAGAATCTTCATGGATGGTGGCCCACTGTCTGTGGCCAGCAAAAACTTTCGTCCAAGCATTTTTTTTTCGTTGGCAAACTTTTTAATGACTAAATAAGATTTCCGCAAAAAGTTGTGGGGAGGCAGAAGCAGAAAGATCAAATGCGGAAATGGCACAAAAAAAACTGACTGATAAATTTTTTTATAATTGGATGCTTATTATTACTAAACAAACAGCCATAGCGTTAAATAAATTGAATGCCAATTTCATCACGGAAAATAAATGCCGTCTTCACCTGTTGTCTGCGCCCCATGTCATTTGAGGGCGTAGGCTATAGGCGGAGGCTGGCATCGATTACCAATCGTCGTGTAAGGACAAGAACTACTTGATCATGGCCAATGCTCCTATTCATGTCAGAGCTATGTCTATCAAGTGTGTTGCCTGTTCCGATCAATGAATGGAAAATGGAATCCTGGAGATATCCTGAGCCCTGCGCTTCTTTTATACATAAATTACAAACAACACATGAACACACATATATACAGCGCTGATTGGAATTTACTATGTGAAATTTACTGTTGAATAACCTTTCTTTTAAATGACATTTTATGTGTGTATTTGGCAAAGCACCAGTCTCTAGTATTTTAAATAATTCGGGGGCAAGTGGAGGAGTTATCCAAAATCCAAAATATTCTAAATCTCTGTATCCATTACACGAATTTACACGTTATATTGGAAGTCGCCAGCATTTACGGCATCTAAGCCACGTTTAAACAACGCAGTCAAATAATCGATTTTTATCGATAATCAGAACATAGGATGAGTTATCAAAAAAAAAGTGATAAGCTTGTTTTGCGTTAGCATACGCATATACGAGAATACATTTAAAATTAAAAAAAATCGCTGCGTTCATAAGGACGGACAGAAACTCAGTCGGACGGACGGACAAGGCTAAATCGGCTCGACTTTTCGTCGTGATCATGCCTCATTCTTGTTACGTGCATTTTAACAAAACCATTTTTCATTTTCAACGAGGTTGGAGTATAAAACTCGTACGAGTCTTCAATCGCTGCTGAACCAGAAACATATAGAGGCATACTAAGTGGGGTGCTAAAAATTTCTCGATATGCCTACTAGGTGTTTGCCAAATCGGGATAAAATGTCACAGACTTGAAATTTGGAAGCCAAGATCAACAAGTTATAATGGATATATCGACACTCATTTAGCACGCGGTAAATCACGAATAACTGTATACAATTTTACAGTTTGAAAATCAAAATTTAGCGACTATGTTACTATCAACATGCTATATGTTACTATTAACAATCTAACTCATTTATTTCTCAAACCTGCTATTTGTGATTGTAAAAGCGCAAGTTTGAATGAAGCCGGGAACATTTTTATACAATGAAACCATTAAAAATGGTAAATCGGGATGATTTTGTTAAAATGTATATAACAGCCAGAAGGAAGCGTGGCTGACCCCATAAAGTATATATATTCTTGAGCAGGACGATAAGTCGTGTTCATAACTGCTTACGTTTTATTTTTATCGATTAAAACCATGATCGATAGTTAGTAAATTATATGGCGTACGGCTTAAGAGGTAGAACCTCCAAATTTAACATTTACTTGTGTACTTGTGACAATTTTGGATTTTAGGGCCAATATATATAAATAAAACTGAAAAAAAGTACGCACTTTTCCCATACATACGCACCCATACATTATTGCATTTTTTTCTATTCGAAGAATCGAAGTTAGCAATTGAATTGTGCTGGAATTATCAGATGCTACTTTAGTTGAGATTTGCAACTTGTTGCTCAAGTAGTTTTGGGCTCAAGCCCGGATGGAGAAAAGAGTTTTTGTTCAGGGTATCTCCTAGTCGGGCACCCTGACTAGAGATTTTTTGTTTTGTTTTGTTTTACATTATTCCGGTTTCTAGTTTAAATTGAAATAACTTAGAGTTATATGCCATATAACTGTGGTTATCAATTGAGTTGAAAATCTGAACAGCTGCCATGAATATAATTGATCGTAAATTGAATTGTTTAAGGAATGAAAGATGGGAGATAAATCGTATTTCTGTTAGAAATAAGCAGTAAAAGTTTTCAAAGCGAAGTCGGATGTGAGGTCTTTATCAATCATACACACAATTATATACTCCACTTGTTATATATGGCTGAATCTGGCAATGCCCCCAGTAGCTACCTCGTGGACACGGAGGAGAAGGGGAATGTCGGGCTTTCATGGAAAATTTGCAATCTGGTTAAGTGCGCGTTATTTCTATTACTCTGGGTGTACTCCGCGGTATATCTCATCACTACAGTTCCCAAAAGGCCAAGTACTTTCCTCGTGCCGTTGATGCCCTACAACAAGTATGTGATTAATTCGAGGGAGAAATTACAACACAGTGATATAGGCATTCAACTTGTCGGTCCCATCGATAAGATATTGACTCTAAATCCTGAATGGGCAACCAATTCAAATCCACGTATTTTGGTTAAAGTCGAGAGCTTCAATGCGTTGGCTAATTTCACGGAAATGGAATCGGAATCTTGGATTATCTTTTTGCTTACCAAACAGAATGAAATAAACGAAAGGATAAGTAAACAGTTTCGACTGAAAAGCAAACCGAGTGTTATGAGGTCCCTAATTTACCAACAACATCCCAAACGGGCTAAGGAGTTCGATATGCCGATAATTGGTGTGGGCTATCACGAATTGCATGTATTACTGACAAATTATTATAACGATTCATTGGCCGTATTTGTGGTCATCAGTTATAACCCGGTTAGTACGAATATTGCCGTTGCGGGTGGAATATTGCTGCTCTTATTTTTATATGTGCTGATTATATTGGACCTGGCGGATAGTGCGTTTGCTGTAATGCTGGTGGCAATGGGCGGAATTGGATTGCTTTGTATGATGCACGCGCGACC